GAACATTCTGGTCTTGTAGTGGATAAAGATCACTTGCCCGATCTCGACCAACTACTCTGGGTGAGACTCTCCACCAGTCTCATTGACGTGTTTTAGGGTTCTTATAAGAGAGCACCAAATGGAGACTTTTGGTTCAGAGCTAAGCGGTTCGACACATCCAAACTGGACACTCCCTATGTGAAGAAACACCTTGGCTTGCACCTAGAGCTGGTGGACTTCAATCCTCCAGCCCACGCCTTTCTCAAGCATCCAGTGGAGCATGGACGGCTGTATGCCTTCAATCCCATGATCTCTAACAAGAGTATGTATCTCTCTGAATGATTACACAGGTGGCCACCACTCACTTTACTAACTTTGTCGTTCATACTATTCAGGTCAACTCCTCTCTAGGTTCAAAGACACTCAAGGCCTCAACACTGTGTTGCTTACTGACCTAGTCGAGACGACAATCAAAGAGATGGGTTTGCAACAGTTGGTACGCACTCTAGAAGTTACACCAGAAGGTCACTACAAAAGTTGCGTTAGGGGAATCTCCAAATTGATCACATCCAAGTTTGGAATCATCACCGTCTCCATCCAAAGCCATCACTCTGTCATGTTCACCATCACTGCCAACGATCGTGCCTATCTTTTGCATCTGGATTCTCTGTTGTTTGGGTCCCACAAAGACTACGCAAACAACTTCTATGATGATTACAAGAATGTTGTCAAGAAGAAGAAGTATGAAGCCATCCCCATCAAGACCCTACAGAATAAGGTGCAGACATGTAATTGGCGATGTGGACTCTATGTGTACAAGTTCGTAAGGTCCTTCCTCAGCATGATCGCATCAACAGATAGCATTGGTGAGGATCATTTGTGCCAATACCTCCAATCGATGACAAAGCTGAAGTGCAGAGATGCTGAAGACTTTGACAATGTGGAACAAATCATTCAAATGTACACCAGAAGTTATCGATCAACCAAGTAGATATGTTGAATGTATATTCATTAAATTTCACCTGTAACATATTCGTCTGTGTTTATCTGTATGAACGAGTGATTATCTGTATGAATGATTATCTGTAAAGAATGTGATACTGACCCTCTTCAGAACCACCCACACACMTCTTCACCCACACCTCTTCAGAACCACCCACACTCACCACCTCAATAAATGTTTGCAAAATTGTCAAAATTGACCTTTCACCACTCCTCGATAATCAGGAATATCTTTGGTGACTTTATTGATGAACAAGTGCCATCAAATGGCATTTCCTTGCCTTTAGATATTCATTTTAGAGACCGATCTGTGAAGGTGGGGGTATGGAGGTGTTCGACTGTCTGGTGAAGTGTGTATGGCAAAGTAGAAAGACGTTTGCTTTAGGGTGTACATCCCACTCCTCAACACCCAATCGACACCTCCACCAACAACACCTTGACTATTGTTGCGCCTGCAGACCCGACTGAAGATGCGTGACGAGATCCTACATTATATGACAAGGTAAGGACAAGCTTCCACCGACGGGAGAAGTGCCAAGACACACCATCAGTGACCATTCAGATTGGCGAGCACAACCAAGCCCGACAAGGACCTCTACTGCATTCCAGCCAACCCATTTGGCTGACACCAAACATCTATAGTCCTAAGCACCCTCTCTAGTGCACTAAAAGACATACCTTCCACTCTTGACACTCATACTAACTCAACCCTCCACTTATCTGAGCGAATGGTCATGTTTTCACAACACTGATGCCAAGGCGGTCCAGGCCCTTCTGCCAATCAAGGAGGATATTGCGACCTGTACGATTTAGACAACAAACACAGTCAACTCTCTGATCCTTGTGTTCAAGACACTCAGCCAAAGAACAAAGTACCAGAGCCACTCATACTCATGCTACGCACTACCACTGGGATCAACCTGTTTCGACTACAATGTGCCAGCTATATTCCTCGTCTCCCTCGGCTACGCCATCACTCAAATCAATTAGAGTGGCCCGACATGTCTTGAATGGTCTATGTGTCAACGTACTATCCACAAAGTCATCTACAAACAGCACTGCTGAGACAAGACAAGTCTCTGGCTATGTCTCACACTGGTTGGCGTCCCTCCGTCATGGTTGGGCTCGTCATGACTGCTGTCGGGCTCTGTGGCCAGAATCAGTGTCAAACTCAAGCAGAAGGAGCAGGACGACGACATGGACGATGACCTCAACAACAACATAAAGGATGCCTTGGACAACTCAAGCATGTATACAATTGTAAACTGTAGGAGATGTTGGCTTGACTGTAGAAGTTGTGGATGTTGTGGACGTTGTGGATGTGGATGTTGATGTGACAGATGTTGTTTGCTTGGTCGGGTTGAGCACCAAGGCCGGAAACTGGCCTTCCCCTTCCCCCAACCAACAGATGGTCAAGTTCACGATGAAAAGTGTTCCAAGTTGGTTGTCGTCTCTATCTCGACAACTACTTCGTAAACCTGGCACAAGAGCTACAATTATTGGTCTTCACATATGCGACACTGACCGTTCTTCAAGGAGGGATATTCCGAGTTCCTTGACGAAAAAGTGGAGATAGGAACATATGTTTGGAACATAGAACAAGCTTGCGCAGGATGGCCCTTTAAAATTGTACACCTCTTCATCAGCCATCACCTCTCCTTTGGTCATTTGAGTCGAACAACAACAATTTTTACAAGGCACTTTAATTTTATGCTTAAAGCATCCTCATATGGTGAGTAGATGATCAAATGGATGCTTAGATAAGCGCATGATGGTTGGTACGTCAATGAATCCACAGTTAGTCAGGTCATCACCTTGAGCAAAGAACAACGTCTTTGATATTCGCACCAGCTTGGCACACCTGCCCAGTTTTCCTCCTCGGGTGCCAAGTGTCAGCCACACGATTGAATGTGCCAGTTGATCCAAACGACACCTGATGCCAGGCAGAGGCTTCATTTGGCAATCTGGTGCAATCTGTGCTAAACCAAGCGATCGCAGTCCTGCTGGCAGCGTGTTGCACTCAATCCAATGTTTGATATTGTATATTCCAAGGGATGTGACTGACGAAGGTATTTGTTGGTCGAGAACTGGGTGTATCTATTCAAGAAGAACGCCGTGAGGGACAACGGCAGCGGTGAATCGACCAAGTTGAAGGCATCCTTAAAGGCACATTCAAGAGTGAGATCCTCAATCCCGTGAAGTCCAAACGTTGTTGGTCGATCCACATGGATTGTCAGGTTGCGCAGCGTCGATGGGAGCGAGGAAAGATCCAAGCGTGCGACTTGCGCCTCCCCACTATAGTCGACCGCGCCGGCCATACAGAGTCTTTGAAGCTTAGGAAAAGTGGCCGATGTGATCCACATAAGTTCTAGATGATGCAGATAACGTTTGATGTTCAACTCAAGAAGATGAGAGAATGGAGACATGGTAGTGTCACACTGCAGCCACTGACTTGGATGTGTTTGGTCCGATGAATATAAATATAACCTGTCGAGCTTGAGCTCAGTGAGGCTCGGAGGGAAGTTGATCGGACAGGGGGGAAGGCCGTCCATTGTCAGCCTGGTGAGGGATTGCGGCAAGCACGTCCCATCCAACTGCCGGCCGAATTGGGAACCAAACTCCAGAGTCTTGATAGATGACGGGAGTGGACTCCACGGGATCGATTGGTTGATACTGCTCCCAATGCACAGGGTCTCAAGGTGCGGGGGTAGCAATGACCCTAGGTTGATGTTAAGGTTGGCATCGTCTTCCTCCGAATAGAACATTGAGAGCATCTTCAAACCAGCAGGAAGCACTCCTTGGTCAAGGGTGCCTTCCAAGGCCATGCTTGAGATTGAGAGCCTGGTCAAAGTAGAGGGGAGCATGTTTGGCGCAAGGCGCCACCACACTTTGCGAGGGATGGCCAGGATGTGCATGGTTGTCAGGGGAATATCTGGAAGTGGCTCTGGTCGGACTAGCCTCTCGTACTCCAAGGGAACCGATCGCTCGGTCAGCTCTTGAAGCATTGGCTTCATCCTGTCCCAGCAATCGCGACTGAAAGGATGTTTCTTGCTCTCGGAAAACTGGACCATGGCGATGTTTGGTATGGCCAAAACTGCTTGATACAACTTGTTGATGCTGTCAACAGAATGGTCCGTGTCCAAATCTGACGTGTGCGCATGGTATAGGTTCGTTAGCTTCTCGATGGGAAGCAACGGGATGGGCATCGGCAACAGGCATACCAGCAAAGAAATAGAAATAGTCGGGTGGTTGAAATCGGGTGTAGGTAGAGTGAACTCGCACCGTGTACATCTTGGCGTTGACGATATGCTGGTCGATGATGCCTCTGTACGAACCAAGCATTGTGCCATGTTGGTGGTAGGCGTATGTACCAGGCAGTGCGTCCGCGTTCAATCTGAGATAGCTCTCTCTGTGGTCAAAGAATCTCTTGCAAACTAATGTCAGGAGCACTCTTTCTGCATTGCTCTCCAAGCATGACGTTATACGTCCAACTATGCTCAGTGGCAGTGACTCCATCTTTGATTGAAGCCGATGTACTAAAAGTATATGGGAGTAGATATGAGAACAAAGGTTTATTATTGTTCAGACCAAAACAGAGTTCAACTTTTATCGTCGATAAAAGTCCCCAGAGATGATATACAAGTTGGTCATCTTGCTACTCGATAATAGCAAGATGAATCATCGACCCTTCACCTCCCAGAGTCTAACTACATTGGCCTTTTGGTTGATGTTGTTGTTGTTGTTGTTGATGATAGTATTAGTTAATGCACTCAATCAAGTGAGCCTCTCTGTTGCTGGCAATAGTCTTACTCTCTCAGTTTCATCTTCAATGAGATCTGTGAGTCCATGACTGCAAGCAATTGGAGACATTGATGAAAGGTAGGCTTGGCTTGACTGAATCGATATCTGTGCAGGCATTTGAACTGATTTGCCACGTCTCGTCCAAACAGTACCCTCTGGCTTCATCTTTAGGGTAGCATCGCTTGAGCAAGACGTTCTCGATAGTCCTCATTGAGTTGGACAGGACATAGTCGACCTCGACCAAGGCGCCAGAGTGATTGCTCACATCCTGTCGATCGACAGCATGTGCACCGCTTTGGGAGTGTCTCTCTTTCTCATCATCGTCGACCTCATTGTCCTGGATATCTTCCTCATCACTGCTGGTCATTGAGATATTGTCATCCTCGTCGTCCTAGTTATAACATAATCGTCGTCATCGTCGTCGTCATCTTCGTGCTCGTCAACATAATCGTCGTCATCGTCGTCCTCATCTTCGTGATCCTCGTCCAGAATCCTGATGGTCAACATTGTCTAATGCCCTTGACCTACTGTCCACCAGATACTTGATGAAGAGCTTGAATAACTTCATGGAGCCTGGAATCATGTGCATGAGTTCTGGTATGTACTGATCAAGCTCAAAGGCAACACCATAGATTGGACGATGTGCGAATCCTTGGCGCTGTACTGCCTTCTTCACTTCACTTGGCTCTCAGTCAAATACCATACTTTTTCTTTGACCATATATCCTTGATCTCTCTTGTAGAAGTCTATGCCAGTACCAACATATCCAACAGTCCTCCGAGTGCACATGCACYTRTAGCACTTCATGATGCTGTTGCCACTGAATATGTCATACATCCCGAGCAACTTTACACAACAACTGAGGTCGTTGGTTATGACGAAACGGATGTTGTATTTGTATTGCCTTCCGTCTCTGTCAGATCTGAACCAAACCTATGACATGAATGTGTAAGTGTCAGTATGATTGGTTGTACGCTGGATATCCAACAACTAACGGAACTTACAAGATATGGCTTTGGCAGAGTGCTGAGCAATGTAGTCACTGGTGCAAGGTCATGGATAAGGTCATCTCTTGTCTCCTCATTCAGTGATATGGACAGTATAGCCTCGCCAAACGGACGCTTTGCCTCGCAGCAGTCTTACCAGAGATGGCTGATAATGTTGTCGGATGAACTGTTCCAATGTGATCTTGCTGTACTCGCTGCCATCATAGAGTTGCACTTGATCATCTTTGAGATACTTGAACGCCACTGGCTTGATGTACGTATATGATCTTTGAATCGCTTGACTGTGATGCCCTTGACTGAGTGATTCGTTCGATCCGCTCTCTGGTGTAGTTGCCATTGACCTTGATCTCTGTGACACCTGTCTTTTTGAGTCTGCCGCCAATGTCTCTGGTTGATCTACTCATTCTATATACTAACTAGAGATAATTAGTTTATATCACTTTGAATCTATTTGTTGGCCATCAACTGCTTGTGAATGTAGCCTTGTCGATTGAGATTGGTGTAGCCTACTTCGAAGCCGCATTCGCATCTTACCTTTTGTTTGATGTATGCTTTGTGTCTCTCTCTGAACTCGGGGTTCTCGTCCCAATAGTACTCTTTGAATAATGACATGTTATATCTGTTATTTATTAACAAATTTGATTTAATTTATTTATGAGTTTCCAACACACAAAGAGGCTTCCTTGATGCTCATTCATTCATTAATCATTACAACATCAACAACAAATACTAGTCCTTATCTTCTCACCTTAACAATCTTTTCAAATGAACGATCCCATCACCAAAGCACAACTGTTCGATTTGTTTGTACAATCAAGAGTACCCAAAGATGCAGCCACAGAGATGTCAGACACTGTGTTTGATGTCGAAGGTGTTGATACTCCCCAAACCATCATAGACGTATTGAACTCTAATAACCGCGACAGAGTCTTCCCAAAGCTTGGCGCTGGTCATGAAGCAAAGCTCAGACGTCTCATCAACCCAGCCCAAGCTCATAAGTACAAACAACATCTTGGCAATGTCTTCATTCAATACTAACATACACACTCAAGCCGGTGCTGCAGGAGGAGGTGGTGGCCAATCGCGTAAGTACAAATGAGAGCGAGTGATTAGTTTGAGTTACTAACACAACCCAGCTTTCACTGACTCTTTCAATCGCCTTGAGAAGAAGCTTGAGGATGGCATAAATTCGATCCTCAACAAACGCAAGGCGAAATCAATCTCCTTTTCAGATGTCACCAAGCATCTATGGGATGATCTTGTCCAAAACTTGGCTCTAAACCTCCACAGATTCGATGAGGTACCCAACTCTGACAACCCTAAACAATTCTTGTGGACAGCAAAGATGGAGACCTATACAAAAACACAACTCAGTGCGATGGGAGTCGATGCTCTCAAAGATATGTTGAGTAGTCGCTCAAAATCAACAAGTGGTAACAAGAACGCTTTGGTTGATAGACTGTTCAAGCTTAACATCACACATCAAGTTTACCACGAGAACGAGCATTTGGTTCGTGTCATTGAATGGCTGAAGAGAGAGTACCCACTTCCTAAGGAGAAACATTTGCAATACCGTAATGCCTCCACCAATAACCAGCTTTACCATGAATCATTCCACGATTCAACACTCTCTGGAACAACCGATATAGTCATTGTCCCATCACACGCACCAACCACTGGATTCTTGGCCTATGAAGTCCTCTGCTTCGTCGAATTGAAGACTCCTGATGTCTCTATTCAAGATCATTTGCCTCAAGCTCTCGTAGAGTGTCTCGTCATCACTTTCAAATCTAATCAGAGTGTACTTGGCCTCTTGACAAATGGAACCAATGTTTGGATACTTGTTTGGTCCAGTCGTCGTCCCCCATTCTTTGTTGGCTATTGCATACTGAACAACGAACGAAACGCTCATAGGGCCATTTCACTCAGGCTCTCATCTCCAGACAATGTCAACATCGCCCAATTGCTTATTGACAACAACGTTATCGCAAGACCCTCTCGACTATCTTTGCCAAGCAAATTCGATTTTCGCGAAGATCCAGACCACGAACGAGATGGACAGGATGATGACCAGCATGAACCCAAACAAACCAAGAGACTCAGAAAGACTACCAGCACAGGTTCTGGACATTCTGACATTGCTGACTTGAGTGGACTTCCAATCACCAAGGCTGAGCTGGAATATTTGGCTTGGCAGAAGCTGACCAGAGTCATTGAACAAATAAGAGTTGTGCAATAAACACACCAACCACCAACAATCAGATTGTGTACATGATCAGTGTACTCCTTGTGTATCGTTTGTGTACTGGTGGGGTATCACGTACTTCATTTTTTTCAAATTCAAATCATCACTATCTGTTATACTCTTTGTCTCAACTGATCACTCTATCGTGCGTGCAAACTCTTATTTCTACTCACAACTGATTGTAGTATTATTGTAGAATTACAAAAATCACCTTCTAAAATTATTTATTTTTTCCAACTTTAAAACTCTATTCTACCTACAATTCTACAATCATTTACCCTATCCTTTTTACCTACTGCATTTCCATTGCTTCATTGTGCAGAATACATTCTCAATGATGATCCTTATCCTCTTGATAGCTCTGTCGTCTTTCCTCTCCTGTGCACGCAGTTTGGCGCTAAATGGATGTTTGACGATTTTCTTTTCAACCGGAGTCAACACATAGAATGCGGGCGGCTAGAGTCACCCTCCGACAGGACCATAGAATCACCTATCCGGCACTCATCTGCTCCAGCTTGCATCTTCTACGACCACTGTACGGTGAGCCTCGCGACGTTCTTCCTACTGGCCTTGTTTTGTTGCTTTGCTGTCCGTGACAATCGTCATCCTGATGTGAATCTTCAACTCCATCACGTCTCCCTTGATGAGGCAGCTGTCACACATCTTGACAAAAGTCCTCCCGAGTTGGGTTGGACGAGCAAGATCCAAGACTTAGACCTGAGCCTCCATCTTGACACAAGTGCATGGGCAGCTGAACGAGTGATCCCCACCACACATCCACGTAAGTCTATCTCCACCGACTGGTCTAATACGGTCCTGACGACAGGTTGCAGGAGATTGGTCTGTCGAGTATACGATACTCGACTGCGGAGCCGACATTGTTTGCCATCGACAAATACAGCTCGTATCGTCGGCCATCTCAACGTTAGTCACCAGGCTCTACAACGCATTACATCTTACATTATATATCGACGGTTTTGTATGAACCTTCGACAATAGGGCACTTGCCCACCCGTTCGGCCGACTGATTCCTCCTTCAAGACAACCTCGACATCGGGATCTTTTGAACCGTGGGTTGCACGGTGTTGTCTCAATGATTGGATCATTGAGGTTATTTGTACTGTTTATGATGCCGAGTATGAATGAAGGTTGATTGAATAGATATTGTGCCAATAACAATGGAAAAAACAAACTATTTTTCTAAATAACCAGAATATCTGTTTTCACTAAATCATTCTATCAATCATCAAACAGTTAAAGTCTATACATATAATATAATGTCATTTAGATTCCTTGGTTCAGGCAACAGCAGTCCAGATCAACAACTACTCAATGAAGTAGGATATCTTTCGAATTTGGATGACCAACAGCTTAGCGAGTTGATCGATATCATCTTCACGTTCTTGCTCTACCAAAAGGCAGAGGGGCTCATGAATTCTGTGTCTTCCTTCTCACAACAGCACTCAATCAGCGAGAATGCCCTAAAGAACATCATCAGAGGCTCAATAATTATACCAATCACTCACAGATCACTCCCAATACAATGTTCGACTGACCCTCACTACATCGGTATATCGACATAGCCGCCAAACATTAGAACACCACCTATGACTAGCTCGCTTTGCTAGATGTTGAGTGTTGGTGTCCACTAAGTTATGCGCATACGTATATTGATGATGTTAGACAAGAGTCAATCACACATTAGACAAACAAATGACTGTTATGTTTACTTCTTGAAAGGAGCAGTCAAGTACCATCTCACACCTAACCACGTCAAAGAGGATCTTATCAACTTTAGATTGTCAGAGGAACAAGCAGAATCAATCGCTCTCAAATACAAAACAAACTTCATAGATCTATCTCGATCCTTTGTTGGAAACACGTTCAACATCAACCAAGTGTTGGACATGCAATGGCGCTTTGGAGTGACAACCGCAAGCAGTGAATCAAAGAAGGGTGGCAATACATTCTTGCAACTAAAGCTTGTGTTGGACAAAGGAGGTGATACCAAAGAAGATGTTCACATGGGTATGTGTATTAATATTATGCTTCCCCAGTAATCATATTGTCCACTAACAAGTTGTAACAACACACTCTTAGAACTGACTCTACCACAATTCTATCAATTCCTTAGAGAGATGGAGAAGGCCAAAGCAAGTCTTGAATACCTCAACTAATCACTTGCTCGTGGCAATACCGATCATTATTAAATGTATTCATATTCTATTGCAATGTTGTTGTTATTATTGTTGATGGTACTTGTTGGTTGACCAGACCATCTGTTGTTGGTTCAACCAAAGAACCTTATCTTTATGGCTGACATCTCTCAGTGTAACGTGGGTAGAGACAGACGTTACGAATATGCTCCTCGCCCAAGAACCAGGTCAAGAAACGCTCAACACCGAGACCGTATCCTCCGTGTGGAGTGGTTCCGTACTTGCGTTGGTCGGTGAACCAGTAATACTGGGATGGGTCCAAACCTTCACGTTTGTAGGCATCCATAAGCTCCTGGTAGTCGGCAATACGCATGCTGCCTCCCACAATCTCGCCAACACCTGGCATCAACAGGTCGACGGACTCAGTCAATGTTCTGTCCTCTGGGCAACGGGCCATATAGAAAGCCTTCATCTCGGCAGGGAATCTGCAGAAAAGGATTGGAACACCGATCTGGTCGTTCATCTTACGCTCTGCAGCCTCTGGGATATCATCACCAAACTCAAAGTTGGTTTTGGTGGCCTCATCCTTGTAGATGTTGTGCTCACGGCAGTACTTGATACCCTCGACATAGTCCATACGCTTGAATGGACGCTGTGGAACCTTGGCGTTGGCGTTGACCGAGAGCAACAGCTCGCTGTCGATCTTGAAGATTCTCTCGGCGACATCACACACCAGGAACTCGATGCGGTTCAACAGGTCGTCGTAGGTGATGAATGGACACTCTGCTTCCAAATGTGTAAACTCTGACAAATGACGACGAGTCTTGCTCTTCTCTGCACGGTAGGATTGAGCCATACAGTAGGAGTCTCCAACAACTGGGATCACTGTCTCCAAATATAATTGGGACGACTGTGTCAAGTATGCCTAATAAAAAGATATAAGTTGTTAGGGATACTATCTATATCAACAACAACTACTACATACTGGTTGGCCATAGTAATCAAGAGTGAACAACTCTGAACCACCCTCACAGAAGGTGTTGACAAGGGTTGGTGGAGAGATCTCATAGTATCCATTGTCAAAGTAATGATCACGGAATGCCTTCATTGCAATCGATCTCAACTTCATAATTGAACTGGCTCTCGTTCCTCTGAGAACGATATGACGTTGGTCCAACATTTGATCTACGTTGGATTCCTATATTATTATAGAGAGTGGTGGTCAGTAGTGATTGGAGGATATAGTTTCGTCACACAACTTGCATATTTAACCTACAGTGTTAATGATACCCTCCAAATCGACATTGGATGGTCCAATCAATTGCCAATAGTCCACCTGAAGCTCCACTCCATTTGGACAATGCTTGTCAGGGGGTGGGACGGTGAGCTTGCCATACAGTGCAACAGTTGCCTCTCTCTTGAGATCATCGACGATGGATGGATGGATCAAGTTCTCTGCGAGAACACACTGAAGGAATCCAGTTCCATCACGAAGCTCCATGAAAGCAATCTTCTTTTGGGCACGGATGTGGTGGATCCATCCCTTGATGCAGACACGACTACCAGCGATGGCTGGGGAGCAGCCCCTGATCTTGAGCACCTTGGCAGGTGGCAAAGCCTTGTCCTCTGTCAAGGTGATTTTGGCCATCGACTCCTCGACCTTTGCTGTTGACACTGGTTTCTCCTTCTTCTCCTTTGGTGCCTCTTGAGGCTTTGGTCCAAGTAGTGCCAACATCTTTTTGTCCAACTGGTCCTTGACCGACTTGAGATCAGCCCACTTCAATGTATCCTTCAGAGGGTTTAAGAGATCACCAATTGGCACTCCCCACCTAAATAAATAAACAGTAGTAGCAAAGTGGTTATGTTGTTAGTGTATGTATCCAATGCATTGCCAAGACAATGTCTTACTTCTTCTCTGTCAACTCAGTTTGCTTCTGCTGGAACAAAGTGTCGATGGCTTGGTTGATTTGATCAATAGTGACGGTAACACCAACACCGCAGTCAACCTCCAACTTTGAAGCGTTGAAAGGTGTGGCACCAGCCTCCTTGAGGTGGGCGATCATCGCTTGGAACTGTGGCTGCGACTTGATGCGACCATCTCCAATGTACCTGGCAACATCAGCACAAAGTGGTGACTGAGCCTGAGCACTGGTGGCAAGATTGTAAAGGAGGTTTCCAACAGTCTTGTCTGCTCCACCCTGAACACCAGCGGCAGTGATCAAGGACTTGAGTAGATCAGTGAGTTCCTTGTTCTTGATAGTATCCTTTGAACGTTTGTCGTCTAGTCCAATGGACTGGAAAAGTTTAATATCTGCTTCTGACATCTTATCTATCTCTTCTACAAATATAAATTATAATAGTTTGAACTGAAGGAACACCTAAGGAGTGTTTAATACTGTTTGATTGAGATAAGGTGAAGAAAAAAAACTTGAACTTGGTGGTATTGTTCTGTCCAATGGTTGTGTGTATGGAAGTTCTAGATGCAAAATCATATTTAATTTGAAAAAATTAAAAGTTCATCTTCAAGGGTCAAAGGAGATATCCTGTATCCTTTATCTCTTTGATGTGTTGAAGATATACTACAAGACTTTCTCTCTTTATACATATAACATATCATGGCATCAACAGCATCAAGAAGTGATTTTGACGAGAAGGAAAAGGAGAAGGATGTCAGGACCTCAAATATCGTTGCTGCAAGAGGTATGTCAATAACACGAATCAACAAATATGTGTAGCTATAGTAGTTCTGATATCTAACCAACCCAATCACCTACGTAGCCGTTGCAGATGCGATCAGAACTTCTCTTGGACCAAAGGGAATGGACAAAATGGTATGAGTACTCAGCTTACTGTGGACACTCTGTGATGGACACACGTCTAATTCTCAACTCCAAACAATACAGATCAGTTCACCAAATGGAGAGGTGATCATCAGTAATGATGGTGCCACCATCTTGAAGCACTTGGAGGTTAGACACCCTGCTGGTAAAATGGTAATGTCGTCACATCTATTGAACGATTACATCAAGTTCTAACAACTATATCACACCCAACCACCTCAACAACAACAACAACAGTTGGCAGAACTAGCAAAGGCTCAGGACATTGAGGCCGGTGATGGAACCACTTCAGTGTGTGTCATTGCAGGAGCATTGTTGTCTGCCGTTTCACAGTTAATGGCCAAGGGCATTCATCCATCGATCATCTCAGAGTCATTCAACTTGGCCTTGAACAAATCATTGGAAGTTCTCACCAACATGTCAACACCAGTCAGTCTGAGCGACAAGGCCAGTTTGGTCAAGAGTGCTATCACATCACTTAACTCAAAGGTGGTGTCACAGTACACCAACCTTGCGACGATCGCCGTCGATGCAGTGCTTGCCGTAATCAACCCAAGCACTGCCACCAATGTCAACCTCAAGGATATCAAGATCATCAAGAAGCTTGGTGGCACTATCGATGAGACTGAACTCATCCATGGCCTGGTGTTTGATCAGCACACAGCCCATGGCGCAGGTGGACCCACTCGTATTCAGAACGCCAAGGTTGGTCTCATTCAATTCTGTCTCTCTGCACCAAAGACCTACATGGACAACAACATCGTCGTCTCTGACTACACCAAGATGGACAAGGTGCTCAAGGAGGAGCCAAAGCTCATTCTTGAAATGTGCCGCAAGATTCAAAAGTCAGGTTGCAATGTTCTGCTCGTCCAAAAGTCCATCCTGAGAGACGCCCTCAACGAGTACTCTCTTCATTACTTGGCCAAGTTGAAGATTCTTGTCGTCAAGGATATTGAACGTGATGATATAGAGTTCATTTGCAACGTATGTTGGAACGTGGAGTTGTTTACAGTTGGACAGGGGGAGTTTGCTCACTTACTAATATCATCTTTCTTTTAGACTATTGGATGTACACCAATTGCCAACATAGAGTCATTTACACCAGACAAGCTCGGAAAGGCCGACTTGGTCGAGGAGGTTGGCACTACTGATGGTAAAATTGTAAAGATTACAGGTATCCCAAATCCAGGCAAGACTGTGACCATCTTGGCCAGAGGTTCAAACAAGCTGGTATTGGACGAGGCCGAGCGTTCAATCCATGACGCACTTTGTGTCATCCGCTCGTTGGTCAAGAAGAAGTTCCTCATTGCAGGAGGTGGTGCACCAGAGATTGAAGTGTCACAGCAAGTCACTGAATACGCCAAATCCCTCATGGGCAACACTAGCTACTGTGTTCGCGCCTACGCAGAGGCCCTGGAGATCATCCCATACACTCTGGCCGAGAATGCTGGACTCCACCCAATCAGCATTGTCACTGAGCTCCGAAACAAGCACGCACAAGGAGAGAAGAACGCAGGTATCAATGTCCGCAAAGGTGCCATTACCAACATTCTCCAGGAGAACGTTGTCCAGCCCCTGTTGGTTTCAACAAGTGCCCTCACACTTGCAACTGAGACTGTCATCATGTTGCTCAAGATCGATGACATTGTCACTGCCCGTTAACCAACTTGGATGCCTGCCGACAACTCTATAATGTCATAGTATAATATATAAATGTTCTCCACTGACTAAATATTTAGTGTTGACTATGTAGACACTGATACCTCTACCTACTACCAGTTCGATCTTATAAGATATATCATTTATTGTTATACAACGACTATTACTCCCATTCTGATGATTCGGAATCCGACTCGTCATCAGAGTACTCTTGCTTCTTTCCAGCTGGTGCCTTCTTCTTTTCAGAGGCGATACTCTGTCTTCTTCTTGACAGAGCAAGGAAGAGGTCAGACATAACATCTCCTCCTCCACTCTTCTTGGGTGGTGGTGCATCGTCCTCATCGTCAGAGTTGTCTCCCTTGGTCACAACCTTCTTCAAACGGTTCTTGTGACCATTACGAATGTCAGCCAAGAGGTTGCCAATGGCTGAGCCGTCCGATCCCTTCTGGTCATGATCACTGTCGTCCATTTCAGGTGCTGACGTTGGAGGGGGAGGAGGACGTGAGCTAGGAGGAGGAGGAGGTGGTGGGGGTGGAGGAGCAGATGAGGGAGGTGGAGGTGGAGGAGGAGGTGGAGGAGGAGCACCCGATGGAGGTGGAGGAGGAGGAGCACCAGAATTGCTTGGTGGTTGTACAGAGGTTGCAGGGCCTGCCATTGCTTCACCTCCGGCAGCGCTATCGAATATTGGCAGACTGGCGCTGACCTGGTTTGAGGGTGCGATACCAATTTGTTGCTCGGCTGCCCAACCGATATTCTCTGCAACGTTGGGCAATGGTAGATCCAATGGGAAGGAATTGTTTGGTAACTCGACAGGGTTGATCGTTGGATGATAGCCATCTCCTGGACCATTGGCTTGAACCTGAGTGTGATGGGATGGGGAGAGTTAGATACATATAATTACAATGACACGCATATATGTTGCGGAGATCATTACCAGAGTGTCACCCTTCTCAACGGTGACTGGAGCAGCACCAATCTTCTTCTTCTTATCGCCAAGAACTTGAGGCTTATCACTTTCGGTGCCAGAGAGATTGTCCAGCGTATTGGAGTATCTCTTGTATGGATTCTCTTGAGTGTTGAACAACAACAAGTTGGAGACACTTGGGATGTGATGTGGCAGTAAACCCAAACCCTCCTTTATAGAGATCTCCTTTGATGCTGCATCAATGCTCTTCTCGATAAATACCAAATCGTTGACCTCTAGATATGTATCTTGTGGTTTCTATTTGAAAGAAGAAGAAGAAGAAGAAGAAGAAGAAGAAGAAGAAGAAGAAGAAGAAGAAGAATAATATCATTAGTGTTGTGTAGAACTACACATATCTGCTAATAAGTACATACTGCAGTGACATCATGGAGATGGTAGTGCGATGGTTTGAATGGAGCACGGGCTTTATCAGAGTATAGTGGACTGTAATCTATCCATTCTTTGTTGGCAGGATACTTTGCGCTGCTGAACACAGTGATGGCATTCCTGCTTCCAACTATCTGGTTGACTTTGAACTTGATATGGATTATTATTAACAACATTAATATATGTGGATCTCATCCTAGATCAACTTGACATACTTGTGCATTATTAAGTCTATTGGTAACACTGTCTATTCTTGACTTTTCTTTCGATACACGAGAACTGATCGATGTATAGACTTCGTTAAAGACTTTATCCAACTTGTCAAGAGCATCAACGATTTGTAGTATTGACTCTGGCTCTCTGAGACCATTGGACACAACTGGTACCTGATAGATCTGTGCAGAAGACATTATATCTTATTATCTATCTCTATCTTTGTGTATGTTTTGGAGTATTAGTGAAACAAAAATGAGAGAGATAAAGTTTTTTTGGTTGGCTTTTCTCTTGAAGTTTCTAGTTGAGTAAAAATCTTTATTGTTTTTTTGACTAAACAGGGTTGTTTGCAGAGGTGTACAAAGCATAGAGTTCTGGATGATTGCGACCAAGTGTTTCAGGGTCAATCATATAACAAACAAACATCGATACCACTCCAGAATAGATAACCTCCAAGTTGATGCGTATATAACAAAAGGTGAGGATGAATGCTGTTAGACCTCCATAGGAAAGATGTAGTCCATTGACCGCTACAAAGTGTCCAATGATGCCTCCAATCATTCCACCAACTAAACAGGTAACAAAGATAACTGTTCTCACGTAGATCTGGTTGGTCACGAGCTCAGATTGTCTTCGTTTGAACAACTCGACAGTGTCTTTAGCAGCCTGGCAGTATGACTTTCCATAGATGGCCACCTGTGTAAATGTGTACGTGTTGAAAAGTTGTAGAACGTTGCGCAATAGATACAATAAGCCATGGAGGATGCAGCCAAGGAGTCGGACAATGAGGTTCATCGATCCACTCATTTGGATCGACAAAACGTTGAGTGTGTCCACGATTGATATCAGCAGAGAGCCGTAGCAGATGGATCCAAATGACGTGGTCATGGCTCTATTTAGAGATCTAAGAGTTGGATACTCTGGCATGCTGGCACCACTTTCATCCATAAAGTACCAAGATGCAAACAGACCACTCACTGTTGTGTGAACTACGTTCTTGATAACGTTGTACATCCAGTAGGCGGCAAACACAAGGTAGATGAAAAAGAATCCAAACAAGATGCCATCAAATGATCTGGAGATCAGTTCCATCACTGTGATCAATATGACAAACCACACGATGGTGATAAACCATGCTACGATGGACACTCGGATTACTGCTCTATACTCTTTAGTAGATATGAATCAAGTTAGTAAGCTGTTGGAGAATATTGTTGGAGGAGTGTAGACGTCTAGTATTACATACTCAAGGCAAGTTTGGTAGAGGATGACAAGAGTGCTGATGTAAAGTCCATCCTATTCCTCCTTGTTATATAGACCACAATCAATACGATGGACCACATCAAGGATAACACTCCGCAAATAAACGATTGCAGTAGGAGCAGTATAGTTATTGGAATACTAAGCACAATGCCAAGGATAAAGGTCCATTTGACCAGAGGCTTGGAGCGGTTGATGGCACAACAAAACCAGATTCCAGCAAAGAGGGCAGCCACCATAGAAGCAACAAAGTTCATCCAGAGCAACTGATAAATGAAGTAGGACGAGTCAGAACTACTGCTATCATCACCATATGTAGGGCTGGGATCAGGAGCAGGGTCGGATATAATGAAGGTTATTCCAAACAATACACCAACTCCAAGAATATAGGTGACAAAGAGAACGATAAAGAGTATATCTTGGTATTTTGGAGCAGTTGGTTTGCGATTGGTATTCTCTTGGCGATTTCCTTCATCAAGTTCAACAGGTTGGAGGACCGATTGCACGTTGGACTGATCATGAGATTCTTTTAACAATGGTTGTGATTGAGGTTCCGGTGTTGGTGTATATTCAGTATCAATTGAGTTGACTGTCATATATTGTGGAATTAAGTATTGTTGTGATTGATTATTATTGTTATTATTATTATTTGGGTCATCTTGTGCCATTCTTTAGGTAGTTGTCAAAGATGAGAGTTTGGTTTGAATTGAGATAGATTTAATTGTTTCGTACAATACATATATATATGTATTTCGATTCAATCATAAATATATATTCAATATTTAATTAATTCATATATAAATGGTTTGGATAAATTACAACAACCACAACTAATATACACACCCCAACACAAAATTATTTTGAGATCGATCATCACCATCATAACAACTGCTGATGATCCCCCAATTAAATTATAATTGTTAACTACAATATATACCAACTTATTATTATCCATATGTAAATTCTCTGATATTTATTTAAATTGTGATAATACCAAACTCTCTTTTCCATTAATAAAATCTATATATTTGTTTGAACCATGGTGAGATAGAAGCATTAACTATGAATGTTTTTTTTTATTGTTTGATGCCAAAGTTCATTTTTGTACAGTGTATACAATTAGATAGTCAGAAGAAATGAATATTAATGACAAGGTCAACACGATAGTATCATACCTAGCTCACATTCGAATATATCACGACACCAATAGGGTCAGAGTGGATGTCACTGATGTATTTAGGTTCTTCCCCAACCTCGTACCCAGCTATGGAAGTATGTACTTTGATGGCTATCAACTTGATTAGGTGGTTCGAGCAACTACTAACCTTTCATCTTACAACTACTCTTTGACGACAAACAACAACACCTATAGATAGAGGCGTAGGTAACACATTGATATTCCTTAAAGGTACCATTCCAATCATCTATCGACAGATCACCTACTATATACCAATCGTGGTTTGGATACCAGAGAACTTTCCACTGGCCCCACCAGTTATCGTGTTGGACCCTACACCTGACATGGATATAGTCAGGGGTCATCCACAGGTTGGCGATGGTGGTATTTGTCTTCATCAGTATCTCACACAATGGGTCTGGTCATGCAACATTGCACAGAGTATCAAGATACTATGCGACACATTTAGTGCCTATCCACCTCTGATCACTAAACATGCTCAGCAGCCACAACAACAGCAACAACAACAATCTCCACCTTTCTCTAAAACTGGTCAACCTCAAGCGAACCAAAGCTCACCCTCACCTGTGACTACCAGGAGGAACGAAACAGAGGAGGCACTCCAAAAATGCACGGAGAAGCTTCAGGTACTTCTCTCCTCGTTCTACCACACCACATCCAAAGAGATTGAGAACTACATTGCACACAATGGCAGCCTGGAGGAAAGGACAGCAAGGATATCTCAAGAGGTTGAGGCCCTCAACAAGGAACTCTCAAACTGTGAGGTGATGATTATCAATGTCACCGAGAGGAATGATCAATATGATAGGTGGCTTCTGGAGAACAAGAGAGACGACAAGGACGTCGACATTGACAGTCTGTCCGAGCCAAGAGAGCCCATAACACGACAGTTACTTCAATTGGTGTCAGAGGACCAGACAATAGAGGACACACTGTACTATCTCGACAAGGCCCTTCAGAAGCAGAGGATATCCTTGGAGGAGTACCTAAAGAGTGTACGTTCCTTAAGCCGAGAGCAGTTCATGATCAGAGCAACAATCAAAAAGGCACAACAGCAGCTCCAGTTCAACATGTTTTATACTGCCACTGTACAATAAACCAATCTCTATCTAATCAATTGAAGGTCAGGATGTCTTTGGATGAAGGTGTGCTTGGTGGGATAGCCTTGGTAGACCTTCTTCTTGAGGGAGCCTTCCCACTTGTTGCTTTGGTCTATCTTTTAGTGTTAGTAAGTTGTACTTGTTGTTGTTGTTGTTGTTGTTGTTGTCAACTTACTGATGTAGGGGTGGTAGCGATGACAGTTACATCTTCTGTCCTGAGGTCAGAGGCCTTCTGGTCCCCCTGATGGCGGTCATTGACATTGTACGAGTAGACTGGAGGAAGTGGACTGATGGGATTGTTGTTGTGGATATATGGAACAATCTCCAGTTGGCTCAGACTTGGATTGTCATCACAATTAACAGGAGCCTGAACATTCTTGGGGTAAGCGGTTGTGGATGCCACTGGGAAGACCTCCTTCACCTTCTGGTCATCCAGAAATTTGTAGTGCTCAATCAATCTCTCTTTGTCCATCTTTAGTAGGTTGTTCCTCTCCTCCAATATGTTCAGCTGAATGTTCTTCTCCTGTTATCACCCTTTTTGTATCAGTATATGCTATTCCTAATGACCATGATCACTTACCGTTAGCTTCTTTGATTGGAGATCCCTATCCTTGTATGACTTGTCAAGGTCTGTTTCCAAATCAGAGAGTCTCTTCACATATGATTGGATAGCCTGGTCTTTCTCTGTGTTCTTGGAGAGAAGCAGTGATTGATCATCCTCCAGTTGATTCTTTGCTGAAATGAGCCTCCTGTTCTCTTCAAATTGGGTCTCCATCTCCTTCTCCAGATATAGAATCCTGACACTACTTGATTCCATCTTGTTGGTAAGGTATTCGTTCCTTTCTTTGGCCGTCTTGAGCTCCTTCTCAAGATTGATGTGCTCATCTTTATAGGCCAATAAACTTGTACACTCCTTCTCCACCGACTCTAGATGAACTCTTTGGGATTCGTTAGTTGCCTGCAACCTGTGTAGTGTAAAAGTCAGTTAAATATAGTAATTATTTAGATGTACCAATATTAATCTTACTCTTCAATCTCTATGACCATTCTATCCTTCTCATCATTCAACGTCATGTTCTTTGCTTTCAACTCTTGTGTTTGTTCTTGTTGCTTCTGTATGTCCTTCTCATACTGAGAGGTGAGACCTGAGAGTTGATGCTTGAGAGATGAAGTATCAACATCCTTCTGGGTGATGGTCTCCTGGAGCAGTGACACCTGATCCACAAGCTCTTGTAGCCTCGAGTTTGTGGCCTCTAAGTACCTGGATTGTTTGTCCAACTCATCCCTCTTTAGTTGGAGCTCCTTCTCAATAGTGGATTTCTTATTGAGTAGTGTCTTTTGGTCCGACTCCATCGAGCTCAGGTCAATCTTGTTCTTCACTAGGTAATCGTAAGAATGTTAGACAATCCGACCACATCAACCATCTTAAGCCAGAATTTTACTACTTACAGATCTTGTCTTGGCAATCCTTGATCTCTCTTTCATACTCCATCCTCAGACAATCCAGGTCCTTTTGCATTGATATCTCGGTCTGTGATTCTGTTGACATGTTAGTGACTTAGAGACCACCGTTTCTTGCCAAGCATACATACTCTCTTTGATAGTCTCTTCATGAAGAATGATCTGACCGGACATCTTCTCAATGGTGCAAGCGGCGTTCTGAATATATTCATTGGTCTCCTGGCTCCTCCTTTCAACCTTGTCAGCCAGTTGGTCAATTGAGCTTCTCTTGTCCTCATATTGCTCCAGACTTTCTTGTATGGCCTTGTTGAGAAGTTTTGTTGACTTGAGCTCCACCTCAACCTTGTTCATCTGGGTCTCAAGGTCATTGAACTTTAGTCTGAGTAGGTGGTTCTCGTTCTGGATTGCTTTGATAGAGTCTTCCTTGTTCCTCAACTCATCACCAAGAGAAACAATCTTCTCATTGAGCATCAACTTGATAGCTTCATTGTTGTGGTAGTTATATTCAAACTCATCTGAAGTCAGCAGAGAAATAAGGTTAGTTGATTTTCAAAATGGTACATTGGGTACAAATATCTTACCAATTGACTCCAATAGTTTCTTCAAAAGCTTCATTGGATACTCTAGATCAATATCAGACTGATCGTCCACCATACACTGTTGTTGGTCATCAAAGGATTGGGTGGAGATGTTGTTGGCGGCCTGGGTATCTTGGCCAACAATTTGTATGTTTGTTGAGTTCCTTGGCAATGGTCTTGCGTCTTGTATGGTAGTCTTTCCAGATGTGGCAGCTGGTGTTACTGGTAGCTTGTTGAATGGAAGAGGGGATGATGGAACAGACTTGGAGTTGGCAGATCCTCTGGCAGCAGACATTGGTGACTCAAAAAGGTGGCTGTTGGACGATGCAAACACAGTTGGAGACTTCATCCTTGATATGTCCTTGGTCGATGTCTTTTCTGAGGATGAGTTCATATTATAGATTGATGAATGGTTGTTATTGGTTTGGTGTTTGTTGTCCCCATTGTTGTTGCTGTTGTATGAGGGCAATGGGATATTCTTTGTGACCAAAGGTGTAAAGAGGAAAGATGATTGTTGTTGTTTTTGATGATGAGATTGAAATGATGGACGCTGAGTTGAAGATGACGAAGATGAAAGTGGTGGCACGGATGATTGATGTTGGTCAATCAACATTGTGGCAAAGGAGAGGTTTGGAATGTCATTGTTGTCACCACCGACAATGGGTTGTTTGTTCATAGACAATGATGACATATCATTGTTGTAATAGAACTGCGCAGCTTGGGACTCCATTTTGGTTGAGGATGAACGTTGTAGCTGATGACTAGTCTATCTAAATAACAATGCAATCTCCACAACTACTGAGAGTGAACAGACATTGTTGGTGTAAATGGTTGTGTCTCTAACATGATTCTTTCCTCCTCATTTCCAAGCATTGATCTGTATCTACAAAAAAGGAAATGATTATTGTAGTTATTGTTGATAAAGTGTTTAGATCTGGATTCAATACAGTAGTTGGACACTTTTAACCCGATTTTATTTAAATTAATTAAAAAAAAAGTTTGTCCTGGGGGTCATAGAGAGTGCAAGTGGGAAACGAATCACGCATCCTTTTTGTCTTTAGAACAGATAAACACAACTCAACACACATAATACAACAACAACTACAACATGAGCTCTCGAAGTATCAACTCGACAACACAGTTTGATTACTCTCAATACAGCAGTATAGGAGGCACCAATCCATCAGTAGCTGGTGCTGCTTCTTCACAACACCACATCGACACTAGCCTATTGTTGGCTACGGAACAGACAAACGATGGCAACGATGCGAATGGAGGTGGACCACCAAAGACACAAAAGTATAAAGAGAGAAGAAGTAATCAGAACGTTGCCAGCAGGAACTACAGGCAACGAAAGAAACTTCATATCAAAGAGATGGAGGACAGGGTAAGATCATCTACACGATTATTCATTTATATAATAGTAGTTAGTTTGTTGGATTCTAATAATAACATGTTATCAACAATAGCTTCATCAATTAATGGTAGAGAACGAAACATTAAAGAGTGATATGAGCAAGTTTGGAAGCAATCCAACCGAACTCATGCGAATACCTCCTGATATGGGCACTCAAATGGCACAGGTTAGAAAGACCATCATCAGTATCGATCAGGCGATAAGGAATGGAGAACCTGATGCTGTGCTCAGCTCCCTCCTGAAGGACTTTTATGTACATAAACAGAACTCAATCACCTACCGCGAGAAGGAAATTGAAAAGGTATGCATAATAGTAGACGATTGTTAACCACTGAACCTTGTTGTCCACTAACCAAGTACTTGTTATTGTTTTCCAGTTTGTTCATCCATTCTCACATATTAAGCTCACAATGCTCGGTTTCAAACCATTGACCAACCCTTGGTCCGACTTTGTGATCAACTCCAACCATTCAGACTGGTGGAAACATTACTCAATCAAGGCCAACATTTCAAAGGAACAAAACCAGAACCTATCAAACATCTGGCATCGATACTGCGAGGAAGAGGTCAAGCTTCAGAAGGATCTGACTGAGGTGGATGAGAAGATCCAGCAGTTCTACCTCTCCAAGGTGTTTGTCATGCCAAACATTGAGGATCTGTTGACCAAGGCGCAGTCAACCTCTGCACCCCTGAACGACCTCACAGACTCTGACAGGGTAGACACGAGCGAGATACTTGAGTTCACATTCAACCTGGAGCGTCTTAAGCAGGTGTTCATCAGAGGATGTCGCATGCTTATGGAGACCTCCAAACAGATGAGCAAATATCTCAACGTACGTCAAGAGGCAATGTTGGTGGTACTACTCGACGCCAACTCTAAATATGTCCTCTCCAACTTGGAAATGGCCAACAACCTTTGGGAGCAGTTGAGCCAAACCAAACAAGGTTCCTCTTCATCAACATCAGTTCCATCATATAATAACATCAATAACCAGCAGCAACAACAGCAGCACCGCCAATCTATGCATCAACAACACAACAACAGTGGTAGTGTATTAGTACAACCAAACAATGTAGCACAGCCACCTCCGACCAGTGTATATAATGCACCCTCTACAACATCAATCTACAGCAACGATATATCAGCCGATTTCATTTCTCCCTATCAACAACAAACCAGCCATCCAAACAATAGCCAACCATACAGCTTTACCACTGCTACTCCATACAATCAACCTCACCAACAACATCATCAACTACATCATCAACAACAACAACATCAACAAGTTGACATTGAGCACATTCTACCAACACTTAACAACACTGGTGGCTACTATCAAGGGACACACACCTATCAAGGTTATCCACCAAATTGACAACATTCACTTCATACGGACATACTACTACTTTCACACATTGTTTAGATCAAACAGAATAAACATACGAGGTAAACTGCTGCCTTTGCTCATTTTATAAGGATCATGATTGTAGCCACTATTAACAAGATGACTGCTTGGTGTCACCTTAGTTGAGGTTGACGGCTGGCAAGATTGTGCCGACACTCTCACCGAATCCAACGTTGTATCCGTTGCCTCTGCAAACACCACTCATAATAACGGTGTCACCGTCGAGAAGGAATCTCCTCTCCTCGCTTCCAAGTGATACTGTCTTGGTACCCTTCCAGCAGAGCTCCAACATTGAACCATAGCTGTCTGGTGTCTATAATATATATAATATGTATGTTAGTAATTGCACCTTATGATTGATCCAATTGGATACTTACTGGTCCACTGATCGTTCCAGTTCCCAACATGTCACCAGCTCTGAGGTTGCATCCACTGATGGTGTGGTGAGCCAATTGTTGAGTGAGGGACCAGTACATGTACTTCAAGTTGGAGGTGCTAACAATTGCTGGCTTCTCCATCTTTGGTGACTTGATTGCAACAGTCAGCTCAATGTCATAGGTGGTCTTGCCAGACTCTTGCAAGTATCCCAATGGAGTTGGATCCTGTAAAAATAAAGGATATTGAGTTGTTAGGCTAGATATATAATGATTGAAACAACTAGGTACTGTACATACTTGAGTTGGAGGAAGGACAGCAAATGGCTCAAGGGCATCAAGAGTTACGATCCATGGAGAGATAGTAGAACCAAAGTTCTTTGCCAAGAATGGTCCAAGTGGGACGTACTCCCACTTTTGGATGTCACGAGCCGACCAGTCATTGAGAAGGACGAGTCCAAAGATGTGTTCCTTGGCCTTGCCAATGGGGACTGGAGAACCAAGGTTGTTTCCGGTGCCAATGAAGGCGCCCATCTCCAGCTCAAAGTCCAGAAGCTTGCATGGACCAAAGGATGGTGCGGGGTCATCATCGCCCTTGGTCTGGCCATGGGGTCTGTGCAGGTTGGTTCCTGACACGACGATGCTTGAGGAACGACCATGGTAGCCAACGGGCAGATGAGTCCAGTTTGGCATCAAAGCGTTCTCTTTGCCACGGAACATAATGCCAACGTTGGTGGCGTGCTCCTTGGAGGCATAAAAGTCGGTGTAGTCTCCGATGCGAGCAGGCAGTAACATGGTGACGTTTGACTGAGGGAAGAAGACAATGTTACGAAGGGTCTGGTTGTCTCTGATCTCTGCGTTGTCGCTGCTCAGCAATCTCTGAAGAGTAGTTCTGGCCTCTGTCCAGGCATCTCTTCCCAACTCCATGAAGGCATTGAGTGAGTCCTAAGAAGATCAACAACATGAATAGAGGGAGAAGATTAATAAGTCTATCGATTAGAGGTGGTCAGATGCAGTAGTACATACACTGTGGAACACTGTAGTGTGGTTCAAGAGTGGACCATTGAAGAGACCATTGTCAACCAAGACGGAGAGGTCACAGACCTGATCACCGATGGCAACTCCGACTCTTGGTGTTGCTTGTGGAGTTGGTTTGAACACGCCATAAGGCAAGTTCTGGATTGGGAAGTGAGAGTCAGCTGAGACCTGAATGAAGCTCTGCATTATTGTTGTTGTTATTGTAGTAGGAGTAGGAGTAGTAGGAGTTGGTTGGTTGATGATGGTGGGAAAGAGTATTGTGGACGTGAAGATGATGATTATGACGAAGAATGTGTGTTGCAGTTGTTGAACCAACGCCATAGAAGTGGGTGATGAGTGAACAAAAGAATGGAACTGCGTTGTGGAACTAGTTTTTGTTCAGCAGAAAAAATAATCTGCAGATTATTTTGCAAAATTGGGACCCGAGAACGCAAATCTTTTTTCAACTTCACACGTCCAAAACTGAGATTAGAATGAATAATGATTGGACAACAATTCTATTTTGAATTACAATTCTTGAATTGGTTGTGTGTTCTATTATTCTAAAGGTAGGTTGTTGACAAGGTGGGGAGCCCAGTGTGATGTCATCTTCAATGAAGATAAAAAAATTATTAATCAAAGTGTCCAATCAAACACACCGTTTCAAATTGTCCAACCAAAAACATGTCTGTTCAGCCAATAGGAGCAATTGGAAGTAATCATGTATTCTATTGAATCAACCAATTTCTGTCCCTTTCCAATATATAAAGATCTTCATCATCATTATTGTTAATATCATAACAATTAGAGATAGATAAAAATATAGAGATACAATTTCACCTTAAATCTTATGATTTAAATATTTACAGTATTTCCTTTTATCCATCCATATAATCTAACTACATACTCCATCCTCCATCCATACAATAATATTGTCAATTACCACTTTAATAACTTGTCCATACACCTCTATTGTAATTAAATAGACCATTTATAAACACAACATAATATATCAAACCATGAGGTCCCATTTGACCTTTGACATTATAATTATCTTTGTGATGCTGATTATAGTTTGTAAACTTAACAATCCAGAGGCATCAGCAGCCACATGTAAGGCCAACGTTCAGCAGCAGCCAAGTCTATCGATCCCAAGCTCCCCTGACTATATTGACACGAGCAACATTCGAGTGTCATCATCGTCCAGTGTGCCAACCAAGCTTCAAAATGAGGGATTTGCATTCGTACTCATGCTGACCATATGTGTTGCCCTCTTCTCTGCAATTACATTGAAATAAAACACCACGATGGCGTACTCGTCACAGTTGATCTATACCAAGTTCACTCCATTTATCATCACCAGTTGGATGAGGTCTCTCTGTGTTTGCAACAGTATTGCTGAATGTTCTGATCCCTGTAAAGAAAAGGTATAGATCATAATAGAGGTAGTGAAACCTTTTGGGTTAGTCCTCTTGCCTCATATGTGTGTGTCTCTCTCTAGAGTTAACACATACATTCATCTGGTAACTTTTCTTGTGCCCATTGAATATCTATTGTATCAATGAGCAATCTATTGCAATTAGTATGAATTGAAGTAACGAAGGAGCTATCTGACATGTTATAATGTAATGTTGTTGAGATACAAAAGGTGACATGCGAATGAAGATAAAACTATGTGGGACTTGTTGATGTTCCCCTCCTTGTTATCTCTTTTGTGGTTTCGAAACACAACAACAACAACACCCCACCACTCAATCAATCAGAAACTATTTCCAACTTTCAAAGAGATAATCATCAGAAGATTCAACAACAGGAAGATGGATAACACCGCTGAACATCCAAGGATATTGATACCAGAACTATGTAAACAATTCTATAGCTTGGGATGGGTCACTGGTACAGGTGGAGGAATCAGTATAAAGCATGAGTGCGTACTAGTACTACCTATCGATCACAATCATCATTGTCCAATGATTGGATGGACCATTACACTAACCATTGACAACGACGATTGATGTTCATGCGTAATCCTCTCTCTCTCTCTCACACAGCAAGGAAATCTATATAGCAGCATCAGGTGTACAGAAGGAGCGAATAATAGGTGAGGATATCTTTGTGATGGACGAGAATGAGAACGAGTTGTCTGCACCACCATTGTACAAGAATCTGAGACCTAGTCAGTGCACTCCATTGTTCTTCAATGCCTACCGTATGAGAGGTGCTGGTGCTGTCATCCATACACACTCTCAGCATGCAGTCATGGTCACACTGCTCTACGACAAGGAGTTTGTCATCACACATCAAGAGATGATCAAGGGCATCGTCAGAGGTCATGGACCAGATGCCAAGTATCTGCAGTACCACGACCGATTGGTCGTACCAATCATTGAGAACACGCCACACGAGAGAGATCTCAAGCAGCGAATGGCACGTGCCATGGAGGCCTATCCAGAGGCCTCGGCAGTGTTGGTGCGTAGACATGGCGTCTATGTATGGGGTGCTGACTGGGTCAAGGCAAAGACCATGACCGAGTGCTTTGACTATCTCTTTGAGATTGCTGTCAAGATGAAGCAACATGGAATCAACCCAGCACTAGAACCAGTTCAGAATAAAGAGTGTTGCTACGACTGCTAGTATTCATACATAGATAAGTCCGTCAAGGAAAAGATATATCGAGCTTATCGACTTGCTCGTACAATGAATCCTTTATAGTTTGGTGATCGTCCAACAGGTGGTCTGGTAGTCTCTTTGAAATGAGGTATTGATTCAAGATGTTTGCTATATCCTTTGAAGTAGTGGCCTGTATTAGGTGGGTGCGCAATGCAGCCACATCACCATACTGTGACAATGGTTGGCAATAGTTCCTGATGTGTACACCAATACTCTTTATAGATTGACCACTATATAGTGCATTCTGTTGCTCGATTAGAATTGCATGTTCCACCATTGCAGTGAGTTTATCCTTTAGTGATGATTGATTGCCGTTCACATCACTAAAGAACCAAGGATTACCATATGTTCCTCTTCCAACCATGATACCATCCAGCTGATTATATGTATTCAACTTATCACGACACTGTTCCATTGATTCCAGATCTCCATTGCCAAATATTCTCGTTGTTGTAGAATCACCACGTTGCCGCAGAGTCCTTCCAACGACATCATCTTCCCAATGTGCCGGACAATTGGACAACTCCTTCTTTGTCCTCAAATGTAGTGTAAGGAGTTGTGGCTCTGTCTGTAGCAGAATAGGTATCCAACGATCAATGTCAATGTGATCGAAACCAATTCTCGTCTTTACAAACACAGGCAATGCATTGTCCACGCCGTCCTTTGTAGCCTTTATAATATCACCAGCAGCCATTGGGTCCAAAATGAGAGCGGAGCCTGCAGACTGTCTTTCCACTACCTTTCTAACAGGACAACCCATATTGATATCGATGGCATCAAAGCCTTGATCTCGGACGATTCTTGCAGCCTCTTTAAACTTCTTTGCATCATGACCAAATAGCTGACAAACTATTGGTCGTTGTATTGAATGATAGGCCATTTGTCTTTTGAATTTGTTTGGGTTGGCAATCAGACCATCCACTGAAACAAACTCTGTCCATGTCATGAATGAACTGTCTGTCGTAGTGACAGTATCAGAGAGTTGAGACATCTTTGATTTAAGTGAAACGATCTGTCTAAAGGCATAGTCTGTTACATCGACCATTGGTGCCATAGCATATCTATATATCTTTGTTTTGTTTGACATTGATATAATAACAATAAAAGATAGGTAGTATAATAATGTATTAATGTATGATTGATTGAATGAATGAATGAATGGATGAATGGATGTCATTATCTCTGTAGTTGACAACAATGACGACGACCTTGTCACTGAACGAAGACAACAACAAAACGACAATCACACGCACACACTCACCACCATAGATCAAACTTAAGCAGTTTTATAGCACTCTTCTTTCAACTCTCCCAAGTATGGAATCTCACGATATCTCTCGGCAAAGTCCAATCCATAGCCAATGATGAATACCATTGGAATGTCAAAGCCTAGATACTTGATGGGCACATCTGTTTTGAGACCCTCCTTCTTGCGCAAGAGTACACAGGTGTTGATCGAACGTGGCAAACGATCGTGGAGCATTCCGAGCAGATGCTTCAGTGTCAGTCCACTGTCGATGATGTCCTCTACGACAATGACATCCTTGCCCTCGATCGACTCCTTCAGGTCCATGTTGATCTTGACGACACCACTGCTGCTGGTGGAGTGACCATAGCTCGAAATCGACATAAAGTCCAATGAGACCAATGTGTTTGGCAGATGCACACTACGCACCAGATCAGACATAAACATGAATGATCCCTTCAATATTCCTATGAATACCAACTCTTTTGAGTCTTTGTAGTCCTATAATAGGTTATATAAATATATATATATATGTGAGTGATCATGTCTTATTTTATGATGACAAATACAACATAACAGATGATGCATTAACAGTGACATACGGCCTCAATCATTTTACCCATCTGGGCCACTCTTTGCTTAATATCATCCTCAGTGTAGAGGACTTGCTTAACGTTTGGATGAATGTTTGCCATTATTTATATAATATATATTTATCTATTTGTGTAAGATGTGATTAATATTCGTTGATCGAAAGAAAACCTCCTCCTCTTCGCTTCTGTTGTTGCACGATGGCGACCACTCCAATTTTAGTGTTCAATTCGTAGTTCAACACAAACATCTCCAACCACATTCATCATCAATTTCATTCTTCTCCCATCAGAATCTATCTATCTCTAATTCTTTGTATATATATATATATATATATATTATAAACAATGACAAATATTATAGAATATATAGCAGTGATTGGGTTTCATCATCAATATGGCAACAGACTTGAACATATTTACCCGCAACTCAGTGATGAGATTCGTGCCAGGTATCAATGGAATCTATTGCCTTTCTTGGCACTACCCGATGGTGTACACAACTCACAGGAGGACTATTGCTTCTTCATTCTCAACGAAGTGGATCCTGTGATGCAGCCCTCTCACAAACTATACGCTATATCTCACTTTAAACAAATGAACATCTCTGACTTGCCATCACATGCCATTACCCAAGACGACACTAGACAATCAATACAGAAATCAATATGTATTCTCTCAAACTTTGTAAGTTGTTGTGAACATCATCAATCAACTCAATATAATAAATACATCATATTAACGTTGATTCAATCACTGCGCAGCCAATATTCCATACATTCAAAACACAACTCTCTGTAGCCAGCTACTGTTACTTCAATCAAGGTGACTTTAACAACATGGAACTGCTTACCAATTGGTACAACACTCAGAACAATGAGTTTACAAAGAAATCAGATCAGTTCCTGCAGACTACACTCAATGTCTCTATCCATCAGCAACAGCAGCAACAGCATGAGGTGTTACTCACTGACCAACCAACACAAAAGATACCGATCCCAGCCGACTACTTCCTCGCACCACTCTCACTCAAGATGTTTGTCAGCCATTTTGGTAGGAACAGTCTGACGCTGTTCAAATTGATCATGCTAGAGAAGGGTGTCATTGTGTTTAGCTCACAGCCAATCAATGCTGTCTGTGAAACAATCACTGCCGTCACCTCTCTCTTTCCCCATTCATACGATTACTTTGTCAATCACAATCCGGCTGTCAACAAATCATTCGTCATTGATTGGCAGCAGCAACACAACAAACAACACCAACAACATCTACACAGCACCAACGACATCAAGGACTATGCATTGCCCTTGAACCTTTTCTCATCAAAGTACATCGTGCATCCCTATCTTTCATTGCATCAGATGTCAATCCTATCGCCAGCCAACCCACCACCAACAACAGCGCCAGTATCACCTCGTGAACTATCTGGAAGTGGTGGAAGGATCATCAATAACTACAAAGGCTTCTTCGTGGGCACAAGCAACAACCTATTCTTAAAGACTCCTCCTCAAACAACACATGCAATAGTTGATGTATGATTGGCTGACCAAACACTTCAGTCGACTTAACCATGACACTAACAAACCTACCTCTACAGATACAAAGTAGTGAGATCATATATAGAGATGAGTCACTGAATCGAGTGATGGAGCTACAGTCATCGGATAGAAGGTTCATTGACAACATTATCAACACAATCAATGATCCACAGCAGCAGACCAATCAGTATATTGGCAGTGATCAGTGGATTCGAGATCAATTCGAGCTCTACCTACTATGTCTGCTCTCCAACCTTGCCAATCTAATCAAGATTGAAGATGGAAGGTCAGTGATCACTCATCTGGATTCGATGCAAGCGTACAACGAGTGGTGGATCAGATCATGGATTGGAACAAGAAGCTTTAATCATTGGAGAACACAACTGTTCAAGATTAATCCTACTCCAGCTAGTCCATCAAACTATCCAATGTATGTATGATTGATTTCGTGATATCAAATATATATTCTAAAGTAGTTGTCTCATCAATCTATTCATAAAGACATCCATCAGGACCACCAAGTGATATACTGGATAATATTCAAGATAAGTTGCAGAGGTAAGTGATCAATATTCTGTACTGGTCAATGTTAAACTATATACTTATTACAATCGATTGCCAATTAATTATAGCTCGATGAAGGACCTACAACCACTCACGACCAATATATCCAAGGCACTGTTTGGAGCATCTTCATTTCTATTCAACAGCCTAGCTGGTACTTCTGTTGATGATGGAGCACAACAACAAACAGTGGACTCTACAACAGTTTCAGAGGGAAACTGGGCAAAGGTTCAAGAGAACGCCTCAAAGGCAACAAATGCAATGGTATGTACAACAAATTCTATTACATTTTAGCATTGCACTACTGACACATGATATAACAATCAAGAAACCTTATGTTTCAAGCGGGAAGGCATTGGCAAAGAAATGGTCTTGGTCACTTCTTGAGATGGTAGCACCAGAGACACCAAACTCTGAAGGATCATCATTAGTCGACTCTTCTGGTATCACCAGTGTCAATAGTGACAACAACAACAACAACAAAGGTCATATCAATTTCCAAGCTCTCCAAGACCAGCCAACAAACATGACAAACTCTCCATCGACAACAATTATTGGACTGACTACAAGTGAACCAGGAGCATCACAATCGACATCACTATTCGAATTCCTTGAAGAAGTAGACACTGATGATATATACGAATTATAATAATAATAATAATATAATCTGATTGGAATAAGTGTGATTGAGAGAAGAAGGAAAAAAGAGATAAGGGAGTAAAGATGAAGAGGTCGAAGTTGGCTCGATATACTACCCTGGTTTCCCAAGGTAGTCTTGTGTTCACTATCAATCACCAATTGTCACCATCATTCGATTGAGATGTTCATTGTCTGATACTTTTAGTGTAAATGTTCAAAATACAATGTGTGGTTGATGGTCACAATCACCACTCTTCCTTTGATTATTGCTCAAGTGAAGTTCACTGTTTCATTTATGTAAAAGAAAGTGGGTTTTGTATCACAAAGGGTTTTTCAAAATAAAGTCTCATATAAATACAGTGAACAGAGACAACAAAGAGACATCTACAGAGAATGATCAGACAGTTAGTTAGGAGATCACCACTCAAATGTGGCAGCACGTTGTCTGGCAGAAGTTTAACCAATGGCAACTCATATCTTTACTGCAGCATCAGCAACACTCTTGTATCGACACGCCAGTGTAATCAATCATACCTACTCAATGGTACACCTGTAAAACAATCATCATCTTCATCATCATCATCATCATTATCTATGCTGTTGTCATCGACACGAGCAACGACACAGAATCGCAACTTCTCTTCATGGTGTGTCAACAACAATATAAACAACAACAGATACAAACAACAACAACAACAACATCGTAATGAACATCAACAACAACAACAAAGTGAACAGAATCAGTTCTCAGATAAACAATACACAAAGATGGTATTGTTCTCCTCTGCTGGCCTTGGTGTTGCTGCGCTGTCTGTCTTCCAGCTCAACACAAACTCTGATGAAAAGGATGATAACGATGAGCCAAGAAAGTTCAACATCAAGGAATCCCAAAAGGTCATTGGAGGAATCATCTTGGTGAACGTGGGCATCTATATGCTTCTCAAGAGTCCATCATTCTTGCTCCGATACGGTGATCACTTCTTCTGCTCAGTCAACAACGTCTCTTCAAGGCCACTGTGCATTCTATTGTCCAACTTTACGCACACCGAACCCTTCCATCTCCTGTTCAATATGATTGGACTTTGGTCATTTGGTCAGGTGGCTCACGATCACATGGGCACTCTTCCTTTTCTAATGCTCTACGTAGGCGGTGGCTTGGTTGGTTCAATGACCAGCATTGTCCACAAACTTGTGACATCCTCATTTACCATTCCCTCGATTGGTGCCTCAGGATGTGTGCTCTCCGTGGTGGGCGCCAGCATTATGTTTGAGCCAAACAATCGAGTGTCCATCATCTTCATGCCCTTCTTTAGCTTTGAGAGCCAGACCATGCTCTTTGCCCTCTTGGCCTTTGACCTGATTGGTGTTCTCGGTCTGGGCAAGTTCACCAACTGGGATCACAGCTGTCATTTGGGCTCCACCCTACTTGGTGCCGTCTTGGGCGACAGCTATCGATACAAGTCGACATTCCAGCATTTCCAAGGAACAGGTGTGACAATGAACGAAGGTCGTTGGACCTATAAGGGCAGCTTCAAGAATGGCAAGATGGAGGGCGTTGGCTCACTCCACAAGCTACCAGAGAATGATCTATATGAGGGTCTGTTCCAGAATGGTCAAATTAAGGATGGTATCCTCACTCGTGATGGAAAGAGATACCGTGTATCAAGAGGTTAATCAATAATAAATGGTTCCAGTTACTCTAACAATTTGACATAAGTTTATATTATCATCAAAAGTCTGATGAATCAATATCAAAGACTAGATCCGTGTCCTTCAACTCTGCAAAGTCCACTCTACTCTGGAATGCTGATCCTCTTGCCTTTTGTCTATTCAACCAATGTCAGTTAGTAACGATCATCATTTACCAAGTGTTGTGTTGAGTTTGATAATGTTAATTACCTTTTGATCATTGCCAGTAGTCGTAAGAACTGCACTCCATATCTTAGAGCAGTGAAGAATATAATTACAATGCCTTCATACTCGAACGCTACGCTCGCATGTGACAATAGATACATGAAGAGACCTGCTATCGATAGGACCAGGACAAACAGATCAAATCGATTGGACCATTCTTTAAAGTATCTACTCTTTTGTGAAATGATCTGTAGTGACACCTCTAGTAGTAGTGCCAGGTTGACAATGATATCCAATACAATGAATAACCAATGGTTTGGTACTGATGTTTGTTTGCGTATCAGGTTGATAATCAACTACAGAGTGTGATTATGAAGGTCAGTGATTAGAGCCAATGATGATGATGACGCTGTTGCTGTTGTGATCCATACCCAGATGATAAGTATTAAGTTGATGGCAATCATTGCAATGTAGGCATAGTAGTATTTGCTAGAGAACAGAACACGGTCAGCATAGCTGGAGCACTGCCGATCACGTGTAGCACTAGATGGTAATATATTGACATGATGTGAAAAGTCATCGTTGTAGTCGTATATAGAGGTGTATGATGCCTTTGGTGCACCAGGTGATGTACTATCCATTATCATCGATGCATTGTTGATATCATTGTCGATACTATCACTAAGATGTTGTTGATGTAGTTGATGCTGCTGCTGCTTCGAGGATACTTTAGGAGAAGATAGTCCAGCAGTAGATGATGAGAACTTTGGTGACCCTGACATATATATTATATGATTCTAGAGTACTTGTGAATTACAAAAGAGTGTTATTCTATCATAATGTAACTCAAGTGATGGTCTGTGTGTTTGAAAGAGAACGGGGTGAACTCAAGGATTGATGATCACCAAACCCAATTAATGTCATACTCTCAGCCCAACTACAAGCAAGTAAACAAAGATGTCATCAGTTAATACAGTACCATCTAAACTTGACACTGAGAAGATCAATCAACTAAAGAGTCAGTCTGCAACATCATTCTTCAATAATGTAAAGCCACTGTTAACGCCAGTAGAGGAGTACAAACCTGTTGGCTACCATCTAAAGATGGTGCAGGTTATCACTAGACACGGAAGACGAACACCAGAGACAACCCGCTTCCCATTGGCACTGTGGATGTGCAACTCCACCGACAACCTCATTGTTGATCGTGATGAGACTAGACCAGAGTGCAGTCTGGGTCAGCTCACTGTGTTTGGAACGCGAGACCTCATCAATCTCGGTGCCAACTATAGAAAGCTTCTGATCGATGGTATAGGATACCTCTCCAAGGACTATAAGCCCGGTGAGGTCTATGTACGCTCATCCGACCGTGAGAGGACCATATCATCTGCACGCTCTCTGATGCATGGCCTGTATGGTGGCTCCTTTGCCGACGCCCAAGAGCACATGTTACAAGCAGCCACCTCCTTCTACATCCGACCAGAAGCCGTGGAGAATATCTATCCTCGTCGATCATGTCCCAAGTATCTGTTCCTCTATCAACTGCTGCGTAAGCATCCTGCCGTGTTGGAGGAGCAAAAGCAGAGTGGCCTGGCAGAGTTCACCACCAAGTTGCAGGGCATCTTTGACAAGTCCAAGGGAAGCGACTCTCCTCTCTACATCTCCTCGTGGCGCTCATACGCTGGTCTGGTCAACTCGTTCGACTGCTTCAGGAACCATGGCCTGCCCCTACCCGATGGCTTCACCGATCAGATCATCAACAGGATGTATCTAGAGGCCTCCAAAGAGTACAAGCAACTGGCACTCTTCCCTGAGCTCTCGCGACTGGGCATTGGTCGCTTCATTGGTGATCTGAGCACGCAGCTCACCTCCAAGGTCAACAACGACACTGCTACATCCGATCTCAAGTTTGCTCATTACTCTGCGCATGACACTACACTTGGAGCACTGCTTGTGGCCTATGATATGTACACTGATAACAAGCATCCAGAGACTGCATCATCACTTGAGTTCCTACTCTTTGAGAAGGACAAACAACAGAAGCAACAACAGCTACAACAACAACAACAACACTTTGTAAAGGTGGTATATAATCAACAAGTGTTACACATTGGCAAGTGCAAGGAGTTTGAGGTGGATGGCATGTGTCCATGGGATAAGTTCATGGAGATCAGCAAAAAGAACACCCCAGTCAACTTCAAAGAAGAGTGTGCCATCAGCGATGAAGAGAAGACCCGCTACAACATAGCCATTCAAACCTCCAAGACCTATTAGGCTCAATGTCTCAATAGAGTGAAGGGAGGGGAGAGGGGAAGAGAGGGGACCTTCCCCTTTTTTGCACCACACCTCATTAAACACTCTCCCCTAACCTCCCACAACCCCAATGCATCCAGTTTCAAGTTCACGAAGTGGTGGTCCTTGTGACCCCCAACTACTTTTGGAATTGATTCCTTTTAGGGATTGTTGGATAATAATTAAAGGGTCAATCTAATATTCATTTGGAAATAATCTGTTTATACATTGGTTGAGGATAAGGTGTAATTGGTGTGCTTGACCAATCGGACATCACTTCAGTCTGGGAGTGTTTTACTACTCCAACCGATTATTTAAAAATGTTAGTTGTTAACATTGATAGATAAAGACTCTGTAAACTCAAAGAAAGAATCATCTTTATTTCCAACTCAAGAAAGAAATATTCTCTTTGTAAATAGTAACAACTACAACTATAACTTTTATTTTATAATTTTATATCTATCTACCATTTACACAAAATGAAGTACTTGGTATTAATTGACGACGATCCACAATCCTATTGTGCCTTTTACAAATCATTGGAGATGGTCCAACCCAATGATTGGGTAATGCTACTGGCAAAGGCCAGATATGGAAGTGTAGACAAGAATTCCGCTGGACACACACTTAGATTCTTTGGAAGAGTAATGGACAAGAGAAAGGTATATTTAATTATTTATTCTTGATTAAGTAAACCTGTGTATTAAGAAACTAACAATTATATATAGATTAAATCCCTTCACTTTTTGGAGTATGGTAGATCAAAGAACATTATCAAGTCCAAGGTATCACAATTCAACATTGATATGATTCTAATCAATCCCTACAATAACAAGAAGAAGAAGTATGTTCCTAGTCAATATCTTATCTCTAACTGTTTTACTAATCATCATAATTATAATAGATTATGTGCATACCTTTCACAGAATTTGAAAGCAACCAAGGTAGTCCCTGTAAACTTCTTTGTGCCATCGGATGACTCTCTTGTCCCAAAACCAATAGACAATAAGGCCCCACTTCCATTGAGCAAGGGTCCATTGTCATCATCCTATGCCCATGGCGACATCAGAATGCCAGTGGGAACTGGAATCCCATTGACTGCATCCAAATCAGCCTACTCTATCCCCGACCAACAGATGCAAGCTGACACATCATCATCAACCAGACAGACAATCCATGAGGCTCCACCAGGAGTCATGCTAGCAAGAGAGTATGGAGGTGAGGGAAGCAGCACCAGTCATCCAAACATTGAAGAGGACTATAACTACAGAATGACATATCCTCGAAGAAAGTCACATACTACCGAGGACAACATTGATCTAAAGACATTACCATCAACAACAACAACAACAACATCATCATCATCATTGGCCCGTAGTACACAGGGGGAACTGATCAGCAGGCAAGCACCATCAACCAAGCCAGTGCTAAAGGCAGAGTTCCAGTCTCCAAATGTGATGAGAACAGGAAGACGAGTGACCAATGTTTCCTTTGCATCGCCTCCAATAATCTCTAGTAACAGCTAGTACTTGTATAATAAATTAAACAACCCCCAACCTTTGAAAGGTCTAACAAATATCATGTGACTGAGTGTCAGAGTGCTGAGGCAGAGGTCGTTGGAAAAGAATCACTCGAAAGTTCAGATCAAACAGAAAAATCAACTGAATTTTTTATTGTTTCTTTACCCCTACTCCATGAATAAAGGACTTGTTATTCCATCTAATCAATTCATTTCCAATTCAACTTATTATATGTAAGTAATATATAAATGTTATATTTATATATGTTTATGACTTTTTAAAGCACACAAACTAATCAAACTTGACCTTACTCCTCGTCTTGATTAGACCATTACAAAATGTATAAACAACTATTGCTGTTGTGCATCACTTTGACAGTGGCACTTGGTGCTGCTGTTCCACCCATTCCAACTCCAACTCAGGTATGTAGTAATAATACAATCACACAGAAATCACTCTACACACAACAACAACAAAAAGATAGACAACATACACATGACACGTACGTGTACACACATAAGTATCACCTACTTGTGTTTGTTTGCACTATGCTCGTCTTTCACCACATACACACACATCAAATTTTATTTTCCGCTCACAGGACCTGATGCAGTCCCATCACTCACTCACTCCGCCTCCGACAACAACGACCAATGATGCCAAACCAACCTAATTTCAATCCCATACTTACATCTACTACTTTTAAAACCAACACCGATGATGCAAACATCGACACATACAGTACTACATGAATGGAACATTCAACATCCCATACTTCAACATCACTGAGCCAATCGAGTTGATCTACGACAGCGTCAACAACCGTCAGTACATCAGCTATTACAATGGCCTCGACGTCACCTTGAACTTCTTCAACGACGACGTTACCTTCTCGGTTGGACCACGTGTCAACACCCAGATCTGTCAGTCCATCCCAGGCAACGGATCGCTCGTCCAGCTTCTGCCAACCGACCCATCCACCTGGGTCTACAACGGTACCTCCACTGTCAATGGTGTCAACGTGTTCTCGTACTCCCAAAAGGTCGTCAACTATGGTGTCGCTGCTTTCTACACCTTCTACATGGATGCCCAAGGAGTGCCAATCCAGTTCTACCTGGACGGCGTTGACTTTATCTTTGACTCCCATCCCGACATCTACGTGTTGAACTTTGACACTTTCACCACCGACATTAGCCCATACGAGTACCTCTTCAACGTGCCACCCGTCTGTGGCAAGGCCGAGAAGGGCGAGCCAAAGACCAACACCTTTGCCGGTCTCTTTGAGCAGGTTGCCAAGGATGTCCATGCCAAGCATGAGGCCACCAAGGACGAGTTCAACCAATACAAGACCCAGTACAACAAGGAGTACTCTGGTGACGAGCACAACGAGCGCTTCAACAACTACAAGGCCTCCCGTGAGATGATCATCAAGCACAACTCCAAGGAGTCCACCTACACCCTGGCCATGAACCACTTTGGTGACATGACCCACGAGGAGTTTGAGCAGAAGATCAAGCCACGCGTCCCACGTCCAGACCACAACGGTGCCCACGACGTTCATGACGACGACCGTGTCAAGGCTCTCCCAGCCACCGTCGATTGGAGACAGCAAGGATGTGTCACCAAGGTCAAGGACCAAGGTGTCTGTGGTTCATGCTGGACATTCGGCTCCACCGGTTCACTCGAGGGAGTCAACTGTATCGCCACTGGCAAGCTTGTCTCGCTCTCTGAGCAGCAATTGGTTGACTGTGCCTACCTTGGTCAGTCCCAAGGATGTGGTGGAGGTTTCGCCTCTGACGCCTTCCAGTACATCATGAACTTTGGAGGCATTGCTTACGAGCAGACCTACCCATACTTGATGCAGAACGGTTACTGTGCCGATTCCACCTCGACCCTCTCCACCGTCAAGGTCAAGAGCTACGTCAACGTCACCTCCTTCTCTGAGCCCGCTCTCCAGAACGCCGTTGCCACCGTTGGACCAGTTGCCATCGCCATCGATGCCTCAGCCCCAGACTACCGTTTCTACCAGAGCGGTGTCTACTACTCGACCGTCTGCCAGAACGGCATTGACGACCTCGACCACGAGGTTCTCGCCATTGGCTACGGCACCTACCAAGGCTCCGACTACTGGTTGGTCAAGAACTCATGGTCCACTCACTGGGGTAACCAGGGATACATCATGATGGCCCGTAACAGAGGAAACAACTGTGGTATTGCCTCGCAACCAACCTACCCAGTCGTCTAAACGTCATTAAAGTTAACTTCATCTAAACCATTATCTGTTATTAACCGATTACGATAACTACTATATCCATCAATTTCCAAAATGGTGATGTCATATGAATAATATAACCTTTCACCAACATCAATCTAGATGGACACAAGGGATTGTTCATAGTATGTACATACGCACGGATGGAACAAACAAATAGAAGACCTGTCGAATCGACATCATCATATCTTTGTTTTCCGACCCCTTACAAGGTCATAATATTGAACGACAACACTTCTTGGTGGTCAAATGAAAGAGTTTTTCTTTTCAAGATCTTTCAAGACAGAGAGATTCTCAACACTGAACAGTCACGGTGTCTGTGTGTGGAATGGTACAATACCTTGGATTAAGTACAATTCCACACATAGTAGTGACACCAAACACTGAGACCCGATTGTGATGTCCTTGTCTAAAATTGTCAGCTGATCGTGCAAATACAACCCAAATTTAGGTTGGTGTGCCTCTCGGTTAATGCGGAGTTTTTAGTGTCAAACACCTACGTGTACATTGGGCCACAGGTCGGATCAGATTGATCAGATCCAAACGAAAAAAAAACACGAGGCGTTTTTGAGAGTTTAAATGACCAATAGAATAGTACTCACTACATTCTCTATCAACAACTACTATGATGTTATTTGTTTGAATACACATACATACATATTATTATTTATTATTTATTTATCAACATGACCAACAACAACATATTACCAACTTTGTTGGTATTACTATTGACAACAAACACAGTCCTATCACTTATCAACCCCAACAATGATCACGAATATATCCTATATAATACAAAGACAACAGCAACTGGTGCTATCAATGCCTGTGCCGCCATTAACTCTACGACGGGCCGTGGCTTTGGCTACCTGGCCACAATAACCACATTGGACGAGTGGAACTGGGTCAACTCGGCTGGCCTCTTTTCCAGTAGTCCCAACGAGATATGGATATCTGGTCGCACCTATGACCAGATGTTCCAAAAGTGGTACTACAACAGCGGACCAGAGAATGGGATGCTTTTCTACGACTCGTCCAACAATGGCGTCGGCTGTCTGACCTATTGTCCATGGGCGCTCACCGAGCCATCGCTCTCTGACAATGAGATCTACCTGTCCACCTTTAGAAGAGGTGGTGACTTTGGACTGGCCATCAACAATCTACAGGCAACCGAGAGTCAGTTTTATCTCTGTGAGTTTGGTGGCATGGGCTCACCAATAGTCAATGGCTCAACTGGAACATCCGGTGGTGTCATCACGTTCAAAGGTTACAGCAGCTCTTTGGACGCCTCCTACACACCTACATCAGTCAATCTGGTGCCCTTCGATAACAACACAGCCACTCCAAGTCCATCTTTAACATGTCCAATCAATACCAATAGTATTACATCAAGTAAGTATTACCAACTAATCATTTAACAAAGAACACATTGACATTGTTATTAACATACATACATACAACAACTATCAAAGGTGGATTTACTTGTAACCTACCATCAGGTGCTGGACTATATAATGTCAATGTAACATTCTCAAATGGAAGTGATACAATTATACTTCCAACAAGGTATCAATATATTCGTATGTATAATACATATTCAATCAACCATTCACTCATGATACTAATACTAACCTTTAAATAGCTGCCATTGTTAGATATATATACCCAAACACTGAAGTGAACAGCTTTGTAACGATTGTTGGTGATAACTTTGGTACGGACCTTTCAAAGGTCAGCATCCTATTGGGTGCTGCCAAGACTGGTCAATGTAATGATGTCAAGTACGTCAATGGTGTGGTTGGAAAGGTTATCCAATGTACGATCACCAACACCTTGACAGAGAGTATACTACCAATTAGAGTTGTAATCAATGGTGTTATGAGTATTACAAACAATGCTCCATTCTGTAAGTCAACCTTGCTCCTTTTACTTTGAAAACAACATACTAACTCCTAACGCTACATCTTCAGATGACACTACAACCAACACATTCCTTTCATTCTACTCTGCCTGTGCAACATTTACCTCATCATACAACTACTCGATGGAGTCTACACTTGAGAACTATAGTGGATACCCTGGTACATTGACCTCTGCCGCTCAAGTGAACATTATCAACACGACAGTATCACAATTGACCACCCAGGGTGGTATGAAGTTCTACGAAGGCATCACCTATGTCAACAGCGCCTACAAATACACATATGGTCCAAACATCAACAAGGTGGCCACACCCTACTTCAGCACCAGTACTCCCTCTGGCTTGCTGCCAAGCAACAGACTCTATATGACTTGGAGCACCCTAGTACTGACTGCTGGCACTGATATCTGTGCTGCAGTGTTCACTCAGTTTGGTGGCTACTCTCCAGTGATCAGCTACACATCAACATCGGCCAACAATATTGTGATTCCCAGTGCCGGACAGACAGTGGCAGTGAAGCTCGCCAACCCAGGACATCAGTTCAGCACCAACACATTCCTGGCCATCATCAAGGGACAGAACTATACACTGAACTTTGACAGCGTCAACAACGATCGTTCTTCTGTTAGCGTCAAGTTACCAGCTGGCTACGGTGGTCCACACACTCTCCTCGCCATTGTCGATGGTGTCCAATCCAACACACTGACCTTTGGATACCCTACACCAAGTATCACAAGTGTTTCACCATCCAAGTTGAGCACAGAAGGAGCTGAGGTCACCGTGTACGGTGCCAACTTTTACACTCAACAATCATTGATCAAGGTTGTTATCGATCAAGTGCCAACTGGCATCACGTCATTGATCAACGACACTGCCTTTACCGCTCAACTGCCCGCAGGTACTGGAAAGAAAGTAGTGATTGGCATGGTGTTGGACAATATTGCATCTTCCAACACTGTTGACATTGGCTACCTAGCGCCAAACATCAACAACATAGTCAACAGTGCCACAAACATTGACTCTGGTGTAGTAACAATCACTGGTACATCTTTTGGTGCCAACATATCAAAGATCTCTGTTCAAGGCATCCAGTTGCTGTCCTCAATCACTATGCTCCTGCCACACAAGTCATTGTCGTTCAAAGTACCAGCACTCAGCGGCACACCAATGATCAACATCACAGTGGATGGACAGATGTCAAACACCGTATCAGTAGAGTACCAAGAGGTCAAGACCACCATTGTATCAGTGTCCTCGTCCAACTTCAACACCACAGAGAATGTCACGATCACTGGCACAGGCTTTGGAAGCTATCAGATCAATGTGACCATTGGTGGTCAACAATGTGATCATCTCTACTACATCAACAGTACGGTGATTGTTTGTAACTTCAAGGGTACGGTACCATTCAATGGCACTGCACTACCAGTGGAGATTTACTCTGATGGTGCTCTGGTCACTGTACAATACCTCTTCTTCTACGCCAATCCTTTGGAGTGTCCGAATGATTGCTCCAGTCAGGGTACATGTCTAAAGGCAGAGGTCACTGCCTATTGTCAATGTTACCAAGGCTTTGGTGGCAGAGACTGCTCCATCAAGTTGTCGAACTCGCGTTCATCAAAGGCACCAGTCGTCAATCCAAATGGCACCGCAACACTGCCCAGTGATACAATGACTTTCAACATTGGTGTCAAGTACATTCGTGAGGTGTCACAGGATAAGATCATTCGTTCATTGGACATGTCAACAATCACATGGACCAGGAGCAGTGACCTAAACAAGTACATCTTCATTGGAGAGTTCCCCAACGACACTTGCAAACTCAACGTCACAATTATGGTATTCTTGAAGGAGGACACGGTCAAGTTTGCCGGTGAGCTCATACCTGTGAGTGCCAACTCTGTCAAGTTCTACGTCAACATCACCAACTGGTCATTCCAGTCAAACCTAAACATCCTTCAATTGATTTACCAGACATCAGGCGACCGAGTTCAGGCAACGCCAGATGGATGTCCATACGAACCTTCACCGCTGCCCATTGGCTCTGTGACATTCTTGGATGTACCATCAGAGAATGAGGGTGTTGTAATCAGTGCCAAGTACTCCACCAGATTGATCAGTGACTCTAGACCAGGCGTGATCAACACCGTCATGTTGGACGGTACCTCGGATACACTCAAGCCACCAGCCATCAACGAATCACATGACATCCTGTTCTACACAGCAATGCTCGTGCCACACTTTAGCACTCAGGTTGATCTCGATCCAAACTTTGGACTGTTGCTAAAGGATGGTGGATTCCCATTGGCAAGACCAGACTGCAAGGCAAAGAGTGGCGGTGGTGGATCGAACGACAAGTGGAAGGTGCCAGTGATCACTGTGTTGGTAATTGTCGGTTTCATTGCCATTGTTGCCGTCACTGCCATCTACGTCAAGAAGCGTCTAATGGGAAGACGTCTAAAGGATGTTGCAATGGAGAAGATATCAAGGATGAGTAAGAAGGATACAAATAAATAATAATTATGTTTGGATACTACATCAAAGTTGCCCAACTCAGTACAAGATAAAGTTAATATGAATATTTGAATCAATCTCACAGTTTAATTGTAGGAGGTGAAGCTCCTGGATGGACCTGGAGCATTGAAGTTAAACCTCCTGTCCAAGGTGCTCATACCTCCATTCAAGGGATAGTTGTAATTATCGAATGAGAAGTATTTCCTGGGGGCGCCGTCGGTCAGAGGGAGTAGTTGCTCAAATCAAAGGGAATGTTCTCGCTGAGTATCAACTACTCCCTTGATACTCAGCGAGAACATTCCCTTTGAAGTCTTGGTAGTCCGTCATGATGTTGAAAGTTGTGGCGTTGAGTTTCCAAAACCTTTGGTTCGCTTCGAAGGGAGACATGACTATGACCCAGTCGACCCGAATCTGAGTGCTGGAAGGGACATCTGGGAGATTGGTGTGATCCAAACTGAAGGAAGCCACATTGGACATTGGGCTTGGATTCTTGTTCTGGAAAGAAAGACGGTTGTACCAGTAATAGTCATGGGTTTCGTCGTGGTTGATGTATTGCCCATTCGCTGGGGACCCGCCCACAAAAAACCTGAAGGAGCCAGCGTCAGTTCGATTAGTGCATGAACTGTCAGAGCAATCGTCTTCCAATTCTCGACCTCTTCCTGAGATAGACCTTTCATACTGGGCATAAGTGGTGGCAGAGTTGGGCTCGGACATTAGAAGGAGTCCATTGGATCCGATGAGAATCGCCTCGCCAGTAGTCCAAGAGATGAGAGCACCCGATTGGAGACCAGGAATTCCCTCCACTCTGATACTCGGTGCGGACTTGCTGTTCATGAAGTTGGGGCCATTGAAGTCAAAAGCAATCATCCACGGCATATCATTGTACCCTCTATAGCAAACTCTTCCATACTTGGCATACTTAGGGTCTGATGGGGTGTCTTGGCAAGGTGGGGTCGTGGTGGCGAAGTTGTTGGAGAATGGGAAAGTGAATTCTCTTGTAGAACCATCAGTATCAACATGGATGTACCTGATCATTGTGGAGAATGTCCTTGTTCCTTGGCCAGGGTCCTCCCAAGTGATTGAGATGCTCTGTTTGGGAATACGTTGACTATGCAAGGGATTCAGGACCATCACCAAGACATACTTGTAGTCACCAGGGTAGTAATCTGTAAAATAGTTTTAGGTTAGAATTGCAATACTTTATCATTACAACATAGTATACTTACTGTCTTGGAGTCCGCTCATTTGATAATACAATGTTTCCATCCTGTTCCAAATATCGGAAACCCTTTGTACTTGATTTCCAATCTTGAGGGCCCAATCAATGGGGATCCGGGCTTTTCATTTCCTGCTGCATATCATGTCTTTGTAAATGCTGACTTGAAAATCTCCAAATTTTTAAAGACCTTGTTTTGATTAGAGAAAAATACTAGTGATTATTAATATTAGGCAATCATATAAATAATAATGTTAATATTACTACCGACTTATGTACTAAGAATCATATTGTTACAACTTGATACAATTGATGTATTATGTTTTCTCTTGGTAAACAGAAGGATCTTCTCACTGCACACGATCATCGCACCATCTTTGGATCACCACTTTGGTGTTGTACCAAGGGAGAGAACAAATCTTTATGAATACCTATATAGGTATCGAGAACCTTCGACTTACCTCTATTGTCTTCACTATGAACAAATACCTCGATCAGAGACTCAGTTGTCACTTATTAAATTCACACAACCACTTCAAGTCGGACATCTGCCATCGTCTGTAACGCAATTGTTTCTTAGTGCATATAATCAACCACTTCAAATCGGACACATACCACCGTCAGTGACACATCTGATGTTTGAATTATTCAATCAACCACTTCAAGTCGGACACATTCCTCCATCGGTGACACAATTGTCATTTAGATCATTCAATCAAGCACTTCAAGTCGGACACATTCCACAGTCAGTGACTCAATTGACACTCAGTTATTATAATCATCCACTTCAAGTTGGACAGATACCACAGTCAGTGACAGAGTTGTCATTTGGGGGTACCAACACTCTCTTCAAGTTGGACAGATACCACAATCAGTGACACAGTTGTCGTTTAATGTATTCAATCAACCTCTTCAAGCTGGACACATCCCACCATCAGTGAGACAGTTGTCGTTTAATGTATTCAATCAACCACTCCAAGATGGAAGTCTGCCACCATCAGTGACACAGTTGTCATTTAATATATTCAATCAACCACTTCTGGCTGGACATCTGCCACCATCAGTGAGACAGTTGTCTCTTAATAGATTCGATCAACCGCTCCAAGTTGGACACCTGCCACAATCAGTGACACAGTTGTCATTTTATGAATTCAATCAACCACTCCAAGATGGACACATACCGCCATCTGTGACTCAGTTGTCAATGAAACTCTTCAACCAATCTCTCCAAACTGGTCATTTATCCAACAATGTTACACGTTTAACTTTTGGCAACTTCAATCAACCACTCATTCCAGAGTACATTCCATCAGTTAGATCAATGACCATTCGATGCCCTCAATTCTCTCCTGAGAACTTCAATCTAGTTGGTCACAAACATCTCAATGAACTTACTCTGGTCTTTGACAAAACACCAATCAGAAACAGCCGGACACCAAGTGAACCATCTTCACCTCTATTACATCAACCGATCATATCTCAACTTTCAAAGATGAACACTCTTTCACACTTAATCATCATTACCAAACCAGGATGGACAATGAAAAGAATACAAGATGCCATGCCATTCACTATTTTGTATTCATTGCTCAATTTTATTCCAACAATCACTATGCATTTCTGCTCATATAGTGATGACCAAACAGTATTTCAAATCATTTGGAGACTTGTCGACGACACAACAGCACTTCTTGTCCCTTTATCCAGAGCTACACATGAAGTTGTATTGTTTTGGAGCTTTGGAACAAAAACATCAACAACAAGACCCAAGCGCATAACCACCAAGAGTCAACCCCAAGTAGTGTCACACCAAGAGGTTAACATAACTCCAGTCCCCCTCCCAGAGAATGACGTTGCTCAACTCAGAGAACAAATGAAGAAGAAAACTATTCTCCAGATGTCCAGACTGACAAAGGACACTTTGAGACAACACCTGACCACAATGGGCATTCCAACCACCTCAGACACACCACCATTGACCAATCTTCAGTTGGCAAAGCTATTATCCAAGGCATTGAATCAATAAATATATATATATATTTTTTATATTAATGATCATTATCCAAATAATAATAGGAATTGGAAAAGTGTGACACTTGAACTTCAAAATCATCACTTTGGATGTATTCCCACTCTTTGGGCCACTTCTGCTGGTGACAAAAAGCGACATGGTAATAATTAAATTGAAAATAACTGAAGAGCTGATCATGTGCTTGACATCTATTATTATTATTCGAACTATTAATCAGATACAAAGATAGATAGATAAGATAGATAAGATAGTATAATAATGGACCTAACAGCCAAGGTTAAGGGATTCCTTAGTTCGGCAGTGTCATCACCAGTCAAAGACTTTGATCTCAAACAATCGAATGCTCATACCAAGTACTGGAAGATACATGACGCCACCAAGAAGACATCTGGTGAGGATGTATCTGTATTTGTCAGTATCATATCAATTACACTATTACCAATCACTATATATTTATTTATTTATTTATACCAATCGAACGAATGAATAAATGTAATGTTTAGTTATTCGATAAGAAACAATATGAGAAGATGTCTAGATCGGCACAGGATGAGCTACTTGGTCACTTGAAGCGTGAAGCACAGAGTTTGATTCGACTGAGACATCCATCGATATTGAATGTTGTCAATGCTGTGGAGGAGACAAAGATATCATTGTACTTTGCAACTGAACCAGTGTTGGCAACATTGGACAATCTAATACAACAGTATCGTCAACGATCAAAGTCGAATCAGGTGTCCAGCGATGAGTTCAAGCAGCATCACTTCACATTCGAGGAGTTGGAGATACAACTAGGTATATCACAACTACTAGAGGGTATTCACTTCCTCAATACAACTGCAAAGTTATTACATCGTAACATTGCTCCAGAGTCTATATTCATTACAAAGAATGTATGTATCACATTATCATTCATTCATTCATTCATTCCTCCTTACTTACTTACTCTGCAATCAATAACATGTACATAATAGTTGAAATGGAAGATTGGAGGATTAGGATTCTCATGCTCGATAGATAGTAAGGAGCCAGAACTATCAGGATTGAGTCCTGATTTTAAAGAGTACATATATGAAGAGGTTGGTTCATTCCTACCAAGCTTCTGTTATCTTGCACCTGAATACGTTCAACAAAGACATTGGGAGTACAACAGTGACCTGTACTCAATAGGTCGTATAATATGCGAGTTGGCACTGAACCTCAACAATCAACACGCTGGCACTGAGGAGAACCTCTCAAAGATGGGTCCATTGGCATACTATGCCACTACACTGGTCAATTGTCGAAAGGCTGCAGCCGCCAACTCCAACAACAGTGACAGTGCCAAAGTGTGCACTATACTGCTGGGTGAATCATCACTTCGAGGTGACTTGGATAGCTTCATCCGATCTGCCTACTTCCAAGACGTCAAGGTCAAATCACTGGTCTACCTCACCAACATTGTCCAGAAGGAGGATGAGTCAAAGCTGCAATTCTTCCGTGGCTTGTTCCGCATCCTTAGTCAGTTCTCTGAGAGAATGAGGATCACATATGTATGTACGTACTAAAGGACAAACGAACACTCACTTACCATTTAAATACAACATCATACAATCTAGATTCTACCAACATTGATCTCAGAGTTGGCAAACGAAAGAATAGTCTATGTCGTGTTACCTAATGTGTTTTCCATCGCCAACACAGCCAAGAAGGAACTGTTCAATGACTTGATAGCTCAGCCATTAATACCAATCCTATTGAGCAAGACTCCAAAGAACGATGTACTCTCTTGTATCCTTGACAATGTCAACATGTTCATTGAGAAGTCGAGCAATGATTACATCAGGAAGTGTATGTAACAACAATCAACATCATTGTAGTAGGCCAAAAATGTTAACATCAATATCGATTCAATGATTCAATAGATATCCTACCAGTGGTCCTTGGTACACTCTGTGGACCAACACCAGAGATCATCTTCCAATGCCTCTCACTCTCAGTTCCACTGATCAAATACTTTGATCCTGATGCGATTGTCGCTGGAATGATTCCTCGACTCACTAACCTCTGTATTGGAGGATTCCCTCTACATATTCGAACCAAGTCAATTCACTGGTTCTCATTGTAAGTTGCCATCATGATGTTGTTGTTGTCATTGGACGAGGACTTTTCCTGCTTACACAAAAACTACTTGTTTAGATTGGTCCCATTGTTGGATAAGAAGTTGATCGTTGATAGTATGATACCATCACTAGAGCGTGTACTATCTGTTGACAACTCTCCACCAATCCTTGAGGCATTGGTCGTCACCTATGAGGCAGTGTCAAAGAAACTTGGAGGTGAGCTTCTCGCACTCAAGGTCCTCCCAGCACTCATACCTCTGTCTGCCGACAAGCATCTAGACCTGGAGCAGTTCAAAACCATCATGAAGGTTGTCAAAGATGTCTTGGCCACCTACGAGAATGAGCGATACAACGAACTCAACAATCTTCGTCGATTCACAAAGAACACATCCGAGGAGATGAACCAGTTCAACAATGTCATTGGCTCACCACCAGCCAACTCCAATGCAAACTCATTCGAGGAACAAGCGACACCAAAGCAGCAGGAACTACCAAAGATTACAATACCAACTACCTTCCTCTCTGGATCCTCGAGCAGCATCACAAAGGCATCGTCATCGACGCTTTCCTCTCCTCCACCACCCAACACTCAAGCATCATTCTTTGACAGTCCAGACTTTTCTGGTATGTCAACTGGCCCAACTCGAGCAACTCAGCCCACACTCAACCCTCCACCTGCAGCACTCTCTTCATCTGGTGGAATGTTCTCCACGCCAGTGATGACAACAACCCCTTCACATAATTCCAACTACGGCAGTAGCACGCCATTTGGAACAACAATGACTCCTCAGAGCATATCACAATCAAACAAACCAAGCAGCGGTGCCAACTACAACATATCGCTTGATTCATTGACACCAATATCATCATCCGCCCCATTGCAACCAATGTCTTCGTCATCCAGTATGACCGGTCCAAACTACAACATATCATTGGACTCAACATCATCAACATTCAGCACCACCCTTACACAACCAAACCAACAGCCTAATTTCTCTGGTCTGTCATTGAAACCCACAACAACTTCATCCACATCTTCCACAGCCTATGGCGACACATTTGGTAACCCATTCGAATCAAACACGTCCGGTTTGAATAACTCGACTGGATTCAACAACACCATTAACAGCAATGGATTCAACAATAACAACAACACTAGTTTCAACAACAATAATTCTGGATTCAACAGTAACAACAACATTGGATTCAACAACACCATTAACAGCAATGGATTCAACAATAACAACTATAACAGTTATAACACCAACACTGGAGCTGGATATAACCCTACCAACACTGGATACACCAATGGCAATTCGAATAACAACAATACCAACTACTCTGGGTTCAACGGCAACAACAACAACTCTGCCTTTAACAACTATGGCGGTATGACTCCTGCCAACAACATCAACTCTAAACAGTTTGGCCAAGGACACCAACAAGGATTCAACATACCGCCACCAATCAATAAGCCTGCCACAGGTGGTGCTGGAAACAGGAACAGTGGTGGTGGAAGTCTAATCTAATAAATGATCGATGATAAGTAGAATATATCTAATAAGAGTTGTTTAGTCGTCCATTTCTTCTTCGTCTGATTCGTAGTCACGCTCGTCCTCCTCATCACTCTCGCCAACCTTCTTCTTCTGACGAGGCTTGTCTATGTTGCCAAACTTTGGTTCACCCTTTGGACCCTCAGGGGCAGTGACACCAAATGCAGTCTGAACTGATTTGAATCTCTTTGTGTTGACCACAACTGGTCTATTGCGCTCTGATCCAATGGCCAAGACGAATGGTGAGTTTTCAAAGAATGATACTGAGAATACTTCCTCCTAATAAAGTTGAAGTTGATTACATTGTTAGTACTAGTCGGGCATGGTTCGTTGATTTGATGAAACACTTACTCCAATGCTCTTTTGTTCGATTTGAGTTGGCTTTCCATTTGCCATTGTCCACAGCTTAATGGTATGGTCGGAGGAACCAGTAGCAAAGTATCCAGCCTGCGAAGGACAGAATGAGAAAGAGGCAACTGACTTGGTGTGTGCCTTCACCTGCCATAGAGGCTTGCTGTTAGAGCCCAACGTAGCATCAAAGCATGTGAGCATACCATCCTCAGTACCAACGACAAACTCCTTTGGATTGTGAGGGTTCCACTGCAGGGACTCACAGTCTGAGCTCAATGGCCACTTAAAGTATGATGATCCGTCCAATCTGACATCGATAATTGATATACTCTTGTCGTATGAACCACACAACAGTACTGTCTTCTCTTGTTTGTTCCATTGTAATGCTTGGACCTATGTATTGACGATGATAGTTTAGTTAGTTGATGTTTGCTGATTCGATTGAATGATCACTTACCTTGTCCTTGTGATGAGTAAATGTGTTGATGCAGGTCTGCTTTGTGATATCCCAAATCTTAGCAGTCTTATCACTTGATCCACTTGCCAGCACGTTCCTTTGTTGAGAGTTCCAAGACAATGCCATAACACTACCATTGTGACTGCCAGAGGTCATCATTGATTTTTTCTAAAGTACAAGAGAGAGTTTAGGTTAGTACCAGGCAGTAATCACTTTGACTCAAATTGTTCTTACCTTTCTTTGACCCTTGTCAACCTCTGATTGACCAAGGATGGCAGTTGGTATCAGGTTGTCGACTAGATCAAGATCCCAAATCTCGATGGCAGGCTCAAAGGTACCGATTGCAACAAAGCTGCCTTTCTCGGCACCTCCGATGGGGCTCTGGTCCATCCATGCCAAACTGATGGGGAATGATCCAAGTATTATGTCGTGGTGAACGTAGAGGTTGTCACAGTCTTCTTCATAGACCATCACGTCGAGATGTGAGAAATCGTCTTCGTCGTTGGCAACGGCAGCGATCAAGATGGCATCAGTTGGTCTGATGATAAAGTCCTCCAAGTCCTCAATGTCCTCGTCTTGCTCGTTGAGATAAGGATCCTCATCTCCGGTCTTGTAGTACATCAGGCCCTTCATTGCCTTGTTGATAAACTTGAGACCAGTGTCCTCGTCCTGACCTTGCTCCTCCTCGTCCTCATCATAATCATCCATGTTGTATCTATCGTTGAATTCCTTGTCTTGATCTTTCTCCTCGTCCTCTTCCTCCTCTTGTTCCTCATTATCCTCCTCCTCTTGTTGCTCACTGTTCTCCTCATCTTCGTCCTGATCAGCATCTCTCAACTCGTCCTCTAGTTCCAACTTGTCGATACCCTCTGCTCTCATCATGTCCTCATCTTGTGATGGGTCATACTTTTGAGGTATTGCCTTTGAAGCACCTCTGGGAATCCAAGAAAGAGCTGATATCATATCTTTATATCTTATATATATATATGTATTTGTATAGGTATACGTATTGCTTTATTAACAAGCATTCACACATTACTCAAATTGAGTAACAGTCGTCTGTCGTTTTTTTCAATTGATTTATTTTATTTTTATTTTTTTGAACACTTAGCTCCAAATATTGCTTCATTTCCAGTGTTCCATCCATCCCGGATGAATGAATGATCACAGATCATAGACTCTGACGTATGCATCCCTACTTGTTGCAAATGCCTTCTTACTACCTGGTACTACATTGAGCGATGTCACGACATCAGTATCAATGCCCGATAATGATCTTGTAACTGACTGTGAATCAAAGTCCACCAAGAATATGTTTCCATCTCCTGAACTCACCCATAGACTGTTGTGGTTGTTCAACGGATCATCATTGTTCGATCTGATATGATGAATTGGTGAATTGCTAAATTGACATATTGTTGTTGGTTGACTAACAAATAATGACAGAGTTATTGTTAGTTAGTGCAAAGCATCATCTCAATCTTTCCATTTACAACATACTCTAGTTTTCTTCTGTCATATTGGAATATGAAACCATCATCATCACCTCCATATACATAGTTGTTCAGTGCAAAGCATGCATTGAATGCAGTGCTGTGATGTTCCTCACTCATCTCTGCTACGATATTAGCTGATCTAATATCGTTGAGAATGAGCGATCCTTGCTCCAATGCCAATAGTACTACTTTGCCATCTGTTCCAAACTCTCTCTCGTCCAGTGTTTGTGATGATCTAATTGTTGTTGTAGTGACATAGCAATCATTGATTGGTCGATCATAGTTTTGAAGTGTGTGTATCACTGTTCCAGTTGGTACATCCCAGAGCTTAGCACTTCCATCTCTTGATGTCGCTAGAGAGAGGTATTATATCATTAGTGTTAACACCAATGGTCATGGTTCTGTTTGCAAACAACTACAACATACATATAAAGTTCCTTCCACGCTCTACGAATGAGGCAGAGGTGATACCTGCAGTATGACTGGTCAGAGTCATTGCACACTCTCCCTCAATTGCATCCCATATCCTCAATCTAGCATCGGATGCACCACTCAGCAACACCCTGCCACTTGGGAAGAACTTTGAAACGTCCACATCTCCAACATGTCCTCTGAGCTTCCTCTATTTGTTTGTTGTTGTTTGTTTGTGAGCAATATGTTTGATGATCATAAGGATAGTATCAACTTACTCTCACCTGGCCGTCATCTGATTCAAATATCTCAAGTATACCGTCTGAACTACCATAGGCACATAGTCCACCCTCTGAAGATGCTCCCATTGACGTTATCTAATAACAACAGTGGGTAAGTATAATAATACTTCAACAACAATATAGTCAGTGTCAACCTACTCTTTTTGTGCCTGCAACCTTGTGTATCTTTGATGGTGCAATCACCTCCTGATTGTGTTGTCCATACTTGAGGGCCAAGTGTGATCCATTTCCCTATGTAGGTAAACAAGATGTCAATATAAAGTGTATCCTTAGGATGGATACTAGTTGGATTCCTAAAGACATACATTGATAGGCTTAATTGTGAGAGTGTTCTCGGGTATTACATCAAACTGGAATGTGTTGTTGGATGTCTTCTTTGTGGACACTGTAGCATGAACAGTACTCTTTGAATCTATATTGATATCATTCATTCATTCATTCATTGATTAGTCACATGATGAGAGTACTTGTCTATTCTAACCAGCCACCCATACCCACCCTTGACAAGATTGACCCAGAAGCAATCAGAGTCAGAGTTCTGATAGATATGCCAATCGTATTGTAGCTGAATGGAGGGCAGGAAACAATAGCCCTTTGATTGTGTGATAGCTTTGAGTGATAGACTCCTAATGTCTACAGTAGGTTCATTCGATGGCAATGTCTGTGACTTTGTTGGATCTTGCTGTTGTTGTTGTTGTTCCTGTTGTTGCTGAGATGGCTGTCCCTGCTGCTGATCTTGCTGTTGTTGAGTATCCCCGGATTGATCGGACATTGAGTTCCAATTGACCAACATATCTGAGTATATTATTATTATTTAATGAAGTTATATATATATATTGAGTTGAGTTTGAATGACCAGTAGAATAATATGTGTGAATCCTCTAGCTGAATTATGTTCTAGACACATGAGAACATGTTCTCAAAAAGGAAAGTATTAATTCGTGTTTGTAAATTGAGTGTGGTGTGAAGCTGCCTGTGGTGTCTTATGTTAAGTTATCAGAAGACAAAGCATGTTATTATCATAGACATTGATTCATCATTTTGTTTATCAATCATAAATATAATGTTAATATTACTACCGACTTATGTACTAAGAATCATATTGTTACAACTTGATACAATTGCTGTATTATGTTTTCTCTTGGTAAACAGAAGGATCTTCTCACTGCACACGATCATCGCACCATCTTTGGATCACCACTTTGGTGTTGTACCAAAGAAGAGATCAAACCTTTATGAATACCTTTCGAAGGTGTTTGATAGCTATAAACTTTCGACTTACCTCTATTGTCTTCACTATGAACAAATACCTCGATCAGAGACTCAGTTGTCACTTATTAAATTCACACAACCACTTCAAGTCGGACATCTGCGATCGTCTGTAACGCAATTGTTTCTTAGTGCATATAATCAACCACTTCAAATCGGACACATACCACCGTCAGTGACACATCTGATGTTTGAATTATTCAATCAACCACTTCAAGTCGGACACATTCCTCCATCGGTGACACAATTATCATTTAGATCATTCAATCAACCACTTCAAGTCGGACACATTCCTCCGTCAGTGACACAATTGTCATTTAAATCATTCAATCAAGCACTTCAAGTCGGACACATACCACAGTCAGTGACTCAATTGACACTCAGTTACTATAATCATCCACTTCGAGTTGGACAGATACCACAGTCAGTGACAGAGTTGTCATTTGAGGGGTACCAACACTCTCTTCAAGTTGGACAGATACCACAATCAGTGACACAGTTGTCGTTTAATGTATTCAATCAACCTCTTCAAGCTGGACACATCCCACCATCAGTGAGACAGTTGTCGTTTAATGTATTCAATCAACCACTCCAAGATGGAAGTCTGCCACCATCAGTGACACAGTTGTCATTTAATATATTCAATCAACCACTTCTGGCTGGACATCTGCCACCATCAGTGAGACAGTTGTCTCTTAATAGATTCGATCAACCGCTCCAAGTTGGACACCTGCCACAATCAGTGACACAGTTGTCATTTTATGAATTCAATCAACCACTCCAAGATGGACACATACCGCCCATCTGTGACTCAGTTGTCAATGAAACTCTTCAACCAATCTCTCCAAACTGGTCATTTATCCAACAATGTTACACGTTTAACTTTNGGCAACTTCAATCAACCACTCATTCCAGAGTACATTCCATCAGTTAGATCAATGACCATTCGATGCCCTCAATTCTCTCCTGAGAACTTCAATCTGGTTGGTCACAAACATCTCAATGAACTTACTCTGGTCTTTGACAAATCACCAATCAGATACAGCCGGACACCAACTGAACCATCCTCACCTCTACTACATCAACCGATCATATCTCAACTTTCAAAGATGAACACTCTTTCACACTTAATCATCATTACCATGCCAGGACGGAAAATGAAAAGAATACAGGATGCCATGCCATTCACTCTCTTGTATTCATTGCTCCAGTTTATCCCAACAATCACTATGCAGTTCTGCTCATATATGGATAATCAAACAGTCTTTCAAATCATCTGGAGACTTGTCGACGAAACAACAGCACTTCTTGTCTCTTTATCGAGAGCTAATACATATGGAGTATTGTTTTGGAACTTTGGAACAAAAACAACTTCAACAACAAGACCAAAGTCACCACCAAGTGTCCACCACAACCCCAAATAGAGTCACACCAAGAGGTGGATATAACTCCAGTCCTCCCCAGATAATGACGTTGCTCAACTCAGAGAACACTTGAGGAAGAAAACTATTCTCCAGATGTCCAGACTCACGAAGGACATGTTGAGACAACATCTGACCACAATGGGCATTCCAACCACCTCAGACACACCACCATTGACCAATCTTCAGTTGGCAAAGCTATTATCCGAGGCATTGAACCACCCATTGTTGGTGTCACTGCAGAATGATCATTTATTCCGATTACGATGAATATAACTTATTTGTGAAATAATCAATTACGATGGAATAAGTGAGAATCTGGAATATTATTAGTTGGGCATTTAGATCCAATTAAACAACATCAGAGATTATTATTATAGTTAAGATGAATATTACTATAACTACTCGTTTAAAGTGAGAGAGATCAGATGAGATGTTCATCGGGTACACTAAAAAGTAGTGTTGGTGTCAACTTGCATGTCATCCTTTGTGTTGTCATCATTCTGGGCTTGAAAAGGAAAGCACTAAAACTTGATTGAGGTTGTGTGTGATTGCAAACTTTCAAAGTAGCAGCACCGAGTTCCGCCCCTTTGCACCATTAGCTGCAATGCCAACCCTGCCTATGAAAGGTCACAAACACACACACACCCCTCACTACACTCTCTAGAGAGTGGAAGAAGTGTTTGATTGGTTCACTTTAATCAGGTGCCTCCGCTGCTCACTAATCCCTCCAGCAACTCCTATCTATCTATCTCTTTATTAATCAAGCACACATACACACACACACACACACACAAATACACACAACTGTCTCTCTATCTCTCTATCTCTCACTCTGTCTTTCTGCCTAACCCTCACCACTCTCACCTCCTACACTCTCCAACACACACTGAATACCATAGTCCAATCCTTCTTACTTATATTCAGCAGTAATACGATGATTCATTCTTACTACAGATAATATATATCAATCATCATTAACAACAACAACAACAACAATCCACTGTATAAACACTTAAAGAACGTTAAATAGAGATATCTTATTATCTCTATACAATTGCAATCAACTCTATTCCTACACTTGTTAGTAATAGTTTATTACCCAAACACTCTGTTTATTGTCTCTCTTTCTTCCAAGTCACATTGTAAGACTGTCAATCCCCATTATCCCTATCTATATCACAACAACCAACAACAACAACATGACCAACAACACTATCAATGAAGTATCATCCACGGCTTGTGTCAATGCATCTGCTGGATCAACGTCGCAGACTGTGACACCAACCACCAGTCCAACATTAAAGGGCAATTCCATGTCGCCAGAAATCCAAAGGGAGCTGTCACTAAAGAGTTTGGAACTGCGCAGAAAGGACGATGAAATCAACCATCTCAAGAATGTGATCGACCTATTGCAACAGCAATATGCCCAAGAGCTCTCCATCTGCTGTCAATACTCTGACTCTTTGGCCAAACTTCAGAAAGAGTTACAGACCCTAAGAGGTGAGAACATGTCTAAAGAGGAGCAGGTATGTTTATCAAGTAATTGAAAGTGGCGAGAGAAAGATATGTCCATTACTAACATCATGGTAACACATAGTACAAGAAGCAGATTGGAGATCTTCAACAGAAGCTTTACACCTCTGTCAAGATATGAAGCAATATCTACTCACTCACTCAATTGATATATCCCTCTCATTACCATTCTATTACTATTGCCGATGATACTAATTAATTAAAGAGAGTTGTTGACAACCCCCGTATGACCTATAATGTACTGTACAGTTTACTTTGATCGACCATTCAATCTCTTGGATTGGCCGCCACCGCCACCGCCACCACCTCTTTTTGTTGTTGTTGTTGTTGCTGGCTCTGGATCAGAGTCTCTTGAATCCGCTTCACTCTCGCTCATGCTCTCACTTTCACTCTCGCTCTCACTCTCACTCTCGCTCTCGCTGTCCTTCTTGCCTCGCTTCTTCTTTGTAGCAGCAGGTTTCTTCTTGGCTTTGGTCGCCTTTTTGGTGGTAGTCTTGGCCTTCTGCCCTTGTTGCTCCTTCTTCTGTGTTGGCTTGGATATGACAGTCTTCTTGGCCTTTGTGATGGTCTTGGTGTCGAGCTCATCATCAGAGAATGATGGTGGCGGTGCAAATTGACCAGGAAGCAGGTTGGCATTCTCCATGTCGTACTTGGGCTTTGTGGACAACAGATGGAAGCTTAGATCATTGACCTCCTTCTTCTTGCTCAACGCCACTATCTCCACGTTGCCATTGTTGGCCAACTGCAAACAACTGGCAAAGCGGCGACAGACATCGTATGGCTTGACGTCCACCATCAGATCCTGGAAGGAGATCACCATGTCCTTGTCAATCTTGTCGTCTTCGAGGGGATCATCTTCGTCTAGGTTGCAGCGCGTCTTGACAATGCTGGCCAGGTCCTCAATGATGCGTGTACTGTAGATCTCAATGTCAAATGAGGGTCGATGGTTCTGCTCGTCCAGATATGGTGTGATGCGCTGGTTCCAATCATTGAGGCGCTGCATCAGCTTTGTCTCTTGCAGGTAGCGCTCGGCGCCAGACATATATTCGTTGACATACTTCTGGCACATTGACTCATATGTCTCCTCCTCATGGTCGGTACGGTTGATATTGTTGCTAGACGATGTGTCTGGTCTCTTGCCAATGTTTTGTCCTTCCAGAACCGATGGATCCCAGCTTGTTGTGTTAGGTGGTTCACAAGGGGTCTCCCCATCACCATCCACTGCTCCAACGTCATAACCATCATCGTCGTCACTGTCATCAAAGTCCTATGTTKWTGATTGATTGATTGGTTAGTGACAAGTCCTCAATCCATCCAGTTCATCATGATACATACATATCCACCTCCACCCATATCCATATAAGAGTCCTCGTCGTCTTCTCTGCCAGTTGGAATAGAATCTGGAATATCACCATTGGGTTGCTCCACCTCAATACGGTTCTAAGTTGATGATGATGGGTAAGTATGTGTGCCCGCACAAAGACCCCATTGCGACAACTTAACATACCTTTGCTATTCTGTCACTCCTGGATTGTTTGATGAACTTGGTGTATATATAGGTCAGCTCTTTGAAGTAGCAACCCTTCAATGGTAATGACTTGGTGGCATAGACAATGAGCTCACTTGATCCAAATTGGAGACCAGCCTCAACGTTCTGGGATGACCTTTCTGGTTTCTTCTTGTCCGAATCGATCAAACCATTCGGTATCTTCCAGGTCCTACCCTTCTTGAATGGCTTCTCCGTGGTCTCCTCATGTGGATCGAGTAGTGTCCACAAGTTGACTGCCTTCTTTGCTGCTCTCTGTTGTTGTTGTTGTTGTTGTTGCTGCTGTCTTTGTCGTTGAGCATCATCAACATCTTGGTCACCAGTGGTGGTGGTTGTCTGATGTCCTTCACGGTCACTGTCATAGTCTGGACCATCACCTCCACCACCCCAGTCATTGTCATCCGAGTCGCTATCATATCCTCCATCGCCACCACCGCCTCCTATCATGTCGATATCGCTTGGTCCACTGACATCTCTTTTATCCGGGTGTATGCCCAATGTTGAGGTATTCAAGTCATCACCAGTATTGGCTCCAATGTCATTATTGTTGTTGTTGATTGATGAGTACCTGGACAGTGTTGAACCGAATATAGCCTCTTCATCATTCATCATATTGGAGAGTAGTAGGGCGCCACCCTTGGTCACCTGACAGGTGTTCATCTTGAAGTCATACTTCTTGGTATCGCCATCAGCACCACTGCCACTGTTCTCATTGTTCAGTGACTCCATGTTCCTATCATTGAGTGATGTCAACATGGCCATTGTGTTTGAGCTGTATATCGTGCCCAAAGTGGCATCACCATCACTCTTGTCCTTCTGTCCTCTGACACCCTTTCTTCTGTTCTTGGGCTGGGTGCCACCCTCACCATCACTATTATCATCTCTCAAATCAATATCATCAGCCTCTGTATTATGAACATTGTTAGTATCTATCCATTCCATCCATGTCCAACAATATACATACCCTCCATATCCAAAGGGAGGAACTCTGGACCATCTTCAAATCTTACATCACGGTCATTTCCATCCTTGTCCAATGATGAGTTCTGTTCCTTTCTCTTTCTACAGGGTGCCAGTAAGTCAAGTCAGTACACCCTGACCAAGTGGACACATCAATTAATGGTGTTGATCCATATCAAGGAAGGACTTACCTTCTGTCAGCCAAAAGATCCAAAGTCTGATAGAGTAGACTATATAAATACTCCACCTTCTTACTGTAGATGACGGCTGATCCTTGAATGAGCAGTGCTGCCTCTGCAAAGTTGAGTGACTTATTTACACCATCAAACGTGAATGTGATCTTGGACAGCTCCGATAAATAGTCCTCTAACTCTCTTGATATATCTATGCTCCAGTTTTCTGCCAGATCTCTGATTGATCAAATGATTGATTGATTGATTATGTGTCAGACTCCAAACTTTATACACTCATATTGTGTGTCCCAATACAATAGATTGTCATCATCATACCTGATTGGCTGAAGTAAGTAGGCAAAGCGAGACTCTGTCTCTGCTGCTGTCTCTGTTGACATGATGTTGTTGTAATTGGTATCTCCGTGCTATGCTATATTGATGTACCTGCGCCAGAGATTGATTCTATCCTATCCCTCGATTCTGTTTTTGGTTGGCTGCTGCTACTGTTGTTGTTGTTGTATGTATATAGATATATTTATATATGTTTGATAACAATGAGAACTGATCATTCTCTATCTCTCTCTCACTTCCCTCTCATCATTGATTCAAAATTTGAATTTGGCGCCAAAAGTACCCCCACACCAGGTTGTAGCGTTTCCAAAGTTCGTCCCGTACTTCCATTTTAACATCAAATGGATTGATTCCTTTGTTTGATGGATTATTATTGTTTGATATTGGAAGATTATTTTTATTACTCCATATCCATATCTTCATCATCGTCTTCGTAGTCCTCATCATCATCCTCATAATCCTCATCGTCGTCTTCCTCGTCATCGTCCAACTCAGTATCATTGTTGAGGTCGATGTTATCGAGGAGCTCAGCCAGATCGACTTCATTCTCGTTGTCATCCTCGACACCAATCTCTTGCTTTCTCTTGCGTCTCTCTGCCAGAATGTTCTCGGCATTGTCCTGTTTGTAGAGGTTGATCTTGCCACGCATCTCTGAATCCTGCTCAATGTCACGAGCAAACAGCTCCTCGTCCTCGGCCTGTCGCTCCAGGTCACCCTTCTTCATCTGCTCGACGGCCTCCTTGTTCAGTCTCTTTGTTCTCCAATGACGCTGGTAGTTGATGTGTGAGTAGGTCTTCTTCACCAGAATGACCTCTGGCACCTGTTGCTTGGTCTTGATGCTTGTGAAATCATTGTCGTTCAGCACGGCAGTGCTCAGGTCATAACCTAGTGCCATATCACCAGCGTTGAACAGATTACCCAAATGAGTCCTAATGTAAAAGGTTGTATCGTTCGAGCCAAAGTCTGATGATCTTGCTACCTGTATATCTGCCATGGCAAACTGTTTGTTTGGTGTAATAGTTTGTTAGTTAGTGACCTGGATTGACGGAGCAGATGTGTGGGCCAACAACTTACCTTTCCTTTCCTCTCTCCAGTCAATGTGACATCCAAAACAACAAACTCAACCAACTGCTTCTGTCCACAGAGTGATCTGAATGGATGACTCCAGAATGAGAGTGCATTGATCTCTCCTGATTGAAGGGTATTTGGATCGATAACGTGAATCAAGTTGGATACCTTTGTAACCAATACAATTGGTCTATTATCAATCAACACAAACATTTGTTAGTAACATGTTCACAAAGAGATGATGGATGATGACGATGATGATGACGCTACATACCCTATACCTCCTAGAGAATGCATGACCTTTGGTGACATACAGACTAGCTCTTCCTTTGAGATGGGGACAATCTCTACTGAGAAGGAATGTTTGTAGTTGGCATTGTTGTTCTGCTCATCGGTAGAGATGAGCTGCTCGGAACGCTTGGTCTTGATGGGCACGAACGAGGAGACAAACTCGACAAACTTGTGACCGTGGTTCTTGTTGCTAAAGTAAAAGTCCAGACCGTCAGTGCGCTCCTTGATGTTCAGTGTCTGGCTGTGAGCGTTGTGCTTCAGGATGATCTGCTCCAGGAACAAAAAGGTACGCTTGTGGTCCACCTTTTGACGCAGCTGGACGACGGCGTTCCAGGTGTCCTTGGCCTCGAACTTTTGGCACTTGGGACACTGCTGGCCCTGTACGATAAACTCGATGATGAACACCTGCTGCAGGATGGCGCTTGAGAACACCTCTTTCTGGATGGTCAGCTTGACCTTGAGACGACGCGAGTGAGGCTCGGTCCACACCCAGCCTGCATCGACCAGCTTGACCTGATTCAGTCCCTTGACCTTCTTAATGCACAGAGTCAACAGCTCTCTAGACTCAAGCTCGCACATGGCCCAATGATTGGGTGGTTGGAGATAACGATTGCATCCACGACACCACTGAACGATCAGCTGCTTTGGAATGCCCTCTGTAATATCAACCTGACTCCTTATACAGTTGACACACATGTTTGATGGGTTGGCTGGGATCAGCACTCCACACAAACAACATAATCTATTATATATATATAAATGTAATTAGTATTACTGTTCTTCAAAGTGTGTGTGCCTGTGAGTCGTTGAAGTAATCTAGAACACGTACATGTTTGATTGAGTTTGTTGAGGTATATACTCCATTCTATCTACTATATCTATATCTATATGTAAATGTATTTAATATTTATGTACACTGTTTTAATATGTGTACTTATTATTATTACTGCACTGTTTGTATAACAATGGTTCTTTGACCGTGGGTGCACTTGAACCCTCTTCTCTCTGTCTCTCGCCCACACCTCAAACATTGTGTTCCATTCTCCAACGATTCGTTCGTGTGTGTGAGAATAAAATATTAATTGATTTTAAATCATTTTTGGTGATCTCGAAGATTGACAAGGTTGAATGAATTGCAACAGATGAGGAGCCCTGTTGGCAATTAATTGTTTATTGGATTATGAGGAGGAGGAGAACCAACAAAACAAGGAACATAGACACTGCTTGATGTGGTGTAGAGATACTACCAGTAGATGGATGGTTGGTTGTCGTAGTGGTAGTTGATGGGCTAGCAGTTGTTGTCGATGTTGTAGAGGTTGTTGGTGTGGCAGTAGTAGTCGACGTTGTCGAAGTAGAGGTTGTTGGAGAACTTCCAGTGGTGGAGGTAGTAGAACTGGTAGAGGTGGTGGATGTTGTTCCCGTGGTGGACGTTGTTCCAGTTGTGGATGTCGAGGTAGTCGTAGGAGCAGAAGTGGTGGTGGCAACGGCGGTGGTGTTGGAGGTAACGTATGGACAGTAGACAGAACCAATGGCAGACTTGGGCAATGGCAATATTCCATCACACATGAACTTGTATGGTCTGCATTGCTTCATTGTTGGCATGGAGGCACAGAGACGCATGTACACCAAGTACACGTCACAGGGCATTGGAACACTGGTGCTGGACGTGGCGAATGGACACTTGGCGCAATCATCCATATCCATCTCATTACACATGTCAATGACTTCGGCACTGGCGTTCAATGTCGTGATGAGATAGGATATGGGCGGCATGTTGGTGCATTGTTGGACGACGGAGCCTGGAGCACACATTCCATCGTAGTTCTTGCAGCCCTTGGCGGTGATGTTGCCCATGTGGTCAACCTGGCAGGCATCGGCGAGGATGGAGAACGGTTCACAGACACCGGAACTGGCGTTGGCAGACTGGCACGACTTGTAGATGCTACAGGCGGTGTAGTTCACATTGGTGAGGTTGAGACAGAGAGTGTCGAGGTCATTGGTACAGTTGACTGGAGCGTAGGTGAAGTCAGTACAAGACACATTCTCAGGGTGGTGGAAACAGGGGTGGTGGGCACTTCCAATCGACACGTAGAGTGTAGCAACTAGACAAAGGATGGCGATCAATGTTAGCTTCATGTTTGTTCAAACAATGCAACAACAACAATTCAGACGAAGAAGATAAGGAGGAAGTTAAAGAGGAAGTTAACGAGGAAGTTAAAGAGGAAGTTATGAAGAAGACGAAGAAGAACGAAGTAGACAAACAATAATAATAATACGAAGGGGAACAAGAAGAGGACGAGGAGGAGGAAGAGGAGGAGGAAGGGGAGGAGGAAGGGGAAGAAGGGGAAGAGGAGGATGAAGAAATAATTAGAGTTCTCTCAATTTGTATGTGTATCTCAGTACCTGTAAAGAATTAGGCGACAAGACGAATGACACAAGAAGTCGGTGTCTCTCATAACACATCTCCCGCCTCCTTTGACTGACAGTGAACAAACAACGAGCGACAGCTCTGAGAGGGCGACACACAACTTTTAAGAAGAGACAGAGCAATGGTTGATTGGGTTGGGTGGCGACAACACCAGCCATAGAAGTAAACAACCAAACTAAGGGGATGATTGAATAGGGGATGGACGTCCCAAAGACAAAATGAGTGGCGCACCAAATGATGATGGTGTTGTAACTGGGTATGTGGTGGGCTGCAAGTATCGCCTGCCAATCGGCAATATTTATAATAAACGAATAAGATTGATTGGCATGGGGGGACACCACTTCAGACCAACCCGTGCGCGTGCTATCTACAAAGAATAAATTGAACAAACCGAGTACCAGAGGCTCCCAAAGATTATCTAGAACCATTCATTGCACGACAGTCCTTTCAACTAATGCCATTGTATCCAACATAAGTAATAATAATTATTATTATGAGTGAGCTAGGTAAGGTGATGGTATATACAATCACCACTTTATTCTTTGATTTATACAAGAGGAACAGTTTCCTCAGCAGACTTCTTCTCCTTGTAGTATGACTTGTCAATGCTGACAGAGTGCAATACTGCTGTTGGGTCACAATATGGGGTCTCACCATTGTTGATTGACAGCAGGTCCTGAGACTCTTCGTTGGCGAGTCCGTTGATGTCCATTGGGTTCTCCTCGTCGGTGACGACAACCTCGAATGGATCATCCTTCCAGTTCTCTGCAATGTACAACTTGTTGACGACGTAGTACTGCATGATCAGAGAGAGCATGGTCAACGAGCCAATGAGCAGGGCCAACAAGAAGGTAGACTGGCCGCACTGTACATCATCCATCCACTTGGCATTGAAGAGCATCGAGTACATTGTTGGGAAACCACTGTTGATGAATTGATCGACACCAGAGACGATACACCAGCTGCCATAGAATGCTGTAGAGGTCATCAAGCAAACGAATGGAGACAGGGCAAAGATCAATGGGAAGATGAAGAAGAGGGAGCTGACGGCCATCTGGAGGCTGGAGGAGAAGGGTGCAACGGACATAATGGCATTGCACATCCAAGTGGCAGTGATCAGACCGATGAAGGCACAGGGCAGACGTTTGTAGCGAAGGAATACAAAGGAGAGTATCAAGGAGGCCAGGAATGAGACGATAATATGTACAGGGGTGGCCAATGGGTATGACTCGGAGATCCAATAGATGGAGATGGCACCTACACCGGAACCAAAGAAACTCAACAACACATCAGAGTATTTAAATCCGAGTGTTGTAACTCCAGCACCTCCTGTCAGGTATCCAATGCCAATAAGTTGTGAAATACTAAGTCCCAATACCATTTTTCCAATTTATATTTATATATATATAAAATATTAATTAATGGAATAATTATTATTTGTTGTAATAGTTATAGAGTATATATTGTATAATTGATCAAAGAGTAATGAGTGGAATAGAGATGTTATATTGGATAGTGGAGGGAGGGCATGTTGTAGAAGCCATGTGGAATTTAAATGAATGATAGGGGTCTTTGTGTGTGTGTGTGTCAATCTATCTGAAGGAGTGCTACTTCAGAGTGGATGACTACGATCATTCATACACATAAACACACACACACATACACACACACACACATACATATATAAACCAACAAACCCCATCCACCCACTCAATGGATAACAGTGATAGACTGTCTGTAGCCCAAAAGCTTGAACAACGCGAGGAGGAGAGAGCAAGGGAGAAGAAGAAGCAACATCTCCTCAAACAAGAGCGCCAACTCGACCAGAGCGCCTCGCAAAAGATTGCCGATACCCTCTTACAAATCAACTCCCTATCCAATGGTAATAGTGTTGATGATGCGACCTCCACCATTGCCTCTTGAATTGAACTGAACTGACACCTATCAACAACACCACACATTCGCACTTCACTCCCTCACTCACTCAATCACTCAATCACTCACTCATCAACAGACATCATTGAACAGTTGTCACAGGTAGAGAAGTTGAAGGCTCTGCCCAAGGATCAACTTGATGCTGTATTTAGTAACACACAAGAGGGCATACTCTTGATCAAACAACTGTTCAATGAGACATCAATAATGTTGCCACAGTACGAGATCAAGAATGTCACAGAGGTATGAAGTGCTTATACTTGTTCACACAATCATACAACACAACACTAACACTAGTCAACTAGATCATTGGCAGACTGGAGAGTAAGCTACTGGAAACAAAGAATGCTCTGGCACCAAAGCAGAAGTTCTCATTTGTAAAGAAGGCAAGGAAGACAGAGTCTGACCAACCAGCGACAACAACAACATCAACTACTACATCTGCTCATCATCAAGAGGAACATATAGTTGTTGATAGTAAACCAACAATCAATATTGAATCAATCAGTAATCTCAAAGGACAAACTATTCAATTCCCATTGGACGCATTGACATCAAATGATGATACTCCAGTGATCAATGACCTCACTGTTTCAAACTTGGTCGAGTGCAAGCTGAACATCACCACTACATTGACATCTCTGAAAGTGGACAACATCACTGGACCCTCAACCATTCACTCCACCATCGATATAGATGGTTCAATATTCATTGACAATTGCACCAACACAACATTCTATCTCTCTGCCAGGCAGGTCAGTATCATCCTACACAATTCATTGGACAACAAACAACATCCATCTAACTAACCTTATCATTACCCTTAACAACAGATAAGGATACACAACTGTGAGAACTGTCAATTCTACATTCATACCAAGAGTCATCCAATAATTGAGGCATGTCGGTCAATTGGATTTGCACCATATCGACAGGATGATGACAATCAACACTGGAACCAAGTCAATGACTTTGATTGGCTACAGAGCAAACAGTCTCCAAATTGGCATATCATACCTGATTCAAATAGGACATATCTGTAGGAGGATAGTTGTCCTCAATCAATATATAATATATACTACTGGCCAGATGTTTGATCCAGGCCTCTATTTATTCGAAGATTACTTGTTGTTGATTCCTTGATTACACTGCAGGAGCCACTGATAACTCTCGATAAACAAACAGAGCATCACTTCCTTTGGCTGGGACATTCTCAGCTTTGATCGACCTGACATCGATGTCCTTTGAATGGAAGCTATCGATTGATTTGAGCGCAGAATTGAGCCCATCGTTGAATGACTTGTGATCGTTTAGATCCCCAACAATCAGTACAGTACATGTGGCCATACGTACAGAATCCAACAGAGTCTTTGAGAAGTGTTTACTGTTGGCACGGTATCGAAGTGCCGTTGTCTCCATGTGATCCTTCAATGTACCATTGCCCATGCCAGCGTGATATGATACTGCAGAGTCAATTGGATAGGCAAGCTTGGCTGCGAGCAATGCTTGCAGCAGTCCAACAGTGTTGTCAAACTCATGAGTGTCATCCATGTCATTGATAAAGTATACAGTCCTTGGCAGAGCAGAGTTACCCTCTCTACAAACTTGATCGATGTCCACTTTATCTTTATCATCATCATCATTAACTTTGATATGTACATCCTTGTCCTCGTCATCATTTTGTACTACAATAGGGATGTCTACCTTCTTTGTTGGTGGTGGTTGGTTGTCATTATTATCTCGTTTATCATGTAAATCATTATTATTATTATTGTTATTATTGTTGTTATTGTTGTTCTTTGTATCATCATCATCATCATCATTATCCTTTGTATCTATAGTATCATCATCAACTCCTTTGTATTGTGGCTGTTTATGACGTTCATTTTGTAGTTGTTCATCTTTATGTTGTGCTCTCTCTAGACTATAGCTCAAGAATAGATAGTAGGAGAATAGAAACAATACAATAGCAACGAATATGAAGAACTTCTTTCTCGTAGCAAACATTATTATTATTATTATTATTATAAGTTATAGAGTTATATCTATCTCCTACCAAACATTATTATGATAAGGCCGAAATGAGGCAGCTGCGAACTACTTCAAAACATTTCCCGCAAGAAGCATAATTTGCGTCTAGATGCTCCATTCATCCTATAACAAGATATCTGAGAGAGAGATAGACAACAACATGCGCATAACTCTCAAGAGATATAATAGATGATGTTCAAACCTATCAACTGAACAAACAAAGATACATACTTCTGTAAATTTGTGTCACGTGGACCTATCTCTGTTATGATCAGATCATAATTATTTCTTTCTTTTTGGTCTTAGAACCAATGTGACCAGCAGAGCAGATTCATTCATTGTTTGTGGGCAATGAGGTACATCATTAGTGTGATGGATGTGATGATCGCCAAGTCTAGGCAGCAACATCATCATGTCTGTCCAACCGCCATTAATAGAACAACTTCTTATTTTTCAGATATTAATACATGTTGACACATTATTTGTATCTCGCCAATAGTCGAGATTATAAAAATCATCCAAAACTGATTTTATCTTTTGTGTCGCTCATCCTGTCAGTTGATCACTTTGTTTATTTCACTGACAGGGAGGTACCCTCTGACAAGTGACACTCTCATCGGATGATTTTTTTTTTTTGACAACTGGTCGAAAGTTTCTTTGCAGCCTGGTGGGCGAATTGGCATGAGAAACAAGGGGGGATCAGAGGTAGAGGTGGATCTAGATTCCACATACCAAACCTTACACCAGTAGATATAGCAAGGRACACCAGTAGACACACTGCCTACCTCTCCATGTTGGGTGGTCGTATAACTTTTGGTACATCGTCTAAAACTGTTATTGCTCTTGATGATGATGTTGTTGTGGTTGACAGCTTCATCAATCTATCAATTCAATCCTGTCATTCATTCATTCAGTCAGTCTCTCTATTCAACAATCATTCCATCTTTATACAAAGAATAAGAACAACATTATATACATATTATTTATACACATGCAAGACTAATTATAGACTATTGTCATATTATAAATCATTCAAACATGTCAATCAAACTTTCAACATTGTTCAACGGATTGTTGTTCATAGTATTGTTGTCCTCTACTCTTCTCGTTTCAAGATCAGAAGGCTACAGTATGTGTCATTGTTATTTCCTCATTGTTTTGGATTCCAACAGCAGTCCAATCCAAGGTCTAACCCCCAAACAACGGTCATTTAGAATTTAGAGCAGCCAACTACACTGGCACATTCTCAAACAGTTCATTGCCAGCTCCATTTGAGACTGAAATGAATGGATACTACAACTTGACTTATAATGCAACAAGTGAGACTGTCAGCTTCTGGCTCTATGTCAATGATACCACCATCTCAAAGAGCATTAAGCAGGTCAATCTTACCGCCGCTGAGCCTGGTCAGAGAGGCGAGAGACAAATAACATGGTCCACAATCTTTGGAAAGTACTTTGGTACCATCTTCACGTTTAGCAACCTCGGCAAGGGTCTCAACTCATCGACCACCATTCTCATGCAATGTCCAGACCAATCCAAGAACATTCAATTGTACATTGATGTGGGCAACACCTCCACAATCTTTCTCCGTGCTCCATTGATACTTGAGGCCTACTATCCAAATCAAGACAACATATCATGTGATCCAACGCCAGCAACAACCACTACCACCACAACTACAACGACAACAACAACTACTTCTCCATCTACAACTACAGCTACAACTGTATGTTCATCAGTTTCATGTACTACTTCAGTGACAGACGCATCTACAACTACTACTGGCCCATCCACAACTACTTCTACCACCACGACCACAACAACCATTCCACCATCCACTACCAGTACAACTACAATGACAATGCCATCTACATCTAACGCCAACTCCATTTTTTCACGTCCTTCCTCCTTCTCCTTTTCCACTCTCCTCCTCTCTTTTTCCACCATATTTATTTCTACGTCCATTACCTTATTACTCTAATAAAMCTAAGGTGATCATCTCTCTTCTTCCTCTTCTTTGTGATGAGACAACGATGTCCATTACCATACATAAACATCACTCAACCTACAAGTGTATTTAGTATTACAACTACAAACTTTGATATACTTATTCTAAAAATGGATGCAGGGATGCATCTTCAAAAGATCATCTTTGAATCGTTTCACAGCATCATCTCAGAGTCACAAACAGATAATTATAATACATACATATAAATAACAACAATAATGGCATGCACTGAAGAAGAGTTTATGGAGATATTGGGTACAGAGGTGTACATTGATATGAATAAGTTGACGGCAGTGTCAAGACATGGTATACCTGAACGTGTTAGAGCAGAGGTTTGGAAGTACTTGTTGGGTATATCAAAGAATGACAAGTCAGAGGAGGAGCGTGTCAAGAGTCAACAACAACAAGAGTATAAAGAGATAGATAAGAATGATTCGGAGATTACGAAAAGGATAAGGAATCATCTAAAGAGATATCAGATACATAGTAAAGTAAGTAAGCTATAATGTTTGATTGATTGATATTGATTGAGTAATGTACTAACCAACAACAACAACAACAGGAATCAAGAGTAAAGTTTGATTTACAATCTGTTGAGAATAGGAACAAGATAGAGAATATCATTATATCTTATATCAACTATAATAATGATATAGAGTATAACTTTGGTATGCTGGCTATATTGGGTCCATTCATGTGTACGTTGCAGTCAGAGAGTGAGACATTCTACTGCTATGTATCAATGATGAAGCGTATCGAAGAGAACCTCGCTCAGGATAGCATCACTACCAAACTGTCCAGATTCATGATGTACTTTAGATCACTCATTCCTGAACTGTAAGTGTCTGTCGTCTCTCGATTGATTGGACGTCATAATGTGGAAGTGGACTAACATTGCATTTAGGTTCAATCACTTTGAGGAGGAGGAGATCAATAGCAATGACTGGGCCATGAGTTGGCTTCAGTATCTGCTCAGTGTTGAGCTGCCTTTGGAGTGTGTGCTTCGTCTTTGGGACACATATCTGTCGGCACAGCTTGGTCTTGATCTTCACATATTCGTATGTTTAGCCATCCTAATGAACTTTTCCGAAGAGCTACTCGAACTTGAGCACTCTGAGATACTTGGATTCCTCCAACATCTTCCAGGCATTGACATGGATCAGGTAAGTTTGATTGATTGATTCGAATGTAGTTGATGTCATGTGACTAACGACCACTTCATCATCATAATGATCAAACAGATCATTGCACAGGCATACAACATTAGAGATGATATTAGAGCCAATAGCGAGATATGATCAGTCGACTGGTTGATTGACACGTGTCAGGTATCTTCAGAATTGTGGAATGCGGGAAGAATAAAGTCATTCATTCGCACCTCAAATCACCAATGTGTGGGGGGTTAGGGGCAATATCCCTTGAGGAACATCACTACTACTTCTTGTCTTTGTCACATCAATCAATCAATCGAATAATAGTATAGTAGTAGTAGTAGTAATAGAGGTATAGTTATAATCTATTATATACACCACACCATGGAGAACAATACTGGTGGATTGAGCCAGTTAACTTCACCATTGGACAATGACAAGATACAAAAGATCGTTGCCAACTATCAGAAGTTAAAGACACAGAATGCTGTTCTAAAGAAGGCTATCATACAAGTAATATAGTTGTTGTTTGTTGTTTGATAATAATGTGCGATTAACAATATCATCATATGTATAGGAACAACAAAAGTCTGGTGATTTGGATAAAGAGTTGAAGGAGAGACAACAGGCGTTGAGTACTGCTATGCAGGAACATGATGTATTGGAGTTCAACAATCAACGTCTTACAAAGAGATTGCAGACGATGCAGGATCAGATGAATGAGAAGAAGGAGGGTAGTTCATTCAAACTGTTTGGTTCAAAGGTGGAGTTACAACGCAAGGATGAAGAGATCAATATACTGAGGAGCGAGTTACAGGAGAAGATAGATGACAATCGTATGATCTAGCTTGAGAGTGATGATGATGATTATAGTGATGGACGGATGTTAACACCTTCTGTATTACCAATAGAGAGTCTACATAGTGTAGCCAATGAGAAGGAGACTGCATTCAAGATGATGGAGACTCATCTGAAGCAGACGATCGCAGAGAAGGATACTCTGTTGCAAGAGAAGAACAAACATATCGAGGAGTTGATCCAGTCTCAGAAGGAAAGCGAGTTTAAACTAGTACAACAGACACAAGGATTAAGAGATACTATAGAGTCACTGCAAGCTGGTGTTAAGAAGTAAGTGTAGACTATGATGAACATCATATTACAGACTAACTGACATGTCTTTGTTGTTGTCATCAGGTTGATATCAAGCATTAGACTACGAGATGATCTGTTCGAACAGACAAACGAGTTGATTAGGAACTGCATCGACAATACGCCTGTGATCACCTTGGTATGTAGTAGTAGTAGTTGTGCATGATGTTCACCATCCATTCTTACTTACTTACTCTGATTGATTAGGACTACCCTCTTGAGAATGTAACACCATCGAGTGAGAGGATCAACTTTGAGAGCTTGGTATTCGACAAGGACTTCTCAGTGGATATCAACAAGGACTCTATCAACACTGTTATCAATCCTGAGCATTGGAAGCCAGCATATAGAACAATGGTTGCTTATCTTCAATCAATATTCTCACAACATCTCTCTGAGATGTCCACAATCATTGGCACCCATCACGACAGGATCAAGAACTCTGACAATGTCAACAAGAAGGAGATGACCCTATTGAATGGTATGATATCTATACCTTTGGCATTATCCAGTGATCAGGTGATCACCTAAGTCTAACCAATCAATCCAATCACAGACAAGTTGAACAGATTGTCATTGGAGAAGGAGGAGAATGCATTCACACTCAATACCGTCAAGGACGACTTGACTCATAAGGAGCATCTCTTGGTCACTGCAAACAAGGATATCGGAGATTTGAAGGAGACTCTGGATAGATTGGTAAGTTATACTATCTACATTGAGCAAAGTCCAATCAATCACTCATTCATTCAATCAATCAATCCAAACAACTAGACATTATCCAACAAGAAGTTTGAATCACAGATAGAGACAGACATTGCCAACTATGCATCAATGAAGCAAAAGCTTGAGAAGGATATAGAGGAGTTGAATGCCAATCATAAGAATGAGGTTAGACAACTATCCGATCAACACCAAGGTCTACTGAAGCATCAGAGGAATCTACTCAACTCCAAGATTGAGGAGCAGAGATCTATTATCAGTCAGATGGAGAAGAAGTCACAGCAACTCGAGCTCTCACTGAAGCAGCTGAAGCAGCAACCTCAACAACAACAAGCACCTCAACAAACATTGGTCAATCTGATGGACGACGATGTCCAACCTACTACACAACAAGCAAGTCCCTCTGTTCAATCCACTGCCACACCACCACCATCTTCATTCTCACCAAGCAGTTCACTTGTCGATGTATCTGGTGACATGGATAGCCAACTACAACAGGCAACATCAAGTTCACCACATTCTCCATCACTTGGTGGTCACCACCAAGAGAGTGTAGAGGGCATAACTGAAGCCAGTACCAACAAGGGATCAGGCAGTGGAAGCAGTGGCACTGGTAGTCCAACCTTTGGCAATGACAACATTGTCGTGGTCATTCCAAATCAGAACCAAAACGAATCACCAATCGCAACAACAAGCATTGACGTTGCACCATCAGGCAGGTTCAAGCTCAAAGTACTCGATGAGACTGGTGAGGCATCAGATGTATGTATTGCCTTGATCAATCAATCATTCAACATTCATTGCTAACACATTGTCATCACCAACCAGTCACTCAACTTCTCATTCGAGGACAAGGAGAGGGAGAAAGAGATGAGGATATTCTATGAGAATAAGATGAATCAATTGTTGAACAAGATATCCAATATTGACGCCAAGGCATTGAGATACTACGAGCAGTACAACAACCTGTTGAAGAAGGGTCAGTCCAATGACAGTGTCAAGGGTGAGTTGGACGAGGCACTCAAGCAGGTCAAGAACACCAAGGATGAGTTGGAGGTCACTCGCGTCAACTATGACATGCAGATGAAGTTGTTGACCGAGCAGTACATCTCACTCAACGAGTCATTGATGCACGTCGACTCTGAACTGATCAGAATCAAGCAACACAAAGTCCTCTGTGCCAAGTGTCGTGCATGGAATCCACTCGAATCAGTCTTTTCCTCAGAGAACCATTCACTCTCATGTTGCAAAGGAAACCATCCTCTTCAAACAATAATGCCATGATCACATTAATATATATATTATTATTTGTATTACTCAATCCTAATCAGGGTCAACGTGAGGTCAAATCAACCCCATTGATGGTGGGTTTGAGCCAAGATTGGGGGTTGTGTAATGAGTGTTGTTCAATTAACAACTGGATCACACATTCATTCATTCATTCTACATTCTCATTCATTCATTCATCACACCAATATACACATATTACTACTACTGCTACAATATATATTATATATAACAATGAAATATAAAAGTACAAGAGGAACTGTAAATGGATTGTCATTCATTGATGCTGTAAAGATGGGATTGGCTGATGATGGTGGATTGCTTGTACCAGAGTCAGTGCCACAGGTATCACAACAGATGTTGGATCAATGGCGTAGTCAATCATTCCAAGAGATATCATTCAATATATTGTCAATGTATATCGATCGCTCAGAGATACCAGAGAATGATCTACGTGATCTTGTTAATAGATCATATGCCACATTCTCAAACGATGCCGTCACACCTCTCAAACGACTGGATGAGAACAACAACACCTTCATACTGGAGCTGTTCCATGGACCAACCTTTAGCTTCAAAGATGTCGCCCTGCAGTTCTTGGGCAACCTCTTTGAGTACATTCTTAAGCGTGACAATGAACGTCTCTCTGTGGTCGTGGCAACATCTGGCGACACTGGAAGTGCAGCCATCCACGGTCTCAAGGGTCGCGAGAATATCAACCTCTTTGTGCTCTACCCCGCTGGCAGGATCTCAGCGGTGCAGGAGCTACAGATGACCACAGTGCTCGATCATAATGTACATCCACTTTGCATCTCGGACTGTACCTTTGATGATTGTCAATCAGCCGTCAAGACGATAATGAGTGATCTCACCTTCAAGAAGGCCCACAACCTAGGGGCGGTCAACTCAATCAACTGGGCCCGTATCCTTGCACAGATGGTCTACTACTTCTACGCCTACTTCCGTGTTCAAGACATACTAGGTGAGGGCAAGTCTGTCACATTCTCTGTGCCCACCGGTAACTTTGGTGATATACTGGCTGGATTCTACGCCAGAAAGATGGGACTGCCCGTGAACAACCTCATCGTATCCACCAACCAGAATGACATCCTTTATCGCTTCTTCTCCACCGGCGAATATAGCAAGCCCAACACAGTCATACCAACAGTGGCGCCAGCAATGGACATCAATGTGGCCAGTAACTTTGAACGATATCTCTACTATCTTTGCAAGGAGGACCCTGCCCAGTTGGTCAACCTGATGCATACATTCAACACGACTGGACGCTTCAGTATGTCGCGTGAGCAGATGAACAGTGTCTCTGTCAACGATGGCTTTGTGTCCTCATCAGTAGGACACCAAGAGATATTGGACACGATTGCAGAGTATCACAAACAACTCAACTACCTTATGGATCCACATACAGCTGTTGGTGTGGCCGGTGCCAAGGCACACGGACTATGTACATTGACCAACTATGCCAATTTGAGCAGGCCGGCAGATGCCCTGGTGTGTCTGTCCACTGCACATCCAGCAAAGTTTGGTGACACTGTCAAGGAGGCTACAAAAGGTCAGGTTGACATTGAGAACCAGTTTGAGCCCACCAAACAACTGCTCCAACAACAATCTACAACATCCAAACTGAACAAAATCGATCTCAAACTAGATGTCAATCAAATCAGGGACTACGTATCAAGTCAACTCGGTGCCAAGTGTTGTAACAACACTCATCCATAAGGTGGTACACACTGTTCATCAATCATATTATAACCATAATAATACGTCATCATCAAACTTTATTTTTATTATTTGTTTGCAAAACACCAAAAAACATCGTCTTCTTTTCAAAGTACTGAGCACCTTTCAATTTCAAACACAGCTCAAACATCATCATACTCATACACACAAACAGATACACATAAACATAAACACAAATACATCTTCATTCTTTTCTTTTTCCTTGTTGTTTTAGCTAAAGACAACGGGTGTCAACACCATCCACTCACCCATTATTACATCGTTGAGGAGGAGGCTGTTCAACAACAAACAAAGCAAAGCAAAAAGCAAAGACACAAATAGAGTTATATATTTAATCAATCAAACAAACTTTAGTAATAGTATTCTGCTGTGCAATCAGTCAGTCATAGACCAGTGGTCGTTTGGGAGGATGAACATCAATCCTCAGGTTACTTCAACAACATCATCATCATCACCTCTAGCATCATACGATTATATACCTGGAGCGGACGACGCACCAACTACACCAACTACACCAACAATAACAACAACAACAACATCTACAACTTCAACAACATCAACAACAAGTACTACAACAGCAACAGGTACTTTGACACCTACTACGACAAGTCGGTTCAATAATAACAACAACAACATGACATCATTCGATTTGGCCAACTCTACCAACTCTACCAACTCTGACAGTAGCAGTGGTTCATCTGGATTGACCACCTCTACTGGTTCAAACAATGGCGTTACAGGTCTGTCTACATCTGGCGGTGGCGGTGGTGGTCCATCAGATAGAATGACAAGTTCACCAAGTATGTATACATACATATATGTTAATGTTGTTGAAGTGAGGTGCATGCTAACATCATTCATTCATTCATTCATTCATTCATTCATTCAACCATAACATTAGAATCAAGTAGTCAGAGTGGATCACCATCAAACAATGAGGATAGTTATTACTCAATGGCCAAGATCTATCTAAACAATAGACCCAATCATATGACCAATCAACAGAACCTAGGTAGAATAGAGTTCAACATGAAGTCTGAGGATCTCGACCAATCATGGTTCCACAAAGAGGCCACCCGTGATGTTTCAATCGCATTGTTAACCTCCAAACCAATTGTAAGCACCTCATAGGCAGGCAGGCAGGGAGCACGTGAAGGAAGGGACAAACAACGCAATGTCCACTTACACACACACGCGCGCGCACAGGGCACATTCTTGATAAGACCTAGCTCACAGCCAGGTAGTTACGCAATGTCCTGGGTGAAGACTCAGGGCGGTGAGATTGGACACAATCTGATCTATGGTCTATGTCCTGGATACTCACTGAAACAGAATCCAACCAGTCCCACCGACAGACATTGGACTCTGCAGTCGTTGGTCGAAGGTTGCGACTACCTCGACCTGCCCATCACGGTCAATTCCTCGACGGCCTCCATCACCAAGTCATCCAATGCCAAGACCAACAGTGAAGTTGTCGGTCGAATCATTGAGAGACTATACAGCAACGATTCAAATCTTTTAGAGTTGATGTGGAGTCTACGTATCATTGGAGAGAATGCCAATGAGAACGTTAATCGATGCGAGAAGAGGACTTATGTTAAGTATGTAGGACACTCATTCAAGTTATGTGTATTGTGATGATGACTAACCTTTGATGACTCGCATGCCAATCAGATATTGTGATGAAGAATATACAGCACCAGAGATATTACCTTTGAATGGAAACTCATTGTCGCTAATTGCACAGAGTCTTCAGAACAATGGTATCATTCACTCACTTCATATCAATGGATATGAGGGTTACCTTCGAATGAGCTTCACACCAAACATTGGTGATCAAGAGGCCAGTGCACTTGCCAACATGCTATTGAAGAACAAGTCACTCACTCTTCTCAATCTAAGCATCAACGAAATCACAGACACTGGTGCCAAAGCAATAGCCTATGCATTGAAGTCAAACAGGTAAGCATACATCGCCTGTCCCAGTCTCTACCTCGAACAACCAAACTAACAACATAACTACATTATAGGACATTGAAATATTTATCATTATCCAATAACTTCATTGGAAAGGAAGGACTTGTGGCATTGTCAGAGGCCATAAGGGTGAATAGGACATTGGACTTTATAGACATCTCCAATCAACTGTATAAAAGCAGGAATATAATCAACCTTGTACATACCAACATCGAAAGAACACTGATAGGACTGCTGGAAGACACATTGAAGCGAAAGTGTGAGCTGCTGGGCATATCGCACCCGATCGAAATCGAACGTCCAATGCACCTGTCCAACACCAACATTCACAACGTGTCGTTCCAGCAGCTGCCCTACTTCCACGGCTACCTGATGAAAGCGAGCGCCGAGAAGAGACTGCGATGCTTCAACACGCCAGGCAGCTTCCTGTTCTACCTCAACTACTATGTGCCCAACTCGATATTCCTGGCGTACATCACACAGCGCGACGGCGTCAACGAGATTGTCCACCGCATGATACACCGCGTCCACTTTGGCTATAGATTCGTCAATGGCGGCCTCGGCAACCAGGAGGAGTCGCGCGACGAGGTCATGGAGGAGGAGTCGCTGTTCAACTTCCAGATCAACAATGGCAGCAACTCAATGACGCACTCCAACATCTACGACTACAACTACCGCTACCGTCCAAGAAGGAAGGGATGTGGTCTGGTGATACCGACACTGTTTGAGTTCTGCTCATGGGCACTGGCCAACAGTCCACACTATGAGGTCATCCTAAAGGATCTTAGCGAACGAAGCAGTCTGATAGGTGAGCGTTTCCAGGACATCCACGATCTGGTGCCATTGTGGGGTGCCAGGGATGTCCATCCAGTGGTCTCTCTACTGCACAACACCAAGCAGAGTATCTCTAGGAAGGGTGTCTACTCTACACTGGCACAACTGTACAAGCTCAACAAAGGCAAACTTTCATATCCAGTCACAAGAGATAACTATCATGCATTGAAGTTAAAGATCAAAATACGAGATGATAACAACAACAACAATAACGTCAACAACATATAGATGGATAGATAGATAACAAACAGATAGAGATAGAGACAGAAGTAGACCACAACAACAGTAACAATAAATTCAAACTTTATAACCTCAGCCATTGTCCGCCATTTCGAAACGACACTCTCACCGCCATTAGACCAGTGATCGAGAACGTAGGATGTCACATCTATGGCAACTGTACCTTCTGCTTATCATTGCCCTTATCAATCTCCTCGCTGCCAAGATGGCTTGTTAATCAATTAAATTGATTGATCGTGTCCAATTGGATTAGATTCCATTGACTTTTCCCTTTGTCACCATAAATTCCACTTTTTGGAGGAATGATGATCAAAATAAATATCTGGACCACTATCGTTTGGGGCTTTTATTGTTCATTGTCTTTACAACATCTGTATCACTACACAACAACATAATACAACTACAAACATAACAATGGAACTTTTACCATTTACCATACTCAGACATATAGTTTTGAACTTTGAGGACAATGTAGACAGGTTGATGTTGACTCTATTGTGCAAAAGGTTGTTTGAACACAGAACAAAGTATCTACAGTTCGATACCGATACACTACCTCTACTCCACTCGTACAAAGAAGAGAGTATTGGCATGCGTTCCTACCGCGAGATCATACACAATGACATTCAGAACAAGAAACACTCAATAGTTGTATACTCTGGCGATCCATCTAGTGCACGAGGTTCTGATCGACACTACAACATAGGTATGGAGTGATCATATCAAACAGATGAGGAAAGAGTCCAATTACTTACAAAAGGGACACACTCAGACATAGATATGGGATGGATAGAGGATATAATGAGACTCCCAAACATTGCATGTATCAAGTTCATTGATAGTCACCAACACCCATTCGATCAGGTGTTTTGGAACAGTTTGGAGGCATTCTTTGCGCACATCACTTCAATGAACATTAAGGATATATTCTTCTCATCGAATTGTAACATTAGCACATTGGACCTTAGTAAAATACCATTGAACACCTTGATCAACGGCCACATGGGATCATGGACACCGAGCAAAGTCAACTTCCCATCGACGCTGACATGTCTCCGAATCCAAGGGAAACTAAACAGCTCTCTTGACAATGTTCTTCCTGATGGACTCAAGATACTGGATCTTAGCCAGGCACACTCATTGGACCAACCCATAGGTGTCGGGTCTTTGCCATCACAACTCCAGCACTTGTTTTTCAGCAACACCTTCAACCAACCAATCACCAAAGGCTCGTTGCCACCATCCCTCAGAACGGTTGCATTCGGAAGATACTTTAGTCAAGTGGTAGATGGACAGGCACTCCCACAGACAATTCGTAGCATAAACCTGCCATATGCTGGAGGCAATCAGTCACTGTCCAACTTGCCATCCAGCCTCTTGGACCTATCGATCAGTAAGCTGACTGAACATGAAAATGTTATCTGGCCCAGAACACTAAGTAGTCTCTACATTGGTTCATTTGATCACGCGATCAATCATTTCCCCTCATCATCAAATGTCATATATGCCCATCTTAATAAGCTAACCTTTTGGTCAATACCATCGAGTATTGTTTCCAAAATCACCCAAACATCATTTCCACAACTCGTGGAGTTAAACTTCAAGATGTTCACAGACATTCCATCCTCGTTGGATCTTTCCAGGATGCCAATGACTCTCAAAAGGCTCTCCCTTCCTCGATGTGGATCACTAACAAACTTCTCATCTGGTGTGGAGCATCTTGTCCTATATTGCCACAACCTGACACTGACCAGGGGAATGCTTCCAACATCGATACGTACTTTTCAACTTTATGGCTACAACTTCCCCTTGGAAGTTGGTCAGATTCCACACTCTGTCACATCGCTGAGACTGAATGAGTACCAACACCGACTACCCTCATCAGTGCTGCCACCATCTCTACACACTTTATACTTGACCAATAGTGATTCGTGTGAGGTGAAGCAAATCCTTCGTCAATTACCAACCTCATTGGTTAGCCTCAAACTAATGATCGATCAATTGTATTTCAGACTGCTACGCATCTCTGACACAATATACTTTAAGCGCATGGATAAGCATCAACCACAGATATCATCATGTGGCTTTATAAAGTTAGACACCATCCTGGAATTGATTGACCAAGCCAACGAATATTAAAACACATAATACATTGTCATTGATACTATCCAACAAACAACAAACAAACATGTTATTAATTTATTGTGGAACCAAGTGTTTTCCAAACTTGATGTATTGATGCAGGAGATCGTTCGTTGTCACATACTTGAGTTCGGGCGCCATCCTGTCTGGAACCTTGGTGCAGAGTTTGTGTGTCACTCCTGTTACTTTGGGATCGGTGTCGTAGTAGGCGGTGGCACCGCCACACTTGAGGATGTTGTACCAAATGTTCATCTTCTTCTCCACGACGATCACCACCTTGGAGAAGAGAGGTCGTCCTAATCGTTGCACAGCCTCGCGACACAGCTTGGATGAGTTTGCAATGGCACTCTCCTCTGATGGCTGTTGACTCCACTCAAAGGGTGCCTCATCGAGTGGCGTGCCCTGTCTCTGTACGGCATCCACGTAGTCGCGTGACACAAGCCAACAGCCTGCAGCGCATCCACATAGATACTTTTCAGACTTCTTTGGTTGCTGAACAATGATGTGAGTCGTCTTGCCAGGAACAAATTCGGGTTCTGGCTGTCGTTGTATGCCAGTGATTCGAGAGAATGAGTTCATCAGATCCTCAGAGGGACGGTTGGAATCTTCAAAGCCAGACAATAGATAGAACTGTGGCAGCTCTGGTTTAGCGTTGACGGGATGACCTTTCTTCAAAATATCCAGTAGCATCTGTTGATCAGAGTCTTTCTTGCTCAGGTAGGATGAGGTTGTAGAGTTCTTGTGACTAAAGAATGGCTTGGACTGCATCAGCTTCATTCGTTTGATCTGCTCTGATCCCTCTCCGTAGGTCACTCTCTGAGACAGTATATCTTCCTCGTCACCACTATTATCCTCGTCGTCGTCTGCATCCTCTTGCTGTTGTTGGTGATAAAAGAATGAGAATGGTGCGTCTTTGATCCAATGATCATGGCTAACTTACAGATTGGAATTGTAAAAGATCTAGACCAGGCTTTGATTTTGGAATGATACTGGTGATTGCTTGGATTGGCTTCCGCTTGGCGGTGCCCGCCACTGGGAGGGCGTAACCGTTGTTCTTGTGATTCGTTTGCTCGGGCAAGTTATCGAGGGCTTTGAACAAAAGATCCAGCTTGGAGGAGGGTTTCTGTGCAGCACCTTCCTTCTCATCTCCACTGCTGTCCTCAAGCATGAGGTCAGAGGTGTCTTCCTCCTTTACCTTTGCCACCTCTTCGTTCTCCTTCTCCTTCTTCACCACATTGTCGTCGTTTGCGGTCTGGGCCTTCTCGACCTTGACATCGCTGTGCTGTGGTTCATTGGGTTCTGTCTTGATGGCTGGAGTGCCACTAAAGAGTTGTGAGGGTGTCCTGGCGATGACCTGGAGCACCACTGGATCGTCACGATTGGTATGCTCGGTGGCGTCGATTGGTTGGAAGTCATCCTCACTGCACAGTTTGTTGCCGACCCAACACTTCTCGAGCCACTTTGATGTGACCTTGACAAAGGTAGAGTCGATGAACTTTTGTGTCTCCAAGTAGTTTGATTCGTCGCCCATGTAATGTGTGATCGACTCAAAGAATGTGTCGGCAGTCTCCCCTCCAAGCTCCTTGATCCAACTGCTATACTTGAGTCTGTCCTCTGTTATATATTTTGAAGAGATGAATATCCTCTTTCCTTTGAGTACTGTAGATGTGTTGTTGTTGTTGTTGTTGTTTTTGTTGTTTACATGGTGTTGTTGGTGTTGTTGTTGTTGTTTTCGTTGGCGCGGTTGTCGTGCATGTTGTTGTTGTGGTTGTATAATTGGAACTATCTTTTGTGCAGCCACAAGAGGTGCCACTGGAACATCATGACAAGGATGGTTAGTACCTGGGCTCCCCAACGTCATGAGGGGTGTGGAAATGATACTTACAGTTAACGGCAAAGTATGACTCGTTGATTATCTCTCCACTCTTTGCTGACTCGTATACCCATTGTGCAGTGACCAGATGAATCAGTCTGTTTGGTCGCTCAGCGTTCAGTTGCAATGCTTTGGCCAACTCTTGGTTGTTTGGATCGACGGGTGTCGCCACCACAAGATGTGTAGTAGCTCCTTTGACCAACATTGTGAACCTGGCCTTGAGGAGCTTGGATGTCATTCGCAGGTTGTCCGTTTCCTTATCTGAGAAGCCTGTGGCCACTATTCGTAATCCCTTAAAGACTCCTAAACGAATAAATGGCCGGTAGTAGACGCATGATGAGGGGTCGAGGATCTTGTTCTCTCGGAGACAAGCGTCGAACCAGTCAACCGACACGACCTGCGCCGACACTGGCAGAAGCGACTTCTCCACCTTGGTGGCATGAGGCACGAATACAAAGTGTATCCTAAGTGATGGGTCTGCCAACAGATTGACCGGGAGTGATTGGTCGTCGATAAAGGTGGCATAGCGCGACACTGTATCAATGATGAATCTTCTTTCTGTGGCATCTTCAAAGCCAACCACTGTAAAGTGCTTTGAACGGAACAGGTTGGGCTCCTCACCTCCCATCTCAATGTCCTCATCGCCCACCGGTGGAGGGGTGCTTTGATATTGTTGCTTCTGCTGCTGAAGATGATGTTGTGGCGTCTGCTGATTGAAGCTGGGTGTCAAGACTGCCGCAGCTCTCTCTGCGGTGGATGGCAGAGGCGTGGGGATGTAGCTGTTGATTGGATTGATGAGTGACCCCTGAGAGGCGGGTGATGTCAAGCTCTTTGAAATCACGTCGACCACATAGTCTCTTTCGTTCTGGATTCCATTGGTTATCGACTCATCAAGCCATGCCTTGGGGACAATGAAGAGACTCCATTCGCGTGCCTTGTCAAACTTCATCCCAGACTGCTCCTTGGCCAGCAGATGTGAACAGGACTTGTCCAGTGTTGCTGTATATTGGCCACCATTTTCGACGATGGACTTCTCTATCCCTCTCTTCTCCTCCTGTGAGAAGCCCGTCGGACATATCGTACATCCACGAAACACTGGCTTATTGAATGGCATTGGATTAACCATTGTTTTCTCTCTCCAGCATTCGCGTAACCATTCAACAGTGGCGAATTGAATGTATATACTACTCTGTCTTGCGGCCTATGTGATTGTGTAAGGTAAGTCACTCTGTCCCTCACAAGCTCATACTCTGATACATACGACAGACTTCTTGGAATAAAGGTTTGAAGTGAGGAGATGAGTGACGGTGTTGTCGAGTGAAAATGTACATGTTCCATTCATTGCCTCCACACGCTGTTTGAGTTCGTTTCGATGGTCCTTTTGATCATTGATACATATGACCTGTCCTTCAAGACAATTGGTGTACAATGGTGTGTTTGCTACCTTACCAATATCGATTGGTGTGCCCTTTGACAGGCACTCCTCCAAGTAAGGTATTCCAATCATTGGTACACCCTGTTTCCTTCTTTGATTATACTCTTCCTATATGTGTGTCTTGGTAAGTAAGTAGGAACACCATGACGATGATGATATGCTACATACATTGAAGAACTCATCCAACACTACAATACACTCAGACTCATTCAAGTCACGCTTGCCACCAGCAGCAATGATCTTGTTGGTAAGTTGTGAACATTTGGTTGGGTTGTCTGTGGCGAATCGTTCGAGGAAGTGGAACTTTTGATTGAGGAATATCTGTCTATTTACACTATTACTACTATTATTGATGTTGCCACCTATACTATTTGTCCTATTGACACTTTTGTTTAACATTGATTTGTCACTTGATCTTTGCATTATAATAATCTGATATATATATATATATATTAATATGTGTGTTCCCTCAACACATAATCATATTGAATAAGATAAGTTATAAGTTTGTAAGAATTGTAAACAATGACACAAAATCAATTTCAAAACCATCGACTACCTAGAAATGAGTGTCAAAACTCAATGTTTATGGGTTTGATACGTGTTGTTCACACAACACAGATGAAGAAGCAAGACAAAAGACCGCCAAAGTGAAGTTGGAACCACATCCATTCATTCATTCTAACATGAATCACCGAATATCAGATACATGATCATCAATACTGTGATGAACCATGCTACTAGTGGCTTCATAAGGATGGCACGTACTTTCTCTTGGGTCGTTGAGGGTTGCTGTTGGATCTGTTTGGCATGTTGCTCCTGTGCATGCTCCTGTGTGATACGTTTGCGTAGTTCACTCTCTTTGATGTCACTGGCATTGCTCTTGGCCAACTCCTTCTCAAGTGCCGTCCTCAGTGACGATGCCTTCTCCTTGCTCTCCTGGAACAGCTTGGTCAGCTTGTCGTTGCTCTCCTCCAGTGCACCCTTCTCCTCCTTCCAAGCCTCCTCCATCGTCTGTAGCTGCACCTTGAGCTTGTCATTCAGTTGCTCCAACGCCAGAAGCTCTGTACTCTTTGCTGCTCCGGCGCCACTGCTGCTGGAAGACTCCTCACCTGGCGACTCTGGCCTCTTTCCACTGGCGACCAACTGCTTGTAGTTGAGGAAGTCGGCACGTTCCTTGTTCAACTCCTTCAGAATGCGGTCATGCAGTACTTGGACACGATGAATTTGCTCCTCATACTCCATAACTCTGGCATGGCACACCTCAACATTGCTGGTGAGCTCTTTGATTGACCTGTCCTTTGACTCCATGGTGGCTCTGAACTCCTCGACTGACTTCTCTGCCACTTGCAATCGCTCGCTCAGCTCCTTGTTCTCGACAGTGGTCCTGAGGAAGGTGTCCTTGTTGTTTTGGAATGTGTAGTCGGTCTCTTCATCCCAGCTGTTTGATCTTGTGATTGACTCTGATGGTGGGTCACTCTCACTGGTGGTGCCACCAATCAAGTATACCTTGCCCTCTATCTCTCTCAAGTTGTTGGCTCCATTCAGTTTGTGTGGAGTGGTCATGCTGGCACTATCTGGAGGACTTGTCTTTATGATCTTCTTTTCGTTGTACTTTAAGTAGTTGGTCTTGATTGTTAACTAGTATGATTGAAATGGAATAAGTTAGTAATGGATGGAATGGACATTCTTCCATTGGGAACTTACATTTAAGGTTGGTTGAAGTGATGATGAAGATGGGAAAGGTATATTGATTGGAGAAGATCCATTGTTCTCCGAGTGCATTGAAAGGTCTACCAATGTGGTACTCCTTGTTGTGTTGTCCTGAAAGTAGCAGGTTAGACATTGGATACCATATTGTGGAACTGACGTGTCCTCTAACTTACGATTAATATAGATAAAGTCATTAACTTTTGTTCATAGTTTGGTGTCAATGAGTTGTCCTTTGATACTTGGGTATCAGAGAAGAGTGTGATCTTGAATGATAGATGCTCATTGATAATTGCAGAGCAGTCTCCTCCAACCATGGCAGTGTCTGCCAAACGACTGCCAATTAGAAGCTTTGATTGTTTCTTTGACATGGAATCATTCTTTCCAATTGGTACCAGTGCATTGTCAGCGGTTGGTTTGAGATGGTCATTGTTGTGGTGGTTGGATGTTGTTGTTGTTGTCTTTGGCTTTTGTATTTTGCATTCCTTTGTTTCACCTTTGTTCTTTCCACGCTCCCATTTGATGCTTAGAGAATGTCCATTGAAATCATTTGGAAGATTGGACAATGATTGGAACTCAATGTCATATTGTATCTTGATCTTGTCCTTCTTGGCATGGGAGAATCCTCCCTTTATTCCTTTAATCATACTCCTAAGGTAATAATATTGAATTATAAGTTAATATAATTAATAATAATAATAATAAATAATAATAATAAATTATCTCTTGTATGTATTATTTTTATGTATGTGTATATATGAGTGAATAATAATATTATAACAACAATCGAATTACTAAGGATCAGAATTCAGTGGATAATGACTTAAAAGTGGATAAATGTGGTGAAGTGCCATCTCTTCCAAGTCAACAACTTCTCAATCGTCTGTGGTTGTTGGCTGGTTGGTGGTTTGGCTCGCACTACTACTAAAGTGGTATGGATGGATGGATGGATAGTTTGATGTGTGTGTGTGTTTGATTGAAGGTGGTATGAACAGACGATTGTGATCGTGTGTACATATATATACACATAAAAGTGTGAACAAGGATTCCAAACAACAAGACAACAGGCACTATAATCGGTGTGAATATTGCCCATTCTACATACATTTGATTATCTCGATGAGTGTGCTGTATATGTATATTTTAAATTGTGTTGGCGCGAAGTATGTATATTATATATATTATCTTTAAAGAGAGAGATTAGATTGTTTGTTGTTGTAGTTGTAATATGATTGTTTTGGCTGACTGATTGGTTGGTTGGTTTGTTTGTTCGGTGATGAATGTTTGGTCATTAATCATTAATGATTATTTAGAGGGTGGGACTGACTGGCTTACTGACTGCTGTTCCCATCCCAATGTCTTTCAGAGACAACACCAACAAACCTCCAAACGAGATGTGTGTGTAATTATAGTAGTAGAAGTACGATGATACCCAGGTATGGTATTGATTACAAGATGATGAAATGTGGTGATGGACTCACTCTGTACCGTGTAACACGTGGTTGGTAAACGTGTGGGTTTGGTCATGCAATTGGGAACCAGCTGATGCTGTTGGGCCTGTTTGATTTCCATTGGAGGCCATTGTTGTCGAACCCTGTTTCGTCACTGAAGTTGTGACCATCTTGTGTGTGTTTGTGTATGTGTTTGTTGTTGTTGTAGTTTATGTCCAACCTAGAATGAGTGTGTGTAACTCTTTAGGCAATCGTCTGATTTACTCCCCTGTGACAAGGCCTTGCAAAACCCACGTTCGATCGATAATGGGCAACCGAAAAACATTTGAAAATCAATCAAAATAAATTAAAAAGCTAACTTCCAGATCTTTGAATTTCATTCTTTGACAGTTTATTGATCAACAGCAACTTGTCTCATATTCATAATCATAAACATTCGGTCGTAGTATATATTACGTAGATTTAAATATATATATATAAATATCATTGCTGGTTATGTCAATAAATTGAAACAGTCACTCTGACTATGAATCATCTAGTTCTCAGTTTTTTCTACGCAGCGTGTGTGTAAAGTGAGAGATGGGGGATGTTCACTTCATTATTCATCTTGTCAACCCTCAGGTTTCTAAGTTGTATCAACTTGGACCAAGAAGTCAACTACTACTACCACTTTGAGATTGTCGTCCATCTTCCTTTGTACATACATACACACACTTATCTTAGATATATATACAAATACAAATACATATAGAAACATGTTTAATTTAAAGATATTGAGATCTGATACAGGATCACTATATGAAATACCTGTAAACTCTTCAGTCCTGTATGTTTTGTCCTTGTTGTTGAATGATTGAATGGATATTGACATCATAATACCACAATAAATGATAATAGTGTTGGCAATATAAAGGATTCTTTAACCTCTGTAACAGGTTTGACACAGAATGAACAGATACTATTGGTAGACTCTACAAACTTGAGTTCAAACAATACATTGGAACACTATGGTATAGTTGTAAGTCAACTGAATGATTGACTGTTGTTGGTGCATCTACTGACTAGACACAATCAAACCAACAAACAGAAAGATACAGAGATATACCTTTATAACAAGAAGATATTGGATAGTCATAGTTACATACCCGAAGAGGTCAACCTCTCAATAGTAGATTTCCAAAGTATGTTGTTGTTCATGAGTACTCATGTCAATCAATCAATACTTTATACTCACCATCACCTCCTTGGCATCAGTCCCTAGACTACCAACACCAAAGAACTTAAAGGAGTTGGAGGCATCATTGAATCCTTTGAACAAGCTGTTCACATTGGACTTTTATCTCAACAATCATGTTGTTGGTACACAATATCTCAAGGACATCTTTGAGAACAAGGTACTCCAGTGTCTAGACTCTCTAAACGAGATCAACATCCAGAAGAAGTCAATCGCTACTGCGTTGAGTAGTCTGGATGATTACAAAAGGTATATTTATTGTTCAAGTGATGAATGAATGAGTGAATCAAACTAACCAACAATTCACATGGATTTACATTAGCAAACTATTCCATCATTACAACACCTTTATCACAGTATTTAGGAAGCAATCGCCACACTTTGAATCACTGCTACGATCATTCGATTCGGATTTGTACAGAGTATGTTTAGACAATGTTGATACTTGATGGTGTCCTCTTGACTCTGGATACTGACATTAATCAATCATAAACAGCTAAAGCAGATCAAGTTGCACGATGCACTTAGAACATCAACAAGGGTCACACTGCTAGATTGTGTTCCAGAGGTGGAGATCAGGAAATGGAGCGAACAATGTAGACGAGAGTATGATATACTAAAGAGCAGAGTGATGGAGCTTGGCAGTCAGATCGATGCAATCAAAGATTCAATTGAGCATTCTCTCAGGAAGACTGTGGAGATCAAGTAAGTAACCTCAGAACAAACACAATGTGATGTACTAACATCATCATCATCCATTAGTTTCCAAGAGTTGAACGAAAGACTATCAATATCTCGAGAGCATACCAAGCAGTTCCAAGTACTTCATCAAACAGCAGTGTCGAGTATGTTCACTCAATGATCAGTCCAATCAATCAATCTAACATATCATAACCAATTCTAGACTCTGAGAAGATTAAGAAGGCATTGGAGACAGCAAGGAACTCAAAGGATCCCAATCAACTATCAACCATTGTAATGTCATTCTCTGAGATCAAACAGACACAAGAGGCAAACTTCTCGATATCACTTCGAAACGCAGAGACTTTGATGTCCACACTGGTTCAATTCTCCAAGGCCAAGAACTATTCCAATCAATACGTCTTTGCAGAGCTACGTACCATCTCCAAGCTTCAATCAGACATGCGACAGATATTCAACAATCTTTCGGTCTGGAACGAAGCCATCGCCAAACAAACATCAAACTTCTTCCAGCTGGAGTGCATCCACAACATGCCCGCGGCATACGAGGATGCCCTCAGCGAGACATCGAGGAGGCGACGATTTGGCAACACAGTCAATGCCAATCTGAGCAGATTCATCCAATCACTCAATGACATTAGAGACAATGAGAATCAGAAGCGACAAAAGTTCATCGAGCGAGTGTTCCAGTTCTTGCCACCTGGTGTATTCAACTCTCTAAAGGAGCAACTGCCTCAATTCCAACTTCACCTTCCACCCTTTGACAACAACCTGGCACCAATCTACGATAACCTACTCAAGGGTAACGATGAGGATGAGTTCACAATGGTCGATGGATATGACCCACAGCTTCAATCATTCAAGAAGAAGCAACCAGGTGATGATCGTGCCAGCATGATCTCATCGATGGAGAACTCAAAGCTGATGGAGCTACAGCAGAAGGAGAAGATTGAGAACTTGGAGGCAAAGTTACAATCGACATTCTTGATGGCATCACGTGCAGAGGATCGATACAAGGATCTGTTGGAGAAGTCAAAGGTGGTGCAGAGCGAGAGTATCACACAGAGTACGACAAGGAATTCATTGATCGATGGTCTCAAGAGGGAGCTGAAGGAGAAGGAGCAGGAGATTGCCACACTCTTGCAGGACAACCAGTCCAACCAGAAGAGCATGGAGTCGTTGCAGGCGCATGAAGCACAGCTCAACACAAAGCTTCAAGAGTTGGAGACTGAGAATGCAAAGAACCTAAAGAGTCTGGAGCAGTATAGAGATCGAGTGGAGCAGTTACAGAGCGAGAGTGGCAAAAAGGACAATCAAAGCTTCACAGAGATGTCTGCACTGCGAATGGAGTTGGCCGATGTAGTCAGAGAGAAGATGGAGCTGTGCAGCGAGATCAACGACCTCAAGGAGCAGATCGCCAGACACGAGGAGTTCATTCAGATATCAAACAGCTCGATCATCGAGTCCAAGTTGCAGATGAACACCGAGCTCGATGAGAAGTCCAAGCTTTTGGACCAGACACAAGAGACCAAGGCCAGGTTGGAGAATGAACTGTCCGAGTCCAAGTCATTGGTGACCGATACCAATCGCAAGCTGGCCACGCTCGAGCAGGACAAGCAGGCGTTGGAGAGAAGGGTCAGTGTCCTGACTGGCGACATGTCTGAGCTGGAGAAGAAGCTCAATGATGTCAAGGGCGAGGCTCAATCAAGACAGTACGAGATCAAAGCCAAAGAGGCACAGATTGGTGAGCTTCAAAAGACAGTGGAGAGCAATGAGGCGATGATCAAGAAGCTACAGGTGGAGCTGGAGGTGTTGAGGAATGAGGTGGACAGACAATCAAAGAGGAGAGCCGACGACTCAAAGAAGTGGGAGGTAGAGTCGAGCCAACACGAGAAAGAGGTGACTGAGAAGGATGATCAAATTGCCAAACTCAAGGATCAACTGGCTCAGTTCAGTATCGAGTTTGATATGTTGAGACAACAGAGCAATGCAAAGAATGGCGATGTTGAATCAAAGGATACCATCATTGGTATACTCAAGGAGCAGTTGGCTGACCTCACGAATGATTCCAAACAGAAGGATGAGGTGTTGAATCGTTCAGAGCTACAGCTTCGCGACAATGAGGAGTCGATCAAGAGATTGGAGGCGCGCATTCAAGACCTGATCAAGGATGTCGAGGAGGACACAATGGCCAAGGACAAGAGCTTCAATGGTCTGAGGCAAGACCTACAGGAATCAAACTCGGTCATCATCGTTCAGACCGAAAGACTGGCACAGTTGGAGACACAGGTCAAGGAGCAGCAGGAGGGCGCCAGGAAGGAGAAGGAGGACCTACTCAATCAGATTCAGTCACTCAACACCATCCTCAAGGAGAAGGAGCAAGAGTGTTTCAAGCTGGAGAAGGGCAACAATGACCTACAGAGAACGAATAGCGAGTTGTTAAAGAAGAGATCAGACGGCGACAAGCAAATCGAAGAGTTGACAAAGACCAAGGATACACTGGAGCAAAGTGTCGAGAAGCAGAGGAAGGAGATCGCCAGTCTCAAGGCGTCCAACGAGGAAACAATCAATGCACTCAACCACAGTTATGAGAGAGTGGACAAGATGGAGCACGATGAGAAGGAGCTCAAGAAGAGGTGCGCAGACATGGAGAAGAAGTTGAAGGACAAGGAGCACACACTGGACAGCGCATTGGTCAGCACCGATGAGCTATCAAAGAAGCTTAGATCAATCGAGATATCAAACTCCGAGACAAACGATCAACTACTGGATAGCATCGAGAAGTTGAACGAGGAGCTCGAGCAGTGCAAGGAGAAGCTGACACTCAACGAGGAGAAGATCGCCTATCTCAAGAAGCAGCTGGACATGTCCAACATCAACTATGCCAACTCACTCACACAGATGGACAAGAAGGAGCAACAGGTGTCGAGCTTGTCCGTGGAGCTGCAGGAGGCCTCCAACCTAGTGCAGCGTGTCAAGGAGATATTCGACGTTCCAATGGACCAGGTATCACAGCAGGCTGTGATGGGCAAGCTCAGACAGTTCAAGGACAGCTACCTATCAATGGAGAAGTCCTTGGAGCAGCTCTCTCTCAGTGAGCAGAAGCTGACCGAGAAGATACATCGTCAATTGTTGGAGGAATTCATCAACTCTAGAGAGAATGAGGAGACTGCCCAACTATCCAACTTCCAGCACAGCAGATTGGCAGTGTTTTCATATGTCAAGAAAGGTGTCTATGAGGCCATCAACAAGAAATGTCCACGATACTACCTGTCACCTGATTGCTTCGATTCGTTCATGGATGAAGTGTAAGTTGATTGGTTGGTCCATTCAAACATATATGTCAATCACAACTAACAATATTGTACCAATCATAATTAGATCAAAGAAGGCGATAATCATTGGATCGATCATTGAAGTTAACGAACACAAGGCCGAAGCAGGAAACATGTTTGAACTTCCCGTTGGAACAGTATTCCATGAGTTAATAGTTGCCAAGTTGGCATAAACTTCCACAGTACATTTGTTCATTTTGTATATATTATTATATTATCTCTTTCCTTTTTTGGTTGTTTGATGATGGGTGTAATGAGTTTGCAAACTTTGATTGTCCTTCAACTCATCAACAACAATTGATTCGATCAATTTCAATCACATTTATGAGATGTCTGGTAGATTTATCAAAGATAGTTATAATCACTACTCTGTATTAAAGTCCTTGGAGATATACTTGCAAAAGAACTCCAAGGGTCTTACTGCACTCGACATTGTACCAGAGTAATATTCCAATCATTGAATGACACTTTCGCATGACCAACTAACTCATTCAATCCATCATCATCTCTAGTGATTCATCATTATCCTATTACAAGTTATTTAGGTTCTTATTGTTGGACTCTAAACTATTCATTGATTTACTGATTGATCGAGGAATCATTGATGTTGGAGTGGCCAAAGAGTCGTTGACAATGAATGATGTCATGTCAATCACTCACAAGATATCGATAGCATTATTTCAAACTATACCTCCAAGGAGTAGAGATGACTTTGTCACACTCTTCCTTACATCAACTGAACTCAGAAGCTTCACTCATCGCTATCTACACATGTACAAAAAGACAATGGATACACTGATAGTCTATGGAACAATCGACCCCAAACACTTTAGAACAGTCAAGCATCTGTCTCCAAGTATCGAATGTGACCTTCGTTATCGTCCCTCCTTTGAGACACTGTCCACAGCACAATGGGGCAGTGCTGGTTCAAACGGTGATGTCATTGACATCTCAAAAGAATATCCTGATCTGGAACTAATAAGTAGATAAAGGTTATGATTGAATGTATTGTATTACACATGGACTGGACTAGTGGCCGCCTACTCATCGCTGAGGTCTTCGTCCCATTCGATTGATACTTCACTCTCTAGTCCATCAATGCCTGCATACTTCACCAGACATGAAGAGTCGTTCAGTACCTCGAGAACAAAGTCAAAGCCACGCTTCTCAAGTTGCTCCAACAGTGGCTGTGAGCATCCAGTGCAGTTCTTGTACGGGTTGCTCCACAATGGTAGTGTCTGGAAGTGTGAGAGGTAGCCACGCAGTTGATGTGGGAGAATGCCCAATGGTGTTGATGCGCCACTGCTAAGATCGGTGTTGATCTCTGCTGGTGCACGTCCTTGAAGGCCATGGTGAAGTGTAGACACCATAAGTTCAACTGCAATCGATGAGGCCATAAATGAGAGACCTGGTCTAGTCACTGTACATTGTTGATCCCAATGTTCTGTCCTTCAAGGTCTATTCAAGGCATGCATTGTTAGTATGATTTTACTTGGTCTAAACATTATAACATACGTCTGATGGAGCAATGACATCGTTACAGAAGTAACAACCCAAGTCAGCACCTTCGTTGCTTGGTGACTCATCAGGATGTGGAGTCCTCACACCATGACGTCCGACAAGGAAGCTGTCAAATCCAAGGGCAGAGTTGATGACCAACTTGTTGTTGGCACGACCAAGTAGTGTTGGTAGCCAACGAGACTCACGAGAATCGGTGAGAAGGAAGATGACATCGTGCTGCTCAACCAACTCGACCAGTGTGTCGTATGCTGCTCGCACCTGATCAGTGACATTCTCGGGTACTGAATGGCCGGGCATGGGGATTGACATGATCACACCCTTGGAGTTCATCGCGGGGAAGATCAATTTGAGTGACTCTGCCGCAGCCAAAGCCTTGTCCTTGCCCTTTGGTGCGATACAATCATTGAATGTGAACAATGTCTGTCTCACTGGATTGCTATAAGATACCTTTCCACTGTCAACAAAGGTTATATTCCTAACGCCCCATGACTATGTTTGGTATCGTTAGTATGGCATGTGAGTATGAGTGTATAAGAGTAATGTTACCATTAGACATCTGGCAACATTGCAACCAAGTGTACCAGCACCAAGGAGTAGACACTTGGTGTTCTGGATCAACTCGAGGTTCAGTGCTGGGAGGATTCTCCATCTCATGAGCTTCAGATTGAGATCGACTGATTGTGTGGCCAACCTAATGATTGAATGATGAGTTAGTTACATAGATCATGTGATTGATTGACTGATTGATTGACATACTTGAGTGGATCCATTGTGGATGCAAGTGAAACTGATCTTGGAAGGATCTTTCCATTGGTGTCCTTCTCCCAACCGACCGACTTGCCACTCCACTCCTTGGATTGCTCGGGTAGTGATACGGTGAGTACGATGGAGGTATCGATCGATGACTTGGTGTCACGTAGACAGACGACGGTAACCTCCTTCACATTGTGACGAACGGCCAGCATGTAGAGCAAGTTCCTAAGAGGCCATCCGGGGTTGGAAGCAAGGTTGCAAGGGTCGCAGAAGCCAACAATCGGTGTTGATGTTGTTGTGCCATAGAACTCATTCCACTGAGATAGCTGTCCGAGCTTGACATCAGCACTATTGGCTTGAAGCAAAAAGAATGGTTGATATGGTGCCTGACTCTTGAGTGACTTGATCTGCTCCTCATTCAGCAACTGTGTGATTGGCTCGCACTTGCTCACAGTGATTGGTGTAGTGAATGACAGAGCAGGTATACCAAACATATAATAGAATGTATGATTCTTGATATCTGCAAAGGTCAACAACAAGTACCTGTTCAATCTCAATGGATCACGCTCTGCTTCGCCACTCATAATGTCATCCCAGATCTGATTGAATGATGTTATGTGTCAGTCAGAAGGACAGTCAGAGATAGGTCACAATGATTGATGTACATACAGCCTTTGCAGTGTCCTCAAATAGTTTGACCTTGGGAGCAGCTTTAAAGTCCTCCTTGGTGTTATAGTTGTAGAGTGTACCACCTACAACGATCGACTTTGGTGGCACTCTGAATGAAGGAGCAGAGTCTTCAGCTACATTGCTGCTGCTGTTGTTGTATGGTAGGAATGAGTTATACTCCAAGTTTAAGAAAGGGTCCAATTGAGCAGCTGTGGCATAAGTATAGTATGCATTGATTGGTACAGGTGCATCACTCAACTTGAATACATCCAACTTCTTCTGAGACAACTCATGCCAGAATGATATATTAACAAATCCACTAAACTCTTTAAATTGAAGTATATTATTATTATCTGTCATTGTATTTGTATTTGTTTGTGTGTAGATAATTAATTGAATTAATAATGAAGTCATCAAAAGGGTTAGACCATTCAAATAATCACATTTCCCACCTTGTTTGAAACTAAAAGACAAAACACTTTACTTTCGACTTCATTCGCACACTTCAGAAAAAGACAAAGAGATAGAGATAGAGAGATATGGACACACTACCACATGTAATACTTAAAGAGATTGTATCATTGTTACCTGGCAATGAGGATAGGATAAGGTTGACATTGTTATGTAAAAGATTGTATGATCAACGTGAAAAGTATTGTAACTTTGATGAGGCATGCTTGCCTGAACTAAATTACAACTTTGACAATCTCAATCTAAAGTCATATCGAAGTGTCATCCACAATGACCTGTTCAACATAAAGAAACACACTGTCCTACTACACTTTGAATCACCTGGATTCGATGCATCAAATCGTTTCGATCATTCATTCTATGTTGGTACGCATGCATGCATATTCCTTCATCTCAAACTCAATCAATCACTAACCCAACATTATACATGTTTGAATAGGTGAGGAGGCTGGAAGGGAATGGAAACAAGAAGTGATGAGGATACAAAACTTGGAGTCATTGTCAATGTTTGATACTGCACAACGATCAAACAATCCGTTGTTTTGGTCTGATTTGAAGGAGTTGATGGCACATCTGGCCAGTAGATCAGTGAATATGACATACTTGAATATACCCCCAATAAGACTACCATTGTCAGACTGTCCATTCAAAACTCTTAGCATCGTATTCTACCATTCAGATATCAATACGATTGGTCAATCCAGCCTGCCCGACTCACTGACCAATCTCACTCTGTCCGGTCCCTTTGATGGAACACTCGACATCCTTCCCGCTGGTCTCAAGAAGTTGAACTTGCGATCTGCCGCCTCCTGGAACCGAGAGATACCACCAGACACATTGCCACCTGGCATCGAATCAATCCAGTTTGGATATTCATTCAATCAATCTCTGGATGGTCTGCCCAGCAGTGTCACCAATCTCGCACTTGGAGGCTCATATGAAAAGGTGATCGAATGTCCATCACTTCATTCACTATCGATCGAGTCAGTCAAGCCAAGATTCTCAACCTCACCTTACCCTCTACTCACAACACTTCTGTTCGAGGGTGTTACAAGCCAGGTGTTATCAAAGATCAATGGTACAGTCTTCCCAGTACTGAATAGGCTCACAATCAATCAATTGGTTGATCAGCCGCCAGCCCCAATGGACCTATCAACCCTACCACCTTCTTTGAGACATTTGGATGTTGGACTGAACAATATGCCATCTGCCTTGCCCGTGGGTTTGGACACACTACGTGTCAATCTTGAAGCGGCCACCAACTGTCAACCACTTAGAAGTGGACTACTTCCAGACTCGATAACCAATCTCACATTGGAGGGCTATGCCATACCATTCCAATTGGGCGACATACCACAATCTGTCACCTCACTGTACCTTCGTAAGCATACCCTGGAGCTTGACCACAATATGCTACCATCATCACTTCGAACATTATGGTTTACCGTTCGAAGATTCCAAAAGGCCGACCAACATTGTCCATTCATTGCAAGAGAGCTCAGAAAACTACCTATAACAATCACCGAGGTGTCCATCACCATGCCTAGTATCGCAGTGACATTCAAGTTGTACAGACTCTCAGACACGGTGTTCCTGCGACTCACAAATACTCTTGAGAAGAGTGGTATTCTGGACATTTCCCGTCCAGATCTCGAAGAGTTCATTGATCGTGCAACCAGTGGTCACAGTTCCTTTAGCAATACCATCAATGGGGACTTAGTCAAGAAGCACCGAACAAAGACTTCAAAATGTATCACAATGTAACCTATGATTTATCTCTTATTATTATGTTTTCGAAATATTGGTCAACATTGAAGAATCCACACTTGGAAAGATTGTAATCCTTTCGAAAGAAGATTGAGTTTGGGAGACAGATAAGATATAAGTGATTGATGGATAGGTCAACTATTGATTTTGGTAGACGCTGGAGGAATCTTCTTTTGCTCCTAATGCCTCCACCATTCCATTCGAGTGCTCGCAATGATGATGGCAACAGTTTGTCATTCAACTTGAAATCATAATCATCCAAAACTAGTGAAGTGAGAGAGTCTGGAAATATACCAGACTCAAATTGTTGTTGGTATTTTACAAGTCCAAGTGTTTGTAATGTACCTGGTAGCTGTCCTGGTAGCAGTCTGAATCGATCAGGTATTTCAAAATTGTTGTTGATGAACAGTTTAACGATACCATTGGGAATGGTTCCAAATGCTCGACAAATTCCCAGCCTGAGTGTCTTGATTGTTGGAGGTAGTCCAGTGAGATCGAGTACACCTTTGGTAATTGTCTCCACGTAATTAAGTTTACGCAACATTGGAAAAGAGTTGGGAGTAATGCTTAATATCATACCAATGTGATTCACTTTATCGAGTTCGAGTGAGTCCAGACATTTAAAGTGGGAGTTTGGTATGAATGGAGTTGGTGATTCCATTAAATCCAACATCTTCAATGCGGGTGCCTCTGTGATCCACGTATTTCCACAAGATATTAAGTGGGTAAGGCTATCAGGTAGTTTGGGAAGAGGATGGCCCAAAGGTCTTGATAGATCGAGGTATGTGAGTGATGATGGTAGTTTGTTCAATTGCAACGGAGGGTCAAACCTTCCCAACGACAGGTCTGTGAGACCGTCGGGGAGATTGACCGTTTGAGGTTGATTCCTCCATCTTCCTTGTATTGAAAGATTTTGAAGCGTGTTTGGAAGTGAATTGAACAGAGGCTGTCTGCCCTTCAATGGGCAGGTTGAACCATCAATCTCTAACTCGACCATTGAGCTTGTTGCAAAAGTGGATGGAGTGAATGCTTGAAATGATGGCCAGTAGTAGTCTGTTGTGAAGTAAACATAAGGCTCTGGTACAAATCCCATTGGGGTTATATCATTGACGACTGATATCTTTGGTGATGATCCATTGGCAGACAACTCATCCATGAATGGCTTCAAAGATTGTTCCCAAAGTGTCTCTAACGATGACCCGTTGAAATACTCAATCCTGACCTCATTAATGTTTGTGGGAGTTGGTAGTCTATGCTTCCAACCATTCCAACATTTGTTATCTAGAGTAGTAATAAAGCAAGTAAGAGGTTAGTAAGTACCGTAGGCAACATGTTTGAAGTATGATCATACTTCCAATGTCTATTCTCAGGTCCGAGCCTTCCGCTTGCTTTTCATCATATTGAGCAGTGAGTACAACTTGTATTGATTTGTAGAGTATATCTCTATGTATTATATCCTTGTATGAGTTTAAGTTGATGTTACCATCTCGAATTGACTCTATCAATTGATTATATAACATTGTATTGGTGTTGAAGTGTAGGTATCTATGTCTCTGATCAAACATTCGTTTACACACTAATGTTACCATCACTCGATCAGCATTATCAACCAAGAATGATATAATATGTTGAAGTATTGTAAGTTGTATTGTATCTAACATTATAATTATTATTATTTATCTTGTTCTGGTTTCGTCGATCTCTGATTGATCTGATCATTTCAGTGTCCAGTTTTGATCACATGATCAACCAAACTACCATACACACAAATACATAAGGCGAAGAAGTAAAGGATGTTGGAGTCATTACAATACACTTTACTCAAACTAATTGTAACCAACTTGGACAATGTTGATCGACTGATGTTATCATTGACATGTAATCGTTTGTATAATCAACGATCGAGTTGGTTACATTTCAATAACTTGTCAGTGTTGCACAGCAATCGATATACAGATGGTAGACAACTACCATCATACATACATCTAATACAAAGAGATGTCCATCAGTCTGTATTAATTAGTACAAATAATACAATCACCTCTCAATCTTCATATTGGGATCATACATATTACATTGGTATGAAATGGAATGAATGAATGACCAGAATGCACAAACTAACAAACAATATAGAAGATAACTTGGATACATTGATACAATGTCTAGATGGGATACCGACTATATCATTTTTAGAGTTCCAGGACTCTGCTAAGCATCCATTTGTTGAATCACACTGGTCTATTATCAACAAGATTGTTGTACATTTATCATCAAGAAGAACCAAAACAGCAATCAGAACAAATAAGCCAATACCAATATCTGAGTGTTGTCGCCCACTTGAATCAGTCACGGCTATCTGCTTCCAGGAACAAATTGCTGGTTCTCAACTCCACTCATCATTCTTCCCCATCACATTGACCAAACTATCGATTGATGGTCATTTTTTCGACTGTCCAATAGCCAATGATGTACTGCCTACCAGTCTACTATACCTCAACCTTTCATCGGCTAGCCTATGGGATCATTCCATCACACCCGGGTCACTGCCTCCCAAGTTGGAAAGTATCCGGTTTGGAATGTCTTACAACAAACCCTTCCTTCCAGGCTCATTGCCATTGTCACTGCTCTCTATAGAGCTTGGTCGAAACTTTAATCAACCATTGGACAATCTGCCAAAGAGTCTACGCCATATCACTCTTGGCAGTGACTTTAATCAAAAGATAGAGAGCCATCAACTTCCAGAATCTCTAACTGAGTTGATATTTGACATTCCATACGACCAACCGCTACCGACACTTCCATCCTCATTGGTCAAAATGGTCATCGGCAAGTCATACACTCATATAATCGAACATCAACCGTTACAAATATTGGAGACGTGGTCTGAACGCATGCAGTTTAGTAACAAGATCATATTTGATCATTTACAACGACTCAACATTCATAATATCTTGTCCAGTACACTATCGATCATCAACTCAGTCAACTTTCCAAACCTTTTACATTTGGAAATCGGGAGATTACACTTGCTAAACAAATTGGTCACTTATCAACATGACCTGTCCACACTGCCATCGTCACTCTGCTTCCTTGCTATACCACTCACCAGGCCACTCAAATCAATTAGACATGGTATCAAACATTTGACCATAAGGATTAACAATCCATCAATCAGATTCAAGATGGGTCAACTTCCATCATCGATAGACACACTTGTTTTAAAAGGCTACGAAAGTCCATTTGAACAAGGTATCCTACCTCAATCAGTGACATCATTGAAAATCGATCGGTATAATATGGATACCACCGTATTACCAACATCACTTCGTTCACTAGAGTTATTGGAACGGTTCCAACATCGTAGCACTGTCGGTCTCCAGCAAATACAAGCTCTGCCAAAGTCCATCGTGGATTTGAGCATAACAATCCTTAACTCCAAGTGTAATCTCCGTCGACTGTCCCCTACACTCCACTTCAAGTGGACCGATGAACTTGTTCAATGTGGATTCCTCCGAGACGATCAGCTTGGCCAACTCTTTGGCTTTAATGTCAACGAATAAAACTAGTTAACTATCATCGTCCATAGCTCCAATCACAGTGGACAGGTTATTGATATTGATGAAGCCACATCTTGTCATGTTGAACGAGACATAGATGAATATGTCCGGAGAGATACGTCGAAGTGTATACTCTATATATTCAGAGTCAACAATGCGTATCAATGGTGTTGCTAACTGTTTGATAATGCTCTTGCGATAGATTATTTTCAATGTGAGTTTACGTAGTGATGGAAGTGGAGCAACATGATCACCAACCAACTGTCCAAGATGTCTGCCATCGATGCTTATCGACCTGATTGATTGAGGGATGCAACCCTCCTCCAATTGTGTTTGGTATGACCTAATGTCCAATGTCCGGATCGTGGTTGGTAACAGCCCTGGATGCAACCTGAATAGACCAGAGTACTCCATCTTCAAACTCTCCAGACCAATTGGAAATGCTGAGATTGGTTGTGCGAATATTATTCTCAACTTTCTCAAGGTAGTTGGAAGCCTTGAGAGATTGAGATCCGTCTTGGGCTGTCCAGCCTGGTCAAGTATATTGTTGACGTGGAGCCTGTATAGACGAGGGAAGTTTTGATCTGTGATGTGCGATGTCAACAATGTTGTTTGAATCTTGCCTATGGACAATATCTTAAGTTGCGGGAATACGTTGGTGAATGGTTGAGAGACTTGAGAGATTTTGAGGCGTTGCAAGTTGGGCAAGTCAATCCTCCTGGCAAAGGGTTGCACACAGTGCAACGATAGTCTTGTGAGGTTTGATGGCATGTTTACCAAGTCATGATCAAACCTGGAATACTCGAGTTTCAGTCTGTTGATTGATTGTGGAAGTACGCCTGCCAGAGGATGGTTGAACGTGCCACCAAAGTTAATGCGCTCTAGTTGCGATGGCAGACCACCAGACTCTATCGGTAGATTCCAATTGAATGCATCGTTTATACGTAGCATCTTTAGACTTTCCGGTAGTACATGATTGAGATTACTTTGGAACCTCTCACCCATGATTGTTAAGCTGGTGAGTGATGCTGGGAGCATGTCCTTGTTGATCTGCCAATTGGTACTTGCTTTGACCTTTAGATTGCTCAATGGAAGTTGATGTATATTGATCTCGGGCACTGATTCCAAGTGTAGATTGATCAAACAGTTTGGATGAACATGATGAAGCTCCTTGACGAATGAGTCAAGCTCAGACCAGAATACTCCATCAAACAGCGAGTCTCGAGTTTCTTCAAATGTTATGCTCTTGACAATGCATTGTAGTTGTAGTATATCTTGTCTCCAACTCCTCGATGGCTCTGTTTAGGTAAGCTGGTGTCAGTAACATGTTCATGACAGACAATGTAAATGTATATGCTTACCAATGAAGATACTTCGATCATAGATGTACATCTCAGTGTTGTCAGGTACTTGTTTGTGTACAAGTATTGTCTGTCCTTTGTTGTTGATGTCATTGCGAATGATGTCCAGGTATGATCTGAGATAACATTGTTTGTCCATGTACTTGTTGAATGCATCGTATGTTGGCAAGTGAGTAGTGTCAAAGTATAGATACTTGTCTCTGTGTTCAAACCATCGCTTGCAGACCAAAGACAGTACCAGTCTATCAAAGTTATCCTCTACATATGATATTATACGTTGTAATATTGTTATTGGTAATGATTCCATTTGTATGTATACAACTGAGTCAGGTAAAGAAAAAAGAAATAAAGTTGTTGAAGTCGACGAGAGAAATATTATCAATCTGATTGATGTTTGATAAGGGTGATAAAGAGATAGACTCTGTAATTGATTTATTGGGGGTGTTTACTGTCCACCACGGAGACGGAGCACCAAGTGGAGAGTGGACTCCTTTTGGATGTTGTAGTCAGAGAGGGTACGTCCATCCTCGAGCTGCTTTCCAGCGAAAATGAGACGCTGTTGATCGGGTGGGATTCCCTCCTTGTCTTGAATCTTGGTCTTGACGTTCTCAATGGTATCCGAGCCCTCAACCTCAAGGGTGATGGTCTTTCCAGTAAGGGTCTTGACGAAGATCTGCATACCTCCACGGAGACGGAGGACCAAATGGAGAGTGGACTCCTTCTGGATGTTGTAGTCGGAGAGGGTGCGGCCATCCTCGAGTTGCTTACCGGCAAAGATCAGACGCTGCTGGTCGGGTGGGATACCCTCCTTGTCTTGAATCTTGGTCTTCACATTCTCGATGGTGTCGGATCCCTCGACCTCCAAAGTGATGGTCTTGCCGGTCAATGTCTTAACAAAGATCTGCATTCCTCCACGGAGACGGAGCACCAGATGGAGGGTGGACTCCTTCTGGATGTTGTAGTCAGAGAGGGTACGGCCATCCTCCAACTGCTTTCCGGCAAAGATGAGACGCTGCTGATCGGGTGGGATTCCCTCCTTGTCCTGGATCTTGGTCTTAACATTCTCGATGGTATCAGAGCCCTCAACCTCAAGGGTGATGGTCTTGCCGGTCAAGGTCTTGACGAAGATCTGCATACCTCCACGCAGACGGAGCACCAAGTGAAGGGTGGACTCCTTCTGGATGTTGTAGTCAGAAAGAGTACGGCCGTCCTCCAACTGCTTTCCGGCGAAAATCAGACGCTGTTGGTCGGGAGGGATTCCCTCCTTGTCCTGAATCTTGGTCTTGACGTTCTCAATGGTGTCGGATCCCTCGACCTCAAGGGTAATGGTCTTGCCGGTAAGGGTCTTGACGAAAATTTGCATTCCTCCACGGAGTCTCAACACGAGATGGAGAGTGGACTCCTTCTGGATGTTGTAGTCGGAGAGGGTGCGACCGTCCTCAAGCTGCTTGCCAGCAAAGATGAGACGTTGTTGGTCGGGTGGGATTCCCTCCTTGTCCTGGATCTTAGTCTTCACGTTCTCGATGGTGTCGGATCCCTCGACCTCCAGAGTGATGGTCTTGCCAGTCAATGTCTTTACAAAGATTTGCATGATTGATTTAAAAGTATAGATTAAATATTATTAACAAGTTTGTACAATTATAACCAATAATATTATTATAGATATCTCTTTATATATATGTTTACAAGTATTATTATTTGTTGTTGGTATGAATGAATGAATGTATGTGTACTAGTTGTTAATTAAATAACCAATAACCAATCTGTTGAACAAACCTCCCAAACCACATTCTTAATTATTTATTTAATTACAAATTTAGCATCACACACTCATTCTTTGCTGACAAGGAGTGAGTCACTCTGAAACTTCTCCCCCACTACACCCCATCCTGGGATGTTCATTCGCGAACTACAGTCAGGACTGACTAATCTTATTCCATTCCATTCCATTCCAATCCACAACAAATACATACAATGTCATGTACTAATACTTGTTGATGACTGATTGAAACTTATCAGCAGTGACGAATCCACAACGTAACATATCTTCAGATTGCATAAAGAATATTGTTGAGGATATACGACGGAGTTGAAGTCGTCCATGTCTAGTGAAGTAGTATTGTGCATGTATCAATATGCTTATCATCCATATTGATAAAGGCAATGCTCCAAGATGATAGTTTTGTGGATGACCAGATGCCAGATGCAATGAATGCAATGTCACTGGCAATATAGATGGTGATGGCCAATGCTTCGAGTCAACAAGGTTCAACTCTGTAACAGATGATGGTATATCTTGTTGAGTCAAAGGATATTTGTATCCGATTAGGTGGACTGTATGCAAAGTCGAGGGAAGTGATCCAATCAACAGGTTAAAGTTACGTCTACATCTTATACGCAACAGTTCCACTCCCTCTGGTATCATTGTTGGATGGCAGAGGTCAAGGTTGAGATCGGTCACTGTTGGTGTGAATCCCAAGAAGTCATGTTTCGAAATGACATCCGGGAAGTTCTGGATGCTCAGTTGGACCAGTGCTGGAAAGGATGTCTGTGTGATTGAAGGGATTATCGGTACGTCACATCGACCAATGACCAGACTCTTTAGATTCGTGAATGGTACGGAGGTGTTGAGTGGACAAACTACAACAGAGATGGATAATCGCGTCAATGATCTGAGTTGTATCGCCTGGCCATGGTACGAGTGAATATGCAAGTCTGTGAGACTAGTCGGGAGGGTATCCAAGTTGTGACCATAATGAGGACTAGGTATGCTTAACAATGTGAGTGAATGTGGCAACACTTTGTTATCCAGCAGTTCATAGTAGCCTGAACCAAGGTATAGTTCACAGAGTGTGGAGGGCAAGGTACCTGGAAAGAACTCCCGGTTGTTATAATCACAGTTTCTGAGGTTAAGTATTCGCAGGCCATGAGGCAGTCGTCCATCAAATATAAAATCTGGACCAGTAACACTCAAGTCTGTAAGTGTCAATGGAATGGCATTCAAAGGGATGTCAATAGCAAACACTGACGTAAGGTTCAACTTTGTAATGTTGACATGTTGTAATGGTGACCAATAACCTGGAAAATTGACTGTGAATGACACAATAACGTTGTCTTGCAGTCTATCAATCAATGACTCATTGATCATTGACCAGAACAATATATCAAAACTCCTCGCAGAGTTATCAATCAACAACAACGTCTCCAAATTTCATCTTCAATATATCATCTATCCATGATCTATTTGCTTCCGCTCCAGTCTCTATTTAGTATGTTGTTAGACAAGCATTACTGTTGAATAAATGAATGAATGAACATACCGATGAGGAATGTACGATCATAATCAGATCTGTTTAATAGACTATTAGTGTATACTGCTACTTTGATACCTTTGTGTCCATGTTGTTGATTGTTAAGGAGTATTTCTTTGTAGGACTTCAATGATGTATGTGTTCTTATGTCTCTTGTTATGTGTTCCAAAGCAAAGTGAAGGTATTTATGACGTTGTTCATACATTCGTTTGGAGACCAATGTCAACATCAATCGATCAGTGTTTGATGGCAAGTATGATAGAATATATCTAAGTAATGTATGTTGAAGTGACTCCATTATTATTGATGGTAGTTATTTGTACAAGTACAAGAACTAATAATGAATGCTTTGACAAAAGGAGTCTGTCTTTATGGAGGTTTATTCGTCACAAATGCTGGTTGGCTGGAGTGATCCCTGATCATGATGGTGACGAGGTGGAGGCGGCCATCTGTGATAGCATGACTAGATGTGTTCGTCCACTTTCAAAGGTCTTCCTTCTGCCAACTGTTAGCAATAGAAGATCTTTGTAGTCGACCTGATCGATGTGGAATAGAGTCTTGCCACTGATCTCATTGTCCATGAATGCCTGTCTGACCTCTAGTGGCATGTCAATTGATTCGAGCCAGTCGGCAACCATTCTAATCGTCCACTCAAATGGAGGTGTGGACAAGTACGATGTCGACGATGAGAGTACAAGCTGTGGTGGTGATGGATGTGTTTGATTAGGTGTTGATGCTGGTGTTGATGCGGCTGTTGAAGGTGCTGGTGCATGAATTGGTGCTGGTGCTGGCGATGGCGCCGGAGCGTGTGTTTGTGCTGGAGCAGCAAGAACTGGTGCTGGTGATTGAGCTGGTGCTGGTGCTTGAGTTGCTGGTGCTGGTACTCGAGCTGGTGCTTGTACTTGAACTAGCGTTGGTACTTGAGCAGGTGCTGGTACTTGAGCAGGTGCTGGCGCTGGTACTGCTGCTGGTGCTGGTGCTTGAGCAGGGGCTGGTGCTGGGACTGCTGCTGGGGTTGGTGCCTTGGCAACAGGTGGTGCTGCCTCCACCTTCATTGGTGGTTTGTAAGGAGTGGGATTTGGTTCCTCTACTGCTTGATTCACCAGAGGCTTGGCGGCAGTGTTACTTTTTGGTGTTGAATCGACATCCGCGTTCTTGTTGACCTTGGTCTTTGATGCCGAAACAGCTGTCTTTGTTGATTCTTGAGCCCTACCCCTTCTTGTTGGTGTTGCAATAGGTTGTGCACTCGTCTCATCAGCTGCGTTTGTACCTGTAGTTGTAGTTGTAGAAGTAGTAGTATTTGCTATAGTTGTTGTTGTTGTCGTTGTTAATAGAGTGCTCATTCATACATTCATTGATCCATTGATAACTTACTGTGTACAAAGATGCACTTACTACCATAGGCGCACTTTCCTTTCTTGTAGAACTCGCATTCCTTTGCTTGCTTCTTGGCTCCCTTCTTAGTGGACTCTTCAGCTGCTTGATTGGTAATTCGTTTTGTATTAGCGCCAGCTCACTTGGTGACTTTCAATCTCCAACATCCATATGGATGTGATACTCACCTTCCTTTGCTGGCTTTGTTGGCTTTGTTGATTTCTTCTCGGTAGAGAACTTTGGTGGACTTGAGTTGGTAGTTGTTGTGCTTGTTGAACTAGTACTGGATGTGGATGTAGTTGTAGGTGCGGTAGTGGCAGTTGAGCTTTGAGTTGTTGATGATGTTGGTGGTGGGATAGCCACTGATTCCTCTGCTGCTGCTTTAGGTGCATGTGGTGTACTAGCTGGTACATGTGCCAAGCCTTGAGTTGGAGCTGGAGCTGATGCTTGAGTTGGAGCTGGTGCTGGAGCTGGTGCTGGAGCTGGTGCTGGAGCTGGTGCTGGAGCTTGTGCTGGAGCTTGAACTGGAGCAGGAGCTGGAACAGATGCGGGGGCTAGATTTGGACCCGAAGATGCTTTCTCTGTGATGATATTGATCAAGACTGGAGTAAGTAATGGTTGAATCGATCAATCAATCAATCAAACATGTTGACGTACCATGGATAAAGGGACAGTCCTTGCCCTGTGAACAGGTGTTTGTCCTCCAGAAGTTGCACACCTTGGTTAATTGATTGAATCTTGGATCAGTGTGATCCATCGGTCTGGCGCTGTGCTTAAATATACAGGCAGCGCCATGGAAACAGTCACCTCTTAACCAAAAATCGCATTCCTTCTGTGTTTGTTTTGATGCTACTGTAGGTTGTTGTTGTTGCTGTGGTTGATTGGATGGTGCAGGCTGGTTGGATTGTGGACTGAGTGGCGCAGGATTATTAAGTGGCGCAGGACTATTAAGTGGTGCTGGATTATTGATTGGTGCTGGATGATTGATTGGTGAAGTTTGTTGCTTGGGTGTATTGGAAGTTCCACGACTGACGGTGGTCACAACGACTGGCGCTGTTACCGACACTGGTGTATCGTCATTGATTGCTAAGAGTGTTACGTGTTGGTTAAATGATTGATTGATTACCGTCATTATTATCTGCCAAGCACTTACCGTGAACAAAGGTGCAGTTGTAGCCTCTTGAGCAGTTGCCCTTCTTGAAGAACTCGCATTCCTTTGTAAAGAACTTTGCCATATCATCTTCCTCTTCAACAACCTTGCTATTGTTATTGTTGGTACCATTGTCAAGGCCAGTACTCACTAAAGGTCGTTTAAGGGTTGTTAGTTACCGTCGATTATCTATAATCCCGACAAGCGAAACCCGTGTCACGGGTAACATACTTGTGTGGAGGAATGAACATGTGTCACCCTTCAGACAGAACTTGTTGTTCAACCAATACTCACATACGGTGGTGCTCGGAAGCTTTGGAGTCTTCTTTGATTTTCTGCCACTGTCCGACACACTGTTGCGACCGCCTCGAATAACAGGGGCGGTGGAGGTGGTGGACGTAGTCGTAGTTGTAGTTGAAGTTGTTGGGTGACTGATTATGTTACTACTGCTGCTTTTGATTTCTTTTGAGGCCTCACTTGCTGCTGCTGATGTAGTTGATGTTGTTGTTGGTGTTTTATGTGTTGTAGGTGTTGCCTCTGCTGCTGCTGCTGCTGCTGCTGCTGCTGCTGCTGCTGCTGCTGCTGCTGCTGCTGCTGTCTTGGTAGGTTTGGCAGCTAGGTGCAATCGATCGATCGTGGGTTAGTCACTACATAAGACCATTGGATGATTATCGATGATCAATTTACTTACAATGTTTAAACAAACAGGCATCTCCATTGGCACAACTACCCTTCTTAAAGAAATGGCATTCTCTCTTCTTGCAGTAGTTTATGTATCCTTGTTTGACCTTGGCCGATGATCTACCGTTGGCACCAACATGTTCACCACCCACTTCATAACTTCCACTGTCGCTGCTATCACTATCATCATCATCAATGTCAATGTTGTTGTTATTATTGTGAAGTGATAGATTGTTCATGGCTTTGTCGACTTGTTGTTGTTGTTGTTGTTGTTGTTGTTGCTCCAACAACATCTTGTTGTTGTTGTTGTTGTCGTTGTTGTCGTTCAGTGTTGTGGATGTGACTTTGTTCTTTAGCTCATCGTCTTTGTCATCCCACCTCATTCTAAATATAAAAGATTCACCAATTAACGAAACTAATCTATTATCTATATGTTTAAATATATCTATATAATAATAATAATAATATTATTACTATTCTGTTTGTGTTGCTGTTGTTGAAGAGAGAGGATTATCTTGACTCACACACGTTTGTCCTTAAGGACAAACGTTGATGTAAGTGTGTTGTCTGTTTTTGTCTCTGTGTTCACACTCAACCACGAACAAACAAATGAGAGAGTCAATCAAATGATTGACGTTACGAATGTATGTGTAATATACTGATCCAACAACACTAGCACTACTTATTATTATTCCTTCTACTTGTTTATTTAAATATTATTTAATTTAAATGAATTTGATGATTGATTGGTTGAAGTACATTCCCATTAAACGATGAGTTGAGTTCAACCAAAAACAGAAAACAATTGACAATCCAACACAAAAACAATCAAAAAAAGAGCGCACAATGTTGGAGATATCATCCATTCACGATTCTTTACTCTTCTGTTTATTACTACACTTATTATAAATACATACAGATAATATTTATATATATAAATAAATAGATATTTTCATTTAGGAGATAGAGAGACAGTTTATATTGATATAAATAATTATATCAATAACTTTAATTAATTACTTTTTTTAAAAATGGTTAGCAGCAATGTAAATAGTAGCAACTTCAAGAAGAAAGAATGTTTGTTCAATATGAGTGGCTCTTGTAAGAATGGCGATTCTTGTCCGTTTAAACATTGTAAGTGGTAGTAATACAATATTACATGTACCTTTACTGACACTAATGAATGAATGAATGAATGAAACAGCAACAACAGTCATTGAGGATAGTTCAAAGAAACGCAGTAAGTAAGAAGAGTGGATGCAGATGCAGGCATTGGGAGCTCAAAACAAAGACTAATTGGAACTTAATCACTCATTACAGCTAAAGATAAGTTTAAATCAGAGATGTGCAAGAATCAATTGGAGTTTGGTGTTTGTTTCTATGGTCGTAAATGCACTTATAGGCACTGTATGTTGTACCATTACTACTACTACTACTACAATCAATTGATTGAATGAATATCAGACTAACAAACAACCTACAAATATAGCAACTATAGAAGATGATGACGATGACTTTGAAGTAGAGGATGAGATTGAATATGGAATGGTTGTTGGAGATGATGATGAAGAAGATGAACTGGTTGGGGATGATTCTAATGATGAGGATAATAACAGTGGCGACGATGATTCAAAACAGAAACCTACATACCGACCCTATACCAAGCCCTGCTTCGATTGGTTGAAAGGACAAGCCTGTCAACGTGGAGATACATGTACATATTTGCATTGTAAGTGTTCACTCATTGGTAGTAGTTCATTCGAGTCGACTCTAACTCACGGTCATCATCATTGTTTAGGTCACCCGAATGATAAGGCTAAAATACTTGAACTCCAGAAGAAGGCAGAGTCCGAAATGAAGGCTAAGCTTTTCCGTACAAAGGAGTGCGAGTATTATAAGCTTGGTACTTGTGGTAATGGCATCAACTGTACTTATTCTCATGGCAAAGTACCAATGCGTCCAGGTTCAACTTCAACTTCAACAACTACAACAGCTGTTTCTGCTGCTCCTGCTTCTTCTACAACAACTGCAGCAGCAGCAGCCGTTGCACCCAAGGTTAACAACAACAACAACAACAACAACAATGTCGTTGCAACAAAGAGTGCAGATAGTTCAGTTGATTCAAAGGGTTGGACTGCCAAACTTCCTGATTTGTTGAAGGGACCTCCTACACCAGAACCAGCTCCAGTTGCTCCAGTTGCTCAAGTTGCTCCAGTTAAACAAACTCAGGCTCAAGTTAAACAAACCCAAGCTCAAGCTAAACAAGCTCAGGCTGAGGCTGCCAAGGTACAAGCAGAGGCCGCCAAGGCTCAAGCAGAGGCCGCCAAAGCTCAGGCTGAAGCTGCCAAGGTAAAAGCCAAGGCAGAGGCACTGGCCAAAGAACAAGCTCAAGCTCAAGCTCTTGCCCAAGCACAAGCTGAGGCATTGGCCAAAGAACAAGCACAGGCTCTTGCCCAAGCTCAAGCTGAGGCAATGGCCAAAGAACAAGCTCAAGCTCTGGCTCAAGCTCAAGCACAAGCTCAAGCCCAAGCCCAAGCCCTAGCCCTGGCTCAAGCTCAAGCCCAAGCACTGGCTCAGGCTCAAGCACTGGCTCAAGCTCAAGCTCAGCCACCAGCAAGGACTGATTGTAAGTACCAATGCAGTCTAACAGCACAAGAATGCCAACCATTAACCATCTCTTAAATTGATATAGCGCCCCAAAATAATTACGCAGAACAACTTGGATATAATTTCAATTATCTTGATCAAGCTCTCAGTTACAATCAAGCACAACAGCTTCCAGGAATGTATGGCATCCAACAACCTGTTTCACCATTGTCAATGCTCCAGAACAACATGAATTTACAGGGAATGTATCCAGGCATGCACAATATCTCCCTTGCTCAAATGAATGGAATGTACGCTCAGCAACAGCAACAACAGCAACAACAACAGCAACAACAAGCTGCTCAACCAGTTTCACCCCAAGTTGTATCCTACTGCGCACCACCTTCAGCAAATGTCAACCAACAGAATGGACAACAAGGTGGCGTTGTTGGAAACCAACAGGCTTCATATTTGGAATGGAAGACCCAACAGGTCGTCCTTTGGCTCACAGCAATTGGCATGCCAGATTCAGTGTGTCAAGCATTCGCCACCCAAGAGATCAATGGAAAGACTTTGGACCACATCGATCCAGCAGACTATGCTGAACTTGGCTTGACTACAGTTGGAAGAAGGAGGATGTTTGAAGCTGAGCGCAGCCAACTGGCCAGTCAAAAGATTGAACAACTTAACCAGGCTGTCTCTGACTTTAATCTCAGCATTGATAAATAGGATGTTGATGTTGATGATCAATCACCCATCACTAAATAAATCCAATTAATCCAACAACTCTCTCGATGGGGCACTCCTCTTCATACACACGACATTACAAACAGGTTGACAGTCAATCAATCAGTCAATCAATTTATCGACCCACACACAAACATTCATTGGTCATCAATCAATCAATCAAGCATTGCATTAGACCCGCCCCATCACCCACCAACAAAGTGTTGATGAAAAACACAAAGAAACATCAAACAAATATCACAGGAGAGTTAGTTTGTAAATATATATTATATGTACAACATTATCTGTACTGTATTTATATCAAGGGAAGACAATATATAGTCAATATTAAATACCAAATCAAAGAGAGATTGATTGGACATACAAACAAACAACAGCCCAACCAATCCAATCAAACCAATCCAATCAGTTCAATCAAACCAAACAAAACGATACTAAAATGGTTAAGAGTAGCAACAAAAATGACTACTCGAGTTCCTTCTACTACTACGATGATCATGATGGCCTCTGTTGTACAACATGCCATCAACGTATAGAGTGCTACTTCAATAAGAAAGGCACTTGCAACAATACTTCCTGTGACTTTGCCCATCGTACGTACGCTGCGCCGCGTATCATTCATACAAAGTGGACAACTAACTAAACTAACATATTACATTGATTGTATAGCATTGCATCCTGAAGAGGAAACAGATCTCTGTGACTGTCTCTTCCAATATGTCCCGCTGTGCACCAACTTTAAGAAGAAAGGAAAGTGTGTAGGAGGTGACAAATGTGCATTTAGACACTGTATGTAGGATGGATTGGTTAGTGATAAGAGAGAGAGATAGAGAGGACTATGTTCAGTGATCAAATATTAACACTCTAGTGATGCTTCATCATCACCATGGTTAGCCGATGAAGCGGCTGACGAGGTAGAAGCTATGCGCCTTGCCAACTTGACAACAGGAGCGACACCAACATCAAAAGAATTCTTGCACTTCACCAAAGAATGTGAATACTTTAAGAACGGAACTTGTGGAAGAGGAGATAAATGCACTTATCTTCACAGTAAGTGTGTGATAATGATTATAATAACAAAGACGATGGCGATGGTGATGGTCTAACATTGGCACTCCAGCTGCACCAGAGAGTAAAAGCAAGAGCAGTACCTCCAAAACCGCTAGTACCAAAACAGCCACAACTAGCAATGGCACACCAAGCAAAGGCAGTGCCGCCAGCAGCACCAGCACCAGCAGTAGCACCCCCAATGGAAGCACCAAGGGCTGGACAACCAAATTGACAGATGTCCCAAAGAGTCAGAGTGCCTCTGAAACCTCATCAGCAAAACCCAAGCTCACTTTGAGGACGGATTGTAAGGTCGATCAGTACTATGATCATTCATTCATTCATTTTGAGCTTGGAACCTAACATCCTTTCCAAAAGCATTGAATACAGAGTCAAAGCCACCTGGATCAAACTCTGGCGTCGCTCCCAAGACTCCAACGAGCGCCACAACTACCGCTACAACCACCACAACAACGACAACATCAGCGGCCGTCACTCCGGCCACTCCCAAGCCAGTGACAGTCGTCAATGAAGTGGTAGCTGATGCCAATGTCAATGTCAATGCCCAACCAGCTGCAGTCGAAAAGCCTATCAAAACAAGTTCTCCCAGTCCCTTGGAATCCCTGAATCAGATTCCCTCACCTCTTCCAACAACAACAGCAACAACAACAGCATCAGTAGTGACGACAGATTGTGAGTAGTACCAGTACAATCATCATCAAGGCAAGGAATTCTAACATACTCCATCCATCCCGCACACCATCACAGTACCCATAAATAGCAATCTAATAGTTGGTGCTCCACCACCTGGCTTCATTGTACCAACGCCACAACAGGTTAACAATCAGTTACTATCCTTTTCAATGTTCAGCACTACACCACAGTCGGCGTTGCCAATGTCCCCTCTGCCTGGCACGTCGCAGCTCTTTGCCACACCGATCAAGGCACCTGGCGGAATGGACAACATGCCACCAGCTGTACAGCCATCACCCTCTGCTGCCAATGGTGTCTCTTCGCCAATTTTACAGGCTTCATCAGCATCCAAGCCATACTCTGAATGGAGCACCTATGATGTGATGGTTTGGTTGGCAGAGATTGGCATGCCGCCCGTGGTGAGCCAGGCGTTTGCCATCCAAGAGATCGATGGAAGGACATTGGATAAAATCGATCCGGCAGACTATCCAGACCTGGGTCTGACGACAATCTTTAGGAAGAAGACATTCGAGTCGGAGAGGGCTACATTGGCGAGCAAGAAAATAGATCAGTTGAACCAGGTCTTGAACAACTTGGGAGGCCTCTACATTGGCAAGTAAATGTATTGGTGGTCTCATTCAATCCTAATCAAGTTCCACACAAACATGACCAAATGACTTTGATCATTCTAATAAAAGTTGCGACCTCTGATGTGGACACAGACATCAAGTTGTTGGATACATTCCATTGAGAATACAGGGTAGTATATGGACTGGGTAAATGCCTGTCCTATTCATTAGATGTCTTTGTTCAATTATACAGTTGACGATGAGTGTGTCTCAACTAAGTGACTCCCTCGTAGGCATGTGTGTCGCGATGATATCGCTGGAGAATGGTACTTTGCTGTCCATGATGTTGAATCAAGTCTGTCAACAAAGATGTGAAGATGATGAATGATTGAGTGGCTCCAGTTGGATGTCCAATAAATAAATGATGTTGATGTTCAGTCCAAAGTACCATGCATATGCCCTGTTGGTGATGTTGGTGTTGGCTTGACTAGATTTGGTAGTCTTGTCTTTCTCAGTTGATCATTGTCGAAACCAAACATTGCTATAGCACGATAATACAATGAGATTGCTTCGTTGTATCGATCCAGTGACATGTAGAAATCCAACAACTCTGTTATATATCCAATGTTTAACCATCGTTCACAGTTCAATGCATCGATATACATTGATTCTGCCTTGACTATGTTTGTACTGTTTCGATTCTATGTATGATTGATCAGTATTGACACGCCTATGATGGCTCATTCTTCAACAACCAACATACTTGATTGAGTATCTGTGCGATACGTATTCGTGCACTGCAGTCGTAGGGAGCTATTCTCAAGAGTGAGTATAGTGATTGAAGGGTATTCTCTACATCACCAATCATGTTGTAATGATTGTATTCTTCTACCATTTGATTTAGTCGCATATTATGATTCATTAGTCTGTCCTTTGCATTGTTCATCATGATTGTAATGTTTCTATTATCCTTGTTCTTCACAGTTGCCAACACCAACAGCACCAACATCAATGTAGACAGCCACCTTTGATAGAACAATATCTTTTGAATGAATGTTCTTGGTCTCTTTTCTCCATTGACTTCATTCAGAGTAGCAGCAGGTGTATAGTTTGTATGTGAATGTGATTGGATACTGTCTATCTGTGTATGATCAAGTTCAACAACATCACGAGAATGTCTATTATTATTGTACTTGTTATACAACATCATGTACTCTATTGAGTTTGTTGTGATGTTGTTGTCATCTTCAGCTTGGTGCTTGTCTTCCTCTTCTTCACATTTGTCATTGTTGTTGTCGTTATTGTCACAAATGACTTTGTCAATGTCTTCTTCTTGTATCATTATATATATTCTTATCTATCTATTCATCAATATATGTTTTGAAACAAAAGACGAGTGTAAATATTTATCAATTCCCACACACCTTTGAGTTTCCCAGATTGTCTTTGACATGATCAATCACACACTGACTACCTTCTATTCTATTCCACTGGAGGTGTATAAGATTTTATTTGATTATTATCTTTCCTGACTATGTAGGTAAAATCCATAAATCAGATCCTCATTACTCTTCATGATCATGTACTGTTTAATTAAATAATATCCTTAGTAGTTGGTTTCCTCTTAATATATTCAAATAAACCTTTACTCCTTAAGTATTTACCAATGATTAATATTATGATCTAAAAGATATTTGTTTAGATCTATACTATCTTTAATCAGATTACAAATTTAGACTTTAGATTGATCTGTTTGATCATCGAAAGGGTCAAAAAAAGTTCGGTGAATCTCATTGGATGAAAAGTTTGGGCTCAAGGTCCTGAACCCTATTAATAAAACAGGGCAACAGAAAACAAGTCAGAAGACAAAGTCATTTAAAGGGTCAATCAAACAACAACAATCAAACAAATAATAATAATAATAATAATAACTAGTAATAATAGAAAGTAATCAAAGATGACAGAGTACAAGTTGGTAATTGTTGGAGGTGGTGGTGTCGGCAAGTCAGCATTGACTATTCAGTTGATCCAGAATCTGTTCATGGATGAGTACGATCCAACTATTGAGGACTCGTACAGGAAGCAAGCCACTATCGATGACGAGACATGCTTGTTGGACATCCTCGACACTGCTGGTCAAGAGGAGTACTCAGCCATGCGTGATCAATACATGAGAACTGGTGGTGGATTCCTCTGTGTCTACTCGATCACCTCACGATCATCATTCGATGAGATTGCATCCTTCCGCGAGCAAATCCTCAGAGTCAAGGACAAGGACAAGGTGCCAATGATCATCATTGGTAACAAGTGTGATTTGGAGAGCGAGCGTCAAGTCACCACCGGCGAGGGTCAAGACCTTGCCAAGTCATTCGGTTGTCCATTCCTCGAGGTATGTTTGTTTGAGACTCACTCTTCATTATTGACTGATCACCCCAACTAACACACACTTATGGAACTATTCCACCACATTCCCAATCAATCTTTTAGACCTCAGCCAGGATTCGTGTGAACATTGAGGAGTCATTCTACTCGTTGGTCCGTGAGATCAGAAAGGAAACAAAGGGAACCGTCAAGCCAGACAAGAAGAAGAAGAAGAACTTGGCCAAGTGTACCCTTCTCTAAGTCAATGAATCAATCAATCAATCAATGGATTGATCAATCATGTGTTTGGACTTTAAGATTGTCACACTCACTCATCAACTGATCGATCACTTCCAATCGACGTGTACATTATTCTAATAAACAATTACAACAAATAATAATGTTGTAGTTGTATTGTATAATGTGGACCCAATAAGGGATTATTCCAAGTCTCTGTACATGTGTCATTGATTGATGTATCTCGCTGGACAATATCTTGGAGAATGCATGTACTTGACAGTGTCCAATGTGATGAATCCAGATCGAGTAAAGATGTAGTCGGTGTGGAAGAACAATGAATTGGACACTCTTCTTAGGTTCATCATCTTTGTGCCAAGTTCCAAACTGATCAGTGACTCGGGCAACTCCATCAAAAAGTTATGTACGTCCACATCTTCATAGCCTTCCCATTTCAACTTTGTCAGTTGTGGTCCAGTCTGTGGATTCAACACCCTGGCAACATCCAATCTCTGATAGTACGTGACCAGCTTCAGCACCTTTGTGGAGGCGGGCACTTCACCCGCCCTCAAAGGATGCTCATAGCCAAAGAGTTGCAATTTACGAATGGAGGATGGCTGTTGGAAGAGATTGTCTGGCAACTGGAAGTTTGATTGAGTGAACGATATTCTTAGGCTCTCGACTCCACACGGCACTGATTCGATCGGTTTGTTTGGTGTGATGTTCAGCCACTTGAGCGAGGTGGGCAGTGTGGACAGGTCCAAAGGGTCGAGGTTCATCATCATTGTGAATCCTTGGCATGTAAGCTTCTTGAGCACGGGCAAATTGTCCGATGTGATGTGGCTCAGATCACCCTCGCCAATGAGTCCGAGCACAAGTTCGGTGAGACTGTGATAGAGGTGTTGTGACAAGTTCGATGCGGTCGTGCATTGGTAAAGATACTTCAATGCTGGTGGATGTACGATGGAGGATGTCTGTGAGGAGTAGACCGTGAGGTCGGTGAGTGCTGATGGCAGGTTGGTCACGGGTTGGTCAAAGTTTGAGCTCAGCTCAAGACCTGTGAGTGAGCGGGGCAGACGGTCTCCATTGAGTGGATGGCACATGTTTGATAGAAACAGAGTAGTGAGGTGAGTGAGGCCAGAGAGGTCTGTGGAGTTGTCGAGGGGCATCGCATAATCACTATACAATAGTAGTGTGTCTAGTGTCTTGGGGAAGAATGATGTGCCAACAACTGAATTGATATCAATGATGTCCTCTGCAGAATCCTCATCTTGGTTAAAGTAGATACTGAGTCCATTCAAAGGCACATGACATAATGATCTTTGTTGTGGAGTTGATAACATGACGTATGAGATAACAATGTTTGGATGACTAGCCCGCAACTTGTTGAGGAAGGGCAATGCACCATCCCAGAATGTTTGGTGCAAGGGACTTTCCAAACTATCGGCAAACGTTAACCTCTTTATCAAAGGTACATTCATCACATCCTGATGCCATTGATCCTGGTTCGTCAATGAGTCCCCTTCATAAGAGTTAGTTAGTAACTTGATTGAATGAGTGTGTGATGACAACGACACGACATACCTATGAAGATGGTTACATCATATACCCTTGGCTGCCTCCATAGGTCACTCGAGTTGGTGTAGAGATAGATTGATTTGTGTCGATTGTCAGAGTCTTGATCAAGGATTGACTGGTACGACTTTAATGATGTTGATGTTTGTTGTTGTTGTTGTAGAGATCTTGTGATTTTGAACTGGATAAAGTCATCGGTGATAAAGTTTAGATATATATGACGATGTTCAAAGTATCGTTTACAGACCAACGTCAACATCAAACGATCAGTATTATCATCCAATTGATCAACTATATTGCCAAGTACTGTAAGTGGTAATGACTCCATATCTATTCGTATATGTTTATTACTTTGTTTATCTGTTTGGATGGTGATTGATCCAAGTTGACGAACTGATTGATCGTTTGAGATTTACCAAATAATTTCCAAATCCTGGTTAGATTTGGCTTGATCGAGTCCATGGGTTGAGTAATGTTGTGTGCGTGTGTGTATGTGATTGGAATAGTTCCACTCAACCGCTAATGATTGATTGAGTGGAATAGCTCCAGTGATGTGATGCGCGATTGGAGTGAATTGTCAACTTGAATGGATGCGAAATAGGATGAGAGATTGTCAGCGTGGATAAAGATGTTATTGTTGATCTCTGGACTGGAATGGATGCATAACTTGTCGGTTAGTTGCCTGAACTTGTGAAATGTGTCGTTGGATATTGAGTGGTATTTTTGACGGATTCAATCTCAAAGTTGTAATTGTTGATGGAAGAAGTGATCGACACCTCTCTCTTTGTCTCACTTTGTCTCTTTCTCAATCGTAAACAACTCCATCCCGGAGAACTTTTGCAAACCATAAATCAAACTAAGGAACTTCACTGATACAAGCTACTTTTTTTTTGACGCGCCTACATTTGATGATGTCGTAGCTCTCTACCCAGCCAATCACCTAGCTACACCCCACCTGGCCAATGGCACAGCTACCTGTGTGTCATTGGCTTGACGAGGTGTAGCTATGTCATTGGCTTGATGAGGTGGCTTGCAAGCCAAATATGTTGGAGACTGCATCGTCTTCAGGTTGCCCCTGATGTTGTTGGCATTGTTGTATGGACCCTAAACGTCAAGACTCCTCTTGATTGTTGCACGAGAACACACAGAGTGTTCAACAACAACAAATAGTATCTCTAAATAAATATAGATAGATAGATAGATAGATAGATAGAGATAATATAATGATCAGTTATTACTTGTTCATGAATGAATGATAATTATTCATTCCAAAAATAGATGTTGTGTTTTTTCATTTGGCATTGTGTGGTGATAATGTGATCGATGATGGACCTGTTGATGAAAAAAACACCCCATTATGCTCAAAAAGTGTTCACTGAATAACATTGTTTGATCCAAATACCAACCAATTGGGTTAACACACACCCAATGAGTGGAGTATACTCATTAATATCCAATATCAAACATAGTTGCTTATTTTATTATTTATAATCTAGACTGTCTGTGTCACTACAATATCAACAACAACAATCAAACAACAACAATTACTTGTATGTATACAACAAGTACTTGCAATCAAACAATCAAACAAACAAAATTACTTGTATGTATAAAAATATAATATGACTACTACACATCATAGTCAGTCAAACGAAGATCTTTATCATATATCTCAGATCTTGATCTTGACTGAATCGAATCCAATTGACATTCACACAACACAACACACAACACAACACACACACACATACAACACAACACCAACAACCACATCCAACCCCCAACCAAGCCAAGCCAACCCAAGCCATCCATCCATATCTCGAACGAGCGATCAATCAATCAATTAGTTAGTTGATCACATCCCTAACACTAACACTATCATTCACATTCAATCAATCAACATTAATCAATCAATCAAATAATCTAGAAAAGTTATAACTGTATCTATATCTATATCTATATCTCAATCAATCACTAAAAAGATGACAGAGTACAAGTTGGTAATTGTTGGAGGTGGTGGTGTCGGCAAGTCAGCGTTGACTATTCAGTTGATCCAGAATCACTTCATTGATGAGTACGATCCCACTATTGAGGACTCGTACAGAAAGCAGGTCACCATCGATGACGAGACATGCTTGTTGGACATCCTCGACACTGCTGGTCAAGAAGAGTACTCAGCCATGCGTGATCAATACATGAGAACTGGTGGTGGATTCCTTTGTGTCTACTCGATCACCTCACGATCATCATTCGATGAGATTGCTGCATTCCGTGAGCAGATTCTCAGAGTCAAGGACAAGGACAAGGTGCCAATGATCGTCGTCGGTAACAAGTGCGACTTGGAGGGTGAGCGTCAAGTCACCACCGGCGAGGGTCAAGACCTTGCCAAGTCATTCGGTTGTCCATTCCTCGAGGTATGTTTATTCATTCAATCAATCAATCAAACATGAAGTAGCGACTAACATTCAATCAATCAATCAATCAAACATAGACATCAGCCAAGATTCGTGTCAATGTTGAGGAGTCATTCTACTCGCTGGTTCGTGAGATTAGAAGGGACACCAAGGGTGACACCAAGCCAGACAAGAAGAAGAAGAAGGGTAACCTTATGAACAAGTGTGCTCTTCTCTAAAGACAGTCGCGATTCTCAAGACGGAGCCAGCCTTCACTGTAGTGCAGTGAGTGAGCGAGCGAGCGAATGATTGAATGAATGATTGATGTATGATTGATCGAATGTGTTGGAAGTGCGTGTGCACGCAGCCCTTACAGGAGATTACAAGACATTGTATAAACGACACACCTTCCTTCCTTCATTCCACCATCATTCAAACTTCCATTGCAATCCGACCCTCAACTCCTAGTATCTTTAAGGAGTCATGTGTTATTATTAGACTTATGTACAACAGAACAACAACCTCAACAACAACAACAACAACAACAATAAACAATTAGTCTCACTCAAAGTAGTGTAGACCTCGCGCGACACAACCACACCCATTCGCCAATGACTGGCGGCACTCTTTTCATGTGTTTCCGTCGACGACAGGTTCGCCACAAATGTGTCTGTCGTCATGACAAAGAGTTAGAGATAGAGGATAGAGATAACATTAATAATCAACATGTTGGATACACTTCCATTAATAGTACTTAGACATATAGTAGTAGAATGTATACATAATAATGTTGATAGATTGTTGTTATCAATGACATGTAGATGGATGTTTGAAAAGAGACATAGTTATCTACGATTCAATACAAAGCAACTACCATTAAGACATAGATGTTTACTCAATATCAATGATAACATATGTCTAAACTCATACAAACAGATGATCATTGACGATCTAAACAACAAGTCGCAATCAGTATTGATACATTCATTCAATACTCTAATCAACTTGGTCAATGACTACACATTCAGTAAGTATTCTAGTCTAGTCTAGCTAGCTCATTCATACTTCATTCATTCGTACTGACTTCATATGATAGGCGCGACAAAGATGAGCTATGAAATGATTTGCCAAGAGGTGGAGATGATACCAAGCATTGATCAGGTCAAGTTCAGAGACTATGGTAGCATTATGTCAGTGCACAATGTTTGGAATCGATTGAACATGCCAGAGTTATTGAATGAGTTGGCCAACTCAAGATCAATCTCCAAACTGTTGTACTCTGGTTCATTCACAGTAACGTTGCCAATGTTTGATCTGCCATTGACAGAGGTACAACTGCATCTTAAGATCACAGACCATATCACACCAGGCTATCTTCCACGATCATTGATCACACTGGAGATCCAAGGAGTGTACGACCGATCATTTGATGGCGGCGTTCTCCCGAGTGGACTAAAGAGCTTGAACCTTGGACAGTGCGAGCAATGGAATCAACCGATAGGACCCGACACACTGCCATCACAACTGGAGCAATTGGTGTTTGGTCCATCATTCAATCTACCAATCAATCCAAGAGTCCTCCCTGCGACATTGATGACACTTGTGTTTGGATCCGCATTTGATCAACCTTTGGACACTCATCAGGACATACTGCCGGCCACTCTAACTTGTTTGGGTTTGAGGGAATCAGCCTTCAACCTTCCTCTTGTTGGTCTACCTCCAACAGTCACAGAGCTCACACTTAGTCAAACATACACTCAACCAATCATTGCTCATCAATCATTATTACTTCTCAATATCGAATGCTATCCATTGTTCCGCTCCAATGTGGATATCTTTACCAATCTCCAAGAGATTGAGATTGTTGCCGATCTTCCATCACTGCCAGCCATCACATCGTCAGCCTTTCCCAACTTGGTCGAGCTCAACATTGATCAATTCATTGGCGATGGACCTCTTGACCTCTCAGCACTGCCCACATCACTCCGACGTCTTTACCTTCAAACTGAGCGACCACTCACAGGCATTCCACATGGTATCGAAATGCTATTCATATGCTTTGTGCCAAGAAATGATCACATTGTTTACGATGAGTTGTCCAATAATTTGGTACCAGACTCTGTTACCAGTCTCTATCTCACACTCAACAATCCAATTAATGTTGGTGATATTCCGTCGTCGGTGACCAGGCTTCAATTGGAAGGATATGAACATCGACTCAATGTAGCAGAGGTCATTCCAAAGTCTGTGCGGAAATTATTATTACGAGGATATCGCCATGAGATCAACTCTGAATTCCTTCGACAACTTCCTGAGACAGTGAGCCGACTCAGTGTCGGTATCAACGACTATTTGGATCAGATGCAACATCTACTACGCCTATCAGACACTCTATTCTTCAACTACCAACAAAATCTACAGAGTACAGGCTTTATCAATATCGATCGTGTCCACGAGTCATTGGCTGGAAACAAATTATTAAATAATTTGTTGTAATCAAATAAGAGAGAATCGATCGATCAATCAATCAATCGATCAATCAAATCTCCCAACTTTGTTTATCTGGAAATAGTGTCTCGAACATGTGTTCGAGAGTTGTGAGCACAGTTTGATTGAAGTTCTCTTGTAGGCCATCATTGAGACAGACACATTTTGGTCGCTTCTGGATGATGTCCTTGGTCAGTCGTTCCATGTGATTGGGCCAATCTCTAATCTCGCCATAATAGTTGAAATCTTGACGGCCAGTGTACGACTCGATGAACCTCGATACGAAGTGAACATAAACAAACTGTAGAACAAACATTGATTTCGATCTGAATGGTGAGGCACTGTCATTGTCCAACTCTTTGCTGAATGTATCCCTTATCAGTGATAGGATACGTTTGTTCAACAATAATGCACCATGAGCAAAGTAGTTTCTTGTCTCTATTCCCCACATCTTGTCCAACAATCCATTCGTGTAAGCATGTGATGCATGATATGGATTTGTCTGTTGAAGTTCCAAACGAACAGGTGCCTTCCATCCTGTGAAATGAAGTGCTTGTCCAGTGTCGATTCGATAAAGGTCATCCTGTCTGACTACATATTTGATTAATCAATCAGTACGAATGCTCATGCTCACCCAACTCGATAATGTACATACTGTCTGATGAAAAGAATATATCATCGTTTAGATATATGAAGCAATCAGAGACGGTATCTGGTAAGTTCCAAAAGTTTGCTTCGATTGAGGATGAACTGTATGTTGGTAAATGACTCTTGTTGTGGAATAATTGATCGTGGAAGATGAACTTGACACCAGTATCAAAGTCATCCATTGTCTGATTGAACCATGTCGGATACTGTTGTGCCGTCACTACAAATATACGTCTGGCCCATGGCAAATGTTTCTTAATACTCCTCAATGAATACTTTAAACCCATCACGTCTCTATATCGCCATATACCTTGATATGGTATTCCAAGCCTTAGGTGATTAATTATGTTAGCGATTGAGTGAGGGAATAGCTTGCAATGTGACCTACCTCATTTCTGTAGCCATCCTTTCTTTAATCCATTGTGGATCACTTCCATTGACCCATGTATATAATACATCGAAGTGTTTACATTGTAATGATTTCTTTCTTAATACTTTATGTTGGCTAACGTTAATATTTAGTAAATCATTATCTACATTGAATGTAGTTTGTTGTTGTAATTGTTGTTGTTGATGATGATTATGTATATGTTCTGTCTTTGTATTACTATTACTACTATGACTACTACTTATATTATTACTTAATAACTCTCTTTGTACAATTATATATATAGCAGTTGTAGTAAAACATAGAATTACAACTAATAATAACAACCATCGTCTTTTCGTTTGTAACATATTATATAAATATATAACTAACACATATATATATATATTTATAACTATGATGTATTACTTGAAAGAATGGGAATGAATTTCAGACCTAGATCGAGATCAAACATATCTCTGAGATAGAACAAAACAAGAATTGGTCAAGTGTGGTACATGACCTTTGTGAAGGGGCACAACGAATCACAAACAGTCGCGTGAACCCCCAAAGTGATGTCGACACATACACAAACAAAGAGATAATTATAAAATCAATGGATAATTTACCACATGTAGTATTACAAGAAATAGTTTATTATATAGTGGATAATGAGGATAAGATAAAGTTTACATTGTTATGTAAAAGATTGTTTGAACAACGTGATAGGTATCTACACTTTGATTCAACACCTTATAATCTAAACCTATTTGGTGATCAACTTTATATCACAACTCCTTTAAAGTCATACGAGAAGATCATCAACAATGATGCCAACAACATCAACATTTGGAAACAACGATCAGTCTCCCTAATGATACCATCATGTTTGGCTTCAGATCAATACGATCATAGTATTACACTAGGTAAGTATGTCTAATGTTTGATTGTTATTGATTATTAACAATAACATTTAGGTATATCTGATTGGTGGTCATTAAAGATGGAGAGAGATTGGAAGGATTATTTATTGGCCATACCTAATGTTGGTCATATTGCTATACAACCTGTTGCAAAGATGCTGCCTCCAATGTTCTGGAATGATTTGAGAGAGGTCTTGTTGATAAAGTTACAACAACAACAACAAGAGCAACAACAAATGACAACAATAGGATTGTCATATAATGTTTGGATGAACATGTTTCCAATGCCCTCTTCACTACCTTTTACAGATTTGACCATAACATTCAGTTATGATCGTCGTTCAAACATCAATAGACATAGTTTGCCTGAAACGTTAACGTCATTAACAATTGAAGGTTATTTCGATGGTACATTGGAGGAGGGTACACTGCCCGATGGTCTAAGACACCTATCAATCAAAACATCTGATTGGAACAATCCAATCACACATGGGATACTACCATCCAAACTGGAGACACTACAACTAGGTCGTAGCTACGATCATCCACTCAATGATCTAGAGTGCAGTAACAGTGTCACACGTGTATCACTTGGAGAATCATTCAACAAGATCATTCCATTTGAATCATCACTTGAATACCTGTCTTTAGATGCACCTAGCCCACTCTTTAACATTGACCAGCCATACTCTATGTTAAAGTCTTTGATACTCACTGCCGTCTATACCAAAGTGCTTTGTCGGATCAAATCCAAGACATTCCCATCACTCACGCAACTTCATGTACACTCATTCTTGGACGACTATAGGATTGACCACCTACCACAAGGAACATTGCCCATCTCGCTCGAAGATCTAATGATAGTGATCAACAGACCATTCGTCTTGCCCATTGGTCTGAAGAAGTTGCATCTAACACTCAGGCCAGATATGCATAATAATGGATGCCTAAGACTTCCAAACTCCATCACATCACTGTCGATCGAAGGGTCATTCGCCATGAACTTCCTACGCAGTGTAGTACCACTCCCAGCATCATTGACTCATCTGTCATATCTCGAGTCTGTTGTTATAGACTACATGATATTGCCACCTACAATCAGATCCCTGACAATTAGAGGACAGGCACTGAACCCAATGCCACCACCAATGTCAATCGTGTACTTGGAGATAGTAATACCAAACAAGAGTTACAAGATGTACCGATTGACGTTTGATCAATTCATTGTTCGTATAACTGGTGATCTTAAACAATGTGGATTCACGACCTACAATTCGATCCTCTCACGGATCGATAGATACCTAGGCAATCGTATTCAACAAAACGATCCAATAGAAGAAAATCCACCACGATCATCATCAAGGAAGAAATGTATCATTTCCTAATAAGGCGATAATCAATCATCGCCAAATTAGGAATAAAAATGTTATTATTATATAATCATTTGAAGTTCTAAAAGAGAATAACTGATGATCACAAGTGAGTGGACCGAGGAGCAACGTGTTGCCTATTGGAAGTGTGGATCGGGTGGGGTGTCTGATCAAAGGAAAGATTCCAGGGATGTTGATCAATCATTCCAAGTCAGATTGGTCCACTTTGAATCTTTCAATCCAATCATTGGACAAAAAAAAGAACAGATATAGATAAAGGAGAAAGATGGACATTTGGCCATACTCTCTACTTAGACAGGTTGTATCATTGATACCAAACAATGCAGATCGTATCAAGATAACATTGTTATGTAAGAGATTGTTTGAAGTGCGAGAGAAGTACTTAAGCTTCAACACTCAACAGTTCATTCTACAACGAACAAAGTACAACAGCACTTCAATCGCATCACATCTCAACTCTTACAAACAGATTATATTCAATGATGTCGCACTCAAGAAGAATCAATCAGCACTCATCACTATTCCCATGCACATTGTACCACTCGACTCATTCGATCATTGCTTCTTCCTGTGTATGTAATATAATTGATTGAATGATCGTTTGATTGATAGACTGACTGACCTGACATTGTGTGACTGTTGTAGCAATGACATCAGTGCAGGATATATGGCAAGATGAGATATTATCCATGCATGATAGGATTGGCCGCATTGAGATAATGTCACCGTCAGACTATCCATTCAGCTCATACTTCTGGATAGAGCTGAGTGTTCTAATGGAGAAGTTGTCGCGATCAGGTTCAAATGTACAGTTGGCATATAATGAGAGGTCATGGAATAGACGTAACATGGCACCACTTCCACGTCTACCATTCACAGAGTTGACAATAGTGTTTGATGGAGATGTTGCGTCAACCGATCATACCGCATTCAATCAAACTATAATGGACCTACCTATATCATTGACGGTGCTCAACATCAAAGGCAACTTTGTGGGCACTTTGGATGGAGTGTTGCCAGATGGGCTCAAAGTGTTGACGATGGATGACGTATGGAACCAACCAATCACCCCTGGAATCATCCCTTCAGGTCTTGAATCACTTAGTCTTGGCAGGCAATACAACCATCATCTTGATCTCGAGTGTATTCACAATCTCACACATCTATCACTGGGCGCAGAGTACAACCACGTGATCACAAGTCCTCCATCACTCAAGAAACTGATCATTCGGTCTCCAAACCCTGTCTTTAGCCAAATCAATGAATCACTCAAAACGTTGATCCTCAAACGAGTACAGAGCAATGTGATCGCGACTATCACAGGGTCGTCATTCCCATCGCTCACATGTCTACAAGTGCGATCATTCACAGACAAGGCGGACAAGATCCATCTGATGTCATTACCATTGTCGATCCAAAGTCTGAGTCTTCAGTTCTCCAGACCATTCACACTCCCCACCGGACTGAGGGAGTTGAGTCTTTGTACATTACCTGGATTCGGTTCGAAGAAGAACAAACATTGGCTTTCCGATTCAATCACATCATTGACAATCAATCAATGTGATGAGATTCAACAGATTGGTGATATACCATCATCGGTCACATCATTGACATATCATAGCGGTGCGCCAATCAACTTTAAACATCTACCAACTTCCTTGAGATCGTTGACTATCTCTGGCGAATTACTACGACTTCATCGTCCACCATCCAACTCAATCACAGAGTTGAACATTCTGGACATCAATGGACGAATGTTGGCCAGACTACATAGATTAACAGACACACTGTTCCTCCTTCTCAATGATGACCTATCACATTGTGGCTTCACCATCTATGACAGTATCATCAATCATACCAAGGGTCCAGCAGACCCCACTTCCACAGAGCCTTCAAAGTGCAGTGTTTCCTAATAAACCCAAGGGTTGGTTGATCAATCAATCACAGTGATTGACCGTATGGTGATATTATTATTGACAACTTCCTGTTTAGAGAGATGGCAGCCATTAGTCCTTCTTTGTGTTGATTGTAATCGAGGTGTAGAACTGGGAAGTCACATATCTTGATCCTATCGACCAGCACTTTGTCATCATACAATGATACATTGCCATCACTATCTGATGTACAATATACATTGGACTTGAACGGTGAGTATCTCGCTGACCAAATGAACTTGCTCAATCCCTAAGGGTAGGTAAAGTGGATGTTAGTTAGGTACAAACATTGATGGATGGGATGGATTACCTTTTGTTCATGGACTTGAGTGAATAATTGATTGGACCATGACATTGTTGTCATTGTTGATTCATTTCCTCCAACAATGATACTTCCATAATCAAACCGATTGTTCAAAGATATGCTCGTGACCTAGTCGTAGATGAATGAATGAGTGAATGAGTGAGTGGATGACCCAATGGTGAGATTGATTGATTGATCATACTGATGATTTCATATTGATTGATGATAGTCGCTTATTCGTCCGCAGATCAAAGATGTCTAGGTCACCATTCTCGTAGCCACCAAGTACGTTTGTTCCATGTATTAGAAGTGACCAACAGTCCTTCTTCTCATCGACTTGATGTGAGAATGAATGTGTGCTAGTCTTTAGAGGTCCTCTTGAATCCCATATCGCAATATATCCATCACGTCCACCTGTTGCTATCAATGATTGATAGCAATCAATTGCATTTACAGTACTATTGTGAGATTGTATGTTTCCACCTGATGTCGTTGTCGTTGTCGTCGCTGTCGTCGACATTGTTGTCGATCTAATTGGTACATCCAATCTGTCAATGTCCCAAATTGAAAGGTTGCCAGCAAAGTCACCAACAGCCATATGTCTTGATGGTGCCAACTGCTCATCCTTTATGAATGAGCAACACCTGAGTTTGGACGATGATTCACCCTTGAGTGTAGGAGTTAGTGTCATGTATAATGTACATATGATTGATCAATCTTTGAGTATGTATACACATACTTGATTGGACAGGGTAAGACGTGCAGCGGATGGAGTCGTAGGATCAACATCATCAAGATGGAATATCCTAATGTCACCTTTTAGATTGGACTTTGCTCCACTGTATCCAACAGTGATCACTCTACAACTATTAGGTATCCATTTACAATCAAGTAAGTTACTAGTTAGCTTATGATTGACAAGATTATAAAGATACTTGTTATCTGTTGTTGACATAATTGATGGAGTGAATGAGTGAAGTCGAAGAAAGTGTCAGAAGTGTCCAAAACTTAAAAATTGGACCATTTCCAATCTTTTCCAAGTTGTAAAGATAATGGATACATTACCTTTGAGGATAATACAATATATAGTTACATTAATAGATGATAATTTTGATAGAATAAGGTTTACATTGGTTTGTAAACGATTGTTTAGTGAAAGACTAAAGTATCTTTGCTTTGATCATAAACAATGGTTGCATTATATAAATTATGGACTTGTAAATGGATCATCAAGACTACATCTACAATCATATAAACAGATAATACTTGATGATGTCATAAACAAATCAATCCTCTACACTGCTACAATATATAGTGCAATGCCCATTGATGATATCTATGATCCCAAAAAGCACTTCATTGTTGGTATGTACATCCTTTGATTGATTGGTTGATTGGTTGATCGTGACTGACACAATACATACTTGATTAGGAGATGGAGAAGGAAGTATGATCGATAGTTGGAAGGAGGACTTTATGACCAGGGCAGGCCAGGTTCAGAGAGTGTGGCTTAGTGATGATGATGAACATCAGTTCACAGCAAAGTTCTGGAGTGATTTGAAAGAGGTGGCAGAAAGAGCAAGTCATTTAAAGTTCGTTTATAATGCACCAGCTTGTAGACTACCACCGCCAGACACTCCAATTAATGAGCTAACAGTCGGATTTGACGAGACACATAGTACAATCGTACCAAACTCACTTCCAGAGAGATTGGAATCACTCATTATCACTGGTGACTTTGATGGTACACTGGATCATGTCTTACCCGACACACTAAGATGTCTGTCCAAGAACAATTCAAATTTCTGGAACAAACCTATCACACCTAGTGCCCTACCACCTAGACTAGAGAGTATAATGCTAGATTATTACCTACTGCCATATGACCTCCCGCCTCAAGTCACCCATCTATCCATTGGTGTCGAGTATGACTCACTCATATCATGCACATCTCTGCGCACCATTATAATCAACTCTATCAATCCACGATTCTGTACAACACAACCATTCATCAACATGACCACCATGCTGTTACCTCATGTGAGGAGCGAAGTTATTGCCAGGATCACAGCCCAATCATTCCCCTCGCTCACCAAACTATCTGTATTCTCATTCCAAGATCAACCAAAATCACTTGTATTCAAACATCTTCCATCAACTTTGCGAGATGTTCTGTTGGAACTTGCTCGACCATACGAGCTGCCACAGAATATCGAGCACCTACAAATCAATATGTCACCAATGTTCCCGCAGCGAAAGAGTCTTGGCAATTGGATACCTCACTCTGTTAACAAGTTGTATATTTATGGGTATCAAGGATTCTTCAAACCAGGCGACATACCATCGTCAGTTACAGATTTGTCATTGGCAAGCTACAATCATGACATTGATGTAATCAAAGTGCTGCCAAGTTCAATCAGATCATTGACAATTTCAAGCACTAGATATATATTGGTACTACCTTCAAGAACCAATCTACCATTGAATATTGTACGACTAAGTTACAATATTTATGGAGTTGTATGTTTACAATATTATAGACTCACAGACACTTTGTACCTCAAGTTGGATGAGGACATGTCTAAATGGGGGATCTCCAGCTACAACAACGAAGATATCATCCCATCAAAGACACAATTAGATCCTCTAAAGAAGAAGAAATCAATAAATTGTCTTGTTATGTAAGGTAGTGGCAAAGGGGTATGAGTAATGATGAGTCTATGATATCATTCTCTTTGATTGAATGTATGTCCTTGGCATCAAGTAACTCGTTAAGTGTCCACAAAGGCATATAAAGAGTGATTGGTCGAGGAATCATCCATGCATTGATTAATTCTCACCAAAATATCTTCGGAACTCAACTCTACATTCATACAGATACAGATAGAGATAGAGGGCTTTAGAATGTTGCCGCCATCTAACATTCCAATTCGACTACCCAATGATCTTGAGGAACTTAGCCTTAACTTCATGAAACTCAGTAAGAATTACCGGTATCCACTTGGCCCATCAATTCCACCATCAATCAAATCGCTGGCATAGGAATCGTATTGTTCAATATACCTCAATCATTGAAATAATTCAAGCTTCATCAGAATCTCTACAACACCAGCAACAATTTGGATTACAAGATACCATTCGATCAATCAATTTAGTACACTCTTCATATGAATCATCAATAATCCATCAAACAAAGTATGTGTTTGACAATCTTCGTCGAATACCAACATGAGTTACAGAGTTGAGGATCGCCCTCCTTCCTCAGTCAATCATTCTCGCCTTCTCAAGGATAATCAGATCATGTATTCTTGGTGATCTGTTTCCAGACTCTTTGGAAAGAGACAGAAAAGGAGGAGATGTGTCAGACTTATCAATATCTGGCTTCATTGATATTTCAAGACGTTACGTCACCGCTGAATATCTTCAACAACTTGGTGAAAAGATCTGGATATCACCACCTGGCAAGTCACTGTGCACCATTAGTTAGTCAGCCACCCGATCCGGAAATTGGAAACTTCCAAGATGGACCTGTGAAAGATTGATTTGATTCAATTTTGACGGTTCATTCTCGTCAGAACAAATACAGATACAAATACAGATACACACACAATGTTAGATATACTACCTCTTACTGTATTGAGAGTACTTGTCGATTGTTTAGATGAGGACTTGGATCGTTTGATGATGTCATTGTGTTGTAAGAGATTGTTTGATTGGCGTCTTTCATATCTATACTTTGTTGGCAAAGGAATGGCCCAAAAGTCAACAAGTCAACAACACCAACTCAACACATCAATGAGATCATATGAACAACTGATTCAATCAATCAACAAAGAGCCAAAATCAGTCTTTATCCACACAAAGTCCTCATTCCAAGCACAATACTTTGACCTAGATTATGATGTTTGTAAGCCATATCTATTGTGATGTCACGTGATTCAAGACACAAACTAACATTTTGATCATCATTATCATCAATAGGTACAAATAAGAATTGGAAGAATGATCTAAAGTCATTGAACAGCATCAATTATGTACTTATAAAGATTAGTAAAGAAGCGATCATTGATGATGTTAATGAGATAATTGATTTGTATAAGGATAGGCCAATCACCAATATAAAGGTTCAACTCGAAATGAAACCATCACCATCGTCAGCCCTCAAAAACCTACCCTTGAAATCATTGGATATCCATTCGCCACTTGGATGGCAATGGGCACCAAATATGCTCCCAAAGACACTCGTACATTTGACTATCGCCGGCGATGTGATCACAGGTAGACTGGACAATGTGTTACCAGTTGGTCTAAAGACATTGGACCTCGGACTCTCCAAATGGAACCATCCAATTACCCCAGGAACCCTACCGTCAAAGTTGGATACAATCATCTTTGGCCAATACTTTAATCAACCATTATCCAGGAGCAATCTACCAGAGTCACTCACACGACTCGAGTTAAACATGGCATTTAATCATCCACTGGATCGTGATACACTACCTCCATCACTACTTCAACTTGTATTCCAAGGCTCAGTCTACCGTCACCCATTGCCCAACCTCCCAACAACAGTCACAAAACTGTCAATGCCCAACTATAACAATCATGTGATAGGAATGTCTGACACCACCCTCTACTCGCGACCCAACATATTTCCTCACCTCAAGGAACTATTATTCGCAGAGATGCCATACTCTAGTCTTGCGGCAATCATCTCTTACTCCTTCCCTTCACTCGAGGAACTCAAGATTGAAAAGTTCAAAGAGACGCGACCTCTGGAGGAGAATGACCTTAGCACGCTACCCTCAACACTTCGATCTCTACACATTGCACCAAACGGACCGATCACTTCATTCGCTCATACACCATTGGACAACCTATTCATCAATTGTGGACGATCCAGGGACACTTTCACTCTAGAGTCTTCACAAATATGGCCATCATCATTATTGTCACTCTCACTCATTGATTACAACATCCCAATACTACCTGGTGACCTCCCACCAAGCATAACATCACTACACATTCATGCCTTCCATTACCATATCCAACCAGAGTCATTGCCTCCAACACTCCGATCACTCAATCTAACATATTGCACCAACGTTGATGAATTCCTTCACCAGATACCCAAGTCCGTCGTAAAGTTGGAGAGCCATACATTCTACAAAGAGTATTGTTTCAAGCTCCTTCGTATCTCAGAGACTGTGTTCCTTCGTATCAATTACAATGACATTACAACATGTGAGTTCGTCGTTATTGACAACATTCGTCGAGCTCAATTCATCAAGAACATTGGACATTAATAAACACTGTGTTCCAATGAGGCCGACAAGAGTGTCGTCATTCATTCATTGATTCACGTGGATGTCAACAATCCAATCACAGTTGCTACATCTGTGAATCCACTTCCACTAACTCGACTGTTTGTTGTGTACCTGAAGAACAAGGTTGGTGATATTCGCAGAAGGTTGATTTGGGGTCGATGGTAGATGGACAGTTGGATGATCGTGGTGTTTAGAAGTTGATGCTCCAATAGATCAATGATCTCTTGACGATCCATCGCTTCAGTCCTGATCGATACTCTACGTGGCCACCAAGTTGTTGATGAGACTGGCACTATATCATGTAGCTTTTGACCGTGGATGTTCAGGTCGAGATATTTAGTCGAAGATGGAATGCGATCGAGGCACAGTCTACTTGGCGAAGACTTTGACTTGCGATACCTCAATGCATTGATGACAATACTCTCCACGCTATCTGGAAGGGACTTGATCGCAATGTTTGGCATTATATAAACATTGAGAAGTGTTGATGGTAGATTTGAGAGGTCAATCACATCAACTAGGCTGCTATTCTCGTTGAATGATGTAGTCGTTAGAGTCTCGAGGCATGGGTAGGCAGCCGAGGTGATCTTTGAAAGGGTATCCACTGTCACAACCATAAATCGCAACACCTTTAGATATGTCATGACCAGATTGTCCAACGATGGTTTGGAGAACTTGGTGGCCAAGTGAACCAACATGGGATGATCAATCACATGATTGTAGTTGGCGCCCAACGACAAGTCGACCAGACTAACAGGCAAACCGGTGAGCCTATGTCTGAATGAACATTCGCCAAGTCCGAGCTTAGTAAGAGCAGGTGGTAAGTTATCTCCACTCAATGGTTGATCAAACATATCACCAAAGGAGACATCCTTGATAGTTGAGGGCAGGGCACCTTTCTGGATAGGCTGATCGAATGAATGACCAAAACGGATAATCTCCAGACGTGCAGGTAGACCACCTGGCGCCATTGGTTGGTTCCAATTGTAAGCTCCTGAAAGGTCCAAGGTCCTAAGCGACTGTGGTAGGATAAAGTCCAACGGTTTGTTGATCAAACCATTGATGGATAGATGAGTCAATGTGCTTGGTATATGATCAGAGCTGAATGTGTTGCTCTCAACATAGTGAATGCTCATTCGTGATAGATGTAGTGTTGATGGCAATCGCTCAGGATCAGACACTTTGTTGTATGATACCCTGACGCCAAGGTTGTTGTTGTTGTTGTTTGGATGTGATCGTTGACTTAACGCCAACAACATATCATTGATATCCAACCAGAATGAATGACCAAACTGTTTAAGAGGATAGTCCTCAAACACAATAGATTCAATACTAGCTATACTCAACACCTGTTCGCACAATGTACTATAACTATTCTTGTCCATACCATCTAATGATTGATTGATTGGTCAGTCAATGTAGTTGATTGAATGATTGATCAAATACATACCAACATTGAGGTATACATCGTAACCTTTGCGATCTTTGAACTGTTCATTGGTGAATATGTAGACTCTCTTCATCAATTGAGTGATGTTGAGTAGGAGTGGATGGTATGATTGAAGATGTTTGTATTCTTCAAAGGGTCTATGCTCAACATTCAAGTGTAGATATTTGAATCGATGTTCATACAACCGTCTACACACCAACGACAATACCAACCTATCAATGTTTCTATCCAAATGTGATACTATCTCTCTCAATAATGTATGTGGTAGTATCTCCATCTTGAATGAATGAACTTCATATTTTGATCAAAAGAACATATGATCATTGCTTGGTCTCCCCTGTGGAATCCCGGTGGGGGTAGGTGAAGAGACATTTGCGTGTGGTGGTGTTCTCTACTCTTTCTTTGATCAACTCACACATTCACCTTTTAGGGGGCAATTACATTTGTTTTAATTAAACAGTGTGGTGGGTAATTCAACACTTCTTGACTTCACCTTAACTTTAGTAAAGTTCGCCCTATTCATAGGACTCAAGACATACCCACAACAATTATAACTATAATAACATACATATAACAATTTACAACTTTAAGATTAGTATTAGAACAATGGTAACTGAACAAGCAAAACATCGTGGTATGTCCTCCCTCAATCAATCAACATACTCAATCATTCAATCAATCATACATACATACAATACTAACATACACTTACTTTGTTATATATACTTCAATCTTAGAATTAGATAGTAATTATGAAGAAGCAATGAGCTATTTTTCTGAGCCACCATTTGTACGTTCGTCCGATGAAATGATTGATGATCTGGTTGTTCCTCGCCACTGGGATCAACCACAATTGGGAAGTCATATATGTAATGATGCTGATGCTCCAGCTGATCCGATGATTGATGATTTATCATTGAGTAAATACAAGACGTCGTTGGTACCTCAACAGAGTCCTAGCGATTGTAAGTAAATTAGATTGATGGCTCCTCAACATTTTACAATGTATATGTACTAATAGACTCTCCCTAATCATATATATTTATAGGTTCTATGAATAATTTTGAAGAAATACCTTTATCCAAGATACAAGGTGATCTAAAGTATGAAAACAATTTGAAGAACTCTTGCAGTAAGTTGGTACACAAGGAAGAACATACAATAGTGTTGATTGACTAACAACTATAATACTCTCTCTCTTCATCACCTATTAAGGTTCTATTTTAATTTCTGAATTGGAGCTTGAGGATGAGACAGCAAATGTCAATGGTGGTCCGGCTTGCCCTCAGCAGGTCTTGCAATCACCTGCATCTGTGCCTCCATCCCTGGGAAACGGAGTCAGTGGTAACTTACCTGGACTGGTGATTGCCGAAAGTTACCTTGGCAAAGTTCGACCAGGCACGTGCCATCATGAAGGGCCAAGTAACGCCAAAAATACCAGTTCCGTCCCCCCGCCCAACTGCAACCAACTCCCAGAAGCTGCCCATCTGCAAGTGTTAAGCCACAAGGATTACTTGGTAGTTCCCTCGTATGGCTCTCCCATTCTCAAACTGTATGGAGATGTCGTCTCCTCCTTCGCGCAGTTGACAACCCCATCGGGCGGCACGACTCATCTGTCGGCCTTCCCCTCGACCTCATCGTTCAATGTCGACCAACTGTTCATCTCTTGTCCTCAACAACTGGTTGAGAACTCGCCATTGCCCAACGACAAGTTCAACATTATCTCCAGCCTACAGCTGTCCAAGGTCACAGACGAAGATCAACAGGCCTCCTCCTCCTCTGGTCAGCTAATGCCAGTGGAAGACATCCCTTTGGACCCCAAGATTCTCCAACTCAGCAGATTGTTCAGTCGCGAGTTGGCCGAGCTCATCTACTTCAACCGCATCCTGAACGAGGCACACATCAAGTCCCATCCAGAGTTGGAAAGGATCAGGTTCTTGGCCATCGCCTTACAAAACATCGACGTGTACTTTTGCAAACGAGCTCAAAAGGTATCCATCGAGTCTACATTCATTCTTTCACTCATTCATTCATTCATCCTAACGCCGCATGTCATTCTAGCTGAGAAGTGATTTCATCCCAACTTGCAAGTCATTGAAGTCCGAGGATAGCTACATCGCCATTGTGCGTAGTACAACTAGAGACTTGATCAACGTCGCCTACAAACTGTTCAATGATGTCCTGTTGCCCCAGCTTGCCAACAATATATCCATTCTTAAGTATGCTTCCCATAGACCACAGATCATTGTCCAAGTCACTTGAGGTCTAACAAACTCAATCAATTAACAGATACAATGACTTGAACAACGAGGAGAAGCAGAAGTTGAGTGAATACTTCTTGCAAATGTTCCCATTGATAACACCGCTGGTGGTTGATGCTGGACATCCATTCCCCAATCTTAACAACCTCAGTTTGAATATCGCCGTCAGTCTCAAGCTCGAAAATGGCGACACCAGATTCGGTTGTGTCACCGTACCCAAGACACTATCTCGCTTCTATCCTATCTCACAACGATCCAACTATAGTTATATACCGATGGAAGAGATCATCCTGGCCAACTTGGACACACTGTTCCCAAACACCAAGATATTGGAACAGGCGCTGTTCAGGGTCACGCGTCATAACGACCTGAAGCTGAACGAAAAGAAGGCCAAAGACCTGAGAGAGCACATCGAGACCGAGATCCACAAATGCAAATTTGCGCCAATGGTTCGTCTTGAGGTCTCAGCCTCAATGTCCAAGGACATCATCGACACCTTATCCACACATCTAAAACTGGACGAGGGCGACTTGTTCACCATCGATGGTCTCCTTGGCCTCTCTGATCTATTCGAGTTGTGCCAGGTGGACCTGCCCCATCTCAAAGTATGTTAACTCATTCAATGTGGCCATTATTTTATAGGCGTTTGTACTCACACTCAACTCACAGTTTGAACCATGGGTACCACACACCCACAATCGATTAACTTCCCAAGACATATTCAGTACAATAAGGAATGGTGACCTCCTGGTCAAACTACCCTACGTCAGCTTCAATAGCAGGTATGTCCATGGTTGAATTATTGATAGATTGTCCAACATACTAACTCAATCACACATATACCAGTGTCCAACTCTTCATTGAGAGCTCAGTGAAGGATCCACATGTAAAGACTATAAAGATATCGATTTATAGGACCAACCCCAATTCACAATTGATTGGAGCTCTGTGTGAAGCTGCTTCGCGCGACAAGGATGTCCATGTACTTGTGGATCTTAAGGCGAGTGGAGACGAGGTACAGAACAAAAAGTATGCAGAACAGCTTCAACAGGCGGGTTGTAACGTGATCTACGGCATTGTTGGTCTAAAGACTCACGCCAAGATTGCCATGGTGGTACGTGAGGAGGAGGACAAGAAGCTCAAGACGTACATGCACTACTCCACAGGCAACTACAATGCCAGCACGGCCAACTTCTACACGGATATTGGCATTTTCAGTTGCGACCAAGAGTTGGGCAAGGACATGTGCGACCTGTTCAACTATATCACTGGCTGCAGCAATATCACCGAGTTCAAAAAACTGGTGATTGCTCCGTTAACCATGCGCTCAACTCTCCTACAACTAATCAGAGTTGAGGCAAAGAATGCAAGAGAGGGCAAAGAGGCAACAATAATGGCTGTGATGAATGGTCTTGACGACGAGATGATAGTCAATGAACTATACAACGCGAGCATGGCTGGTGTCACCATCAAACTGGTCGTCAGGGGCAGGTGCAGACTCCTACCAGGCATTCCCGGCATCAGTCACAATATTCAAGGTATGTTGAGTGGTAAAGTCGTTCTCGTGGTGAAACGTTCACATTTTAACATCATCCTCGCCTCCAGTCATAAGTATCTTGGGCAGGTTCTTGGAGCACAGCAGAATCTCCTACTTCCACAATGGCAACAATCCAAAGGCGTTCATATCCAGCGCAGATTGGCAGCATAGGAACTTGGAGAGGCGTGTAGAGACATTGGTGCCAGTCAGCGACCCCAACAACATCAAGGAGTTGCGCGATTCCATTGATGTCTACTACAAGGATCCAAGCGCATGGTTCATGATGTCTGATGGCCGCTACAGAAAGATGCTCAACTCAGAGTCTTCTTTGTGTTCACAAAACGTATTAATGAAGGAGACCATCAAGAAGCATCCAGTGAGCTCCAATAAATAATACTGATCTGGGTACAAGGCCACATGGCAAGGCCACAATGCCAAAGCGATTGACAATGATTGTCAAGTCTGTTATTTAGTTGTCACCAGTGATATGACCTTTGTGATGTCAATGAATCCACAATTGTATATACCATAGTTTGGACTATACTTGAAGTAATGAGTTGATGACATTCTGTATAAGTTGACTTGTCCTCGTCCATTGAGTTCAAGTTGTATATTGGTAGTTGCCATTGGTAGTCGTTCAAGTAGATTAACAATATCTTTTGTTCGCATCATTGATACAAATATGTTTAGACGATTGAGTGATTGAGGTAATATGATAAGTTCAATTAGATCAACGCAACGACGATTTATACTTAATTCTAGTGACTTTGTTGTCTTGGGGATATGAAATGGAGTCTCTTTGTCTGCAGTGATGTTCTTGGCGCTCAATATCAAGTCCTCCAAACCATCAAGTATACCCAATGATGATATGCTACTGGATGTGATGGACAGTCTCTTTAGTGTTGTTGGAAGCTTGGAGAGAACATCTTTGTTAATGTTCTCAACCCAATCGGTTTCTAATGAAGTGAGTTGTGGAAAGGTGATAGAGTTGATCTGCTCCAAGATATTGTGGACAAGTTGTGAGAAGATCAAATGACGTAGATTGATCAACGGTCGGGTGAGGTCAAGTGTCAGGCCGACACTCAATGTTTGAAGTGGCTGATGATCAATCAAGTGATGATAACAATCACTCAACGTTAGATGGGTAAGACCAGGTGGCAGGTTGTGCAGGGGATGGCTGTGCTTGGTACCCTTGAGATGGAGTTTGGTAAGGGAAGGCGGTAGATTGTTTCCATTCAGAGGTTGATTGAAGTCATCGTCAAACCTGAGATCTCTAAGTGTGATTGGAAGCACACCGCTTTGGATGGGCTGATTGAATGACTCTCCAAAGTTAAGTATCTCCAGGCCCCCGGGTAGACCGCCCTTCAACAAAGGTTGGTTCCAATTGTAAGCAAATGAGAGGTCCAACATCTTCAACCCATTTGGTAGGATAAAGTCGAGAGGGTTATCAATCAGGCCAGATAGAGATAATTTTGTCAATGATGCAGGGAAGTGAGATGCCAAGGCAATTGATGCACGTGAATTGTGATGTGAATGCATGTTTCGCAAGAGTAATGTTGGTGGCAATGGATAGGGAGTTGAACTATTCTTGAATGTGACATCGGTAAGACCTCTTGACGCCAACATCACTAGCATATCACTGATCTCATTCCAAAAGTGTTGATCAAATGGATGGTGCTCTGAATCATGAAACATCAAATGGCTAATGTCATCCAAGTTCAACAGCTTCTCAATCAATGCACTGGATGTCAAGCCAACACTAGCATCTATATGTTTATGTATGTGTTAATGGATGAATGAATCAAGCTTGGACTTGTATTTGAACATACCGACGTGAAAGGAATGATCGTAACCTGCCTGGTACCTATACTTGATTTTTGTGTATATGTTTACCTTCTTTCTCTTGTTTGATGGGGAGCTGGAGGGGATGAGTAGAAGGTATGATTGCAAGTGGAATGGCAAGTTGGTAACGTTGTTAAAGTATTCAAAGCGTAAATATCTGTTGCGTTGCTCATATAATACTCTGTTGACCAATGATAGCATCAACCTATCCAAGTTATTATCAAGATATAATACAATCTGTTTCAATAATGTAAATGGTAGTGTATCTATAACCATTATTACTACTATTATCTGATTCGGCAAGTGATCAGCTGAATTAAAAATATGATTAGCTGATCAGATCCAGGTGTCAGCTGATCAAATAGAGTGACATTATGGAATATTTGTAAAGACATTTAAGGAGAGAGAAAGTCGTAATTTTATCTTAGGATGGAACCTAGTCCACCATGCTAAACATCGATGTTTATGTATAATATTACCCATCTAGGTGTACGCCACATTACATAGAGTGGAGATTAAGGGTGGTAGATGAGGCTTGTTGTGCAAGCCGTATTGCTTGGGGATTTGCGCTTCCAGTTTGTCGAGTGATATGAATCCACTCTGGTGAAGATCATCGGTGTGTTTGAATAACAATGTACTGGATAATCTTGTGAGTCGGTATGTTTGATTGCCTTGATTGGTGCCATTCTTTACACTGAGTACTAGCTGCTTGATGGACGATGGCATCTGTTGGAGGATATCCACAAGTCCAGCTGTTCCTGTATCATCTTTCAATGATTTGGCATTGCACTCCAATGTATGAAGTGATTGAGGTAAAACAGAGATTGGCAGTGGATGTACGTAACCAACGAGTGTCAACGATGTGACTGAGGCGGGTATATCGTCGCGGACTAGCTCGTAGTTGTAGTTTGAAAGAGTGAGAGCTGTGATTGACGATGGGAGCATGCCAAAGCGCAATTGGAATGTGTCGATGCACCCGAGTTGCAGGTCCTCGACACCAGATGCCACCGTGGTGATGGGTGGACAATTGGCAATGTTCAATCTCTTGAGGGTCGATGGCAGGCGTGACAAGTCAAGGGGGGATGGTCGGACTCTCAAGATATCTAGCTCCTGGAGGCAGGGAAGAGTGGACGATGTGATCTGCCAAAGACTGTCCTGGTTCTCAATCATCCCAATTGTCAGGTGTGTCAGCTGCGAGAAGTTGAAACCACTGGGCATGGTGTGTAGGTTCAAGCGTTGCAAAGGTTGATGGCAATTGGAGCCAGTAAAGTACATCTTCATAGTGAGATCGGTCACACTATTTGGTAGTTCGATAGAGCCTTCAAAGACTGTCAGGACCAATCTTGTCAGAGAGTCTGGAAGGCGACCACAATCAAGTGGGTGGGTGTAGCCAGAGCGCAATGATAGCGTCCGGAGTGATGATGGGAGAGTGCCTGGCTCGATTGGATGATCGAACACAGTTCCAAGCTTTAGGGTCACTAGACCTGTAGGCAAGGCACCTGGTTCGATAGGTTGATTCCAAGAGTGAGCCCCAGATAGGTCCAAGGTCTTCAATCCCATCGGTAGTATATGATTCAAGCTGCTGTTGAACAGAGTGTCCTCGACTGTCAATGAGGTGAGGGTGTCTGGGAAGTTTGTTTGTTGCGCCGACATTGAGAGGAATCCTCTTATAACCATTGCCGTGATTGGTAGTTTGTTCAAAGTTGATGGTGTCGACCAACTCAGGAAAGATATATTTGTGACTGATCGCTCGGCCAACTCTTCCAGAAGATCCTTCATATTCGTCCAGAACTGCAGACCCATTGGCTGTCCATAAGAATCACTAAAAGTGATCGAAGATATGTTTGACACATCCAACACCTGCATACTCAGTCGATCAATATTGAAGTCGACTTCAATGTTTATGTTAGTTGGAAGGATAGATAGACTTGTGTTGGGACCGACAACATAATACATACCAAGTTGGAATGATCGATCAAAGAATGGGATGTTTACATCACCATCACGACTATATACAAGTACACTTATACCTTTGTGCTTTGATACATCATTGTCAATGATGTTTGAGTAAGCATTAAGTGTAAAGGCATCTGCCCTATATGTATCTATCAAGTTGGTATCAAAGTGTAGATATTTATGTCTCTGTACAAACCACTGCTTACACACCAATGACAACATTACACGATCAACATTACTATGTAAACAAGACACCAACTGTCTCATAATTGTCAATGGCAACAACTGCCATTCCATTCCATTTCTTTGTTCAAGTTGCATCACTAACAACACTAATTATTATTATTATTATTATTATTGATATGATTATTATTATCTCTATGTCTGTCTGTCTATCACCTCAAGGTTAGCAAGTAGGTGAGTGTGTATATGTGTGTGTATCAGTGTGTGTGTGGAGTTGTTGATAGTAATGAAGGAGTTAGTGACAGACAACTCTATCTAAATATCAATCATCAACCAATGGTAGGTTGAGTTGAATCATCCATTCAGCCTATTAGAGGGAGACGGAAGGATGAATGGATGGATGGATGGGTACAACGAGTGAGTAGAAGAAGAAGATCACTTTCAAGTTGAGGGATGGCTGGATGGATGAGCGAGTAAGGTGCAAGTTTGAAGTGATAGAGAGAGAGGGAGGGGGCGATGAAGGGGAGATTTGAGTCTGAAGTTGCAGTTGCCTCAGTTAGGGAAGCGACCTTTGCCAAAAGGGCAAAAAAGATAGATGTCAATAGATAGTCCGAAAACGGAATGTATGCGATGTGATGACATCACATCTATTGCCTTTTATAGTCATACAGATACCTATACATATTCACACACAACAACACACAAACAACAATGACATTCATTGACACACACAACAACATCATTCACACACAACACAATTATCTCTTTTAAGTTTGTATATGTATTTACGTGTTTATTTGTATGTGTTATAATGTGGTGTTGGTGAAGTTGAAGCCAAGACACGCTACACAACACACTCATGTCAACTTGGTAACGGGCAATGAGTTATGAGTCTCAACTCAACTCAACTCCCGTTCATTCACATTCATTATCATTGAAATACATAGAGATAACACATACAGATACAAACAGATAGACAGTTGTATTTATCTGAATGTGTGTTTCAATTTCAATTTCAACAACTACAACAACACAAGAAAGATAGAGTTCCATTTCACAATCTCAAAGATCATCAACACAGAACCTTTGTTGTGTATCAAGATTACAGACTACAGAGAAAGCCCCAAGTCAGACTTATATTATTGATATACAGATAGAAAGATACTGATAAATTATAAAGTTAAAGATAAAATTTTGAATGAAGACTAGTATTATCTTCAATTCCCATCCTACTCCATCCTTCTTCTTCTTTAATTACTTGTGTATGTTCATTTGATTATTGATTTCCATCCTTCCCCAGTCAATCAATCAATCAAAAGTTATCCATCAAACTAATCAATCAATCATACCTTCCCTACCCCCTACACCAACAATATCGAAACAATGCCTACAACATCATCCATCAATCATAATATACCTATAACCTACAATACTATCAATCCCAATACGTTGGCCAGTGTCACAGAGTATACAGAGAATCTTAGACACTCACATTGGGACAAACCAAACTTTGAGAATAATTATGAAGAGCCAACGTCAAACTATGAGGAGAAGCGAGTGACTCGTCCATTGTCAGCTTCCGCTCCCGTATTTACCAAGTCCAAGAGGAAGAGATTGGTCCGGTTCTTCACACTGAGTCGCGAGATGATCCGTATCAAGCTGAACCTGAAGCGAGAGTCCTACATTGCCATAATGCCCACAGAGATCCTAGTCAACATTGTTGGTTTCCTCGACCACACCGACATCTGGAACGTCATGCTGGTGTGCCGCGAGTGGATGGCCGTGGCCCAAGACGAGTTCCTCTGGAAACTGGCCTACCAGAACTACTTTGTCCACATGATAAACCGGGAGAACTTTGCCTCGCAGCGCAAGGCCGCCAATCTCGACCTCCACTGGCGAGAGATATTCATGCGCGAGTATACCAAGGAGATGAAGTGGAGCAGTGACATATACAAGGAAGCCTACCTCTACGGCCACACAGGAAACGTCTGGTCGCTGGCCTTTGATGACCAGAGTGGCAATGTGTTCTCTGGCAGCTTCGACAAGACCGTCAAGATGTGGGACATCAAGAAGAGGAAGTGTATTTACACCTTTGTCGGCCACACATACCCCGTGCAGAGCTTGGACGTCCAGGACGACCATATGGTCACCGGCTCACTAGACAACAGTCTCCGTCTGTGGGACCTCAAGAAGAAGTGCTGCAAGAGCATCCTGTCAAAGAAGGCGCATCACTTTGACGTGTACTGTCTCCAGATGCTAGACGACTCCAAGCTGGTGTCTGGATCGTCCGACTCGACTATCAAGCTATGGAACCTGCAAGACGAGATGCAATCCGATGACACCCTCCAAGACCGCCAGGACCGCGGCGAGCAGCAGGTCAACATGACACCCATGCACACGTTCAAACACGAATCCTGCGTCACCTGTCTACAGGTGCGAGGCAATGTGATGATGAGCGGTGGCTCGGACAAGGTGGTTCGCGCATGGGACCTCAACGAGATGAAACAGACCAACGTGCTCAGTGGCCACCACGAGGGAATCAAGTGCCTGCAGTTCGAGGACAACGTCGTGGTGACGGGCGCCAACGACTCCACCGTGCGTCTATGGGACCTTCGCTCCAACTCCAAGAATGGCGCGTTCACAACACTTCGCGTCAATGGCTCCGTTCGCAGTCTACAATGGGAGGGCACGAGCCTCATCACCGGATCAACAGACCAAACCGTTCGCTGGTGGAACCTGAACACCAACTCCACGATCGACCTATTCGAAGCCGAGTCCAGTATCTCCTGTCTGCGATTCAAAGACAACCTATTGCTGTGTGGACTAGGTGACTCCAAGATCCAAATGACCAAGTTTGTCTGATCTCCTCGTCCTCATCCAGATCATTCAATCAATCAGACAGACTGTCAGTCAAGTCAATAAAGTGTGTTGTTATCCTTATCTCTTTTTATAAAGACATGGCTTGAGGATGTCTGTGTTGTCCGTTGACTTGGTCTTCTCGTACATTCGCTTGTCCACTGACTTTAGCTTCTGGAACTTGAATAAGAAGAAGTACTTATTCTTGGTATTCTATTATGGATTGGTTTGAATGATGAGTGGGATGGTTCCATACATGATGGATGGTGCACCAACATACCTGGTTGAGTAGTTTGAATTGGAGGTTGCTGATCTCCTTGATGAATACACTCTTGTCGGCAAGACGTGATTCAATCTCGGCAATGACCATGACACCATTGACCTTTAGAACGCGATTGGCCTCAACGACAAAGTCCAAGAAGTTGGTGCCCATCAGTGAAAGACAGAATACAACAATGTCCACGGTGTTGTTTGCCAGTGGTACGTTGGCAACGTCGCATGCCACAACTCTTTCATTCTTGGCAACCAAGTCGAATGAATGCACTGTATGCCTCTTTGATAGAGTCTCTGCCAATCTCGCCTCGCCACATCCAAAGTCAGCAATAATCTTTCCAGCCGGTTGTTTACTCAGTTCGTTAATAATGATGTCCAATGGATTGATTGGCCAGTGTTCAACTTGTGTCTTGAAGCCATCATGATACTATGTGATTGGATGGGTTAGGGCTGGCTTGGGTGTGGCGGGGCATGGGATAGTTCCATGTGGATAAGGGCATACCTGTTCAAACAGTGACGGATCATTCTTAAACTCTGTAAACACCTTCTCACTATCGTTGGTATATAACATCTCGTTGAGCCATCTGAATCTACTACCTTTCAGTTTCTGGTTCATCTTTTGTTGAGCCTCTGTCATGCCGCCATTGTCATTGTCGTTGTTATCGTTATCATTGCTATCACCCTCTGTAGTGGAAGTAGTTGTAGTTGTTATTGTTGCTGGCTTTGATACATCGCCAAATGGTTTGGGATTCTAAAGATTGATTGAATGAGATTGAGTGAGCGAATGAGCGATTGAATGAACGAATGTATGAATGAGAGCAAGACATACCCAAAGATTCTTCTTCACTTTGTCATCCTGTTGAATCTTCTCTTGTTGTTTCTTTTGTATCTCTTGTTGTAATAGCTGTTGTTGCTTCTTTCTCTCATAACTCTCTAATAATGTCTCTTTTGGTGTACCATTCGATGACTTTCCAACAACATGTTGTTGCTGTTGTTGTTGTTTCTTATCCATATATACATTATATCTTGGTTGTTTCCTTGTATTCTTCCTCCTATCCATTGTTGTCTATCTATATTATCTGTATCACTCTCTATCCACAACGATTCAATCAAACTAATAAACGAACGAGTCGTAGAATGTTATCAATTTCAAACAAAACATGACAATTTTGAGGGTTTTGAAGGTTTTTGTTGAGAGGATACCTTTAATTTGAAGTTAGTCAAGAAGATAGAGATAGGGTTGAAGGGATGATGAGTGAAGAGCAACAACAACAACAACACTTGGACAGAATATCTGTTATTGCCAGTCATTTGGTATCAGGTGGCGCACAGCAACATAAGGCAGATGTGTCATCAGCATTCGATTATTATCATCTTGATGATTTGCTCAATGATTCACAACGCCAAACAAGGGAACAAGCAAAGACATTCGCCAGAGATCATCTATTACCAATTGTACGTTACATCCTACAACATCAACAACATCATGAACATCACTTACTAACTTACTTCACTCCACGCAAAGGTCAATGAATACTATGAGAAAGCAGAGTTCCCAATGCATGTCATCCCCTTGCTGGCTAAACTGAACTGGGCAGGCTCAAGCATCAAGGGATATGGATGTCCTGTATGTTAATGAGTGTCACATATTCGATCAATCAATCATTGCAACGCCCTCGCTAACTCAATCGATCAATCAATCAATCAATCAAACAAATGTCAAGGGATTGGACGCTGTGTCAAGTGGATTGATATCAATGGAGTTGGCCAAAGCTAGTACTGATATTGCTGTGTTCTTTAGTATACTTCAGACGATTGCAATGCTGCCGATATCGGTCTGTGGCTCGGAGGAACAGAAGCAAAGATACTTACCGGGTATGGCCGCAATGAACTTGATTGGTTGTTTCTCATTGACCGAGCCAATGGCTGGCAGTGATGCTGCCGGACTCTTCTGTCAGGCCAGACAGTTGTCCAATGGAGCATGGTTGTTGAATGGTGAGAAGAGATGGATTGGTAGTGCACCGATGGCCGATGTCAACATCATCTGGGCGAGGAATGTTGACAACAATCAGATACATGGATTCATCATTGACAAAGGTACCGATGGAATGACCGTGGAAACGATCAAGAACAAGATAGCACTACGATCTGTTCAAAAGTATGTCCATCATATCCATCATGGGATGATTCCTGGATGCATACTAACACTCAATCAATCAATCAAACAAGTGGACACATCTACTTAAATGATTGTTTGGTGCAAGAGGCGAATAGACTGCCGCTGGCAAAGGACTTTGCTACGGGCCCTGGAAAGTGTTTGTTCTTGACAAGGATCATAGCGAGCTGGATCGCACTGGGCATTGCCATTGGTGCGTATGAGAGTTGTCTACAGTATGTCAAGAGGAGAAAGCAGTTTGGCTCACCACTGGCACGCTACCAACTGGTTCAAGACAAGTTGGTCAGAATGCTTGGCAATATCCAGGCCATGGCCATGATGACCATGCGTGTATCACAGCTCTACGACAAGTCACAGCTGACCTATGGACAGGTTGGATTGCTAAAGGCACACAACACCTCACGTGGACGCGAGGTTGTATCAATGGCTCGCGAGCTAGTCGGAGGCAATGGAATCGTCACAGACTATGGCGTGGCCAGGAGCTTCGTCGACATGGAGGCCGTTCACACATTCGAAGGCACCTACGAGATCAATGCTCTGATCGCTGGAAGAGAGATCACTGGACACTCTGCCTTCAAGAGCTAATCACACAATCACTCGATCACTCAATCAATCAGGCATATCCATGTCTTGTAAGTAAACACAATGTCATCATAATCATTTATTCGTTGATATGGTTGCTATTGTTGTTGATGTCGCCTCCATCCTTGTCGTCGTGGCTGCGGACATCATCACCTTGCTTCTCCATCTCTGCCTGCTCCTCTTCGTACTCTATCTCGTCTTCGTCCTCGTCGTCCATATTCTTTGTCCTGAGATGTCGACTGGAACTGTTGATCGTGCCTTGGTTGGGCGGGGTGACGCTCACCGAGCTGATGCCCAGGAAGCTCCTGAAACGCTTTAACAATGGCGAGCGTAGCCATATGCGCTTGGTCTTTTGGGTGAAGCCGTAAAAGATCATCAGTTCAATGCCATAGATGCGCATCAGGAATAGGGTGGTGAAGTTGGACTTGTAGGGCAGCGCGCCCTCGGCACTGCACGATGGACTTTTGTTCAGCATGATGCACATGACAAAGTCCTTGAGCCTCTGTGTGTAGTAATCAGTCTGGCTCTGTATATAGAAGTGATATCCAAACAGATAGATGAACTCGCCAAACAAGAACACGATGATCAAGAATGGTCGAAGATTGAATCGGACCAGGCGCATCTTTGTACTCCTGCCATTGATGTCGGAAACGGCAGTTACAACCTAATATGATTGGATGTTGGTTAGTGCCTTGCCTTTTGCTCAGCGGGGCCAACCTGGCAACATACTTTGTAAACTTCATAAATGATTAGGAAGATGAATGTTGCTCCAATGAATAGACAGGTACCAAGTGGTATCCAGAAGGTTCCATTTAGCCAACTATTATCCATTATCCAACATCCAATGCCTCCAATCGTGTATCCATATTGTTTGGCAAACAGAGGCGCAATTGATAAACTAATGGCCACTACATTGATTGTGATCAGATAATGTTTAACATAGTTCTTGGCCATCTTGACTGATGATTGATGTTGTGTATGGTTAGTCCAACTTGCACTCCACTCGCTCCATCAATCATACATACTCTTTCTAACATTTAACCAGAGGTCAAAAGTGATTGATGTCCACCAGAGGATTGCAGAGATGGCACCATATTGGAAGATAAAGCCGGCTGCGGCACAGGATGGACTGTCTTGTCGAGCGTAACGTCCTGGCTCGGGACAACTCGCCTTCCATCCCTCGTGAATGTAGAAGAAGTCGGACATGTTCATCAGAAGTGTAGAGAACGACAGGAAGCTGATGCCAATGGCATATCGATCATACTTTCTGTTGATGACCAAGTAGGTGATTAAGTTGACGGCCACGCAACAGAATGATATGGGCGAGACGATTGACACCATCAGCATCAAGTTGTCCCATTCTCGCTTGCTAAATAGTGGAGCCGGGCATGGTAGTGCGCAGTCTGTTCCGTTGATAAGATAGAAGCCACGATCCACATCGCCAGCGTAGTCGTTGGTGGGATGGTAGACCAGTGGCGAGTTGCACGATGGTCTGATGGGTGGCGCAGTGCCATTGGTTTGAATCTGTGACGTGTTGGAACATTGGACGGCGTGGCCGGGCTGGCCGCCATAGTCCGTGAGGTTGTATATGTTTACCATTGGTGGGTAGTTGTAGATGCTACCCTCCTGGGCAGTGCAGTTAAGCTCTGGAGTTGTGAAGCCCTGCATACAGCTCGTCGTTGTGTCTTCGCAGTTCAACTGGCAAGGTGGCACTCCAAGTGCATAAGTATTGGTAACGCCATTGTTTGTTAGGGTGATGTTTATACATTCAGTGAAGATCTTGGGATGGATTGAGTTGATTGAGTGAGTAGGTTAGTGATTGGGATAGTTCCGGACATGAGGTAGAGAGTGTACATACAGCATTACAGAAGAATATTCGATTGAATTCGTTTGATGTACAGTTTGTCGATAGTGATTTGTAGAGATTCTCTGCCATTGTTGCATTGGCAGCCATATCAGCCTGTGTTCTCATCGATGATACAAAGATTGAGTCTAAGGAAGTGGTAGAGTATGTATGATGGGTGATTGATTAGTTGACTTATATACTTCCAAATTAGGATTGATCAATCACTCATCTAATCAATCAAACATACCTGGATTCTTGATTAACCCTGTACAAAAGGAGTGTTCGACCCATGGTTCACATCTGGCATTTGTATCAAAGTTGAAGTATATCGGCTGTTGCTTTCCTAGGACAAGTACATTGTTGGCACAATAAAGCAACAACAAGGTGATCACCATCACCATGTATGTGTGAAGCGACATGATGAATAAGTTTATAAATCTATATTTAAAGATATATAAATAATGTCTATGTCTGTGTTTTGTTTGAATTAGAGAGTGAAGGGGATAGAGAGAAGGAAGTCGAGAAGATGATATTGATGATGATGATTAAGGATTGATCTCGAAAGGTCATGTAGTGACTGCCCAATGGCAGTGACGCTTTGATCATATGTATGTATACCCACAACCATACCAGTCTTTGTTGGGCTCTCTCTGTTTGATCCGGATCGCAATAGCTATTTGGAAAATCCAGAGAGTGCTGCCCAGCCCAGCCCAATCCAAGAGTCTCATCAAATAACACACGCCTGATCACACTTTCTCACAGACTGATCACCCCACCACACCATTCAGAGCAAAGATTGATTGGCGTTGATCATCAGCTAATGGGGGCCTGTTACATGAATAAAGTCAAGATGAGGCCTCACGCTCGGACCGCATCAGGAAATGTACGAGGTGGACTCGTATCCAAAGTTGGACCATGTCTCCTCATTTGCATTACGTTTGCATCTAGTCCTTACATCGTGTTGTCGCTAGACAGTCAATTGGATAGTTGTCCGTTTGCATTTGCAACTACCAACTCTACCGACTGAAGGACGGTCCTACATGTGTGAACAGTCGGGTCGGATCACTATCAGTCAGTCAGTCCGAAGCTTTGACATGCCAATGAATGAAGTGAATGAAGTTGACGACTGTGTGGTTGGCACAGGCAGCGTTTATTTGGCCACCTCTTCCTCTGACCTTGGGTGCTTTCTAGGTCGTCCAGGTCCTCTCTTTTGCGGTGTTGGACCACCTGAAGGTGAAGTTTGTGTAGCGGAGGCAGAAGGGGAGGTTGCTGTCGGCTTTGCTGTAGCTGCTGCAGGGGTGGGTGTTGATGGCGTGCCCAGTGACTCGGTGGTGGAGGAGGTTGCTGCCGCTGCTGCCGCCCTGGTCTTCACACTCATTGCTGCATTGCTTTGTGATGCACCACCATTGGTTGCCATCAGTATTGGCGACTTTCCATTGCTGCTGTTTGATGTTTGTGCATTGGACGACTTTGGAGCGGGCGCACCTCTCTTTCTCTTCTTTGTGGGCTCGTGATAGTCGTAATCGTCAGGATCACTCTCCATCTCGGACGAGACCAGATCGTCGTTGTCAAATGATTCATCTTCAGAGATACTGTTAAATGAATACCTCTTGACAATGGGCATTGAATCAACCGAGCCACTATCACTATCGTCTTCGCTCTCTTCATCATCGTCCTCGTCCTCATCGTCTTCTTCGCCGTCGTTCATATTGTCATTGTTGTCCTTCTTGATGCGCTTTCTCTTCCTAGCGCTATTCAATGCAAGCAAGTCTTCCAACTCTGGGAATCTGCCCAAGAGTAACTCGCTGCCCACGGACTCGGCCTCCTCAATGAGTTCTTGCTGTAGATCGTACAGTCTTTGATGTTCGATATCTGCTTTCTTTGGGCGGCCAGGTCCACGACGAGCAGCTGGTTGACGTATAAGCGGTGGAGCCAACAGTGTTTGAGCCTCGTGACTCAGGAACATTGGAGACAATGTTACCATGCCACTGGCTTTCAAAATTGGAGTGTTCTGTGCTGAAGACGATAGAGATGCTCTTCGTCCATTTGTTGTTATTACATGTGTTTGTTTGTTGTTGTTGTTGTTGCTATCTTGTTGTTTATCTTTATCCTTCTTGCTATTGTTATTGTTGTTGTTATTGTTGATATTGTTGTTGTTATGTTTATCTTTACGAACATCTTGTTTGTTCTTTTGAGATGTCGTTGTTGTTGTTGTTGATGATGATGATGAAGATGATGATGATGATGGTTTAGAAGAGAGATACTCTGACAAGACACCTGGTTGATCTGCAGGCACCTCATATGGTAAAGACTGTTTACTTTGCTTCTCAAACTCTTGATGATAATAATAGAAATCAAGACTATTACTATAGTTATGTTGTCTAATCTTCATTCTCAATCAATAAGACCGTTCGGTCAATATATTTAATATATGATATTACAAGTGTTTTATATATATATAGAAATATTTATAATTAATAATAATAATAATAAAATATCTAACTAATAATATTAATAATAATTATTAGTAATACTACAATATAATATATATATAATATATGTATTACAATAATATTTATTATGTTGATAATAATTAATTGTTATTGATATATGATCAAGAAATATTGTAATATATATTATTTATATTTATAAGTGCGCAAAGAAAGAAATAAATGTATTGGCATTGCATGTATGTTTGGTTAAACCAATCATCATCGGAATCACTCACTTGTTTCAAAAGACAAGATAGTCTTGCTTGTCAGTTTGTTTGCAAAGGCGTCGTTCAAGGATCATAAGCTTTTGCCCTCACTCACTTGTTTGTTTTGTGTTGGATTAGAAGTGTGTATGTGTGTGTGTGTGTGTGTGTGTATGTGTTTTGTTCTCAAAGACTGGAGTGTCACGCATCTATTCTTTGTCCTGGTTCTTCACGCCCGCTTGAACAACCAGCATGGCACCAAACATTGTTAATTACACAATGAAGATAAGATAGACAGTAGTAGTAGTATTAATAATTATTAAGATTAAGATAGAGATAAAGATAAATATCACTTATAATCAACAACAAATTAGATAGATAATGAGTCTTTTTGATACATTGAATGATACAACTAATGGCTTTGGCAACTTCTTGGAGAGGGAGATCAACAGATCTGTCAACAGTGTTGTACTAAAGTTGAGAACTGCTGTATCAAAGGATAAGAATAGATTCATAAATGATCAATTCAATCTTGATCTTACCTACATTACAACAAGGATCATCGGTATGCATGCATTGTGTGGACACAAGTTATAATGACAACAATACTTACTTACATACATTGGATTGATTGATTGAATGATCACTATCTATCAATCTATTTAGCAATGGGATATCCAACATCAGATTCTTTGGAATCAAGTTGGCGTAATCCAAGAGATGAGGTCAAGAGATTCCTTGACACATATCATCCAGAGAAATACTTGATACTTAATCTCACTGAGAAGGCATACGATCATGCCTACTTTGACAACAGAGTCCAACACCTTGGTTGGTTCGATCATCACTCTCCCAGTGTTGGCCTGCTCCTCTATGCAGTCCAAATAATTCATCAATGGCTTTCCCAAGATCCAGGCAATGTCATTGCCATTCATTGTGCAGTATGTTTCCTCGAGAACTTGAATATATCATCTCCATCACTCTCTAACATTACATGGTACGACATAGGCTGGAAGAGGAAGAACAGGAACATTGATATGTTCATACCTTGTATCAACTATAATGTATGAGGGACAGTTGGATGCAGCGATCAACTTGTTTGCCAAACAAAGATCATCCATTGGTGAGGGCATCACTGTGCCATCACAGCTAAGATATGTCGAGTATGTCAACAGATTGTCGACAAGACAGGTGGACATATCACTGGCACAGACGCCCAAAGTGATGACGATGAACGCTCTCGTGATGAAGCCGATTCCAAACTCTGCCAAAGGTTGGAAGCCAGTGTTAGAGGTCTACTCTGTAAATATGCCATTGAGCCCCGTGCTCCTGTTCTCCAACAGGACAATGCCACCCGAGCAGATCCCCACATACACACCACAGGCCAACCCAGCAGCATTCATCAGTCTGAACAACATTGTGATCAGTGGTGACATCCTTGTAAAGGTCTACGATATGAATGGTATAATCTCCACCATATTAGACAAGCCAACGTTTAGATTCGCCTTCCACACATCATTCATCAATGGATTCTGTCTTGATTTGCCAAAGAATCAATTGGACGAGACCAATGGAGCATTCAAGGCCACTCAATTCCCTCCAGACTTCTCCATTAGAGTAATGTTTGGTGATGTTCCAGCCAACCATGTACATATTCAAGCATCATCATCATCACAGAGTCAACAACAAATTCCTCTTCCTCCTCCTCCACAGGCCTCGAATTCGCCACAATCACCACCATCGATGATAACAAATGGTTCAAATGATCCAAATGCCATCGACTCTGACTACTCCATTCTATAAACATCTAACTAAGGTTGGTTTGGATGGTTGGAGGACATGATTCATCCATCCATCTGTGTATTACTTTCCAATCAATCAAAGGTGTGGGTTTTTGCCTCAAAGCCCTCATTCTTGAAAAATTCAACTTCACCTTTCATTTGATCATTTCATTAATATCCATCACACTTCTTGTTATTACTATCATTAATACACATACATATACATATACAACTTATAGAATGAGCGCATTCCCAGAGATCCAGAGATTTATTGAGACAAAGGACTTTGCTCATATCATTGCCTTTTGTCAAGACATCGAACTCAAGGTATGTTTGGGTGATGCATGGTCTCAACATCATTCACTCATCAATCATATCAGACATCTAACATCAATCATTCAATGATCATTATCACAAATAGTCAGAGGAACAGACAAGAAAGTACTACCCAGTATATATATTGTCATTGTTGATTCAAAATGATATGTATGTGTCATCATCAGAATGAATGAATGATAACATAGCCACTAATGACACAATTATCAACTACACTATATACACTCAACAGAAAGAATGCACGTTTGCTGTGGAACAGAATACCATCAGAGCTAAAGGCTGCAGATGCTCACTTGAAGCCCATCTGGTCATTGACCAAACACATTGCGCAGCTCAACTATCCAATGATCTACAAATCACTGACTGGCAACTATGGCACAGACTTGGCACCATTCATCATTCACCTCAAAGAGACCTTCCAATATCGCACTTTCGAACTGATTTCCAACTCATACTCCAACATCTCTGTCAATGACTGCAGTGTCTATTTGGGTATTCCAACAGATCATGTACTCAAATGTAAGTAATGCAATTGTCCTTTGTCCTTCCGTTCACTCAAACTCATTCATTACAATCAATCACAACAACAAAGACACTGAATCACAGGGATGGACAAGAGACGGAAACTCACTGCAGCCAGTTCCAATCAAGGCCAAGGATAGCCATGTCAAGTCTGGTAACAACCTCATTCACTCTCTGGCCGACTTTGTATTATCTTTAGAAAAGTGATCATTATGATTGACTCGAGAACTGATCACTACAACCTCAGACGTCGTATGGATGATCAGCCAGCTATTCAATCAATCAATTACTTCACCTCTCCTACTCCTCCTTCTCCAATAAAGGGTATTAATAACAAACCCTCCTTCCTTTGTTGTACCCTCGCCCTTGCCTTGTCCTTTGACCATCAATACAATGATCGACGCAGTAACGTTATTTTGATCATTGATTAATCAAATAAAAATTAAAAAAAAACAATACTCTGAGCAAAGTGGTGACAGTGTGGGTTTGGAGGACTTACTCGCTTGTTATGAAAGCGTGTTGAGCGGTATCCTTCAATCCCTTTTACCACGCAGGCCTCCTATCAGTATGTAGACAGATACATGATGATGACGGATCGTTGGATTCTATAGATGACAGAGAGATGTCGATGGTCATTGGATTGATGATATGATGCGATGTGCATAAAGGATCGATCGAGACAGGCGAAGATTACATGGATACAGATGAAACATTCATTCATTCAAACACATAGGCTGACATTTATACTTCCATTCATTACTCCACAGTACAATCATGGCAGATAAATCAGCTGTTGTAGTTCGCACCAGAAAAGTGATGTCCAACCGTCTCCTCTCAAGAAAGCAATTCGTAGGTATCAATCACAGACACAAGACGAACGAGAAGAAGATACACAACATATGAAGGGAATGAGCGAGAGAGCGACATACAGATAGATAGATAGATAGACAAACAGGTCACATATGATACAGAAAGAACAAGACTCTAACATATATTTGGGATATTTCGAATAGGTTGTCGATGTTGTTCACCCTGGAAAGGCTAACGTCTCCAAGAACGACCTCATTGCCGCCGTCTCCAAGATCCACAAGGTCGCTGACTCCAAGACCGTCTACGTCTTTGGAATGAAGACTGACTTTGGTGGTGGTCACTCCACTGGCTTCGGTCTGATCTACGACAACCAGGAGCTCGCCAAGAAGTACGAGCCAAAGTACCGTCTGGCCAGAGTATGTATAGCAACACTCCCACAGCAAGCCCCACATCACAGCATCATCACAGGCCTTAGCGAATCTCATCATTTGACGAGGCATCAGCAACTGGGCTGTGGTGGGCAGACACAACAGGCATCATAGCAATCACAAGATACTAACATATTCACTCTCACTCAATCTCACGTATCATTTAGGCTGGTCTCTACACCAGACCACAGACCTCCAGAAAGCAGAGAAAGGAGAAGAAGAACAGATTAAAGAAGGGCAAGTCCACCAAGAAATAAACGTGTTTCTTCAGCTGTTCATCATGGTTCCTTGGAAGCAAATGTGCGATAGTCCATGTCATATTGGATAATAGTGTAGCCTTTGGTATCTTAATAAAGTATCACCATAACCACAAACGGCCGACCTTTTGATTGATTGATTGAGCATGTATGATTGTGAGTGGAATGATTCCATAGTTTGATTGAATGTGTGATTGGTTGATGTAGTTTATTAATAAATAATAGATATTATGGACAATGATTGGATGGTAGTTCTACTTCTTTTGTGATTGGGACATTGAGCTTCCACCACTACCACCTGTGTTGTTGCCTTCACGTGGCTCTCTCATCAATGAGAGTTGGTATAGTTCATCGGATGAGGACGAAGGCAGTTCCAACAAGAGTGTATGGATTGGTTCCACTATTGGGAAGTCATACTTCACCTGCTGAGTGGTCTGGACCTCAGAGATAGCTCTATAGATCAACTCACGCTTCTGGAAATTGATCAAGTTACCAATCATATCCGGATTACCATCCTCCATAAATGTCAAGTCTGACAATATTACAGGCCTAAGGTTTGATTGATTGATTGATAGAGTGAGTTGAATGATTCCATGATTGAGTGATATGAGGTTGCTACACTTACAAGTATGGTAGACATGGGTTAGTAGCAGCCTTTAGAGCTTGACGATAGGTCTTGTATGAGCCAGTTGAGTTCATCAACTTCTCCAAGCTGGTGTAAATTGCCAATGATGGTTGAGACACCTGAGCAAAGGTCTTCTTCAAACGATTGATACTGGATTGATTCAATCCTGCGAATATGTTGAGTGCTGTATTGAAGTTGTTCATCTCACGCAAGAACTAGAATGGCAAGTGTTAGGGCAAGGGCAAGGGTAAGGGTAAGGGTTGGCGACACATACCTTGGCAATATTCAAGAACTTCTCTATTACTCTGACACGTGATTCGACATCTTCTTGCCAGAGGATCTGACTGGCAACCCAGAATGAGAACTTGTTGGCACGATTGATGAGATCCATGATGTTGGGCGAGAGTGGCTTGAGATGCTCCTTGCTCCAACTCTGCTCTTGGAACTCTCTAGGGTTGATCCTTCCAAATATACCAGCTTCGATGATGGTCAACTGTCTGGCGATCTCACTATCATTGAGCAACAACAATAAGGTAGATGGCGATTTCTGGCCCTCGGGAATCATGGGCTCGGGGAATGATTGATTGATCAGCTGCTTGGATCGCTCCGACTCCTCGGTCACACGCTGATCGATTGTTGCACGCAACAGTCTGGCCAGGTCGCCATGCTCGTCGGTGAGCAATCGATTGTTGGCAAAGGTCTTGATGCGATCGATCAGAATGCTGTCAAAGTCGCCAAAGTTGCGCTCCACCCATGAGTTGATGAATGATGCCACACGCACCTGAACACTCTCGCGGAATGTCTTGTCCCTGTCCTCGGGAACGGTGTATCTCTGTACAAGTTTGTCAAACAGCTTGCGAGGTGTCGTGAATGACATGTAGGTCATGAGGAATGTGCGGGTGAACTTGCTGTTGTCATAGGGTTTCTCGGATGTGAGTGACTCGATCAACTTGTTCAACGAGCCAGACTTTAGCACCAGACGGCCAGTCTTGCTGCCATCGTCCGAGATCCACTCGCTCTTGAGGTTAGCCGAGTTCTCCTTCCAGATGTTCACATCGTCGTCCTCGGGCTCGGCCAGGTCGACCTCCAAGTCGTCAGACTCGGATCCAGCGGTGGGTGCCTTGGGCAATGCCTTAACAAAGATCTTGTTGGCAATGTTGTCCAAGAGCTTGGCAAAGCCCTCGCAGAATGAGTTGGCTGTGGCAAAGAGTTGCAGCTGAACGCTGACGTCCCATGGCTTGGATGAAATACCAATGATGATGGTGGTCATTTGAATAGCAACGACGCGGACGGCGTTACATTGCTCGACGATTGACCTGTCCAAGTTGCGCTCAATGAACTGGCGATTAGTCGTGGCGCAAGAGTAGATGGACGCATTGATCTTGCCTGGACCACGACTCATAGAACTATCGACCAACTTCTTGGTGCTCTTGATCTGCGTCGAGAGGAATGACTTCTCATCGATGCGACCTACAACCAAAGCCTGGTCAAGCATCACGGACAACAACTTGTACACGCTCTCGACTGGGTCTTTGAGCGAGGATGTGTCACGTTCGGTGGGGTCAGTCGAGAACTGGTAGGCCATGTCCACCAACTCGATGATCTCATCAACAAACTGAGTGGTCGTGCCCACTAGCTCTTGATTGACCTTGTCAATGTGCTGTTGGGCCGCAGTTCGCGAGGTGGATCCATCGAGCAGAGTGCCTGGTGCGTTCTTCTTCTTGATAGTAGATAGCTTCCTAGTCATCTTGTACCTCAACGTCATCGTCTGGTATTGACTGTCATTGTGGGCCTCGTTGGCCAACTCTTGTCGCATGTTGTTCAGCTTGTTGATGACCATCTGTGAGGCACGCACATTTCCAGAAGCGCCAGGCTGAGACATGTTGTTAGTTATACACTCCTCGGCATGTTTCTTGATTACAGCGAGTATCTTGTCGGATGTGCTCTCTAAGTTGGCCTCTGATTGCTTGGCAAACTCTGGATACTCCTTCATCAGAATGTTGATTATCTGGCTGGTGGCCACTGAGTGATCGATTGAGTATTGTGTTGAGCGACGTGCTGCGGCCTTCTTGGCGGCAGCCACTTGTAAGCTGTCCTTGGGAGATGGCTTTCCATTGACCATGCCAATGTTCAATGAGCGCTCTGTCTGTTTGCGTAGATACATCTTGGATGGCGAAGAGGGCAGTGGCAGACGGCCGGGTGTGGTTAAAAGTCGCGGGCTGTCTACTGTCTTCTCAGGCTCGACCACCACGGACGGGCTGAACGATACCTTGGGAACAGACACACTGACTGTCACACTGTTACTCTGCGGAACGACCGGGGTCGACACTGAACGGGACTTGGTCGAATCCACCAAGGGAGAGGTGGCACCAGACTGTGGAGAGGATGGGGATGATGGGGAGGCGGGAGTCGACAATGATTGGTCGAATGGCATTGGCTGGCGTTTCTTGTTGCGAACGATCTTTGAAAGGAACTTGCCAAACGTCTTGTTACCCTCCTTACCCGACTTTGACTTGTCCATTGAGTCGCTCATCGATGGCGACTCGCTCCCCATAGGTGACATCTGTTTGGAAGATGTTGGACTTGTTGGTGGCGTGAGAACATTCTGCTGCTGGGACTGTTTGGAGCCCGATGTTGTGAGGCTGGGGCTTGGAGCTGGAGCTGCTGAGATTGACGGACTCTTGCGTGTCTCAATCTTCTCCTTCTCAATCTTGGTCAACTTGTCCTTGATGTCACTGTTGCGCACCACACTGTTCTTCTCGCGCTCCTGACGCTCCTTCTCTGTGCGCTCTTGGTCCAGCTGTACGAGTCTGGCCTTTTCCTGTCGATCCTTCTCCAGTCTCTCCTTTTCCAATCGCTCATTCTCATCACGCTCACGCTTTTGTTGCTCCTTCTCCAATCTCTCTCGTTCTTCCTTCTCCTTTGCAACCCGCTCCTTCTCCAGACGCTCCTTCTCCAGTCGCAGGATATGCATCTCCAAGTTCTCATTGTCGATCCTTTCCTGCTCGGCCTTCTTCTTGCGGTCCTCCTCCTGCTGCTCCAACTCCCTATCCTTGCGAGCCTTTTCAAACTCAAGCATCTTCTCCTCCTCGATGGTCTTGAGCGATCGCTCGCGTACAAGTGGTGGCACGCGCTCCATCTTTGGCGAGTCAGAGTCGTTGGATGCAGTGTCCAGACCAAGCTCCTCAGACAGAGTCGTCGAGGCATTAAGCTGCATGCTGTTGTGCTTGGTGGCGTGTATCACCTTCTTGATATTGTCATTCAGTTTGGCGACGGCCACTTCCAGCTCTTGGACATAATGCGGATCATTCTTATTCTTGAGCACCAACTTGGACAGTGTGATGACCTCTGTTGCTGAGTCCTTAAGACTGTACTCCAACTTTTGTATCTTCATCTCCTTGCTTATGGTTGTTATATCGTTGGAGATGGCCTTTACTGCGGCCAGCAGACCCTTGAAGTCCTCCTCGATACATGCTTCGGTGAGCTTGTTGATGTTATGTATCAAGTTGACTGCGCACTTCTCAACCTTGATGCACACCTCATTGTCTAGATCCTGTGAGCTATTCTGTGGAGAGAGTCTAGGGCGGCCATCTTTGTCCCTTGTGTTGTTGCCGTGGCTGCTGGATCCAGAGGTGGTTGCGACGGCCAGGTACTGGGGCTGCTGAATGGGTGACCTTGGCGAAGAAGTGTCTGGACTGCTGGCGGTAGGTGATACGCTGTTGGGTGTGGATGCCAACTCCTCATCCTCCAACACTTGAATGAATGTCACCTTTAGGCTTTCAAATGCGCTCAACACAATCCTTATATACTCTATGGATTGCGACTTGGTCGTCTTGAAGTTGGTGGCTGTGAGGAAATCATACGGATTGAGCAAGATCGCCTAATAAGGAAATGTCATGATCAGTATGTGGGTGTTAGTTTCTATGATCTCCATACAGTTTCCATATAATCATCATACATACCTTTGATGTATCAATCAGTTGTTGTATGATTGATGATAGGTTCTTGATGGATTCCAGGAGATAGCTGTGATGTTGTTCGATTCCATCGAGGGAGAATGGGAACTCCTCGAGGAGTGTGATCACATTGTTGATGTTACGGATGGCAGAGATTGAGGCGTCATTCAACAGACGGTCAACATTGTCAGAGTCATTGCTATGTATAACGATCAGGGTCTTTATTTCCAGGATGACCTGCTTGATCAAATCCAAAGTATAATCAAAGTACTCTGCAGGATGCATTACATCCTGGTCCTGCTGTTGTTGTTGTAGCAACTGCAGTCCATTGTTATTGGATATCATTATATATATGTATATTAAGTATCTGTTATGGTATTATATGTACAAGATACAAGATAAAGTATGATTGATTGATTGATTGTTTGATTAATTGGATTGATGATGGCCTGATTGAACAAAGTTGTCGACGTGTGTGATCAATCACTAATACATCAATCAAAATAGGTGAGTGATTGTAAGAAGTAGAAGCATAAGTTAAGGGATGGATGTGTGGCTTGTGGAGATGGGGGCAACAATACGGATCGACACAAAGTGTCCTTTGACATCTTTGTGGTTAGTGAGGGAGCCATTCATTTCCTTGACCATGAGGTGGGTGTACGAGTGATCGATCTAATTGGCAAGCCCTTCAAGTTAAACAAACCACACCTTTACAATAAAATAGATGTGTTGAAATGTGTCATATGATTGCAAATCTAAATGTACAAGTAAATATTATTATTTGAAATAAATAATAGATAAGTCTAAGGTTTAGATATCGTAATTTTTAATACCTCCCCGATTTTTAAAGAATAAATGATGAGAATTTGGTTATTTGAAACACATCGCCTTTTTAGCTCAGTTGGTAGTAGCGTAAGACTGAAGATCTTAAGGTCGCTGGTTCGATCCCGGCAAAAGGCAGAACCTTTTATCCCTTTTTTTCAAGGGTCCAAAAAAAAAAACAAGAAATGGACTTCAATGACCCCAATATATTTGCAATAATAATAAATTAATTAATAATACTAGAATTTTTTTTTTGGACTGGTTAATGTGGAAGTTTATTATATTGCAAATAAATGGGCGTCATTGAAGAGCTGGAATGGTTATTTTTTATTTATTTTTTTATTTTTTTTTTTCAATAGAGTGGAAGTTTATTAGTATAACTATTTAACAATTATTAAAGATGCTCACGAAGATGTTTTGATTTTTAATAATTATTAATAAATATTGAAGTCCTTCATTGAATAAATGTTGGGCAATTGATAGTAATTATGTCCCGACGTTGATGACCGTCCATTCAATCAAAATCATGCAACAATAAAAGGTTACAACCACTGAAACAACTTGTGTGTCGCTTGCAGCACATCCAATCAAAATGCGCCCGACTCGTGAAGAACATGTTTCTATAACCAGAATAATGATGGTTCGCTTACAACTAACTTGGTTATAGTCGACCTCCAACTTCAAGGTCAGATGTCACACTTGTGGACTTGGGAACTCAATCTTCCACGAATGCCCATCACCCATATGTCCTGTTCCAAACACACACAACTCTCACTTAGTGATTATGTATTAGGTGCTTGTATGGATGGGCCTGTCCATGACCAGTCTTCAGACATCCCGATACCTACTTATACCTCTCGTGGACCACAACAAACAATCATCATTCTCCCAATCAATCAATCAGATAAAGATATAATTACCATACAATGTTCAAGTTAACTATTGCTTTGCTCATTGCCACTTTGGCATTTGCCTCCGCCGCCAACTACAATGGCAACTACTTCCACATCCGTGACAGTGGTGTCCGTTGCGTCAAGTACCCATGCCCATCATTCTTGGCCACCTCGCTCAACAATGGCGTTGTTGACTTGCCAATCGTTGATGTGATCTTTGACGAGTCGATCAACACCTCCTCTGTGTATGACGGTCTCCAGACTGGATACACCAACGTCGTCGTCTACGGTGTGCTCTCAACCATCTACATGGACAGCAACGTGATCAACCGCATCAACGTCGAGGCCGCCTACCGCATCCTTCCATTGTCCGCTGACGACCAGGCCACCCGCTCAGGCACCTACTACACCCTGTCAAACTCGGGCATCTACTGCATCACCACTCCATGCCCAACCATCCGTGCCAACCAGATCAACTCTGAGGCCTCCCAGATTGCCTTCAACTACTTTGACACCTACAACACCTACACCAAGTTCGACTCTTTCTGGTTGCACAACAAGGAGTTCGTCGCTGAGGAGCCACACAAGGCCATCGTCCAGGCCAACATCTTTGAGGGTACTGTCATTGTCAAGGCTGTCTTTGCCAACATCAAGGACCACGTCAACCCATGCCCACCAATCCCCAAGATTGGTTGCGCTCCAGGTTACAGCATTGTCTACACTCGTGATGCCAACAGATGTCTCGCCTTTGACGGCTGTGTCCGCTCCGGTGTCTGCACCCTGAGCATCCCACTCTGCAATGAGGGTTATTCGCTCACCTCCCACTCATCCGCCCCCAACGGTTGCCCACACTGGTACTGTGATGCTGCCTTCTTGGAGTAAAGATCCAAGCAGGTTAGTAATACCATCTTCAATCCACCCGGTCCAACAATGACGACCATCCTAATAAAATAATAATTTTAAAATTAAACATACCTCGTTTGATTGATTGATTGATTGATTGGATGGCCTTATTGTTATTATTAATTAGGCAAGGAAGTAGGATGATCATTCAAGTCCAGTCTAGAAGGTATAAGATGCGAATGAGCTGTAGATCTTACCATCGGCATTTGGGAAGAACACTTCAGTTGCGACCTTGTTGCCAGCAGTTGTTCGGTAGACGAGTGTGAGCGAGTCTACACCGCGCACAACATGTAGTAGATCAAACTTTAGATCGGGATATCTGGACAGAGCTGATTGCCAATAAGGTCTGATTAGTGTCTTTCCCTTGAGATGACCTGATGGTTCATTGACCACTATCTTTATCTTCTCCGATGAGAACTCAAAGTCCTCTGTATAATGACTGAGTACTCTCTCCACATCACGTGTATTCCAAGCCTCTATCCATTCATTTGCAAATTCCACACATTGTTTCTCATCAAACATCTTTTATCTCTCTTTATCTATTTGTATCTTTATCTCTTTGTATCTAACTGTTTGAATCAATGAATGAATGTTGTTGTTGTTGTCCCGAGTTAATGAGTCATCAACAATCTAGATAATCAATTTGGAAATGTTTAGATGAAGTTCAAATTGGGTTCAAATTTGAATTCTTGGAGGAACTGGCGCGAAGATGTGAGAGGATGTTCAACAACAAATTTAGTAATAATCAATAACTACAACACACACATCTGTATCTGTATCTCTATCTCTCAATTTGGTAATAATCAATTATCGTTCATACATTACTAGAGTAGGATGGCATCTACAACATCCATATCAGGCAATAACAATGACAACAACAGCAACAACAACATTAGTAACAGCACTATTGTGCGATTTGAAGCTAATGAATCGACAAGAATCAAGATGATATGGAGTGCAGAAGACTTGAGATCAGAGCGTGATCCACATGTTACATTCACTCCAGTATTCTCTCATCAGATATTCAAGGAGGAACAGATAATTGGTTATGAACCACTCCGTCTCAATATCTACATGGGCGCCGGTTCATTGACATCGTTCATCGACACCAACTACACCATCAAGTCAAAGAACATCACCAATGTCGAGAAACAACTAGTCACTGTCATGTCCAAGACCGACCCGCCACTCTCCACCTACGACAGTTTCCGCGAAGTAAGTTATATCCCTCTCTGATTGATTGATTGACACTAACCTTCATACACTCATACATAGTATATTGATGAGAAGGAGAATAACTTCAAGCCACCTGGTGATAAGCTACATGAGTACACTGTTACGGATAGGGACACTGGAAAGGAGACGGTTTATGAGGTGTACTTTGGCAAGATATCGGATCCAGTGATGTTAAGGTATCACGAGAAACTTCAGTTGTTTGTATTGTGGTATATTGATGGCGCGTCCTACATCTACACCAATGACTCCAACTGGGATATTTTCTTGATCTTTGAGCGCAGAGTGATCGATGGTGTCAAGCGCTATGGAGTCGTCGGATACAGCACCATCTACAACTTCTACCATCATCCAGAGTGCAACAGATCAAGGATCAGCCAGTTCCTTGTTCTTCCACTTTACCAAAGAATGGGACATGGCAGTATGTTTAGTTTGTTGCTCGGAGGTTCATACCTTGGCTTACCTACTCACTCAATCAATCAATCAATCAATCTAGAGCACCTGTTGAACGCCATCTACAATCAATATAAGGCAAACCCAAGTGTTTATGGACCAGTCTATGATATCACAGTGGAGGACCCAGCTGACAACTTCATGTAAGTCAACGGGATATGCATTTCATGTAAGCTCCATACTCATGCTCTAACACGCAACAACAACGAACAACAATATAGACTACTTAGGAACACTGTGGATATTGAGAACATTACAAAGGCTGGACTGGTCAAGCACGTCACAGCCAACTTTGATCTGTCACAGGACCACAAGGAGCTGTTTGAATCTATAAGAAAACAACTGCTCATCACACCTGTACAATCAAAGATATGCCTGGAAATCATACTGCTGAGCAAGGTGATCCATCTGCCTGCCAGCGATGCCAACTACAAAAAGTTTAGAGTGTACATCAAGAAGAAGCTGTTCAAGCAATTCGTAGGCTCCGAGCTGGACAGTGCCGACAAGGAGGCCATCGAGAAGGATCCGGCCAAGAAGCAGGAGCTGGAGGATAACAAGCGAAAGGTCATCATCGAGCTCTACAAACAGACAGAGGACGAATACTCTCAATCGATATACTCTGTCGGTTTAACGGCCAATGGAACAATCGCCAATCGATAAATCATTTCATTTCATTCATTCATTCAAACAATCAATCAAACAATTGATTAATCACCAATCTGATTCGGTCGGACAGTCCCGCTAGACAATGCGATGCGGTAGATTCGATTTATTTCGTCTTCTTGTTGACTGGTTGTGGCGATGAGATCACGGTGGATGCGCCAAATGCCCAGCCAATAAGCAGACGGTACAGGGTCTTCATGTAACGTACGATGAACTTCTGGCGACGACCACGACTGCCAAAGAAGACAAGGCTCAGTTGCTGCTCGGCAAAGTCAAAGTTGTCGATTATGACGCTGGCATGACCATCCTTCCTCGACGGGATGATGCACTCCAGTATGCAAAAGTAGTGCAGGATGGAACCGGCACCAACAAACAGATGCCAGATGGCATGGTTGAAGGGCGTGGTCTCCCAGATGAGGAAGGCGATGCCACTTGTGTATGCCAAGCCACCGGAAATCAGCAACTTTAGTCCCTTGCGCGGCAGATGTTGAATGAGATCTTTCACTCCGAGTAGTGACACCCAGCCCATGATGAGGTAGGTGGCGTTGGAGAAGAAGTCTGGGATGTGGTTGGCACCCAGGATCATCTTGCTGAGCACGCCAACGGCAGCCATCATCCAGACGACTACAAACATCAGCCAGCCAATCTTGACGGCCTTTGGTGTTGTGATCTCCTTATTTGAGTTATTGTGTACCAAGTTGATTAATGTCAATGGTGTATATGTTCCAGCAATGAGCATATAAATGGCGCAGTGATCCAGATCCTTCAACTGACTCCTGTACTGTTCCAAATGAATGAATATTCCAACTGAATGGTATAATGATGAGCAAAAGTACATTGTCATCTTGATTGATTGATTTAGTGAATGGGATAGTTCCAGTGATGGTTAGTATTGAGGTCGTCAAAACACATCTTGTAGAGTTGGCGGGTGATGGCATACCAATGATAGACCATATATTGTGCAGGATATGACGTGTAGTCTAGTTCCTCTCATTCTTGCAACAGATATCAGGAAGAAGACAGCTGGTAAACATAAAAGTAGACCAAGTATATGTGACAATGTGTTCAATATCTCTTCATGATATGTCTGTAACTCTGGGTTGTCATCCAGTGACAATGTCATTGTGTTGTTTATCACTTCCATTGTATTGTGTATTGTGTATTGTTATATATATATATCTGTCGACAATAAGTGTAGTTGTAATGATCTATTCGAGATAAAGAGTTAGCCACAAACTGTTCCTATAACCAACTTGTATTGGTCAAACGAGAATGACACTTACACCTCTGTTTGATTATGTAATGGTACTAATACTAGTGTGCTGTGTACTGTCAAGTATGTGTGAGTGAATGAGTGAGTGTCGAATGTCTAATCGTATCACGCAGAGTGAGTAAGTGCTGTCGTGTGTGGATATCGATGTGTTGTTGACTCGTCAATGTGTGTGTGTGTGTGTGTGTATGAGTTGACTGAAGACGACCTAAGTAGACGACTACAATTACTAATGTTACCTCAACTTTATCTTTTTTTTTTAAAAGATATAGTTAATTATTATTATTATATTAGAGGTAAATATTATTATATCAACAACAAAGTAATATGTGTGAGTTATAGCATAAGATTTAGTAGTGTAAGGGTGGGGAGATAATAATTTAAATCATAATTAATGTTCACTTAGGTGGTTGAGTGTGGTGAGTACACACCGATTTCTTTTTTGGCTCTAGAATTGCGAGTGCAGTTGGGGTGAGCGTACGAATTGATCGATTGTTTATTGGGGAGGTATCACTCCTTTAGAGTGGTTGTTTGATGTGTTGTGTGGGGTTAGCAGGACCCACACTTGATATGACCTACAACAACTCAATCAATCATTTATCAATGAACACTCTTTGGAAAGTGCCGATAATAAATAAATAAATAACAATTGATTGTTTATCCGAGAGATATCTTTAATGATCTCATTGTTGTTTTATACTCTCTTGCATTGGATAATGATGATGCAAATAATTATTGGAGAGTGTGCCAGCTGGCACAAGAGATATCGATAGAGGGGAGGGGGAGTGTTGTGTTTATTCAAAACAAAGGGGCGATAGATGAGGCGAGGGCACTTGGTCATCCTCTTGGATCAATTGGTCAACACGAATCACTGATGATGACGATGGATAGGCGCGAGTGGTGCTCTCCACGGCCATCTTCGTAGGTGAGGCTGGCTGGCCGCCAACGATGCTCTCATGCTCTGCCTTGAACCATGCTGGGAGGGGAGCCTGAGCGGGTGCCGCAGATTGAGAGAGTGGCGACAGGCCATTGACCTCTTGGATTGGCGATGGCAACATTGGTGAGGGCTCCAATGTCTTTAGAGTGAAAGTGGCGCCAACGTCTGGCAGGTTGAGCTTGGGCAGGTGGATTGGGTAGGCGTCTTGGTAATGTGGGGATTGTGTTGGCAGCGCCTTCAGGGCACCGTGGAATGGAGATAGCGAGTCGGCAGAATTTTGTCTGGAAAGTACTGGCGTGTGGCAGGGTGAGAGGTTGGGTAGAGATGGCGATGATAGGCTGCTGTTCAAAAGGCTCTGGAAGGACATCTCGCGCTGGAGCAGTGGGGTGGCCACTCGGCTCACCATCACCGGGCTCGTGCTCGAGAAGGCGGGCGAGGACATTGGCGAGTTGGCAAAGCTCGAAGCGGCGGCAGAGGCGGCGGCGGTCAGATAGCCAAAATTGATGGATGACAGTGGGGGCGAGGCCACGTTGGCCAACTCATTCTCACTGATCCTCTCTTGGAGTAGGTCGACCTCTTTCTTCATTGGTGACTTGATAGCCAGTATATTTGGATGTTTGATGAGGTAGGCCTTCTTGCTCCTCAGCGACATGATCTCTTCGCCGATTCTAAGCTCTTCCTCGGTGTTCTTTGGCGTGGTTTGTTCCAAGTTCATGATCATTTTGTCCAGGCTCTTAATCTATTATAATAATAAATGGGAATAATTGTATTAGAATTTGTCAGCTGACATCAGTAAAGTCACATGATCGATCACGTGATTGATCATGTGATTGATTCACATACCTTGCGATGTGGCCATCTTGGAATGCCATTCTTCCTGCAAATCTTCTTTAGTACTGTGGCACAGACGCCAATCTCTTTGGCAACGTCATTGATTGGCAGGTGAAAGTATTGAGAGAGGAATGGTAAATCGATTTCTTGTGCAATACCCATTGTCTTATAATTTGTATTCGAAAAAAAAAATTGGAGGGATAGTTGGAGTAGGTAGGTAGGGTATATGGATAAGTATATTGTATTTAAGATGAAGGTGGAAGGATTCGACCTTATGTGTATTCGATTGGATGTATGGGGAGGGAAAAAAAAAAGGGGATTGGCTTGTTGGGGAGGGAAAAAAAAAGAGTATATAATGGTTGGTAGGTAGGGAAGGGTATATTACATGTGGATTGGTATGTACAAGTATATATGTGAGTGTGTATATGTGTATCTATATGTTATAGATGGACTGAAGAGTGATGGAATGGAATGGGGGTCCGCAAGACCTCTGATTGTTTACTTGACTACAACTTCGAAGACTGGTAGGTCATGAAGGTCCTCAAATCAAATCGAAACAACAATCAACAAAATAATCATTTAAAATAACGAGGAAGGTAGGAAGAGGAGGTCAGATGTAAAGGTGACAGTGTCGGGTGGGTGGTCCCGCTTGGACGAAACAAACAGAAGTAGCGAAGGAGGAGTGAGTGGCTGTGTCTCTTGGAAGCAGTATCTGACCCACCAACCACGTTTAAGTGATGGGTGGCTCACGATGGGCCTGTCCAGGCAGACTGAAAGGACATGTTGACAACAACAAACACATACAGGAGTGGTGAGACGTTCGCGAAATGTAACGAAACGAAGAATCTGGTCTTTCCGTAAAGGCGGCACTGGGTCCACACCAACTTTACTCTTCTTCACAATAATAATAAAACATCTAGATGGTTTGTTGGCATAGATCTAGGTAGTGGCCCAAAAATACCCTCACACGATAAAAAGATAGAACCATCGTGGTGTGACATTTTGATCATTCCACTTAAGCATTATCATGGTGCCATGTCAAGATAAAAGTGATAAAAACACGGGTGCACCAAGAGACGCGTATGGCCTCTCGCGAGACATTGGCAAACGAGCAAAAAAATCAAAACAATGTCGAGTGGGTGAGTGAGAGACACAGAACGATTGCGATTCGATCCAAAGTCCAATTGACTTTGCGAAGACTGACAGACAAAGAGATTTTAAAGGTGTATATGTGGCAGTTTGGGGGTATGTATGTTTGTTGATGTTGGTGCATGTATGAATGTGTCTGTGTATCTGATCAGACACACCTCTGCTGACAGGACGGGCGAAACCATTGTCTTCCAAACCCTGGAGGGTCGGATATGAGTGTGTATGGTCAGGCCACGCCGCATCTAAATGTGCCTCATATGCAGGGCGGTAAACAGGGTGGTTGGTGCCACTTGTGAGGGCGCGCACATTGGCCACACCTCGCATTAAGTGAACAGTCTATTCATTGGAAATAGTAGTTTGTTGTTGTTTTGTGAAACAATACACCAGAGTTTAACTTGGCAATTGCTGGCTGGCTGGGAACAAATAGATATTGGTTTGTTGATCATGATATTATTTATATTTTGTTCATGGGATGTACGACAAGTCCCAACATGGTATGAATGTGAATGGACAACAGATAATAATAATAATAAATGAGTTATGTATGTTGGTGTTATGTTGTGATGTGATGTGTCTCTTGGCGAGCAAGACATTGGGATTTGGGAAGTATGACATTGAGTTGACCAAAGATGCAAACACATCTTTAAAGTCAAGATGAATACATGACAAGACAAGATAAGGATGGATGTTGGTGTATGATTGAATGTAAGAATGAAGATTACTCACTTAGTCTGGTTTGTGGATGAGGAGGTGTGGAGTTGTAGTGGTGATAGCGGCTTGGTTAAGATTATGATTGATTATAGTGTAGTGGCGTTGCAACATTCACTGAGTTGATGATGGTTGCTTATTTGTAGTTATAGTATATGTGTGTAATAATATATTAAAGACGATCTTTAACGATACGATGCTTGGCTTTATAATGAATGGATTGGATTGATGCGCAGACGGATGGATGCTTGACTTTGTGTGAGTCAAAGGAACACACACTCATTCAGGCAGTCGGTCATCCTGTATCGCGCGGGGGGGCAAACGGTAGGAGGGCAATAATAATCCATGTGTGTGGCTACGTAGGGTTAAGTTAGTGTTGAGACTCTAGCTAGAGAGAGGTGGAACAGTGCCTCATACTTCCTCGCCGAAGGTTCTAGATGTGAGGCACATCTTGGGGTCACAGCCATGTCCTGTTGCCTATTGCGGCTGCGCCACAGGAAGTGTCCGCCCTGTCATCAACATCAACAACCTGAAACTCTTCTCTTCTGTTCAACTCACACCTCACTCACATGTCGACTTGTTCTTGAAGGACCGACTGAATGGGGGTGAGTCTAAGTGTGGGGCCGACACCCAAAATACCAAAGCCCACCCCACACTTCCAAAAAAGGCAAGAGGCGGCCAATGTCCAATCTTTTCTCGTCAATTGTTCGATTGCTTTGGGAAGTCTCGTGCGGAATCGAGGGGTGAAGCCAACGTCTTTGATCGATTCAGGGATCTACCAGAGTCCGAACAAAGGGAGTTGGCATGCTTGGTTGAGTTGACACAGACACGCACCACGCACCATGGGACCCGACTGACAGGACCCGACCCACCAACCGTGCCGTGTTGGCAACTATGTGTGCGTCTATTTTCAGGTCCATCCAAGATCATCGCACTTGATTGGTGGGTCGTACTGTTACCGCATCGAGATGGATGACGGGTTAGCGCCACTGGAGTCAGATGTAAACCTCTAGAATCACTGACTATGTCAACACAACAAGCTTCTACAATCAGACTCTACTACTGTTTGATTCTGTAACCTTCAGAGTCATCGACCTATATGTATATATATGTTTGCTTGCTTGTTGTGTTGTTTGTCCCTGTCTAATTACTTGATCCTGTTTGGTTGAAGTTGAAGTTGATGTTGATTGATTGAACTAAATAGGGACAGGGATGCCCGTGCGTCTTGTAAGTGTGTTCAATCAATCAATCAACCAATCATGCTGTGCACCTAGGTTGGACATTAGAAGGTAATGGGGATATTGTACATGTACATGGACATGGACATGCCCCCACATGGCAAGGGTAAGGGTAAGGGTAAAGGGGAGTGCGTATGTGGCAGAGAGAGTGTATTATGTGATTATAATCCTGTAGTTGTTGTTTGATGGATAGATATACTGTTTACAAATCGTGGACATCTTGGATGGAGTTGGAGAGAGCGTTAAGTGCGCGGGCAATCTCATCTTGAGCTCCCAGCAACACTCCAACGTTGGCATCAGACTCTAGAAGAATTGAAACAATAATGTTGTTGACATTGAGGTGGAACAAGACCTTATCTCCAAAGTATGATACGATGCTCTTGTTCTTTCCATGACGAAGTTTGCTTGCCTATAATAATTGAGTAGTTAATGAATACATTTGATTGATTGATTGATTGATTGATTGAGTTCAATGATGTCGTGTGTCAGTCTATGTCTCGCTCGCACCGCTGTTAAGTGTCCCTTTGCAGCTGTAGCTGTATCCTGTTATGATATGTACCTGATCAGTTGCTAATGAGAATGTAGACAGCAAGGAGTTCTCGATAACCTTCTCTTCTGACGAACCATTAATGGCTGTATGATGTATGATTGTGTTGTCATTGTTGTGTTAGTATCGCCTCACATATAGTTCGATGCAGTTTGTCTGTCTCTTTGCCCGATGTTGTTGCTGCTGACGCTCTTGCGTTGTTGTTATTGTCTTTACCTTTTCCCAAGACGAAACCATCTCTGTCAGCAACGACAATTGATGCACCTGGGAATCTATTGTTGTCAAGATTGATTGATGGATGTATATTAGTCACCTGCAAGTCACTTGATTGATCATTCATTCATTCATCCATTCATTCATTCATTCATCATCATCATCACATACCTGTTAATTGTTTTCAAGCAGAAGTTGTTCAGATCCTGTCATTGATTGATTAAATGAAGTCGATTGATTGATTGATCGATCGAATGAATGAATGAAGTGTCATGTCGAGTTAGTATATAGCCTGCTGCTGTTGTATCATTCAATGCTGTACATACGCTCATTATGTATGTATGTATGTATGTATATGTTATATAAATAAAGTTTAGTTTTGTTTAAGTGATGATGACAACTCAACACAATATTATACACTCAATGTCATGAATCCCCAAAAAACAACGAAGAAGCATTGACTTGGAGAGACAACAACAACCATTCAACTTTTCTCTCTCTATCTCACGCTTCAAAAAAACACATAAAAAAAAGTGGAGACGATTTTTGTTGGTGAGGAAACAGTCTCTTCTTCCAACTCCTATTCCTTTTGATCTGGTGTGCAGGAACGTAATGAGTGGATGTGAGTAGTCACCACTTTGCGAATGACTCGACCAGGACTGGTTTGACACCCAGTCACGACTGACTGACGTCCCCCCTACTGGTTGTTGTTGTTGTTGGTAGTTCTAAGAGATATTGGCAACGTCATAGCTTATGCTAACAAATCAAACACAACATACGAACACATTCATTCATCCATTCATTCATTAATTCATTTCGATTGACTACGTCGCGACTACAAATATATAAACAATACACATCATCATGTCCAAGCAAGAGGCAGAGCAACTCATTGCCAAGTACTTTGATGAGTACCAGTCTGTCACTTTGCTAAGGAGTCAGTTGAATGAGACCTTGAAGAATGTATGAATATATGACCATTGTTAAGTCAATCAACCTTGAGCTTACTGACTCTGACAATGATTCAATCAATAGGGATACTTCATGCTGAGTAAGTCTAGGATGTCCATGGGTCTCAAGTCACTTGGACAACTCCAATATCCTCAGAACATCAAGCCTGGCTTCATGCTAAAGGGGTAGGTATCATGAATGATCGAGTGAATGGTTGAATGAATGATTGGACTAACATTGATGAATGATGATCAAGTGTACATGATGACCAAGATGCCTTGGAAACTGATATATATCAAGTACAGACACCACCGGCACCAAAGGAGGAGACAATATATACAATCGTTGAGAGTGATGAAGAGGACGATCAGAAGGATCCATTCCAACAATATTCAAGAAGTGGTGGCAGCAGTAATGGCAATGGAGGCAAACAACAACAACAACAACAGAAGAAGATTAGCAACAACAATGATGTGTCATCATCATCGTCATCATCACCGAGCAAGCAAAAGAGCGAACAACATACAAACAACAACAGTGGCAACACGAGCACGAGAAGAAGAAATGTGGGCAAAGGAGAGGAAGTCGATACCTCATCATCATCCACAAGCACATCAACATCCACTTCCACTGGCACAAGTACCTCACAATCAATGAGCCGCATCGAGAAGCTGTTACAGTCATCAACGATCACTGAGAGTCTGACAAGCAATGGTAGCAGTCGGCATGAGGACCGATCAGATGGAGATTTCGACGACTACTCTAGCGATGAGTCTGATAGCGACAATGACAACCAACGCATGGTATCAATGACCAACAAGGTCAAGCGAGAGAAGCAAAAGACTCTCAAGAAAGACCCCATCTATTGGTTCGGCTATCTCACTCCTGCCACTCTCAAGCAATCACAGACTCAGTTCAAACAAGGTATGTTTGTTGGAGTGGAACAGAGCATGGATCATTGACCATGGACGTGGATGGATGTTTTGGAACATGTTACTAACTTGCTGACTGGCGACCCTTACCCCAACCAAAGCTATTAACCTTTCGATTGAGATATCAAACAAGTTGGCGAGGATGGAGGAGATACAGAAGCGATACTTGGCTATCGAACATAAATAGATATGGCCCGCGCGCCAAAGGATCATCATTGAATGAACGAAAGCCATGTTGTAATATTTCCTTGGCACGGCCGGCCGGCAACAGGCTCCAACAAGGGTGTCGATTGATTGAATAAATCAACCCAAGCCCATTATCCAGCCTCTCTCACACATTACACACCGACTCTTTGATTGGAATGGTTCCATTATTTGATTGATGTTTATTTGATTGATAGAATATCGCGCCAGCGTTAATTCAAATGAGCTGGCATGGCGAATGGTTAGTGTTGGTGGATTAGTCCTTCTTGGGTGGAAGGATGGTGATTGGCTTGCGTAGTGCCTCTTCGATCATCATGCTACCTTCGCCAAACTTCTCGTGACTGTACCAGAAGACGGTGAAGTGCTCGTCGGCGCGGAATGAACCCTGGCAACGCTGGAAGTACCATGGGTTCAATGGGTTGTTGCCACGCGAGCGCCAGTACAGCTGGTCAATGTCACGTTGCAATATGCGCCAGATCAGGTCGCCCAGGCCCAAGCCCTGCGCCGACTTTTGCACGCAGAACTTGCACAGGTAGGGGATGTAGTCGGTCTCGCAGAACGTGATGATGGCGCAGCCGTTGTACTCGTCCTCGGCGGACACGCACAGGTACAGGCGGTAGAGGTTGTCCTTGAGGTACTCAAAGTAGTCCTCGGTGAGCGCGCGGCCAAAGCTGTCCTCGATGAGGATACGCAGACGCGCCTTGTCCACCTCGTGGAAGGTCGAGCGATCAAACACCAGCACCTTGTTCTCCTGGCGCCTCTTGATCACGGTGCCGTTGGCCAGACGTGGGAACAGCAGTTGATGCGAGATGGACTCGATCGAGGTGACGACCAGGGTTGTGGACGATGGCAGGTGGTCGACAATACGCTTCATCTGCTTGAGTTGCACGCGACGACGATCGGTCGTGTGCTCGGCTTCGATGAGGTGGCGGTAGTCCTCGTCGAGGTAGACCACGGGGATGGCCTTGTGGTCGACGTCGAGGATGCCTCCGTCGTTGCAGGCAAAGATGATCTTGTAGGGCTGGATACGCTTGGCCAGCTCAAAGGTGGTGACGTCTGAGTTAATGGGTATCTCCAGGCCGTCTGTGGTCTCGGCCACCGAGTCCCAGATGGGGATCTTGCCCTTCTCGAGCACCTGTGTGAGCAGCTCATAGTCGAACGAGTCGATCTTCATGTTGAGGCCGGCGTTGGGTAGGGTGTCCGAGCGGCCAAACTCCAGCTCCTCCTCGGAGAGCACCTCGATGTTGTCCGACACGATGGGCTCGATCTCGCAGATGTCGGGCGTGAGCACTGAGCTGCCCACGCCATTCTTCTTGATGGCTTCCTTGAGCAGCGCGGAACGCATACGACGCTCTTCGATCACCTGATCGTAGGGCAGGCGAGCAATGTCGTTGAGACCGCCGTGGATGACGACGGGCAACAAGCCAAACTTGAACATGAAGCACAGCGAGGCCGCAGCCTGCTCGATGCCGTTCTGTGTGTCGAGGATACGTCGACTGATCTTGACGATGGCGATCTTGCGCGTGGCGCCAGCTCCAAAGTTCTGGAGCCAGTTGCGCACGTCCTTGATGTCCTTGACCGAGCGCAAAAAGTCCTCAAACTCCTTGCGGCTCTGCTGGTTGGACTCGAACAGCATCTGGTCCTCGGATGTCTGCGCCAGGATCACCTCAGAGTTGACGCGACGGATCTCCGAGATGGAGCGGTGCTGCTGGCCGACCGTGTCCGATAAGACGCTAGCCGAGTCCGAGTGGATGCTGCGGGGCGATCCGCCGCATTGCTGCTCATCGCCGGATTGGGTGGTGGGCGACGAGACAGAGCTCACGGGCAGCGACGAAGCGCTAGTTAAGAGTGCGTTGGGTGTCTGGTAACTGTGGTCGTCGCACTCTTTCAGGTCAGTATCTGATGCTGACGAATGATGAAGATCAGCTTCTCCAGAGGGAGTAGCGCCGTTAAGCTGAAGTGTTGGGATATCGGTGCGGGGGGATGTTCGTTTCCTGGCGGCGGATGCTCCATCCAGGATAATAGAGTTGTCAGAGTCATCATAGTTCTTGTTGTCGTTGTCGTTGTCTTCTTCTTCCTCCTTCTTTGTTTGTTGTTGTTTTGATTGTTGTTGATGTTGTTGTTGTTGTCTTTGTCTTGAGAGCAAAGTCAAGTCCTCGGTCGATGATGACTTGCTTGAGATTGATAGATTACTCTTTGGTTTAAGAGCAGCCTTCTTCTTCTTTAACTTTCTCTTCTTCTACATTATGATTGAAGTTGTTAGTATGTCTATCATTTGTTGCCATTGTGTTTCCGTGTGTTTCCGTGTTTCCGTTTCCGTGTTTCCACGTGTTACCACACGCTACTCGCCAACCTTCCACTTGCCAAACTTACTTTAAGATTTGAATATGTTTGATCAGGATTGATCGTACGTCCTTTAGCCTTTAGCAATTCTAACTGAGTCCAGGCAAAGAATGTGAGTAGCCTCTCGATGAGGAAGCTGGGCAACAGGCCGATAACGATGACGAGTAACTTGTAAAAGAGTCCGGTGAGCGAGGAGTAGTCGAGGCTGTCCTCATCGGTGTCAGGCTTGGGTGGTGGATGGCTGGAGGAGATGGAGTGCGCGGCGGTGAGCGGGTGCAATTGCTTGTGGCGCGCCGAGTTGAGGATGTGGTGCGTGGCCTTGAGCTGGGGGATGTGCGGGAAGTGATGATGGCCGTGATGGCTGTGATGGTGATGAATGTGGTGGCTGCCTGAGCTACTTAGGTGGATGCGGCCGTGGCTGCTAGTGGTGGTGGAAGTATGGGTAGTAGTTGGGGTGCTACTGTTGCTGTTGCCTCCGCTACTGCTGCTGCTACTGCTGCTACTGCTGCTGGAGAGGGTTGGCGAGGAGGTGGCGGAGGTCGATGGAAGGGAGCTGGTAGTCGTGCTGATGTTGGTCGTCGTGGGTGAGTGTAGACTGTTGTTGTTGAAGTTTGGTTTGCCAGGGTGAGTGGAAGCAGTGTTCATCATGTGATGACTACAAGGATGATGTTGACGGGATGGGGTTGCGCGGAGGTGCGTTGATTCGCTACTACTCGATACTACTGCTGCTTGCTGCTGCTGTTGCTGCTATTGTTGTTGCTGGCTACTTCCAGGTGGTGATACAGGGTCGTAGTGATGACAGAGTCTACTCTGCTTGCTGCCGGGGTGCTCTCAGGCGCTTGTCTTTTAAGTGTCCACCACGAATGGGAATGGACACTGTCGCTGGACAAAGTAGTGCACAACCAAAATAGCTACCTTTGGTCTTTTGTAATAGTATACTAATATTGTTATGTTATAGATATTGATTGATTGATTGATTGATTGAGTGATTGAGAGAGAGATAAGAGTTAGTCTCCACCTGGGTATCAAAGGCGCCTTCCTTCATTCATTCATTCATTCTAACAACAACAACTGGCAACAACAAGAACAACAACAAGCTATTCATTCATTCAAACAATAATACCCATGCCATGCCATCAATATTACATTACATGTGTAATGTTATGTAATGTTACAACATGTTTGTTTGATTGAATGACATGGTGTTGGCATTGGCATTGGCGCAACAACAACCAAAGGTGTGAGATAGATTCATACTTTACGCCGCCACGCACGAGTGTGAAGTGGAAGTGTGAGATGGTGAGATGGTGAAAGAGTGTGTGGACGTGGACACGACGCTGATGACTTGTGGAGTGATCATCATGATCATAACAACGACTAGCCGACGAGTCAATGGTACCATTGTTATCCATTACATTATGGATGATGATTGATTGATCGTGGTCTTATTTATGACCAACCAACATATTTTCCAAAGGTAGATAGAGAGACAGAGGAATGAAAGAATGAATGAATGAAGGAAGTATTGTATCTGTTATAATTATTATTATTATTTACATACCTGATCGATGTGAGCAACTGGAACTATGTGAGAACAGTCGTTCAAGTGTAGGCACATCATCGGATTCATTCATTTATTCATGTGAGTGTACCAAACCAAAAACGTGAGTAGGTCATCAATCACAACATACTTCCCGCCTACCACTCTCGTTCACACACAATGGTGTTTGTGCCCAGCCAACTTGGATCACACTACTGATGGGCAGTCGTTCGTGCCCGCTACATAAAGAATGTTTGAAAAAAAAAAAATCACTGCCATTGGAGTGACTTCCAACACCCACAGGTCTCATCCTTCCTACCTTTCATTCATTCTTTTCTTTGTATCACCTGACTTTATCTCAATCTGTTTTGTTTGTTTGTTTGTTTGTTGGTGTAGGTCCACAGTCTGTCCAACTACTCATTCATTCATTCTTTCCACATGATACACCACACTAAATATACTTATAATCTCAATCAAGAGATGTCAACCAACCATAATTATCCAATTAGTCCAATCATTCAATCAATCAATGATAACCTGTATCCTATTCTTCATTTACTTATGTTTCAACGCATACTTGATGAATGAAAGAAGTTAATGTAAGTGAGTTACTGAGAACATTGCACATGTCGCACCATTGCTGGCATCCAGCAAAGGGTGTCGGCACTCTGAATGCCGCTTCCATGTTTATTACCGGTGGTGTTTTTGTTGGGGTAATTGGGAAAACGACAAAAGTGTCGGTTTTTTATCGGGTGTAGTAAAAAAAAAAAAAGATCTACAATATTATGGTTGGGTAATTAAGTACTTGGGCCTTGGAAGGGAGGTCCCTCCGACTCGTCATCGTTCACCACGTCTGTTTTACTCGTCTTTATGATGATCAGTATGAATGAGGTGAGACTGAGTCATTCATTTGATGAGAGTCATTCATTCATTTCAATTGAAATTAGATAATTATACAAATATATATACAGATACATATTATATTTCAGCAGACTTGTCATCAACAAACCCCCTCCGACTCAGTCTGACCGACACTAACTTACACGCGAGTCCCCGACACCCGAACGAAACATCAAATTTTTCAAACACAACTCCAACTCAAACCAAACACACACATTCGCGAAATCGACTCGACCCTTTCTCGCTTCACAAGCACTTACACTCAATACATTCATTCATTCATTCACATATATACATATATATATATATCACTATATCTATATATCTCAATAATATATATATAATACTAATAATAATAATAACAATAATATAATAATGGCAAAGGACGAATTGGAATACTTGTTCAATAATAATGAATCGGACGAACAATGCTTTGACGACGAGGAGTCTGACGAGCCAAAGGAGAAGTGTGGAGTGTTTGGTGTGTACGCACCAGAGTTGGACGTATCACGTATAACATTCTTTGCTTTGGTCGCCCTGCAGCATCGTGGCCAGGAGAGCTGTGGCATAGCCACCTACGATCAGCACTATTCCGTGCACGTCGAGACTGGCATGGGCCTCGTCAACCAGGTGTTCACAGAGGCCAACCTGAAGCCATTGAAGGGCCGCATGGCCGTCGGTCACACACGTTACTCAACCGCGGGCAAGTCCACCATCATCAACGCCCAGCCCGTCATTGTGCAGACGCTGCACGGACAGGTCGGCATCGTACAGAACGGCAACTTGACCACGGCGCAGTCGCTGCGCAAGGAGCTGCTCCAGGCCGGCGTCGGCTTCTTCAAGGACTCGGACGTCGAGATTATCACACAGCTGCTGGCTGCCAACCCGCCCACCGACGGCAACTCCTCCCCCCTGCCATTCGAGCCCAACAAGCCCAACTGGGAGGGCAGGATCAGCCACTTTATGAGCAAGTCAGAGGGTGCCTACTCGTTGTGTCTGATGACACCCAACGCACTATACGGTGTGCGCGACTTTAGAGGCCTGAGGCCACTGTGCATTGGCGCCATCGACGTGCCATCCAAGGACGACCCCACAAAGACCATCCCTCGCTACGTCCTCGCTTCAGAGTCGTGCGCCATCAACACCATTGGTGGCCGCTACATCCGTGAGGTGCGTCCCGGTGAGATCATCAAGATCGACGACAACGGAATCGACTCGTTCATGGGCCGCCAGCCCACCGAGATCCCCGCACACTGCATCTTTGAATACGTCTACTTTGCCCGTCCCGACACTCTGCTCGAGGACCAGCTCATCCACAGCGTTCGTCAACGCATGGGCGAGCAGCTGGCTCGCGAGGCCCCACCCCCCGCCTGCTCCGTCAAGGATCTCGAGACAATCGTCATCGGTGTGCCCGACTCATCGCTGCCCGCCGCCATCGGCTACGCCAAGCAGACTGGTCTGCCCTACACTGAGGGTCTCACCAAGAACCGTTATATCCACAGAACATTCATTCAGCCCACCGACCACCTCCGTCAGCAGGGCATCAAGCTCAAGTTCAACCCTCTCACCGAGAACATCAAGGGCAAGCGTGTCATCCTCATCGACGACTCCATTGTCCGTGGAAACACAATCAAGTATGTTGTTTGACAGATGATCACGAATGACAAGTTGACCATTCATCCACTAACTCAATCAATCAATCAATCACAAACAGGGCATTGATCAAGTTGATCAGAAGTGCTGGAGCAGTTGAGATTCATGTTAGAATCTCATCGCCACCAGTTCTGCATCCATGCTACATGGGCATCGACATGGCCACATACGAGCAGTTGATTGGATACAACAAGACACTGAAAGAGGTGTGCGACTACATTGGCGCCGAGTCCTTGGAGTACCTGAGCTACGATGGCATGGTGTCCGCCGTCACCTACGGCAAGAAGGACCGCCAGCACACCCCAATCCAGATCGAGGCCGCCCCCGAGCAGCAGCTGCAGACGCAGCAGGTGCCCGCCCCAGCGCCCCAGCACAGCGACACACAACCAACACAGCAGCCAGCGACCTGCGGCGGCAAGCTCAATGGCAGCATCAAAGCCAAGGACAACGGATACTGCAGCGCCTGTTTCACTGGAGAGTACCCAATAAAGGTGGACTTCTAAAGGTTGTTGTTGTTTATAATCATACCCATACATGCTCGCGCATTATTAGCTTTCGTCAGACGATGCAGTTGATCGCTCGTCCACTCGACTAGTCTTTTGTCGTTTGATTATCTTCTTATTGGGCGCCGCCACGACCACCTCCTGAGGCGTGGCTGGCTGCTTGGCCACGCGACCACGACCACGTCCCTTGGGCTTGGCCGTGGCCTGTGATGGTGTTTGAGGCGAGGGCGACTCTTCATTGACCACCTCCTCCTCGGACTCGTTCACTGGTGTCGTGGGATCTGATCGCATGGGTGTGGATCCAGCACGTGTCTTGCGTCCACGAATGATTGGTGAGGGCGCCACAGACGAGCGACTGCCTCGTAGTGATGCCACCGGGTTGGAGACCATCTCCTCGGTGAACACTATCTCCATCTCACGCTCAGCGTACTTGCGCATGGACACGGCGCAGTTGTAAATCTCAGAGTTGACCTCGTTGTACTCGCATGCATTGTTAAAGATGAGCATCAGGTCGTTGTTGAACTCGCCACAGTTCTGATAGCGACCCTCGTCCAGGTACTTCTTGAGCGTCGCCAAGTCCATGCGATGTTTGATCACACGGTCATAGTCAGGTGCTTCATCGCGTGTGATTGGATGGTCAAAGATTGGCGCGTAGCGATGTGAGTTGATCGACTTTAAGGCCTTGGCCAGCGACACCATTATCGTCTTGCGGAAGCGTTTGATGTCCTCCTCGCGACGCGCTTCCTCGTCCTCCACCGAGGACACTGGTGTGCTTGGTATCGACTGTGGTTCACTCTTTACCAATGGAGTCATTGGTGTCTTTATAATCGATGGTGAAGGCAGATGGTCCTCTGACTCACTTGCATGTGTTCCACTGAATGGTGTCGATGGTGTATCGTCATTAGACTCTCTAAGTGTCTTTATATCGTTCTGAAGTTGACTATGATGATGGTGGTGGATGGGTCAGTCGTCGGCCGGCCGGCAGTGTGTTGCCAACATCCATGTTGGTGTGACACATACTTTATATCTTGGTTTAATGTAACAATGTTCTTCTTTAGTTCATCTGTTAGACGTGAGCGTATTACACTCTCTATACTGTTGCCATTATCCGTCTCTTTTGCCAACAATGCCTGCATCCTATCATAGTATGAGTGACATTGCTAATCAATGTTTGAATGAGTTAGTATCCATTGATTGATTGAATGAATGAATGAATGAATGAATGAATGAATGATAGTATACCTTGCCATTTGTGATGTATTGTTTGATACGTTGTGATTGTGTATCTGATATGTATTGATGTGAGATGTCTTGGAATCGTTGAAGTTGATCGATGAACTCTTTATGTACATTGTCCCATTGACATTGTTGATCATTACTATTATCAGTATATCTAGATACAATATGAAGTAATAATATATTAACAATACATTGTGTTGTAAAGTCAACTATTATCCCATTATCTGTGAGTTCATCATCATCATCATTATCATCACCTTCCACTACTGTTGATGTTGTCTCTGTTGTTGATGTTGAAGTTGTAGTTGTTGTTGATGTTGTAGTTGTGTTGGTAACATCACTGTCATCATCTATCAACATTGGTTCTTCTACCGAGGTAGTTGTAGTTGTAGTTGTAGTTGTGGTTGGAGTGTTATCAACATCATCGGCATCAATCTGGTCTGTTGCCTCCTGTTCCTCTTCAACTCTATCACCATCATCATCATCATCCATACTTGGTGTTGTCATATCGATGATTATATTATTGTTTTTGTTATTTGTTTCATCCTCCATTATCTCATTTTCTCAATTGTCTTAATGCACTGCAAGTCAGTCAAATTGAATGTGAATTGAAGGAATGATGTTCAATCAAACATATACACATACACATACAAGCAATGAATGAATAATGAATGATAAGATAGGATGAGGTTATTGGGCCATCCAATCCACCATTCAATTCAACCAATAATACAATACTTCTAGGTATTGATGTTGATGATGTACCCGACAAACTTACCATCCTTTCCTATTCAATGCCATTCATTTACAATAAACATAATAAGCCGATTGTTTGTATGATTAGGCGCAAATCGGCAGTCAACAGTTGACCCTTCGAGCCTCGTGTGTGAATGTGACCCTCCCCCTATCCTCGAGGTGAAACCACCACAACAGTGTGTTGTTCCGTTTAACTAAAAAATCTTAAATATCCACTTCACTTGAATGAACTCAACAACAACCAACAACAAGGTGGCTGACCATCCATCCAACCAACTTTCACTCATTCATTCATTCAATCCATTCATCTCACTCATTGTCACTCACTCTGAACTCGGAACCCACCAAACAAATACATACATGTACAATATTATTATTTATTGACTTATACATTAATATATATATATTTATTTATTATACTATTTATTTATTTAAACGAACGAACGATTAATCAATCGTCTCTCATGAAAGAACAAAATGGATAGGATCGACCAACCAACAACAGCAACAAGCAGTAATGCTCTAAACATGAACAATAACAATAGCAATAACTTATTATCGTCATCACCTCCATTATTATGTATAAAGATAAACAATGTGCGTAATTGTAAAGCGCTCAATGGTACTTCGGATGGCGCATTGGTATGCGTGATCAATGTCGAGGGCACAGACTATCATCCAATCGACTTGATACTCCGTCGACCAAAGTCAGACACAGGCCTTCAAAAGAACTCCTTTGTATTCCAATTGCCACAACAGTTCACTCACTTTGAGATGTCCTTCAAAAAGAAATCACACAAGGAGGTTGATGCAGCCGCCTCCTCGTCCTCAACTCCCTCAACATCATCACCCAAACTTGGTGGACAAAGTGCACCGGTTATTGCAAAGACTAATGTACAATTACAATATTCAACGCTGCCTTATAATGTGGCTCAGATGCTGCCACGTCGTGCATCACATCAATCATTTAACGCTGGATCACCATCATCGAGTCCATCATTATCCTCGTCGGGATCGATGCCAATGTACGTCGGCACAGTGTCCCCGGCGCACTCTGGCGTCACTGGCGGCATCACAATCATAAAGAGACCTGGTGGCTCACCCTCGTCCACAGCAGCATCTCCAAATGGCCATGGCCATTCTGGCTCGCCTCAATTCAATGTACCACCATACTCACTGTCAGGCTCGCCCAAAACTGAGCGATCACCTCGTCATGGCTCACCGTCGATGGTGCCAATCAATCAATCCACTTCAATGTCCTCGCCGGCACTGGCCACCGAGCTGGAGGAGACGAGGATCGAGTCGAGTCTCCGATGGTACAAGCTCAACATGTACGAGAATGGACAACCCCTGGACCTTCAGCAGCAGCTACAACATCAATATCATTATGGACACAGCGAGAGCGAGCTGACGTTCACGTCTAACGAGCCCGAGGTACAGCTCAAGATCTCATACGAAAACTCCAACGTTCCAGCACTCGTGCGCATGAAGTCACTGCACCGCGAGCTGCTCGACATGGTGGTGACATCCAAGCTGCAGCTGGTCAATGCTTGCTGCTCGATCGTAGACATCACCGCGGCACAGATGATGGCCAAGTCTCTTGTGGACATCTTCCACTCGCATCACAAGCTGCTGCACCTGCTCAAGTACTTCCTCAAGAAGGAGGTGGACAGCTGCCACGACCCCAATACACTGTTCCGCTCCAACAGTGTCGCCATGAAGATGGTGGTGGCATACGGCCACAAGACTGGCCAGCACTACCTCGCACAGACACTGACACCGCTGGTCGTGGAGCTTTGCGGCTCACAACTCTCGTTCGAGGTGGACCCCCAGCGCCTGCAGCCCGACGAGGACGTCACATCCAACATCCAGAATCTAAAGATCTTTGCACAAAAGTTCTTTGATCGCATCGTACAGTCGATCGACCAGTGCCCCAAGTCCATCGTGGAGATATGCTACTACTTCAAGAAGATCGTCAGTCGCAAGTTCCCCAACCACTGGCGCTCGGCCATTGGCGGCTTCATCTTCTTGCGTCTCTTCTGTCCGGCGTGCGTGTCACCAGAGAACGCCAACATCATCTCACCAGGTCGGGTGGGCATCACGGAGCGTCGCGCCTTGGTGCACGTGGCCAAGTGTCTCCAGAACCTGTCCAATCTGGTCACCTTCAACCAGCCATACATGGAGCCAGTCAACGATTTCATCGTGTCTAACGCACATATTCTGGAGGAGTTCTTCTTGCAGCTTGCGTCGAGGCCCACCGAGGACCAGACCATCGATGGTATGATGGTGTCGGAGGAGTCTCTACAAGAGGCCATCGTATACATGCAGTTGTTCCTCGATCGAAACCAAGCTCGAGTGCTACAGACCCTTGCAGAGAATGGCTGCCAGGGATTGTACTCGGCAGACAGACTACAGAGCGCGATTGATGCGTCCAAGCGCTCAGTGCTCACTGTCAATCAGCTGGCGCTGCTCTCAAAGTATCGCTCAAACTCGGCTGGCTCCAACGGTTCGGCACGCGTCGAGTTGAAAAAGTCGAGGTCCAACTCTGAGATCAAGGAGCCGCCCATCAAGTGGCAGACCACCCTGTCCAAGAACCTGCGACTCGCCAAGCAGACTGTAATAACACCAACACTCAATGTAATTTCTAATATCCCCAATGGCAACAAAGAGGAAGAAGTAGTATGTATCTGAACATTGGACACGCGAGATCAATCACAAACTTACCAACCTACCAATCAACCCCGCCCTCACCAACAGATCCTCAACACAGACAGTGAATGGAGGGATGAACCACGACCTGCACATGTTGTGGCCATTCAACTCTTGCGAAACATTGTCAACATTTGTAAGAATAATAGACTTCCTGATCAGCAGCTGAACATCCAGCCACTCAACTGGGCACAGGTTCAACAATCACCAGAGTTTGCAGCGTTTGCACGTGATGTTGCCGAGCTCCAATCAATCACATTCGATTCAATGCAACCAGACTACTTGGCGGCATTCTTCATCAATGTGTTCAATGTGCTCACGTTGCATCTGCACTTTGTGCTGGGCCCACCCAACACTGAGGTGCGTCGCAAGGCCTACTCGATCCACAAGTACAACATTGGTGGTAACTTGTTCTCGCTGTGCGACATCCAGCACGGCATCCTGCGCGGCAATCCCAAGAACAGCATCACTCGCACCCGCCAGATCAGAGGCGGCGACGTGCGTCGCCAGTTCATCCTGCCACTGGACCCTCGATACCACTTTGCCCTGTGCGCGGTCAATGTTGCGCTACCCTGTCTGCGCATTCTAAGCAACGAGCGACTGCTAGAAGACCTGCACAAGTGTGGCGAGGAGTTTTGCAGCAGCAAGATCGACATCTGCACCAAGAAGAAGGAGATCAGTCTGCCGCGCCTGTTCTCGCAGTACGCCACCGACTTTGGCAAGAGTCGCTCCGAGATGCTCAAGTACCTGTTCCAATTCCTGACGATGGCCAAGCGCAACGACCTGCTTGACACGATGGAGAAGCCCTCCTACCTGTGCCTGTACCGTGGCGAGAGCTGGACGCCCATCACCAACAAGACCAAGCTGATCGACTTTGAAGACGAGGCCGAGCGCGAGCTCGAGGAGCGAAAGCTAAGCGAACGTGAGAAGATCCTGCGTCGCAAGTCGCGATCATTGACACACGGCAACAAGATGACACCCATCGGTGCCAAGAAGGACTCGACTGCATCCACACTGATCAACTCGCTAAAGTCCAACGCACTCGAGTCATCCAATCGTATAGTTGGCGTGCTCAACAGTGTGGTGACGAGCATGCAGGACACTTTGGACATTCACTACGTGTCCAGTGTCATTGAGGTCTTGAAGCAGATTACCAAGAACCTGTCGTTCAACGAATGGCAAAAGGGAGCCGCCAGCTTCATGGGTAGCGGAGGACATGCTCATTCGAACGACACCAAGCCATCGCTCACGATCAAGGCACAGATACAACTATTCAGTAGCCTTCAACAGCATTGCCTGTCGCCTACCCTTCTCACGTCGTACTCACCAGTGTTCCAAGAGCTCTACTCTTTGACATTGTCGATCGAGAAGGAGATGAGCAAGTTCCTCGAGTTCATGGACATTGCCTCATTCTCCCAATCCAACGACATCAACGAGCTATTGTCAGATGCGGCTGAACAGATCAGAGAACTAACAACTGGCAAGCTAAAGGAATCGTTGGCCAACACCACGGAGGCACTACATCTCACGCTCATCTACTTTAGTGCAACACTTGGTGCCAAGACCTCGGCCATGATCAAGTCACCAGGCACCTGTACACCATTGGAAGAGCAAACATTATCAATGGTATGCAAGGAGTTACAAAACTATGATGGCATTGGCAACAACAACAGCAACAGCAACAACAGCAACAAGGCAATGTTGATGAAGCGTGACTCTGAGTTGATCAACAACAAACTTGCAGAGCTTTTGGATCATGTCAAGCAGTGCAAGACTCGTGACCAACTATTGAGTCTCATTCCCAGGATTGAAAGGATTGGCAAGCTTGTCTACACTCTCGAGGAGCAAACAGTTGGCAGATACTCTCCAAGACAATCACCAAGATAATTCGATCAATCATTCATTCAATCATTCAATCATTTATTTATCCATTCAACAAATAATCCTGTACCAATAATAATCTTATTTTCCTTCTTCTGGAACACCATCTTTAATATTTTTATTAATAATAATTTCCAACTAATGAATGGTGTTGGTGTTGATGATGTCCTCACTCATACATGTGCCCAGCAAGATCTGATCGCCTTCCAACTATCTTCTGGAACAATGATTTATTGAAAGATAAAGATCCAAGACCTGGATTGAATGAACAAATACTATATGAACACTTGATCTCTCCCCTGGATTTTAAATCTAAAGGACACAGTACAATTAATTTCTACCGATTTCATCACCTTTAATATAATTAACAAATTAACTAACTATTTTTTTTATTATTAAATAAATAAATTTAAAAACAGAACTCATCTAACTCATTCACTTAATAAAACAAAATAAACCAGAAGCAAGCACTTATCACTTATCCAATCCATATCATATAATTATATAATAAATATAATACGTTATACATTAAATTATTATTAAACGTCACATCACATACATCACATCGTCTCGTCTCGAACCTCGAATGTTTGTTTGATTTATTTATTATTTTTTTTATTTTTTTCATTCACCTCCTCAACATTCAACACAACTACTCTTGTTTATTGTTTATTGCTTACAACAGACACAACACAACAGACACAAACACAACAAACAACAAAAATGTTTTTATCTATACCAACTATTATTCTTGTTCATGTAGCATCTCATTTGGAAGCATTGGACGTAATCTGTATGATACTCAGTTGCAGATCATTATTCAAACTACGGCCAATCATTGCCAAGTTTGCTCCGTTTCTGCTTCCAATGCCTTACTCTCGGCCTCTGCTTGAAGCATATACCAACTTATGGTGCCAAGAATCTTCGCTTCGAGTTCGAGAATTGAAGAGAAAAAGAGCAAGAGCACTACCATTCTTTCTCTATCCTGATCGGGAAAATGGTAAGGGTACAGCAGATGCAGAGGAGGCACAATATCGTTATCGCCTCCACGAACAACGTTACTGCAAGAAACCAACAATAGGCTACATCCCACCGCCACTTACCTTGCCAAAAGATAGAGCCATCAAAAGTCTTTCATTTTGGTTCGAGAGTCCATCCGACTTCGAGGTCACTTTCCCAACAACACTTCGAAACATCAATGTTTCTTACAGGCCAACAGTGCCAATAACTTTACCTACTCCTTTAGACTATTCGTCGCTACACTCGCTGTCTTTCTTGAAGTCACTCTATTCCCTATCCAAACTCTCACTTAGTTTCTATCCACACACACTGGAGACATTGGATATTCCCAAATCAATTACACAACTCACACTCAACGATTGCACAATTTCTGTCGATTCAATTCCACTTTCTGTAACGATTCTGACCTTCAGTAGATTCAAGCAAACATTGGTGCCAGGAATCATCCCAAAATCTGTCACGACACTCACTTTCAACTCTTTCTTTCAACATGTTCCACCTGGCATCATCCCCTCGTCTGTGAACTCTCTCTCATTTCGCCACGATGGTGACATAATTAGAAACGGTGCCAAATTTGTTGTTGGCAGTCTTCCATCCTCACTCAAATCTTTGCATTTTAGATACACTCAGAACTTCCAACTTGGTATTATTCCTGACACTCTTGAGGATCTGTTTATAGATATTTACAACCAGGAAACAACTCTGCAACCCGGATTTCTTCCACAACACCTCAATCGTCTTTCACTGTGCGTCCAAAATATTTTCATCGCTCCTGGTGCAATTGCAGATTCTGTCACTGAATTGGTCGACCGAACTGGGGGTTCTCTTAATCACCCATCACAACTACCACCATATCTGCGATTCCTTTCGTACAACATCATGGACAGTAATCCAGTGGAGCAGTTGACAGAATGGCACTGGCACATTACTTCTCACTGTTTATTTTTGCAGAAGCTCTGGATCCACAATATCAAGAAAGCAAACACCTTTCCTCGTGGAACACTCCCTCTGACATTAACAACACTTTTTCTGGAATTTAACTGTAGCGAACATGAACAACTTAACATTGAAAACTATTACATTCCAAATTCGGTCACCGACCTGACATTAAGTCTCTGGCACATTCCTTTTGGCTTCATCCCAAACTCTGTCGTTGCTCTTAATTTACGCACGTTTGGCACAGATCTGTGTGGGTTACTGCCTGAGTCATTGGAATCCTTGACGTACTTCGACCCATGGTTAGAAACGCCCCGTATCAAGTCGGTTTCACCAGCTGCAGTCCCATCTCATCTATCTAATCTTGTTCTTGGTTCGATATCAGCATTGGACTTGAGCGTACATTCCTATCCATCATCGATCAAATATGTTACTATTCTTCGAAGCAGCAATTTTATCTCTCTAAAGTCATTACTCAGAATATTTTCAATTGGAACTTTCATTGAGTACCATTATCAAATCCCAGACAACGATATTCTCCTCTTCTTTCGTATAATTGACAAAAACACTGCGATCATGCAATCCCACCAGTTGACTGGTGGCTTCTTTTCGATATAACTCTGTCTGATTTTAACTTCAACGCACCTGGATCTCCAAGAAGTTTCATGGGTCAAAGCTATAAAGATTTAAGATATAAGAAAGATATAAGATACATTACACATTACATTACATACATACAGCAGCAGTCCGACCGACCGAATATTGTCAATAAGAATTGACAATATATAAATTTAACTTTGTTACATACATACATATTATGTTAATGAATGTTAATAATATTTTTTACCATTATTTTGTTTATTAATAATATGTTTCAGCTTCTTCATAATTATGGTTAATTTTTAATATACCATACATACACAATATCAATATATGTTAATCTAACTCTCTCATTCACACAATTCTGATAAGGTGACAATTTGGAAACTTTGAGGTTGAAGTCAGGATAAAATATCATGATCCATTTTAAACTATTTATCACTGTCCAGCTCTCAATCAAACATATAAACATATAAGTTAAGTATGGACTCATCACATAATAATAATAATAATAATGTACTTTATAACTTGTTTAGACAGGTTATGTTCCAAGGTGTGGTCACCAAACGTAGAGTGTTCACATTGATCAAGGATATACATTGTAAACAACAAACTGCAACGATTCAATGGAGTAATGTAGGAACTTTGCTCGATTGTGCCAAGTTCCACATGAATGATCGTTATATCCAACACTTTGAATCGATGTATGTCCGTAACAAACATGGCATTGAACAGATCAACAAGACCATATGTAAAGAAATGGAGTACTTTAGAGTGATGGTATCATCCAAAGATAACCCGTACGTATGTTACTTGGTGTTAGTTACCATTCAACTTAAGACTAACTTATACATAACATATAGATTGATGCACACATTGTCAAAGTCTATCGAGTACTTCCTCAAATATAATGAGCACGTGACACTCAAGTACTTGCTCCAAGCACTGATGACTGCACATGCACCTGTCACGTCCACTCAGTGCATTGAGTTCGTCAATAGAATGCTAAGATCTACTTCGAATCAAGGTCCAATGATGAGTAGACCAATGATCAACATGCTCAGAGAGTTATCATTTGAAGTTATCCCAACTATCTTTAGACAGTATATGATGTTGTCATGTCTGCGTCTTGGTGACATTGATTTACTAACCAGCATGGTGTTGGACTTGGATGACAAACAGAGGATTGAGATGATACCCGGCATGTTCAACAATGCGATTGAGAAGATGGACCTCTTCAAGGAACAGCCCCCACATGTCATCATGCAGTTGCTCACACTGTTGGAACCTATACAATCATTCAGGGATGGATGCTCAAGGTACATTGACATCTTGCTCAAGCATGGCAGAGACGACGTTGTACTTCAATTCTGTCACCTGTATGGCGATGAATGGTACTATCATCTGAATCACTTTCACAACTCAATGTCGTCACATGCCAGTGAGCACTTACTTCAACAACTCAACTATCAGTGGACGCCTCTCTTTGGCAAGTTCAGGCTCGATAGCTCCAATCTGGCCTTCCTCAAACTGGTGCGTGATGAAGTACATGGGCGCGTGTTCTTTGACTATCCCCTAGGCGAGCCAGTCACAATCAGCAACAATATGTTGTCCGAGGCGTTGATGAGGGGCGATGTTGAATGTGCAAGATACATGATCGAGAACTTTGGAAAGTGTCACATGCACCTGAATAACTATCGATGGATTGTGCGAGACATGCTTTTGACAGATGATGTCCTTCAAACAATGGACTTGCTGATGGCCAACATTGACACTGTGGAATGCTCATTCACCAACCTTGCATATCGAGCCATCAGTGAGAAACGAACAGATGTCATTGATCGACTGATTAAATACGTTGCTGACCAGACTAATCCAGACTTGGACGACTTAGTTCAAAGATTCATCACGAATCATGTGAACTCCCAAGCATCAAGAACACCTATCACGCTTAAGGCCGTTGTCAATGATCCATTCAATCAAGACAAGATTGAATGTTCACTATGGCACTCAATCAACAAGATGGACATTAATCACATTGATCGCTTATTACAATCTGAGAAGCACTTGGGAAGACCTGATGCGGTCTCTGGCAAGTTCTTAAGAACAGACATCATTGTATACTTTGCCGATGATAAGAATCTTCCTTACATCATTGGCATGTCTGGAGATGACTTCAACAACATATGGACACGAATGGACGATAATGTTATATCTGATCCAAGAGTACATCAATTGATCGCACCAACTACCAATATATTTATCATCAACATCCATATCATTCAACACATTCTGGATCATTATCTGAGCAGTGATAATAATCCCATGATAAATCCACCATCCATTGGCTTGGCAATCAAAATGATGGAGCAACACCCTTCATGTATCTCATCATTCCAAGACTTGTTGGACTTATTCTCAATCAACCCAATCAATACCAAGTGGCAAAAGTACAACAACATTATTATGCCCTACAACTACTACGAGCGTACTAATTACTTTAGGTATGCTTATGAACATGGACACCTAATCAATGCAAAGTATTATCTTTAATTAGATGTTTATTCAATAAATAAGGTTTGGGTGTTGATGTGATGTGATTGTGTTTGGTTGAGGTTGGCCTGGCTGGTCTGCTGGTTGGCTGGCTATTTGTTTGATTGCTTATGATGAGCCGGTTCCAAGCATTGATGGACCAAGCGACATGCGTGCATTCTCCATGAACTTCTTCTCTTGGGAGTCGACCAGCTTGACGGCATGGATTGGTGTGGGCGTGGGCATACTGACAGTCTGAACTACCTCGTTGGCCATCTGTCTGGAGCTGTCGCTCGTCTGGACCGTGGTGAACAAGGGCACGGCGGTCTGTCTGACGATGGGTGCATTGGTGGACAACATGTCAATCGACTCGACGGGCACGTATGTAGCCGATGATGTAGAGGCAGGTGGCGCCTCTACAACTGGCGCTGTGACGACAACCTTCTCGGTGACGATGGTGGTTGGTGCGGCAATCTTGGTGACCCTGGCAACGGGCACTGGCACTCTGGTCTTACCGGCGATGGTACGGAAGATGGAGCTGGTGGCCGATGTAGTGCCCTTGTTGACGACGATGATCTTCTTGGCGTTGGCACGCTGGGCCTGGAGCTTGGCCATTCTGACGCCAGCCTTTCTCTTTGCCTCAGTGTACTTGGCGTATGCCTTGTAGTCATATTTGGTCATAATCTCTGCCAAGTTCTCGGCGACTGCCTTCTCGATGGCCTTCTTGACAGCGTTACGAGCGAACAAGTTGAACATCTTGTATAGAATACTATGCTTGCAGTTGTACAGCTTGATGCCTGTTATTGATTGATTGGTTTAGGGACAGTGTGTGAGTAACAATGGATAGGGTATGGATCGGCATATGATGATCAACTTACTCAAGCTGTCAATGTAGCAGTATGAATCGAGGACTTGGACGAACTTCTGGTATCCCTCACCAAGTACTCTGACTGTGGCTCCAACTCTGGCACCTCTCTTGTCCAAACGAATGTCGGCCAAACCACCATCCTTGATTGATGGGAAACCAAACTTCTGGAAAGCCCATGGCATCTTATCAATACGAGCATTGATCGATGTCCTAATAATTTGAATGATTGATTGTTAGTAAGTGATTGATTGAATGGTTGAATGAATGAGTGAGTGATGGAACTTACAATTCAACCCAGATGACAGTGTCTGGATCAATCACATTGAGTGTGTATGGGTCTGTGTTGAACTTGTGCGAGACTTCCATATGAATGTTCTCTGGCAAGAGCTCGACGGAACAGAGGTTGATGGCACCAATCTTGTAGGCAATCTTTCCATCTGGTGTGGCACCGCTCTGGCCTGGCACTGTGATGGTTCTGAACTCCTCGAGGAGGAAGGGCACTGTGAACAGCTTGATCTGCTCCAGCAGCTGGAGATCCACGGGCATCTTGCCTGGGGCCGTCTGGAAGTTGTTGCTGAACTCCTTAAGGTTGTTGTAGAAGCTGCGGTTGAGTGGGTCGTTCTGGATGGCGCCACGCAACACATCACCCTCCTTGATGAAGTTCTGGAGTGATGGCGTGTTCCTGGACTCAACGATGATCTTCTCACCGCGGTTGTACATCTCGCGCACGACGTTTCTGTACGAGGGGTCCTCGAACAAGCTTGGGTTGGCAGACACCTCGGCCAAGAGACCGCGCAGGTCGGAGAAGTACTTCTCGTATACTGGATTCTTGCGCATGTCTTCAATGGTGACGTTGCCGTGGGTGAAGAAACGGTCGACACTGGCAGAGCCGTTGGGGTCACTGATCAGTGAGCGCACCAGACTCTTGAGGTTGCTGTTCATGCTGAGCAAGTTGGTGTTCTTGGAGTAGGCCTCGAGCTTGGGTGCGGCCACATTGCTGAACTCATACCTCTCGGTCTCGACGAGATCCGTAGCAAAGGTACGTGTGTGTGAGACGAGGTGGCGGTAGGCGGGGTTGGATGCCAGAGCACCGAATGTCTTGAAGAACAGGTCGAACACGAGCTCACGCTGTGCGTCGATGCCTGGGTTGTGGCGATCCAGGATGATCATGTGCAGGAACTTGGTACCCTCTGACATGAGGCTGAGGATGGAGTCCGAGCGACGGAGACCGGTGAACAGCTCCTTGGTGTCTGAGCGGATGCTCTTGCTGCCTCTACCGGTGGCCAGCTTGGAGAAGGTTGATTGCCAGGTCATCAGCATGGTCTTGAGGTCGTTGTCGCTGGACAGGTCACCCTTGAACATCATGGCGTCCTCAAACAAGTTGATGAACTGCTTGTCGGTACCACGTGTCTCCACCATGACGATGGCGTCACCGAGCACGTTGCGGAGGTCGAACAAGATCTTTCTTGTGCGGTTGTCAGCACGCTCACGGAAGATCTGAGTGTCCATGAGACGTGTGAGCGAGTTGTAATGGCGCTTGAGCTGGATGTTGAATGGCGCGTTGACACTGGCGGCGGTCAGGGGCAGTCCGTCTGGGCCGAGCAGGGGTGCGTCCATGAGCACGCCACCTGGGACGTTGCTCCAGAGTGCCTTCTCGACGGCTGGGTTGATCTTGCCGGCGAGACTGCGACGAAGGTTGCCGTCGTAGTTTGGACCGACGGCCGAGCTCATACGTTGCTGTGGGCCAATGTACTCGGTTGGTCCCAGACTGTAGTCTTGAAGGTATTCCTCGCGTGAATAGACGTCCTTGCCACCCTTCTTTGGGTGCATGACCGACCTATCCGAGTAGTATGGGTCGATGACGCCATTCTTACTCTTCTTCTTGATAATAGGGCGCACAGGTGTTGCAGCATCAATGACCCTTTGGTCATCGACATGTACTGGTGTAATCTTTGTTCTCATTGTCTGTTGGGATTGAATAAATGAATGAAGGAGAGTGAGTGAGTCAGTGTGTGCCTGGAAGGTGTGAGGGTTGGAAAGTTCGCGAACCCTTGCCCTCTCAGACATACCCTCGCACATTTTTAATGTGAGGGGTATGAATGAACTTACCTGTTGATGTCAAGATCAATGATTGTTAACTAGACAATGGTTATGGTATAGATAGACTAATAATATAATAATAATCCAAAGTAATGTAGTAGTACTAAACTATAAGTTATATAATGATAAAGGTGAGGTGAAGTGAAGTGAAGTTGTGTTTGTTTGTTATTGGTATAATGGATTGTTGTTATAAGTTAACTATTGGTTTGGGAGTGAGTAGGAATGAATGGAATGGACTGTGGACCGACCAAGCAATGACTGTCATACCCACATTCGTGTGGTATCCATTGGTATGATGTCAGTCGTGGTGAGTGTGAATGAGTATGATTATACAGATAGAGATACACCATCGTATATGTTATATATGTGTATACGAGTAATGTCAACCTTATCAGGACACCAAGACGAATGAATGTTTGGCTGCATCACCCACACCCACAACACACCACACACATATCTGGATGTCCGATGATGACGATGAATCTCAATCGATTTACGTATCTGTACTAAATGAGTATAACACACATTGTGTGTGTGTGTATGTTTAATTATTTGTGTGTTATTATATGTTTGTTGTACAACATAGAGATAGGGAAGTTCAATGAACTAAAGTGTTCATAAATGAGCCCATTCACTCTTATCATCATTGTTGTTCCCAATTAATGATGAACGATCACTTTCATTCCCCCAATGATGATAAGCTATCAGAGTTGGAAATTTCGAATGGAATGTGTGTTCCCATTCGATCATCACATTTTTGATTTAATTTAATTAAATTGAATTTTTAAAGGATATTTTGGGAAGTCTAGGTCAAAGCACTCGGTTGTGTGTATTTGGATCAGGTTCAGTCAGGTGGCGACCTGGACCACCACTGGTCCTACTCTTTTGCAAATCATTCGTCTTCAAGTTCACTTTATCACTTTACCCAAATACTAACTTATCTCTTCTCTAACTAACTAATAAATATATAAAATGTACGTTCCATCAAAGTGCACCTGGTCAGTCGGCTCCACCGAGCCAAACCCACACGCCACCATCACGTAAGTACAACGTTACCAACCAGGCAGATGCAGCAACAGGACATCATAGGGTGAGGGGAAGAAGCCCACCGGGAGGGGAGGATTGAGAGCGAAGGGGGACTGTTGATTGATTATGGGATGAGTGATTGATTGATTGATTGATCATCATACACACACACTCACACACGATCACTCACTCACCTACAAACGATCAATCATTCATCAATCAGTAAGAGTGCTGGACCACCAAAGATCTTCAACAACATCCTCGAGCAGATTGGAAACACTCCATTGGTTAGAATTAACAATGTTTCAAAGGGATTGAAGTGCGAGCTCTGTAAGATATCATCATCATCATCACCATCACACTCGAGGCCTTGAGGGCCAGGCCCAAAGGGTCCACACATACAGGTCCCTAACACAATCAATCAATCAATCAATCAAATGACATATAGTGGCCAAGTGCGAGTTCTTTAACGCTGGTGGATCTGTAAAGGATCGTATTGGATACCGTATGGTTGTTGATGCTGAGAAGAGTGGACGTATTAAACCAGGTGACACATTGATTGAACCAACATCTGGTAACACTGGTATTGGTCTGGCTTTGGCCGCCGCCATCAAGGGCTACAAGATGATCATCACCCTGCCAGAGAAGATGTCGCAGGAGAAGGTCGACGTGCTCAAGGCTCTGGGTGCCACCATCATCCGTACACCAACCGAGGCTGCCTTCGACTCACCGGAGTCTCACATTGGTGTGGCCAAGAAGCTCAACGCCGAGATTCCAAACTCGCACATCCTCGACCAGTACGCCAACCCATCCAACCCATTGGCTCACTACGACGGCACTGCTGAGGAGATCATCGAGCAGTGTGAGGGCAAGATCGACATGATCGTCTGCACAGCCGGTACCGGTGGCACGATCAGCGGCATTGCTCGCAAGATCAAGGAGCGTCTGCCAAACTGCAAGGTCGTTGGTGTCGACCCAGTCGGCTCCATCCTCGCCCAGCCCGAGTCGCTCAACGGCAAGATCACCTCGTACAAGATCGAGGGCATTGGCTACGACTTCATCCCCATCGTGCTGGACCGCAGCACTGTCGACTCATGGATCAAGTCCGAGGACTCAGAGTCCTTCATCATGGCTCGTCGTCTCATCAAGGAGGAGGGTCTGCTTTGTGGAGGCTCATCCGGTTCCGCCATGGTTGGCGCCATCAAGGCTGCCGCTGAGCTCGGCGAGGGCCAGCGCTGCGTCGTCCTGTTGGCCGACTCGATCAGAAACTACATGTCCAAGCACTTGAACGACGACTGGATGGTTGACAACGGATTCGTCAACCCAGTCTACCCATCATACAAGGCCACCGAGGAGGAGAAGTTCCACGGTGCCACCGTCGCCGATCTCCACCTCCCCAAGCCCATCACCGTCACTGCCAACACCTCGTGCAAGGCTGCCGTCGAGATGCTCCAGCAGCACGGCTTTGACCAGCTGCCCGTCGTCTCGGAGACCAAGAAGATCGTCGGTCTCGTCACCCTCGGCAACCTGCTGTCGCACTCGACCTCGAAGCGCTCCATGCCAAACGACCCGGTCAGCAAGGTGATGTTCCGCTTCCACACCAGCCAGGAGTTCATCCCCATCACCAACCAGACCTCGCTCGCTTCGCTCCAGAAGTTCTTTGAGGCCCACAGCTCTGCCGTCGTCACCGAGGGAGACGAGATCGTCTCTGTCGTCACCAAGATTGATCTCCTCACCTATCTGATGAAGACCCAGCTCTAAGTTATATTAATTTAATTAAATAAAATAAAACTACCTTCCAAAGGGAAATCGGTAAATATGGTATACTATTATTCTTCAGGAAAGGGAAGGGAGGGGAATTATTCCAATCAGACATTGATTACAACAAAAGGATATACTGGATGGAGGTTGAGTTGATCAGAGATTGGCCAGAGTATTGTGCTGGATAATATTACATTGAAGAAATTGCAATTGCTAGAGGAAGAGAAGAGAAGAGGTTGAAGTGACATTATTATCTCTCTCTGGAACAAGACCCTGAGCCTCTTTGCAATCGGGTCGTCTGAATGGAAGGTACTTTTGAATGGATACCCTTGGATTTCAGATTGGTACTTTGTTTCAAGTACAGGACAATCATCTAGTAGTGTCATATTCAGTTCATCTATTCCAAGTGTGATGAATATTCTCTTTGCTCCAACTTGATGTTTAAATTGATTTGATTGTCTTATATATCCTTCAATGATATAGAAGCATTCATTGATTGAATATATTGAAGCATACCTGGTCCGAATCTATCATCAATAATTGACAAGAACTTATCATAGTTCCTTGTCTGATGAGCAAAGAATTGATAGAGTATGGTTTCCATTCTCCATGTTGTTGTACTTATGATCTATAGAGATAATTATTAGTACTAATTATAAGTATGAGTAAAGTGGGGGGTGAGTTGAATGAGAAGTTGATATGTGATTGGTTGGTCTAGGGGGAGCCTTTCAGAAAAAGGATGTGAAGTTCTCAATCCTAAAGTGGTAATTTCCCAAATTGCTCTCGCTCATCTCTTGAAAATAAACTAGTATCTCTCAACATTGACTCACTCAGTCATACTTACAAACAAACAAACATATAATATAATCTATTATCTCTTATCTCTTATTTTATAATATAATGGAACATACAGATAAGATATTGAACGCTTTAAAGTCAAATTCAAGTGTTGTTGACACATTGAAGGATGAAGTGGACTTGTGTGTATATGTTCTACACTTGGCAATGAGTCAATATGGTTGGACTTGTATTGGAACATCAGAGACAAAGACTACTGCTCCTGCTGCCGCCGCTGCAACACCTGGTGCTAACAAGGCTGTGTTGCCCACTGGTTGGAATGCATCGAGTGATGTCTACACTCTCACCTACCAATTCGATCAAGACCCTGCCGTCACCGCTGTATTGAAGTGTCTCCGCATTGGACAAACGCTCCTAGTCAATGCCATGTTACTTCACACACAGAACAAGATCTACACATTGGATATCGAGTATGATTGAGTAGTCTAAAGTCATAATAATAATGATTGATTGATTAACATTGATATCAAACTTATATAGGATACCTCAATTGATCAAACAACCAAACTATAAGTTGTTGACTGATATCAAAGATGCATTCACTCATTTGGATCAGTTGCTGGCAATGTTTGAGATGTCAATCTTGGTCAACATCACACCAAAGAAGAAGTCATCGCTGCAAGAGGATTTAGTCATTGAGAAGGATCGTTCTTACAATGTAGAGCACTCAAAGAACATCACCCAACCGCCTCAATTCCACAACCCACCCTTGATGGTCGGTGGCGGAGGTGGCGGTAGAGGCGGACACGGTGGCGGACTCGGAGGCGGATTCGGCGGTGGCTTTGGCACAGGCGATCACGACCTTGATCCAATTGGCATGCCACACCTTCCCAACATGGTGGGCGGCGCCTACAGACCACAGTTCCCGGGCGCTGGCAACCAGATCGGACCCAACCATCCAGGTTTTGGCCGTGTACATTTCCCCTACGGCGGCAATGACAATAGTCAAGGTCTACCATTTGGTGAGCGTCTGCCACCCGGTGCCGTGCCACCAGGTGCTCGCTTCGACCCATTTGGACCACCCACTGGCGGTCGTCCCTCTGGTGGATCTCACCGATCATTTGGTGATGAGATGCCTCCACCAGGCTTCAATGTAAGTCTTGCAAGTTGACATTATACCATCATCCATTTCTAACCTTTTATGTTCCTAGGATTACTACTCATAGTTCAACTCAACACAGCATCAGTCCCTTCCTCCTCCAACACCAATCTTGTTAAATAGTCCAATCCAATTCCTAATACAACAGTGTACATTCAATCAATCAATCTATAAATCAATCAGTGTTGTGAGGGAGTGCAATGATAGAGATCAAACCTTTATGAATGATTCGTTATTGCAATGATGGAAGGAATGCATTTGGATCGACTCGACTAACTAAGCTAACTGATCATCATATCCTCGTCATCGTATGACTTGGCCGTTGAGAATCCAATTGGACTTAGTTTCTTATCCAGTATAGTTATTACTTTGTAAGATGATCCCATCTCCTCTGGACTGACCAGCTTATAATATGATTTGGCGAGGTCTTCCAGCTTGGTGACATCCTTCTCCAAGTTCTTGGCGATCTTCTCAATGCGATGATCAATGCCCATCTCCTTTAAGAATATGCCCTGATCCACTGGACCAATGGCTGTCACATCCTTCTCTGTTGGTTGTTTGTTGAATGGTCAGTCCATCATTCATCAATGTATCGACATTGTTGGATAAACTTACTAAGATGCTTAATACATTTCCTGATGGCGGCAAAGTCCACCCATGAGGAGAGATCGGCAGTGCCTGGATGATCGAGAATGTCGACAAACTCGTGATTCCTGATGGCTTGCAGACTGTTCTGCATCGATTTGTCCTGGCCATAGTCAATGATTAGTGCGGCGCCAGAATGTTGTTGTATGCGCAGCGCAATCTTTTGTGCAATGCCCAGACCCGCCACGCCCAGCTCCACGGTGAAGTCCTCCACGCCAAACTCTGGCAACAGATATTGGATGGCGTTGGACATCATTGTGGGACCTGGCGAAAGGACGAAGCGCAGGTGATACGGGCCGTCCTTGGTGATGTCCTCGTCGACCAGGACCTCGCACCAGCCCTTCTGCTTGGAGAACTTGAACACATTGATTGGGAGCGCGTCAAAGAACTCCTGAGCAATGTACAATGATGGCGTGTTGTTTGGCACTTGATCAATGCTCTCGTGCCATGTTACGCTGATATCCTCTGGTGTCTTTCCACTGACTGCGCCCTCCTTATCATCTTTAAAGTACAGTAACTTTGTTCGCTGCATCTTTGACAAGTGAGGGCTTACCTCAACCATATGACATGATATCGCTTTGTAGAAGTCCTTAAACACTTTAGTGGACTACATTATATGATTGATTGAGTAAAGAGTACGTGCGGCAGACTTGATACATGTACCATGGTACTTACGCGAAGTATGTCATGCATGAGTGTGCCTCTGCCAGGTCCTAGCTCGACTAGTTGCAGACGGGGAGGTCGGCCCATGCTCTCCCAGGTGGCTACACACCAGATGCCAATCATCTCGCCAAAGAGCTGTGAGATCTCTGGTGCAGTGATGAAGTCGCCACCCTTTCCAAACACATCCTTGTTCATGTAGTAACCATACTTTGGGTTGGTCAGACACTCCTTTATCAGTGTATCAATTGAGAATGGTCCTCTAACCTGTGCATTCGTTTGAAGATACTTCTCAAACTCTGTTATAGCATACTTCTTTTCATTCGCTTTAGGTTAATGACATGGAGGATGGTGGTTAGTCGGTCGCCTGGCTCGAGTGATCTAGGATTAAGTACATACTATGAACTGTTGCAGGGAATCGCTTTAGACCGCTCTTGTCAACAGAGAATGAGTACTCCTTTGCTTGTTGTGATCTCTTTGAAAGCTTTGAGGCAACATCATCCTTGTTGTTATCCACTTTGTTATTATTGTCTGTGCTGTAGTATAGACCTAGGGTAGGTTGGTTGGTTCGATCGACTTGATAGGTCAGCACTTCATTCATTCATTCGTTCATTCGTTCATTCGTTCATTCATTCGTTCTGACATTCCAACATACATTGATTACTTCTGTTCTTTGTCGTCGTAGTAGTAGTCGCAAGTGTCGTAGAGCGACCAAGTGATGATGACAATGTTGTTGAGGATGATACATTGCCCTTAATAAGGCATGCCAATCTATTACTGTTTCTCATCAACATTGTAATACTCGAACATATATATATGAATGAATGAATGTAACTTATGTCATTGATTGAATGAACCTCACTTGTCTCAGAAGTGGGAGGTCACTTGTTTATTTGTCGCGTCCAAAGAGTATTTTGCGCTCTTCTTCGGAGAGTTCAGTCTTCTTGGCATCCGATAACGAGTCGTTGTATCGTTCATAGGATTGTGATGCTGGTAATAAGGCCATACGTCTATGATAATCATAAAGCAATGGGAATTCACTCTCTGATAAGTCTGGATATGTATGAATATACTTGCTCCAAGGATAAATTGCTACATCTGCAATTGATAATTGATGACCTGCCACAAATGCATGCTTGGCCAACTGTTTCTCAATTACATGGAACAAACGTCTAACCTCATTATAATGTCTCTTCCTCGAATAATCCACATTATCCTTAGTATAAGCAGTATAATGATGGTACTGTCCCATATTTGGACCAATTGATGACACTAAAATATTGATTGATTAGTCATCATAATTAATGATTGAATGATTGATTGATTCATGTAACATACTTTGGAAGAATAGCCAGCCAAGGACATTGTAGTGCTCTTGTGCGTTGGATTGAGAGTTGGGGAGATAGTTGCCTTGGCCATAGATCTGGGCGAGATAGACAAGGATGTTTCCACTCTCGAATAGGATGATTGGTTGGGAACCAGCTGGTACATTGGGATCGGCAATAGCAGGTATCTTACTATTTGGATTGATTTGGATATATTCATCCTTGAACTGATCACCCTTCATAATATTGACTGTAACAACTTCGAAAGGTAACTCCAACAACTCCAACATAATATACACTTTGGCAACATTTGGTGTATTCAAACTATAAAGTTTGATTGGTTTTAGTGATGACTTATTAAATGACATTATTGATTATTTGATTAATTAATTATAATTGATTGATTGATTGATTGAATGAATGACACTTATGAGTGTCAATTATTTATATTGTTTACCGGAGAATGTAGAGACATGTTCGCTGGTTTGATAGATCAGTATTCCCTTTTCGCTAATCGATACAAGTTGGACTGACATGTTCGCAGTGATCTCTTGACATGAATGAAGAGAAGAGAACTTGTTTGGTGACCTTCGCTAAAGTATGCAAGTGTCATTCTAATGGGCGCGCTTGCCCATTCTTTTGACATGTTCTCGAAGATTTTGAAATGACCCGTGTGTGCAAAAATGATCAGATTGTTTATTTGATCAATCATTCATGGACCGGCCAGAGTGTTCCATACTTGTAATGGAATATTCTATATACTAAATATTATTATACTATTATTATTATTATTATTATTATTACAATATGAATATCTTCAATTAGTTGAATCACTTGTCACTTTAACTTCCATTTCCACATCCATCTCTGTTGTATGAGTACTCTGTGATGATGATGATGACTGTTCATCATTAGTGTCAGGAGGTTGTGTTGTTGTTGTTGTAGTCGGAATACTCTGTTGTTGTTGTTGTGATTGATCAACTACAACATCAACTGGTGTACCTAATAACTTGATGATCTTGATATCAGAGGGATTCTCACCCAATACTGTCAAAGCCTTTGAACATGCTCGTTTGTTCATAATCACTCTACTATCTCTCATTGACTTTATCTTCATATCCAACACCTCACGTTCCTGACTATCAGCCTCGCATAAAGTGTCTGCATCACATCCAAATATATCCATCAACTATGCGTTTGAGTTGAGAGTTTGAATGGTGAGTTTTGGTTTGAGTTTGAGGTCCTTGAACATGGATTATTTGGTCATACCTTCTCATTTGAATAGTTGATACCAAGTGTGTTCAGGGCCTTGATTGTATGACGTTTGTTTACGGGCAGCCTCTCTTTGGTGCAACTTAGTGATCGATCCAACATTATTTGTTGATGTAGTTTGATATCATCATCCTTCATACCAAGTGTACGCATCACTTTTGTCTCGGATGGATTGAAGTCACCCAATATATCCATTGCTTTCCTAAGTTCACGCTCTGGTCTATCCATTATTTGTTGTGATTGTGATGATTGAGTTATAACAACACTATTTATCATTGTTACTGTTGTCATATTATGATTTATAATATCTATCTATTTATCTTATCTTTTATTTGTTGGGCTGTTTAATGTCTGAAATGGACTGATTGATTGATTGAATGATAGTATGTGTTTGAATGTTTGAATGTATGAATGGATGATTGATGATGTATTGAACACGAACTAACCTTACTAACTAACACACACAACACACTCAATACTACATCCTCAATCAATCAATCAACAAAGGTGGATTAGAATTGTTGCTTATGACCAAACAACAACAAGAACGTCCTTACATCTTGTGACATCCAACCATCCGTACGTCCTTCCATCCTTTTTCAAACAACACACCACTAACTTCTTAGATCACACTTGAGATCACCTGATCGGTGTGAGTTGTGTGTTGTGTTGGGTGATTGATTGATTAGACTGTGATTGGATCGATCATGTTAACACACTCCAATCAATCAATCTTTAATTCTGAACTGTTTGTTTAGACTATCTTACTATCTTTCAAACTAGATAAATATATATATATAAATACATTTATTGTTGTGTTAACAATAAGTAATAGATAGTGATGATTACCAGTGATTGATTGAATAACTGGTTAAAGAATGATGATGGTTGATTCATCAAACATGACGAAGACTAAATGATATCTAAAAAACTTAAGTCTAAAAAGGAAAAAGGATTCATCATTGTTGCATTCATGCCACTGAGACCAACAGAACAATTTCATTTTGTGCCAAATTGATGTTTATCTGTTCCAAAACAAGTAATACATGATTGCAATTTCAATTTGAAACACGAATAAAATATATTTGAGTGTAATCTTCAACTCAACAACATTCTTCATCATCTCACGCACCCCATACTCACACACGCATGTTGGGTTACTTGCTCACTTCACAAAGATGCAGATGCTCACAGCTCAAGCACATTGACTCTCTCTCTCTTGCTCATTCATTCAACCATTCAATCAATCACCTTCAATCATCATTCATACACATAAAACATATAAATATCATCATTTATATTTCTAAACAAAAACATCAATATAATATATAATAATAATGTCAGCAGAGTTGTCTTACAAGGATAGAGTTGTGATTATTACTGGAGCCGGTGGTGGTTTGGGACGTGTGTACGCTCTCGAGTTTGCCAAGCGTGGCGCAAAGGTCGTTGTTAATGATCTGGGCACTGCCTCGTCGGGAGAGGGCGCTGATGTGAAGGCCGCCGACAAGGTCGTCAATGAGATCAAGGCCGCTGGCGGTGTTGCCGTGGCCAACTACGACTCAGTGGAGGATGGCGAGAAGATCGTCGCCACCGCCCTCAACGCATTCGGTCGCGTCGACGTGTTGATCAACAACGCCGGTATTCTCAGAGACGTCAGCTTTGGCAAGATGACCGACAGCGACTGGGATCTCGTCTATCGCGTGCATTGCAAGGGTGCCTACAAGCTGACCCGTGCCGCCTGGAACCACATGCGCGACAACAAGTACGGTCGTATCATCATGACCTCTTCGGCCGCCGGTCTCTACGGAAACTTTGGCCAGGGTAACTACTCTTCGATGAAGATGGCCCTCGTCGGTCTGTCCAACACACTCGCTCAAGAGGGCAAGTCGCGTAACATCACCTGTAACGCCATCGCCCCAATTGCCGCCTCCAGAATGACAGAGACCGTCATGCCACCCGATCTCCTTGCCCTCATGAAGCCCGAGTTTGTCGTGCCACTGGTTCTCTACCTGTGCCACGAGTCCACCACCGAGACCGGTTCGATCTTTGAGGTCGGTGCCGGCTGGGTCAGCAAGCTGCGTCTCCAGAGAGGTGCTGGCGTGCTCATCCCCGACATCACCGCCGAGAAGGTCAAGGAGAACTGGGCCGCCGTCGAGGACTTCTCCAACCCGACCTACCCAACCACACCAACCGAGTCGTTCTCGGGCATCATGACCGCCCTGAACAACCCAGTCAAGGTGTCGATCGCCCCAGTCAAGGCTGCCGCCCCCGCTGCCGCCGCCGCTGGTGCCTCTGTCGTCGTCGCCGGCTACAAGGCATCCAACGTGTTTGAGACCATCCAAAAGACCATCGGATCCAACGGCGCCGAGCTCGTCAAGAAGATCAACGGTGTCTACTTCATCAAGGTCACCCAGGGTGGCAAGTCACAGACATGGACCATCAACCTCAAGACTGGCAACGGAGCCATCAGCATTGGCGAGGTTGGAAAGCAGGACGTCACCATCACTGCTGCCGACGAGGACTTTGTCGACATCATGACTGGCAAGCTCAATGCACAGACCGCCTTCATGAAGGGCAAGTTGAAGATCAATGGAAACATGGGTCTCGCCACCAAGTTGGGTAACATCATGCAGAAGTCCAAGCTCTAAATCGATCGATCGATCCCCAATTCATTCAGTCAGTCCGTCCACAAACCTCAACAACCTTGTGGGCGGTGTTCCAAAGTAGCACCGTTGTAATTTATAAATCTCTTCCGCGGATTATTATGTTCCAATCCCTTCTGATTCATTGTGTCTTAATTGATTGGTTGACTGATTGTTGAGTTGTCGAGTCCGCGGGACTCAGTGATCATGATCACTTTCGAAAGTTCACAGAATTGATCACCACCATGTTGGGCGCGACACTCTTTGATGAACACACGAAAGGACACAAGTCCACTGAATTACTTTCATTGTTGTTGACTTGTTGTTATAATAGACATGTTCACAAATAAGTTTAGTGTATTGTCTACTAGTGATGATACTCTTGGTATGTTGCCGCGATCTACACAATCATGGATGGACTCACTCATTCAATCAATCAATCAATCAAACATGTACAGATAGGGATAGCGAAGTCAACAATGTCAACTACAACAACAACAACAACACAATGTCATATTCACAACCTGCTCTGAAGAGGAAGGCTAGTAGTCCATCATCATCACCAAGCAAGGCAAGCACAACAAGCACAACAAGCACAAGCACGACAAGTCAATCACCTACAAAGAAGAAGACAGCAGACTCGAACAGAGTAGTAACAGAGAGCGACAGTAGTAGCAGGTGTGAGATTGAATTGATAGCGCATAATAAGAAACAGTTGAATGCAAAGGATATACAACACTTTATGTTGTGGACATTGTCTGACTCGCCTGGACAGGTGCCCACTCCAGGTTGGGTAACAATCAAGAACAAACATCTGTTGGACAAGGTGGTGATGGTGTCAGTGCCCAGCATCAGCTTGGACCTCTTTCAAAAGGTCTGTGACATTACACACCGATCATGGTTCCATGACAAGCTGCCACACACCGTCACCATGTCCATCATGGGTAACGGCCAGTCTCAGCCGCCGCATCCATCAATCTATAATCCTTTGCTCAATGTCAAGTTGTCAAAGCACCATTCGCAACAAGGTGGCTCACCTAAGAGTAGGATTCAATGATTGAGTGAGTGAGCGAGAGGACATCTACTAACATGCACCGCGCTCACACGTTATCAGAACTGTTACAGCCTGCGTCTAACTATGTGTTGACTGAGGCTGAGTTGATTGAGAATGGATTCCCTTTGGCATCAGTACACGCGAGTATGGATGGTTGGGTTCAGTCATTGGAGTCCACATCAGTGACGACGACGACGACGACGACCTCGACAACGGCGACCAAGTCAAAGATAAAGACAACAGAGTTGTTGGCAGTGGATTGTGAGATGTGTCGAACTGTTAATGGACTGGAACTGACGAGAATCAGCATTGTAAATGAACATAGGAAGGTGGTTCTGGACCAGTATGTCAAGCCAAAGAACGAGATCTTGGACTTCCTCACACAGTACAGTGGCATCACAGAGGCCACATTGAAGAAGGTGACGACCACCCTGCAGGACGTGCAGGCCCAGCTGGTCGGCATCATTAGCAAGTCCACCGTGCTGGTTGGACACTCCTTGGAGAACGACCTCAAGGCGATGCGCTTCGTCCACGAGCGCGTCATCGACACGTCGGTCATCTTCCCGACGGGCTCGTCGGCCAAGTACCCCCTGCGCTATCTGGCACAGAAGTACCTGCGTCGCACCATCCAGAGCGGCAAGGGCGGACACAGCTCGATCGAGGACGCGGTCGCCGTGCTCGACTTGGTCAAGTTGAAGATCACCAAGGGCAAGAACTTTGGCACCAAGTTGGAGAACTACAAGAATCTGTTCAATCATCTGCAAGTGCATCTGGGCAAGCGATCGACATTCATCGACACGACCGATCAGATCAATCAGTACTCGACGACAGAGGTCACCAGTGTACAATGTGCCAGCGATGATGATGTGGCCAAGAATGCGGCCGAACAAGTTGGATCAGAATCCAATAACAAGACCAACTTTGTTTGTTTGCGACTAAGTCAACTGGATCAACACTTCAAGTCACTGGATACAACGATACCCAAGCCACTAAGTAGTTATACACCAACTATAGAATATGAGGATGGTGATTGTGATGTTGCTGATGGTGTGGCGACACCAACGACAACAACAACAACAACGATATCCACATCAACATCGACTACATCGACATCATCGACAACGACAACAGCAAAAGGAATAGTACTGGATCAAAAGGTATTGGACATATTCAAGAATATTGATGATCAGTTGAATAGGATATATGATAGGATGACAAAGAATTCAATGATGATGGTAGTGTTTGGACCTGGTCCATTCAACGACATTAATCTCTATCATCACGATGGCAATCGACAACGTGAATACCTGCTCGCATTGGAGATGTCCAAAGAAGGTCTGGTCAAGTTTGGCATCAAGTAAACTACTCTTCTCCATGTTGACTGATTGATTGATTGATTGAATGAATGATCACCTGATATGGCCCGGCCAGGCATTTATTGGACGCGCCCCATCATCTCATCGACAATGATCATGATCATCTATCTCCTCTAATTGTACATCGATCGCGTATTCGTACACAGATTGTTGCTGTTACTTCTTGACTGCTACTGCCTGCATGTTTTAGAGATCCTTGTTGTTGACAGCGGCACGCTCACCTCCGTAAAGAATCTTCTTGGCTTGGTACTCCTTCATACCGGCCTCTGAATCCTTGGCAAAGACCTTCTCACGCAACACCTGCATGTTTGGGGTCTGATCATCAAACACCTCATCTGGCTGAATCAGCTTTGAGCCCCATCTTTGAGCCTTCTCACTGATGTCATTCTAATTCCAAGTGTTATGTTAGTATGAGTGCACATTAACTGCAATCAAGTGAATGATTGATTGAATGACATACGACGTATTCGGGATCAGTGTCCCAGTCATCATCATCAGCTGGGGCTTGGTTGTTGTTGAGCACTGCTGGTGCGTGAGTAGCGGTCTTTTGGTAGACAGACATGGTGTATATATATGTATATGTTTATGAAAAAGTATGTGAGATATAAGTGTTGTGTTTGCGAAAGTGTGATGGACTTGACCCGATCACTCCAACCAACTTTCATTTGCCTTCTGTGTTTTTTGATGGCTTTTCCAAAGATTTTTCCAAAAGATATTTGATTTTATTTATTTATTATTTCTAATATCTGATCGATCATTCAATCCAATAAAAGATATATATAATATATTAAAGTTCTTAGTATATATTCAAACATAGAATTTATGATTGATCAAATTTTGAAGTGTTTATTATTTAAATGAGTCCATGTTGACCTCAAATTTCTAAAATGGAACAATTAATTTATTATAACCTGATTATTGATTTAATTGATAACTTGGTTGGTCCTTGGTCAACCCTTATTTTATTAATAATAATAATAATTTGATGCACTTGTACAAAAAAACGAACGACAAAATCACAATTGTCTTAAATAACACACTCGTCAAACTTATAAATATACATATATATAATAATATAAAATGAAAGGTGCAGGAGCATTAAGAAGAGGTGGCGGAGGACAAAATAATAAGAAGAATACATTGGGAGCAAAGGGTGGAGGTCTGTTGAGAAAGCTCGATCCTTTGAAGCATATATTGAGCGGTCAGAAGTTGCAACCAAAGAGTACACAGAACCCAATGAAGAGACAGAAGCTGCCAGAGCCCGGCGCCGGCAGGGGTGATGGCGGCGAGTTGGAGGACGTCGACGATATCTCCATCGAGGAGTACAAAAAGTCAGAGATCAACACTTTGAAGCGCGTCAGAGACCACGTGCTGGACCATGGCGATGCGCTCGACAACTTTGACATCTTGGACGACTCCCAGACCGTGTTCACCTACGCCTCTGACGACATTGCCTCGCTCGAGATCCTCGGCCAGGACCAGCAGCATCTCAACCGCGGTGGCAAGCGCTATCAGGGCCTCGATGCCGACCTCGACGCACTGGAGAACCTGCAGCAGCAACAGGCGGAGCAGGCCAACAATCAACAAAAGATGGGCAGGAAGGAGAAGGCGAGGAGAAAGCTCGAGAAGAAGCTGCACGAGGCAAAGATGATTCACTTCAAGGAGTTGCCGCCATTCAAGCGTATCTTCTGGCGCGATACAGTTCACATGAGTGATGAAGAGCAGCGTGCGATACGTGTTAGGAACAAAGTGCGAATCGAGCAAACATTGCTTAAGAATAACTCGTTCGAGGTCTCAGCGACGACGACAGAGACTTCAACAACGACGACAACAACAACAACAACAAGCGAGAACAAAGAGAAGGAGAAGGATAAGGAGATTGTAATCCCGCGACCAATCACGGCATTCAACGACAGGGACTTGCCCAACTCGATGCGCGCATACATTGAGTTCCTCACCAAGAAGCATCAGGCGATCAAGGAGCCAACACCAGTGCAGATGCAATGCTGGAGCGCGATACTTGGCGGCAACGACGTACTCACAATCGCTCAGACAGGCAGTGGAAAGACGCTCGGTTATCTGTTGCCAGCGATCCCTCACATTATGGCACAGATGAAGGAGCGCCAGATGCGCAGCAAGGAGAAGTCTGTCTTTCGTAACATCAGGAGTCCCATCGTGCTGGTCATTGTGCCGACGAGAGAGCTGGCGCAGCAGGTGGAGTCGGTGTGCAAACCGATGAAGTCAAAGCTGGGCGTGCACAGCATCGCCGTGTACGGAGGCATCAAGGCGCACGGACAGAAGGAGATCCTGGCCGAGGAGCACAACGAGATCATGATCGCCACACCCGGTCGTCTGGTCGACCTCATCGAGCGCTCGCACGAGGTGGCCGGTCTGCTGTCGCGTGTCACCATGCTGGTGTTTGATGAAGCCGACAGAATGCTTCAGCTAGGCTTCGGAGATCAGCTCCAGAAGATATCCGAGCAGATCAGACCAGATCGCCAGACACTAATGTTCAGCGCAACGTTCCCAAAGGCCATGCAAGAGGCAGCAGCCAAATGGCTGAATCAACCGTTGAAGATACGTGTCAAGTCGTCGGCAGCCAACGAGGAGAACACATCAGTCATTACAAAGAATGTGCGACAGGTCGTCAGAGTCGTCGAGGGCAAAGATCGATTCGAACATCTCTCTGCCTTCCTTCAAATGGTCATCAACAAGGAGCAATTGCTGAGGAATAGAAGTCTGATATTGGTATGTTAGTTGAACTCGATCACCCTGAAGTAGTCACATACTTACTCAATCACTCAATCACTTTATCTAGATATTCGTCAATCAGATCAAGAATGTGAAGCCATTGATGAATCAGATTGAGAAGATGCTGACGAATATGAGAGGCGCGAAAAGATCAACAAAGGTTGGATGCATATTTGGTGATATGAAGCAGGAGGAGAGAGATCAGTCGATCAATGACTTCAAGTCTGGAAAGATCAATATCATGGTGGCCACTGATATCTTGGGCAGAGGTATCCATATCAACAACCTGCGATTCGTCATCAACTACGATTTCCCCACATCGCTTGAGCAGTACATTCATAGAGTTGGAAGAACTGGACGACAGGGCAACAAGGGCCACTCGGTCACATACTTTGTTGCATCGGCGCAGAACACCCCAATGGCCAGGGGACTGATAAGAATCCTGGAGGAGTGCCAGCAACAGGTTCTCCCAGCTCTCACAGAAGTCGCCAACAACTACTTTGGACCATTAGCTGAGATGCCAGATCTGCGACCAGAGGCAAGCAAGGACGATGAAAGTGACTTTTCTCTTGAAGACGACAGCGACTTTGATTATGATATGAAGGAGGATGGAGATGATGATGAGGATGAAGATGAAGATGAAGATGAGGGAGTCGATCCCAATGACGATGAAGAGGAGGATTATGAAGGCGAAGAGGAAGAAGTAGAAGACGACGATCAGGACGTCGACGAGGATTAAACGTTCAGTCTAGTTCTGTTGGAAGTTTATTCATGTTTGTAATATGTACATTGAGGAGGGGAACAAACTACATCGGCATGTTGTCTGCTGACCTCTTATTGATTGGAGGATGACAAGGGTGAACTGACTGGTTAATCCCACTTCTTGTTATGCTTCATAGAGTAGGAGTTGGCATCATTCAGGAACTCCCTAAGGTACTTGATGGTCTCCTTCTGATTATCGTGAACTGATTTGATGCAATCTTGGATGGATACGACACCAACGATCTTCTTGGTGGCAGGATCGACCACGGGTAGATGACGGAACCTCTGATTGGTCATGATTTGCATCGTTTCCACTACACACAGGTCCTTGGTGATGGTCTTGACACCGGTAGTCATTACCTCTTTTATAGTGTTTACTCTGCTGCTTAGTCCAGCGAGGGTGACCTTACGCATGTAGTCACGTTCGGTAAAGATACCAATCAGTTCCTCCTTGTCATTCACGACCAGAATTGCACCGACATCTTTCTTGGTCATAGTCTCGAGGGCTTCAATAATCTTTGAATCCGGAGTTGTTGTCAGGATCTCTGTTGACCTCTTTTTGTCTAGAATATCCGAGACCTTTGTATCTCCAAATACAAAGTAGTTTGATTGACCCTTTGGATCTATAACCATCTCATCCTTTATCAATACATCATATTCAAACAATGATGGACTCTTCTTTTTCTCAGACTTTGTATCTTTCGGTACCTGAGTAACTGTGGCATATTGTCTATTTACATTGAACTTATTAAATGAAGTGGTCTATTTTTCAATATCCAATGAGTTAGCCAACCTAGATACTATCCATCCCTTACATTCATTCACCATAAGTCTACCTACATTTAAAGACTTGACATTTCTTATATTATATAGTTGTTTGGATGAATTAAATAGTGATCTTGTAATTCCATTCATCTTTTATCTCTATTACCCTTACGAATTCTATCTGATCAATAATTATTATTATTATTATTTATATATACACACAATCTCTAGAGATAATAATAAATGAGTGGATGGATGGATGAGCGAATGAAGTGAGTTAAATGAGTGAAGTTGGAAGATGCCTTCATCATGTTCTCTCTCACACATATTCTTTGTGTTGAGTGGGGTTAATGTTCATACACACAACAAACAATTACAAACTATTACCTTTTATGTACAATAGGAGATGGATTCCTCCCACACTCGATCCCAAAGGATAACAACAAGGACAATAAGGACATTAAAGTCTATTTCGCCGATTCCAATCATTGGAGAGATAATCTGGAACAAATTATAAAGTCTTTCTTCGAAAAGTTCAATTGATCTGACATGAAAGACTGAATGAATGACATTGAGTACCGATCAAACAAAACTGATACTTCACAAGTGTATAGTTATATATACACAAGCAAACCAATGGGACCGACCGAAGCTTTTGAACATTGTATAACAGATGATACATCGTTCAATACAGGTATTTCAAGTACAAGGTCAACAATACAAGCTTGTCATCAGATTATTACGACAATAGATGTTGACAAAGATATTTTAGCGCAAAGACTATCATCAACCAAGAAGAATGAACATAAAACAACTGGTTTCCTACTGATATCAACAGCTATTCAACGATCTGTTGTTGTATACTTTATTGATGAGAACAGGCAAGTTCAAACACTAAAGGTAGGGGGCTTTGTTCTGACAACAAAGAGGTCGCTCATACTAATCTCTACCCTCTAACCTAGGTGTTCAAAACAACTGATCCTGTTAAGGATTGTACCGTATTCAATGACGGATCAAAGGGTATATACTTGTTGCTTTTGTTGGAGGACCGATCACTTTGGTCGATTGGATTGTCACCATTTCTTGTCAAGTCAACAACCACATCACTCAAGCGCAAGGTAGGAGAGCCACAACCTAAAACATCCACATCAGATGGGATAGTCATACGTCTCGATCAGAATGATGCCACAGCATACTATATGGACACATTGGAGAATCTAGAGTGGATACTACTTGATCGATATCAACAGACTGATGGTCATCCACTATTCCTATTCAATAGTCGAGGCAATGATGTGTCGGAGCAGACCGATAGTGTCACATCCAAGTTCGAGATCTTGTTCCCCAAGAGAAAGACCAGGTGCATTGTAGACTCAAACATCAACAGTAGGCATCGTCCACAGATATTCTATCAAGAGCAACATAATGGAGTCATGACCACTGTACAAAGCATGTTAGTTGATGGTTCAAACTCTTTGTTACTATTCAATCGAGCTCATGTACTATATCACTCCTCTTCAGAGAAGTCAAACTCCACATCATTGATCACTCATGACAATGACAAGCTTGTTATCACCTCATCGTCATCACAAGCTGATATCCCCGATCAACAAACAACAACATATCGATTGAATGGTACTATCCTAAAGATGACCGTTGTCGATGTATGTTACCCAATTCATTCATTCAACATCTGTTACCAGACTTATTAACCACTCACTTCCTCTTACAGAGCACTTTAATATGTTTACATAGTGGCGTGCTATCCTTTGTATGCTTGACATCATTGATCGAGCAACAAAAGTTAAAGTTGATTGATCCTCCAACAACAATGCGTCTTCCAAACAATGTAATCACATATTCAAACGCAAGGAACTCATCAACAGATGGATCATTGGTCAACTTCTCATTGTTAACACAATCTGGAAGATACATCTCCTTTATACTAAAGTTGATGGGTAGTGGCCAGCAACATTCTTCAAACCAGCCATCATTATCAAAGTGGCCAAAGTACACTACATTGTTGATATCAATGCGTGAACGACATCAACGTGTTGTCAAACAGATTGAATGTGCTGACAAGAGTCTCATGGATATCAACCGACTTATCACAATGTTGTCTCGAAAGCCCTTTGCACAGGCCTCCAAGCGGCCCTTCTCCTGCAGGATCACACCCCTGGTCTCTCCCCTGATTAGTGTTCAGAGTGGAGCACCATCATCATTCTTCCGATTCACCGTCACCAATCACACCAACCACGAGTTTGACTCAGGTTGGAAGCTGTCCATTCGATACGTTCACTCTGACTTCCCCTTGGAGTACACGACCACCCTCTCACATCCTATTCACCTTCATGCCAACTCCTCCACAAGCTTTGAGTTGCCCATCAACTTTACATTGATTAACAAGATTACGTTCACAGTATTCCTCACGATGGTACTACGCAATGACACATCATCAACAACAACAACAGCATGCTCGACCAACAATACATGTTGTTTGTTCATTGATGAGAAAACATTCCACATGTTGGATCATGTAAAGTTCAAACCTGTGGCGCAACAAGTTGAAGGGGCAGCAGTACCATCATCTCCCTCCAACCATCATCATCATTCTTTTGGCAATACAATGACTACTTTGGAAACATTGTTCAAGATGTTGATGATGGGTAGTGGCCCATCGATGGCGGACAATGATGGCTTGGCTCAATCAAACACACAACATCTTAAGTTATCATTCCCAATACGAAGTTATCAGATGTTGTCCAAGCCCGACATTAACCAACTTCTTCACATCTTCAACTTCGTGTTTGACAGAGATATTGCCACAATCTATCCACAACAAAAGGATCAAACTTCCAACTCACTAGAGTTGTTCATACCATCAGTTATGAGCAACAATAACAAGAACACAACCAAACTCAGTGTCAATAGTATGTATTCAATCATACATTCAATATTGGATGCGACTGTTTGACTGACTCACTAACTCTTATATTCAGATGTATCTGGCAAGAGTTACTCTGTACACATCACAACACAAGCCAGTGTTCCAAGAGAGACCAAGCATCTGATCTATCAATCAATCTTATTGCGCAGCATATATGGTGAGAGTAAGTCGACTATGGTCCTCAAAACAGACAGGTGATAGATACTAACGACGTGTGTATCCCTTAGACTTGCCAATCAACGAAGATCAGTTGAATGCAGACATAATATTCTTCAAAGAAAAGATCAAGGTGATTGTCGCAAAGAAGGTGTCTTTGAAGAAGTGGATAAGCGATTGGTACGCAAGCAAGTTGTTCAGTAGTGATTGTGCTACTTTGGAGCTATCCTCCATTCCAGCACTGATCGATCAAAACTTCCAGACTCTCCAGAAGATACAAGAGTCATTCGAGTCGCTTGTAATCATATAAACAGAGTCTGATCGTTGATACAGATACATGTCGACATGTTATTCCTTGTTGTTACCTGTGTTTGTTCAATCAACCGTGATCACGTGTATATATGTGCGTTCGTCTTGTCCACTGTCAGTGTGCGATTGATCGAATGAATGATTCAAGCGAGTAAGTCCACATCGATGGTTCGACCAATAAAGTGTTATTGCGCAGCATATGAGATGACCATTGGCTTCTCAGGCAGGACCTTGAAGCCTTGCAAATGATTCATCGCAACACCAGACTTGACCTCATCATCAAACTCGACAAAGGCAATGCCCTTCTTTGCTGTTGGCATGTTGACTGTTTGGAATCCTTGGAATCTATTGTGGAGTGTCTTGGGTTAGTATACTATGCTCGATTGACTGAATGAATGAATAACTCAACATACTGTGAGAACAACATCTGTATCATAACGGTCTCGCACTTGTCTGGTAGGTTCTCAATAAACAATATCCTGTTGGGTGGTTCGTCTCTTGGTTGAAGTGTGTTGGCGGCTGGTGTGGTTGCCGGCCTTGGTCTAGGTGGCTTCTTTGTATCCTGCTTCTTGACCTTCTTCTTCTCTTTGTTTGTCTCTCTCTCTCTCTTCTTCTCCATGTATGTACCGTCCAACTTTGACACTGCATCAGACTTTGTCTTACAATATGCTACTCTCTATTAATGTTTGATTGAACGGCGTCGCGTTAGTAGGTGTAATGATGATGATGATGATGATTGAATGTAAAGTTTACCATTGGTCGACCTAGGAGGTCAAAGCCATTGAGCTCCCTCAGTGCGTTTGACGCAGCTGTTATATCTTTGAATACAATGAATGCTTGACCTCGCAACTTCTGTTTCTTTGAGACTACGATATCCAATATCGATCCATATCTTGTACATAGACTATATAGTTGTTCGGTGAGTTCTGTTTGTGATTGATTGATCATTGATGTGATGAGGTCGAGTCAGTCAATCAGTAAAGTCGAGTTGATTGAGTCTTAGAAGATTGAACAGTGAACATACTTGTCTTTGAAGGTTTCTCTGCAAGGTTGCTAACGTATAATGTTTGATTTGGAAGTATATCTGTTGACTTCTCCTGATCATCATCTTGATCATCATTCTCTTGTGCTAAAGTATCAATAACCTTTACCTGTCCCTCATCATCCTCAATTTCTACTATATTATCATTCTCCATCTCACTCTAGATATCTTTATCTATATATGTATATTAATGTAATAATTGATTGACAAGTTATACTTATGAATGTACAACAAATGAATGAATGAATGACGAAAAACGATGTTCAAACAAAAATTTCAGAGTTTGTGCCTTTTGATGATTTGGGTCCCATTCAATCAAATACACACTTATACAACTTGTAATAACTTGTAATAATAATGGTACAACTAGATGAATTACCTATAATAGCACTTAGATATATTGTTATTAAACTAGATGATAATGTAGATCAGTTCATGTTGTCATTGGTATCTAAACGATTGTTTGAACAAAGACAAAATTATATACGTTTGAATACAAAGACATTACCAACACGTACAGTTATAATACATAATCATACTAAACTATATTCACATCTAAAGTCCTATGTACAAATAATCCATGATCAAGTTGTAAATCTAAAATCTCTTGATCTATGTATACATAGTCATCCTTATTTAGTTGTACCAGGTTATGATCTTATGATTGATCTTACCTCACCTCAGTCAATGAGATCAACATCAACATCAACATCAACATTGACATCAATTTCAACAACATTACCCAACAATATCAACTCGGTCACTATCGAAGAAGGATTGTTGAAGCCATTCAACCATGAGTTTTGGAAGAAGTTGACGGATGAGATGTTTCCTCAACTGATTGCGCGTGGCGTAACACAGTTATCCATCATTACTCCATCACCAACATCAATGGAATCAATTCAAATTCAACAAATTCTCCTTCAACATAGCTATATTCCAATCACAAGCATGGTTTACAGAAACCAAGACGCTGTGTACTTCCCAGACACATTGACAAACCTAAAGATTATGGACCCTCTCGATCATGACTTGAAGGATGTGCTCCCCGCCAGCCTAAAGAATTTGGACTTATCAACAACCGTGTGGAACCGAMCCCATTGCGCCTGGCACCCTGCCAAATGGTCTGGAATGGTTAAAGTTTGGAAGGGATTTCAATCAGCCAATTATTTCCGGTACCCTCCCATCATCTTTGCGTACATTGATTGTTGGGTCAAATTTCAATCAACGTCTGGATGGAGATAGGCTACCCCAATCACTCACAAGTCTAAACGTGCAGTTAGCGGCACATTTTGCACATCCATTTACAGATGGACTCCCTCACAGTCTCACAGATCTGACACTAGGCATTGGCTTCCATCATATTATCCAGCACACCACTTTGAAGAGTGTCTACATCTCGTCATCCGTTGCATATCTCCAAACTGGCACAATTTTTGTCAATCTTACACACCTGTCAGTTGCTCGGATCAAATGTCAAAGATTGTTTCAAATCACTTCGGAACTATTCCCAAGATTGGTTGAGTTGAAGGTGGCAGGCGTGTATTCTGAACAACCAGGCTTAGACCTCGATAAACTGCCCAACACTCTTAGAACGTTGGTAATTGGCCATTCATCACCCATATTCAGGGTCTTCCCAAAAGACCTGGATACCTTGGATTTTTGCATCAAAGATTTTAGAATGCACTTATGTTCAAAAGGACTTATCCCTCCATCCGTCAAACATCTCACCTTACGTGGCAGTAGGATTGGTCTGGGATCGTCAGACCATCCATTGGAACAAAGCTCAAATGGAGGGACTATCATTCCTTCGGACTTGCCTCAATCAATACGAGAATTGACGTTCATAGACCTTCCACCACAATGCTATCGAGAACTGCTACTTGCGGATATAAAGGAGCACAGACTACCGACTTCAATACTTATCCTGAACATACACAACCAAAGCGGTATCATCAACCTGAGACGAATTTCCAATTATATATTCTTCAAACACTCCCAAGGAATGATCCACTCTGGATTCATACATATAAAGTCAATTCCTTCAATAATATAAGGAGTATTCTGATAAATCTTTCCAAATCGATAGTTGAGGATATATTTCAACACTCTTTTGGTTAAGTTTATATATATTCAAGTTCCATTAGAATTTGCATCACTTCCATATTTATTAATAATGATTAGTTAATTTTAAAGAAAGAATTAAAGGAAGATATTTTAACATACCTATCTTGAACAATAATGAATATAGTTGAATAGGTCAACAATACTAATATTAGTAATATAGTTATTACCTTCATGTTTAATTATTTATATTTTATATATTTAAATAAATCAGACATGTCTGATACCTATATCCATATTCATCAATTTTGTAGATTGTTTATTTGAGGAGATCTCGGTTAATAATAAATTTAAATTTATAATACCAGTTTACATATTTTTTTCAGACTTCCGGAAAGATCATATTAAATTGTCCGGGAATTAATCCATTTCAATAAAATATTGTTATAGTAAAATGATCATTTGTAAGTTCCTGAGACAACGATTAAATATCAACGACAATATATTATATATTACAAACTTGAATATCAGTCAATTTATTTATTGAATACTTAATGTAGCATTCAAACTTTATTGCTTTAATAATAAAATATAAAGTTTATTGTATTAGTAAAATGGTTATTTATGGTTATTTGTAAGTCTCCTTTTGATTGGAAGATGAGGGCAACCACCAAAAGTGATCAAAATCAAAAATAACAAAAAATTGATCAAGGTGGTCAAGTTGCAATACTTTGATCACCATTGTATTGTAACATTACTAACAGTGAGTGATACAGATATCGGTATTGTGTTGAGGACTTTAATCATTCAATCATCACTCAATCATACAATCTGGAATCATCTCATCACCCCATCACTCAATCAATCAAACATGGAAAGTCCAACAACAACTACTACAACAAGATCTATCAAGTCACGTTATTACACTTCAAAAGTGACACATTCAAGACAGTTCCCCGTAAAACATAGCTTCCTCTATGATGTATACTACTTTGTCGTGGACTTGGATGAGTTGGAGACTGGATCACTGGATTCAATGTGGTTTGGACATAACAAACTGCGGCCTCTAGCACTCTATGACACGGACTACATGGGGCACGAACCTCGACCCATCCGAACAAAGCTCATCGAGCGATATAAAGATCATCAATCAAAGTCGACCGACATTGCCGACGTTGATCTGATCGACCGCGTCGAGTTGGCAACGATGCCGCGCTACCTCAACATGCAGTTCAACCCAGTCAACTTCTACTACTGCTACGCACGTGATGGCATTCTGCTGCAGGTGGTCGTCGAGATCAACAATACATTTGGCGAGACTCATTTGTACTTCCCTCAGGTGACGTCGCGGCCACAGGGCGTTGTTGGCGCGAATGGTGACGGCGGCGAGAAGGACAGCCACTTTGAGCGTGGAGTCAATCGAGAGCGATACCTCCAGTTCGCTGTGCAGGACAAGGACTTCCACGTCAGCCCATTCAACTCGCTGGATGGCTCGTACACGTTCTGCTTCTCCGACCCGCGCGCATGCTTTGACATTCGAATCATCTTGCTCTCAAAGTTGGACTCTACCTGCTTGGACGGCAAGAACTCGCCAAACTCGCTCACATGCTCAGAGACAAACATGATACTGTCCACGCGTCTTTGGTCGCCCCACGCCTCACTTTCACTCAGCAACGCCAACCTCTTTAGGTTGGTGACCGGATACCCAGTCACAACGCTGCTTACATTGCCGCGAATCATGTACGAGGCTGGACGACTGCACTATCGCAAGCGACTACAAGTTTATGCCAAGCCCAACCCACCAACCAACAACACACCGATCATAATCGAATGCTCGCCGGCACAGCGCTTCAGCCAGAGGTGGCTGTTTGAGTACCTTGCCACGTTCCCCAAGGGCGTGTTTGTGTTTCACAACCTGGACGGAACGTCCACCACCATTGACTGCAGCGGCAACCTCGAGATGGCCAAGGTGCCCGTGCCAGAGAACCTCTACTCCGACTCAACCAAGCCCATCACTCTACACATCAAGTCTTTTGAGTTCTACTCAAAGCTCTATCTCTTCCACACCAGGCATCCGGGACTGAGTGCCAAGGCACTAGGCATGGCATTCATGGCTGATGAATTCACTTGCGATGATCTGCCATCATTCCTGGCACTTGTTTGCGATCTTACAGTTTCGAGTCGCGCGCACAAGTCCAACCCTGTGTCAAGTCAACAACAAACGGATGACCAATGGGGATGGATACATCACATGATCAATCCAAATGTCATGAGCAAGTACTTCTTGGATCAAGGCTCAATGATGACTCATTGTGGACACTTAGAGTATGTATTCAATTCAGATTGATTGACTGATCCAATACTGACCCGCTGGAATCATTCCAATCCAACAAAATCAGGACAATAACAAAGGAGAAGCAAGAGGGTGCTAGCGAGGACAGAGATATCTTTAATTGTAAATTGGAAGATGATAACATTGACACATTATATATCAATAGTCTCAATCAATTGGTTGTGGACAAGCTCAATTTGTACAAGGACGATCACTTGCTGGAGTTGGAGCCAGGTTGGGGATCATTCACATTATACGCAGCCAAGAATATTGGATGCAAGATAACTGCAATCACTCGACATGATCATCATCATCGACATCTCTTGGCAATGATCCAAAAGGAGGGGCCACACTTGGAGGAGTTGGTCACTGTGGTACTTGTGTCCAACAATGATGTCGAGTACAAGACACCGGCGAGTGTCGTCTACGACAAGATCTTGTCACTGGAGGGCGAGTTCCATCAGAGCATGACAAGCCAGATGCTTCTGGAAATGTGCAAACAAAGAGTTAGACCTGGAGGCCTGATCTTCCTTCAGGCTATCACTGGACCCTACCATCCTTATCAACAAGGAGACATCAAACCGACCAAACCACTCAGTTGGCATCAATTGTACGCGTTGATGCGTGTGCACCTTGAAAGCCGTATTTGGGGCGCCCTGGCCACATTCGCTCACAACCCATTCCTGTTGGAAGCTCGATACCAAGCACTGTTGGGCACACTTGGCCAAAGAGGATTCGTCAATGGACACTCCTCGACAAAGGCACCATCTTCACCCGATCACAGCGACATACCAAATCTGTCCAAGGACGCCGTGGACCTGTTGACATCGCGCTACGCTTACGAATTACAACTGTTAGAGATGGAGAATGTAGGCGATCACTATCCACCATTGTTTGACTACTGGCAACGTAGACTGGCATCCAACAAATCAAAGCTGATCACTGATATGCAGCAAGAGGCAATGTCCAAAGGATGTCTGCTCAAGATGAATGAGGCAGATCTTGGCGAAATACCTCGAGCCATTCAGTTCCATCATCACTACCTCACTGCCTGTTTCAAGTCCGTGTGGTCAGTAACCAGATTGCTTGTTTCCAAGTTCGAATAATAATAACTGACATGCCAGGAAGGCTCCTGGCGTGTCGTCGAAGACTGCCACATATTGCCTGGGCCAGTCCTTCATCTTTACTTATATTATATCATCTTGTATATGTGTGTGTTTGTTTGATCGTATTACTATTACTATTATTATTTACCTCTGCTAGAGATGAACTCATCAGAGTCGGGATCGGAGAAGTCATCCATTCTGATGCCATCGTTGACAATGGCGCCATTGAGTTGCTCCTCCTCAAAGTATCCACTTGACTTGAGCAAAGATGACGAGTGTACGCCCTCACCACTGCCAATGCCGCCATCGCCATGCAGCTCGTTGGCATTGTGGCCAGTGTTATTCTCCAGATAGGTGACGGCCTCGTAGTTGGACTCGAAAATGAGTTGTGGCGTGATCAGGTCGTACAGACCGGACTTCTTGAATGAATCCCTGATCTTCTCGGACATCTGGACAAAGGCCACCTTGACATTTCGCTTGTGATATGCTTCCACCATCTCTTGGATCGTCAGCAGGGCACTGGCGTCCACCGCTGGGATGTTGACAATGTTGATGATGATTGATTGGAGTGGCGTGCCGCCACTGCCTGCTTCGATCGCTGACTTGTCCATCATCTTCTCGATCTCGGCCAGCAGCTGTTTGAACTGAGAGATGTTGGCAAAGTAGAGCACCTCGTCGATACGGATGAGCAGGATGCCCTCGATTGGTTCGGCTTCGGGGAACTTGGAGACGTCCTTGAAACGGTTGGTGCCTGGCACACGACCCATCACACTGTAGACGTGTGGTGACGACGAGTGTCTGAGAACGAGGAAGATGCACATGCCAATTGAGACCATGACGCCAACCTCGACCTCAAGGATGAAGGTGGCCAGCAGCGCGACCATGAACTGGGCAAAGTCGTACCATGATCGGGTCTTCCACAAAAAGATCACCTCGTGGATCTCCAACAGACCAAAGGCTGCCACAAAGATGATCGATGCCATCGTGGCCTTGGGTAGATAGACAAAAAGCTTTGTCAAGAAGATACAGGTGAAGAGCAGCAGACACGAGGTGAGGAATCCCGAGAGACATGTCCTGGAGCCAGACGAGTCTTGGATGCTAGTTCTAGGGATTGACGCAAACACTGGGTACGTTTGGAAGATGGAGCCCAGTATGTTTGCCGTGCCAAATGCAACAAGCTCACGATTGGAGCTGATTGAGTAATTGTGCTTGGTGGCCAAGCCCTTGGACACAGCCGTCGCTTCGACAAATCCAACAATAACAATCAATATTGCTTGAGGTAGCAATCTCCTTAGTTGGCTATCGTGCGGTAAGGGTTGGGGTTAGGGCATGAATGATTGATTGATTGAACGAATGAATGAAAAGACATACTCTAAATCGAACCTGGGGAACGCTGGTATAGGGAATCCACCTTGGAAGTGTCCGAGAATTTGGACGCCATGGTTTTGGAGGTCGGCGAGCCAGGTGATGAGGATGGAGATGATGACCACCAACAGGATGTCGGGGATGTACTTGGCATTCTTGAAGCCGCGACTGACAAGCACACCCTTGAGTACACGCATGGCCAACAAGAACAGAACGCATCCAAGCGAGAGAAGTATGGTCGCCTTATCGGCTTCGCCCAAATGTGTGATTGCATACCAGAACTTCTGATAGGGGCCTGCTTCGTGCAGTCCAAAGTCAATACCAATCAGTGCTTCCAGCTGTGAGATGGCGATGATCAGTGCCACGGCGTTGATAAATCCAGACAGAACCCATCTAGAAATGATCGATCCCATGAATCCAAACTGAATCAATCCAAACAAGAAACTGACGCAGCCCACCAAGAATGCCAGTGCATGTGCCGTCTCAATCTTTGTCGCATCATCTGGTTCATCCAACAATATCGTTCCAAGCAATACTGAAAGCAATGCCTCGGGTCCAACTGCAAGTTGTCTATATGATAATGGAGTGATTGAGTTGATGTGAGTGATGTGCTTCACGTAACATGTCGTCCAGCATCCTAAGCTAACTCACTTGCAACTGCCCATGAATGCGTATATGACCAAGGGTAACCAACCAGAGTATAATCCAATGATTGGGTTCTTGAATCCAGCAAGTATCGCATAGGCCAGTGCCTGTGGAACCAACATCGTAGCCACAGTGATCGAAGATAATACATCACCTACTAAATCCTGTTTCGAATATGATCTTATCCACTATATTTTAAACAATGCATTATTAGTAACCTTCCCTTCATCATGATATAAGTTGTTCAACTAAACACATACATTAACTATTGGTACATAAAGTGGAAGTCTTGTCCTGACTGCCTTTACCAACTCCTTTGGGTTGGTCAGCTCTTCCTTTGTCAAGAACTTATCCTCATTGTCATCCTCCTCTGGCATTGGTACAAAGTAATGTGACCTATCCGCTGCATTTGACTGTGACTGGTGCATCCAGTCTGTTGTCTCCTTGTCCTCTTCCATCCTCTATCCTTTAGTATATATATTTTATCTCTATGATGAGAGTGAGAGTATCTGTTTGATTGTTTGATTGATTGATTGATTAATGGTTATTTGAGTTGATGTGATTGATTTGCAAGGCAGGCACAATCAATCTACTTCGTCTGTAACAAGTGCACACACAACGTTTGGGGATCAAACCTGGTTGTTGGTGTATGTGTGTATGTGTAAGTGTATGTTCCGATGGTGAAGTCGAGACTGTGTATGAGTATGTGTGAATGAATACGATTATATGTATATGACTATATATGTATATGAGTGTATGAGTGTGTATGAGTGTATGAGTGAATAGTGCTGTATTAGTGTTAATGAGAGAGGGAGAGTGGGAAAGAGGGAGAGGATGAACAATCGTTCTTCCCTCCTCCACACTCTGCTCACCTGACTCTTCACACATTCACACCGACATATTAATTCATTTAAATTATTCTTTCTCATTCATTCAAACACACACAACAACCACAACAACAAACAAACACAAACAGGATGAAGTATCCGATCGGGTGAAATTATTCGTCTTGGTCTCGATTAGAACGCGCCAACAACACCACATCCAAATAACATCGATGTTATCTATTGTGTGTATGTGTATATACTTATTACTTATATATTACATAAACATACACATAATAATAAGTGTGTTGTGTTAATGTGAACATAGCAATGAACGATGGATAATTGATATATCAAACAATGAAGTGGTGGTGCAATGCTGATGATCCTGCCGACTGACTGACGGACTTGACTAACTTGAATGAAGTGTGTTGTGTTGTGGTGTTGACATCCAGAGACATCCAGACAGCACCAGCAACACCAACAACGATAGACTACGTAGACTACAGATAATTACAATTCAAACCAACTTAAGTCAAGTCATAACAACATCTACCCTTTACTTTACAATTACTATCTCTATAACTACTACTTTATAGTTAGCTAACTAGTCACATAGTTAACTACTATCTACTATACATTACAAGTACTATTAAGTTCCTCTTTGGTGTCTAGTGACCATTATTCAAACAACAAACAAAAGACAACCAACCAACCAATCAATTAACCCAAGATTATAAGATGACAAAGTTTCCACCATTCATTCGATTGATCACATATGACCCGAAGCGTGATCCAACCAAGCTCAAGGTGCGTGTACCTATCAGTCGCCGCAAGAAGCTGATTAAGGGTATGATTGCCGAGTTCCTGGGCACGATGTTCCTCATATTCTTTGTGTGTGGCTCCGTCATGACCGCACTGTACCCCGCCAACGGTGACAAGGCTGCCGTTATCTTCCTTATTGCCACCATCCAGGGTCTGGCCCTGGCCGCTCTCATCTGGTCCATCGCCGGTATCTCAGGTTGTAATCTCAACCCTGCCATTACCGTGGCGAACTTGTTCTCTGGCTGCATCGGTTTCCTCAATGCCCTCGGTTACATTGCTGCGCAAGTGGCCGGTGCCATCGCCGGTGCTGGTATCATCAAGGCTTGCATTCCATGGCCCTACCAACAGAGTCTTGGCAACGTCATGCTCGGACCACACGTCTCCACCGGACACGGTTTCCTCTTCGAAATGGTTGCCACTGCCTTCTTGTGTATGATCGTGCTCGGTACATCCATCTTCAACACATGGGATCTTAAGATTACTAGAATTGTAAGTTGAATGTAAATTGATAGAGTAAACTCAATCATGATCATATATTAACAACAAACACAATATTAGGCTCCATTCGCAATTGGTATGGCCTTGTTCGTAGGTGTTGCCATCGCTTGGCCATTCACTGGTGGCTGTTTGAACCCAGTCAGATCTTTGGGACCATCGATCGTCGGAGGTAACTGGCACTCACATTGGATCTACTGGTTGGGTCCAATCACCGGTGCAATCATCGCCGCCTTTGTCTTCAGAGTGTTGTTGAGAGAGAGATTCGATGTCATCGACAACCCAAGCTACATTGCTCCAGATCTTACCAAACTCAAGGCATCAAGAACCTTCTAAAGTGGTCGTGTCCGCATCGGCACGATTTCATTCCAACAGACATACATATATATCACCCTTCATTGGCAAACACATCATCCGCTGTTGCTGTTGCTGTTGTTGTTGGACAATCCATTCCCTCAAATACAATACCTTATTTATTTACAATCAATTAATTATTATTATTATTATTATCCGTTGTTGTTGGTATTTATCATTGATTAATTAATATAAGTGTGAGGTTGACTGATGATGCATATGCATCACAGTCGGTGATTGATTGGGGGTGAGAGTAAGTGAATGTGTGTTGTTGATGATATGTGGGTGTGTGATGTTGGACTGGACAACTGTGGTTTGTTGGACTAATTAGGAGATGTCCGTCCGTCTTTACATGGATATGATGTGGTAAATTCCAATTACAATTGTTGTTGTCGTTTCTGGTTTGATGCAAAGAAGGAGTGAGTGACTGAATGAATGAGAGAATGAATGACAAAATGAGACAATGTCTTGATGTACCTCTTAAGTGAGAGTAATAGTGATGTAATCAATCATTTTAATTTTAATTAATTACTTCACAACAAATCATTATAATAATAATATTTCTTATAGTTAAATATATAAATAATTATAATGTCATCTTCATCTTTGAGGAGATCACCAAAGTTTAGCCACTACTCTGCTCAAGACTACTTTGATGAGGTGGAATTTAATGATGAGACAGATTATGTTGATGGTGCTGCCGCCGATGATGATCATGGTATAAATACATTCACATACAACAAAGCAAGACAAGATAAATTGAACCAATTCCAAAGGATAATACTTACAAACGAGAGTAAGTAAATTAATTATATTATGATTGTTTGATCAATTAATTAAACATATAACTAATGATAATGAACATTTAGGTGACAAGGAAATATCTGAACATAGTGAAGTATGTTTGGAGTTGATAAAGGCTATTAATCTACGTAATAGATATATATATACTCCGGCAAAGATATGGAAGGATGATGCTCCACAGAGTGATAAACCTCCTTATAATCCATTTGAAGCAAATGTCGATGACCAACAATCATCAGATCATGTATTCATTCCAATCAATGGAGTGTACAGTGTATACAAATCACAGGAAGACTTGGATCAAGGGTCTCCAGCTCAATTCTGTATCTTGTCAACATTGAACTCTTATTATAGAGATATAAACAGAATGATGCAATTCTGTTCTGATGGACCGGCCAAGACCTACTGCTTCAAACGTCTACGTCTACTAGAGTCCAAGTACAACATGCACATCCTATTGAATGATGGGGCAGAGATTCTACATCAGAAGTCGGCGCCACATAGAGACTTCTACAATGTTCGCAAGGTAGATACACATGTCCACCATTCATCATCCATGAACCAGAAGCACCTACTTAGGTTCATAAAGAAGAAGTTGAAAGATAGTCCAGATGTATGTATATCCAGTTTGAGTTCCAGAATGACTATGATACTAAATCTCCATCTGCTCCAGGAAACTGTGATATACAGGGACGGCAAATACCTGACCTTGTCAGAGGTATTCAAGAGTCTCAGTCTAGATGTAGACGAGTTGAGTGTGGATACATTGGATGTCCATGTATGTTGGAATGAATTGATAATATGGAAGGCGTCATACTAACATAATATCAATCAATCTATCAATCTTCAAGGCTGATAAACATACCTTCCATAGGTTCGACCGATTCAACCTAAAGTACAATCCATGTGGCCAGAGTCGTCTGAGAGAGATATTCCTAAAGACGGATAATCATATCAAAGGCAGGTACTTGGCAGAGCTGACCAAGGAGTTGTTTGATGACATGGAGAACTCAAAGTACCAGAATGCAGAGTATCGCCTGTCAATCTATGGCAGGAACATTGGAGAGTGGGATCAGCTTGCTGGCTGGATATGTGACAATGGACTGTTCTCCACCAAGGTGCGCTGGTTGATCCAGATACCACGCCTCTACGATGTGTATCGTGAGTCGAACAACATCACAACCTTCCAGGTCTTCCTGTCAAACATCTTCCAGCCACTCTTCGAAGCCACCAAGAACCCTGCCTCACATCCCAAGCTACACCTGTTCCTCCAACAGGTAGTGGGCATTGACTGTGTGGACGATGAGTCCAAGTTCGAGAAGAAGTTCACCGAGAAGTTCCCAGTGCCAGCAGAGTGGATAAGCGAGCACAATCCACCCTACACCTACTATCTCTATTATCTCTATGCCAACCTATACACTCTCAATCAATTCAGAGAAGAGAGGGGATTCAGTAAGTACTTCAATGGTTGATTGATTGATTGTATGCCATGTTACTGACTTGTTACCAACATAGACACATTTGCTCTCAGACCTCACTCGGGAGAAGCTGGAGAGGTGGACCATTTGGCAGCATCCTTCTACCTAGCACATGGAATCAACCACGGTATCAACCTTCGCAAGACACCAGTGCTCCAGTACCTGTACTATCTGGCGCAGATTGGTATCGCCATGTCTCCACTGAGCAACAACTCGTTGTTCTTGACCTACCATCGAAATCCATTCCCTGTGTTCTTTGCTCGTGGACTGAACGTCAGCATATCCACGGACGATCCACTTCAATTCCATTACACCAAGGAGCCACTGATGGAGGAGTATAGCATTGCGACACAGGTGTGGCATCTGAGTCCATGTGACATCTGTGAGATTGCCAGGAACAGCGTGTTGCAGAGTGGCTTTGAGCACAATGTCAAGTCACATTGGCTGGGCACCGACTACCTTGATCCTTGCAAGAATGACATTAGGAAGACAAACATACCAGACATCCGAGTCTCATTTAGGAATGAGACGTTGACCGAGGAGCTGCACCTGTTGTACAAGTCATTGAAGATGTCGCCCAAGTTTAGCGAGCTGGACATCACCTTCCTTCAGTCGCGACTACCAGACGAGATAACCTCGCCCAAGAAGAAGAAGAAGGTGCAGCCGTCAGTGAAGCAGAATGAGTCTAAACATCAGAGTCTGCATCCAATTGTCCAACGTAGCAATGTATCGAAGCAGCCACAGCAGCCACAGCAGCCACAGCATTCACCGCAAGAGTCATCCTGCTCCAAGGTGCCATCGTGTGGAAGCAGCAACTTCAGGTCGTTCTCGCTTTCCGCTCATCCATCATCGCCACAAATGTCGCTCAACATCATCAATGACAGCATGCCCTCAATCCTATTATCCTAACATTCATGCATGCATTCACGCATTAGCCGTTTATTCCACTGGAACGGCATGTCGCTCTATTATCGAATATACACCTTGTGTTGTTGGAACATCATCACTATCAATCATTCTTCCTATTCTGATTCTTTATCAATGCTTCCAGTGTATACTTGTACTTGCCATTCTCCAAAGACAACTCTTGTATTGCTTTCTATTGATTGGGGTTGTTGAGAGAGTTAGTACACCGATGCGTTGACTTGTCCACTGCGCAACAACAACATACTTGATAGCCAAGATTGATATTCTTGATTGTGGCATACTTCTCCTCGATTGACTTGATCTTGTGGTAGGCCAACATCTTTTGGTAGTCCAGCAACTGTTTGCTGGCACTACTAATGTTGAAGCTTTCATCCCTATCGAATATACTTGTCCTCTCGCCAATCTCTCTCAAGCTCTCTGATAGCATACTACATGGAGAGTCAGTGTAAGTATGTTTGATTGATTGATTGAATGGGTTGACACATACGCATTCCTATTGACAGCGTGCTCTAGTTGAATGGTCAGTGAGTCTATGTTGGCATCCTTGGCGCGCAGTACCTCCTTCATTCGGATATAATCATCCTCATTGATCTTGTGTGTCTCTTTCCACTCTAATAACTCATCATTCATGAACCTCAATCTCTTTGTCTCTTCCTCCTTCTGAGCGTACAACTTCTTTAACTCCTTAAACCTATTGTCTAATGATTGTATCCTATGTTGTTGTTGTTGTTGTTCACAAGCATCAGTCTCAGCATCCATCCATTAATCAATCAATCAATTAATCAAACAAACATACTGTGTATTCTTGGCATCTAGTTCTTGTCTCATTGACTCGATTCTTATCTCTGAGTGATCATGTTGTTGTAAGAGTTGAAGGTTCTTCTCCTTCAGGGAGTCATTCAGTTGGCTTTGTAGTTGCAGCTTCTCTGTGATCTCATGGAACCACATCTGTTGCTTCTTTGACTCTTTCTCATCAGAGATCACTGCAGACGACTGAACTCCACCATCCCTCTCCCCACCTCCATAATCTACATTACCAACTGTCGATGTTGATGTTGTTGATGTTGGTATTGATGTGGCCGCAGTCGACTGTTGTGATGATGATGATGAAGTTTGTGATTGTACATTGTTCTGTTGTTGTGATAAAGTATTATTATTTGTATTTACAAGGTTATCTAAGTTTGAACTACTACTATTATTGTTGTTGTTGTTATTGTTGTTGGTGTCACTCATGTTCTATCTATATTCAAAGTATTATATTTGTACACAATCAATCAATCAATGAATGAATGACTTGAGTTTGAAGATCGCAAAACAAGACAAAGTTCTTGAAAAGTTTAAGTGGATGATGGGAAAAGGACAAACTATTTGCGACGTCTTCGGACTGCTTGGTTGTATTCAGGTACGATGGTTTGCTCTGGTAGGTCGAGCCTTGGTATGTGTTGTTGGAATAGTTGTTGAAGCCATTGAGTTGGTGTCCTTTCACCAGTTTGAGGATCTTCAATTATAAGTTGCCTTAGACGATTACATCTCTTATCAATGAGAATTTCTTGAAGTGTTTCAAAGAAGTCATTTGGTAACTTCTTATATGGATATATTGCCAACTTTATCAATGATCCTGAATGTTGTCTGATGAGAGCCAGCACTGAATCAAGCCAATCTCGTTCCAACGTCTCAATGTACAACTCAATCTTGACCAACTGGTCGAAGCCAGTCAGCGCGAGCAAATCCGGCATCAATGTCCCTGGCGTGCCAGACACCTTCTGAACGGTCAGACTAAGTGATGCCAATGCCAAACACGGGGGATCTGATCGAGTGCCTTGTTGCAAGAAAGTGATTGATCGTCGCGCATACTCCATGTCCATTGTGAGACGTTCAAGTTTGTGGAATACCGCGGCGACCGTAGTTGCAGACTGGACGGCCGGGAACACGCAGTGTCCAACCAAGTTGAGCCGATGTACAGATTGAATAATATTATATTTGCTGAATGATAACACTTCAATATCAGTCGGTATGATTACCTTTTGACGACTGCACCATTGAGCCACCATGTTGAACCAATGCCATGATACCAATGCCAAGTTAAAGTCTTGATAAGCGTACCATGTCAGGTCTATATTATCCTTCAAATATCTCTCTATAATATGTTTAATACATAATACTGGTAACTTATCCATTTATCTCTTTCATTCTTCATTGCAAGTCATTGAATTATTCAATGATTGAATGAATGAGTCGTCCCATAATCTAGATATTGAAGACCTATTAGGAGTTTATTGGAAGTTCACCTTATTTTGGAATTTGTTTTGTTTTTTATTCTTTGGTGGGGTGATTGAGAAAAGAGAAACGAACAAAGTTTCGTAAATCCTTTGTATGTAGATACATAACATTGTATTAATTTACATACATATGTATAACTCGAGTGGACAACCAAATTAAGAACTCAACCTTTATTGCCAAGTATGTACATCTTTGAAGATCACATTCATTCATTCATTTATTCATTCTACTCACATTCATTCATTCGTTCAACATGTTACGTATAACAACCTATAACCAGACATATTATAATCAACATGGACGATCAATCAACTGATGAATCACATCAATCAGTCGAGCCAGACAACACAAATGCTGTCCATGATGATGGCATTGAGCAACAACAACAACAACATCATCAAGAGCATGTTGTCGATCATTCCCATGAAGAAGTTACTCATCATCTTCCAGGAGAGCATACAACTGAAAATGACAATCTAGTTGTTGTTGACCATAATCATCATCATCATGACCAACATCATGATCAGCATCAGGTCGTTTCAGATCATCATGGACATGGTCATGGTCTTGGACACCATGATCAACAGCAACAACACCATCATCATGATACTGAGATGCAAGATGGTGAGCAGATTGTCATACATCCAAACGTTGGTGATATACATGTTGGAGTTACCCATGATGATCATCACGATCATGGCCATCATCCACTCCATCAACATCAACATCAACACATGCACGATCAAATGAACAATCATCACCATGACTCTACTGTAGTGATTGTGGATGATGTCACAGCCGCTGCCGATGGTCATCACGATCATCACCACCATCATCATCACCATCACCAAGGTGAGGAAGAGGTGCTCCAACAAGATGCCCATCACCATCTCCAAGATGCCTCACAGATGGAACATCACCATGAAGTCTCCAACGATGTACCTCAACAACAACAGCAGCAACAACATCAAGAGCATGGGCATGAGCATGAGCACGAGCACGAGCATGGTCATAGTCATGGTCATGGTCATCAAGAGCAAGAGCATGAGCAAGAACAAGAGCACGAGCATGTACAACAAGAGACACAGCAACATCAACATCAACAGCAACAGCAGCAACAACAACAGGAGCATGATATGGATGGCCCCATTGCGACTCACGCAGAGTCAATCAATGATCAATTGATCAGTGTCTCCAGTGAGATGGCGACACAGTCCACTCATACCAGGCATCACGTCAAGAGATGTTGTGATTGTAATTGTGATTGTGGTCAGATCCTCCTCAACACTGTACAAGAGATCATCAATGAGAAGTTTGAACTACTATGGGAGCAGAACCAAAGACTGGCGGCACAATCCACCCATCTGGAGAACCTCCTCGTCAGTGTCATCAACATCAAGTATCCCGAGCTAAAGAGGAAACAGATGTCATCCTCTTCCAGCAACGTCAATGGAGGTGGAACTATGAACGGCGGGCATCATCATCCGCCGCAGCCACCAATACAACAACTAGTTCAACAACAACAAATACAACATCCGCAGCCACAACAGCAACAGCAGCCACATCCACAGCCACAGCAGCAACTACAGCCACAACCACAATCACAACCACAGCCACAACATGTCGAGGTTATTGAACATCAAGGTCAAGAGATGGACGTGGACGCAGAGCCACAACAAGCAACAAAGAAACGAAGAAGGAACTATAGTCAAGAGATATTGAACAAGATCAATAATATATTGGACCCTATATTCGAAGATGATTGGAACCTCTCAAAGAAGCGGGAAGTAGAACTCAGCGAGCGAATATCATCAGAGATCAACGTCGACATTACCGAGGGCATGGCAATAGTAAAGAACTTCTGGCACAGGCAACGAGGCAACTCAAAGAGAATAGTATGTGTACCCAGGTCTCAATGTTCGCGAGCACATATCCAAATACTGACATCCAACAACAACAACAATAGTACTCACAGTTGGATGATTATAGGATGGGACTGGAAACTTTGTTAAAGGAGGATCAAGAGACATTTGATTATTTGTGCTCAAAGTTCCACTTTGACTCGAGAGAGTTGGTGATGAAGGACTTGACAGAGGTCACCAATATGATCAAGGAGATGTCACAGAAGGGCAGTGGCAGGACAATTGTCAAGGGCAAGAAGGCGCCAAAGGCACTGCCAGACACACCGGTCAAGACGTTCAAAGGACGCTCCGTCACACTATGCAATCACTTTTTCCATTATGCCAACAACAACCTAAACAAGCAAACACTTGGAGTGATCGATCCAGAGTTCATCGAATCATTCAGCCAACAACAACTACATGCACAAAAACAAGTATTACAAAGTTCACAGGCCTCGCCTGGTGTCGAATAACACCTCTTTGACCAACGCCACGTGCTCTTATGAAGTGTGGCAGAGACATCATTTCAAGGTGTGTCGACTCAGTCTTCATGTCCAGATAGATAGGAGTCAATAAAATTGTTGGCTGCTGTAATATTGTGCGGACTCTTGTTGTTGAATGATTGAGAGATTGAGCGATAGTGTGATGGAGTGCGCACTCCAATCAACCTTTCCATGGATTGTTATGTAAACGTTTTATCTGTATCCCAAACTTGGTGACCAACACCACCTGATTGGGGCCAAGTTGTTAGGCCGCTCAGCTGGTTCCACCAATGTTGCTATCTCTGTATCTATGTGCATCAATAGGTGTGAGGTAGTAGGAATGAAACTAAACTGATGAATGTCAGACGTCGTTTGAAATTTCCATCTGGATTATTCCTTGTTACTCTCTGATCATACATAAGGAGGAAGATCAGTGTGGCAACTACTAACGTCATGTCTCCTTTAATGACGCGCTTTCACCACCCCCGAATTGAGTATCAAGTTATCCAAGAGCCAAAGATATTTGTTATTGTTTGAGTGTGTGAGTTATGGATGTTGACCTTCGAAACGCGTTGATGGGCAATTGTAGGAGACACTACACTTCAGTGTTCCCATTGTACCCATCGATCCTGCATCCGCCCAACATTCCACCGGTTTGTGGTTGTTTTGCGAAATATCAAAATATCCACAATGTGATCGTCCCCCCTATGACCTGGCCCCAACTTGGTATTTGCTAGGGCCTGTGGGCTTTGCAGAAGTGGGTCGTGATTACTTACTTCCTTACTTACTGAATTGAATTGTACTAAATCCTATTCTCAATTGTAATCAATCACTTCATTCATTCACTCAATCAAACAATCATACAGATAATATTATTTTATATTCTATTTATCTCTATTTATACTTATAATCATGTTGTACAATAAGTTTACCACGATGGCAGCCTTGCTGCTGTTGACAGTGGTCGGCATGGCAATGGCCGCCTCTGGACCAATTATGATCGCCCAGGAGAACGGACTGGACTCGTTGACAATCCGCTCACTTGGCACTCCAAGCATCCACACCAACCCATTGCCAGGCACTGAGTTGGTCAAGCTCAAGGGCACCACCTCGTTGCTGATCGATGGTATCTCCTTCACTGTGAACGCTGTCGTCGGCACCAACTACTACGTCATGCTCGCCTTTGACGTCGACATCTTCCTCTACGGTATCAATCTCGAGACTGGAACAGTCTTCATTGATAACTACTCACCAGTATGTGTTTGTTTGATCATCATCATATTGGCATCATACTGACCTGACCCCTCCCATCCCATCAACTCCCCTTCCCCCTCCTCTTCCTCTCCCTCTTCTCCCTCTCCCCTTCTTCCCCAACTCCCCTTCCCTCCTCCCCACAGAACCAAGAATACATCTACGTCTATGGACTTTCTTATGACGCCAAGTCAGACTACTTGATTGGATTGTCCTCGATCAACTACCCAGACGTCCAGGAGTTCTTTGACGTTGTCGAGATTGATCAGTCGACTGGCGCCATCGCCAAGAACTTCTCGTTCGGCGAGTTCCCAAGCGACACTGTCTACTCTGGCATCTACGCCTTCAACCAGGACGACTCTGAGCTGTACGTCGTGTTCCGCGGCTACACCAACGCTTCAGAGAGCACCCAGGAGGGTATGGTCGTCGTCAACACCCTGACTGGCCAGGTCTCCAGAACCGTCTGGTTCACCGGCTTCCAGTCCAACGACATGTGGTTGAACTCTCTCGCCTACGATCCATTCACAAAGTCGCTGGTCGGCTGCACTCACACCTACATCGGCACCAACCCAGCCTTTGTCAGAATCGGAACCCAGACCGCCGAGGTCGTACTCATCTCCAACGATGGCACCGTCGCCGGTGGCAACGGTCCAGTCATCCTCCCAGGTGGTATCTTTGCCGCTCCAGGCCATGACGACGTCTCCTCCAACACCATCTTCTACGTCAACACCACCACCGGTGATGTCCTCGGACACCACTCTGACACCGATGTCCTCGTCGAGTTCCTCCAGGTCTACTACCCATCATCCTAAAGATCATGACTCAATTGATAAACTTAATTCCCAACTCCAAACATCATTGTTTGTTTGATTGAATGATTGATTGTTTATTAATGGGACGGGACAGGAACAACACTTAATCATTCTTAATCACTCTTTGGACCAATCCATTTAGATGGTGTTGACAACACTCCAGACACCTCCAATACCTTGTCCAAGAGCATCACCTGGCTTCATATCCTTGGAGTAGTAGTAGAGTGGCTTGCCGTTGAATGTTGGCTGGAGACGACCACCTTGACGAGCCTGGGTTCCGAGGGTACCACCGAGGTTCATGTTGAGCTGGGAGTGTGGGAATCCGGCAAGGGGTGGCCATGTGTTGGTGCACTGGGTGTTGTCCAAACAGACGGATGGCTGACCGATGATGTCATTGAGGAACTGGTAGAGGGTCATTGAGCGAGAGTCAACGAGGACTCTGAGGGTGAGACCACCGCCGCCGGCCTTGATGGTGTAGCTCCATGGGTGGCCCTGGTTGGTCTGGAGTGGGGAGTTGGCACGGCTTGGGAAGAAGTCCCAGATTGGGCTGTTGGCGTAGGTTTGCTGGAGACCGGTGATCTGGAGGGTGTTGCTGTCCAGGTTGAGGAAACGGAGGTCAAGGTGTGGGGCTGGGAGACCTCTGTTGAGGATCATGCAGTAGACCTTGGTGACGGCTTGGCCGCTGGCATCAATGTAGGTCTCGTTCTTGAAACAGCTGTTCTCGAACTGGCAGTAGGCGGCACCTCCGCAGAGCTGGACTTGGAGTGGTGTGGCGCCACCGGTACCAGTGTTGACGATACCAGAGTGGAGGACCATGTGGTTGTAGACGAAGAAACCGTTCTTGTTGTCACCGTTGAATTGTCCGGCGGCAGAGTCACCATAGTAGTAGTGGAGTGGGTAGCCGTTGAGGGTGACCTGGAACTGACCGTTGGCACGCTGGATGAATCCGACGGCGTTGCTGATTGAGGAGGCGGCGTCCTGCTTGGCGAAACCGAGCACTGGTGGGAAGATGGAGGCACAGGCGTCAGAGTTGCACATTGGTGGCAAGTTGGGTCTGTCGGCACCGTTGTAGTAGATTGAGCGGCCGTTCTGGTCAACAGTGAAGAGGGACTGGGCAATCTGGGTGAACTTGATGACGTTCTCACGGAAGACATACCAGGCGTTGTTGACATTCTCTCCGAGGGTGTCTCCGGCTGTCATGTCAAGGTGGTAGAAGTAGAGTGGCATTCCGTTGTAGGTGGCCTGGATGGTGCCGTCAGCACGGGCCTTGACTCCGGCAACTCCGGACAATGAGGCATCGTTGAGGGGAATTCCAATTAAAGGTGGCCAGATGTTGGTGCAGGCTCCATTGCAAGTGGATTGTTGGTTGGGGGCGTCATGAGTGAAGTAGTAGAGTGTACGACCAGACTCGGCATGGATCAGGATCTTACCAAGGCTGGATGGACCAGTGGTGAGGCCGACGTAAGCGGCGGATGTGTAGCCAATGGCCAACATCACAAACAAGAAGTGAGCGAGCTTCATCTTAATATTATTCCAAAGATGATTTTGGTTAATTAATTAAATAAATAAATAAATAAATAAATAAATATAGATAGATAGATATATTAATTATAAGGTTGCTATTTGTTATTTGTATAACTTAGCTTGACTTGAATTATGATTTGTAGAGAGGCATCCAAGTGCCCTTTAAATATCTTTACAAAGATGTATATCGATGTCTAAAAAAGGAAGGGATGTCCGGTCCTGTCCTATCCCAAGGGATGTCCCAGATGTTGTCATTCATTCACTTCATTCAGATCTGTATCCCTCCAAAAATGGAAAACGGCGGCCGAGCACTATCTCTCTTTCTCTCTATCTCTCTCTGTCTCTAGCGTGTGTGAGTGACAACTCACCAAGATTGTATGTAGAATGTGTGTATGAGGGGGCTCAATAAGATAAGATAGGAGTTTACACTACGCAAGCTCATGAACACACCACACACACCACACACACTAAACAAGAGTATATCCATGTCACTCAAGTGTATATCGCTTGTCCGACCATTTAAGTACATTGATAAGTGTGTGTATGTTTGTATGAAGTGTGAGGTTGAGGTTGAGGAATGGTAAGACAAGTGGAAGCACTTGCCTCCAATGTAGAAGCTACTAAGATGAAAAAGGAATGGTGGAGTGGGAGTGAGTCCAGACTTGTTTCCATTAAGGAATGAATACTCATTACTTCCTCAATTAATTGAAGGTAGAGAATGGAGTTAGTTGGAGGTTCGCTAGATGCCTTATAATGACATGTAATATCATGTCATGCATAGTCAATCGAATGAATAAATGAATGAGTGCCAACTAAATTGGATATGTGCACACAACATTGTGGTGTTGTTGTGTCTTGGGCTAACTAATAACTAATGGTTAGCCACTAATGGATGCAAATCAAACAAGATCACACCTATTTTGTTGTCTCTGACATTCAATCAATCTAACTGTAGTTCTTGTCTTGTCTTTGCTTCCAACGACCTTGTTGTTGTTGTTATTGGTTGTTGTTGTTGTTGGTATTGTTGGATTGAAAAAAAGAGATAGAGAGAATGTGTTGTGTGCAGTTCCTTGAAGACCGGGAGCCTTATTGTCTGTATATGATCAATGTGGTGGCTCCCGGAAAATGGGTGATTGACATTCATGTTGGTGTATGTGGGTGTATGATTCTTTGTCTGAAAAAACTAAGGGGTTCTGTGTATCTCTGTTGGCTAGGGTGAATAACACTTCAAAATCACCCCCACAACACAACACCCCCTCATATATCCAAAAGTAATTTATTTGAATTAACTCTCTATTAATAATTGTTTTTGGATTAATGCTTTTCGTCGAGAGCAAAGATAGCTTTGTGTTGTCAACCCCACATTACTTAATCATACCAATCAATCATAAATATTACATACACACATTTATATACATATATACATACACATACACATACACATACACATACACACTCAAACATATTTTATTGATTGATTGACATTTGACATTAACCAAATCAATCAAACATATAACATATATATCATATTAATTTATTTATAAAGCATTTTTCAATATTAACATAAAGTCTAATAATGGGTCATAGAGGAAAGCTTGGCGGAGCCTTGGTGCTAACTGTATTGTTGCTCGGCTGTTTGGCCGTCTCATACTCATTCTCATGGTACAGAGAGGACTTGAGATCAAGTTTCAACATCATTCTTCAAGCCAACACCACAACAACCATCGACTATTTCTGGACAAAGACCAGAACTACCGTTGACACTGTCACTAGTCTAGGCGGAGCGGTATGTAGTATAAATTTATCTCGAATGTGAACCTTTATTAACATCATTCATTCAATCAATCAATCATTCAATCAACCAATCATTCAATCAAACGAAATAGACATCATCTCACACACAACAAAGTGAGAACGACTACACTGATGAACAGAAGGATGTTAAGCAGGTATTCACTATTTCTCTGTCTTTTTTGACTGCTTCAGCTGCCGCTGCTCTGGCATTGGCTGTCTTCCAGATCATCGGAATCATCTCGAGAAGCAGATTCTTTAGAATCCTCTCTGGCATTGCTGGACTTGCCTCGTTTGCCCTGTTGGCCGTCGCTTTCTTCCAGTTCTTTGGCATCACCAAGGCTCTCGACAAGGACAACCAGTGTGGCGGCTACATCGGTCTGGACAACTCACCTTGCGAGTCATTCTTTGGTTCAACCGAGGGTGTCCTCGGCTTGAAATTCAGATGGTTCCCATTCATTGGCTGGTGGGTTGGTGTCGGTGGACTGGCATTCTCCCTTCTCTCAGCCGTTGCCTCATTCTTGGCTTAAAGTATTGATCATGAGGTTGATCAACCTCACTCAAATATCATGTAGACAACATCACAATAATAATAAATACTCCTCCTATCTATGTTTAGAAATCAAAGAGTTGTCGTCTAGACTCGTTCACTTTCAAGTTCTCAGCAGCCGAGACACTCACTCAAATTCCCGAGATCATCTCATGTCATCCCTGAACTTTAACCGACATGAACACAGTTGGACAAGTGTGTGGTCACGACAGTTTTGGGCTTCACAATTATGATTTGGATCACTCGTGTGCCAAAACTGGTCCAATCAGGGCCTGGTTCCTTGACACGTAAGTGGGTGAGAAAGGATCATTCATTCTATGATCCAATAATCGTTCATTCATTAATTTATTAAATATTTGATCAATCTAATAATTGGATAGATGACAAACATACAGACAGACAATAAAACAAACAAACAAACAGATATATAACTTATAACTTAAAGATTATAAAAGAATGACTTTACATAGAGTCAAACTTGGAGTTGGCTTGGGACTCATGGTTGGCATGATTATATGCGTGGCCATTGCCTTTGCATTGCCTTGGTATCAACAGTTCTATAGACATCCATACAGTGCTGCTGCAAATGTCACAGAGACAGTAGACTATCGATGGACAAAGACTGTAACAACACGTAACATTCAAGCTTTTGATGGAGATGTATGTGATTGATTGACAAGCAGATAAGATTGATTGATTGATCAAGTGTGACACATAGCTAACATGTTCCACACCTTTCTGGAATTATTCCACTACCATCCCCCATTGATCTCGACACTCAATTTATAGAATATTGTAATAACAGATGTAACGTACTCAGATGCTGGAAATGATAATATCAAACAGGTATTCAATATATCATTGGCATTCTTGATCTTGGCATTGATTGGCGCAACTGGTGTGGCAGTGCTACAAGTGGTTGGATTGATCACTCAAAGACGTCGCTTCAGATTCTTCGCGTTCAATTTGACAATGGCATCGGCTGTCATGCTGACCATTGCCTTCCTCCAGTTTCTGGCCATTCGTCGATCATTCCTTCAAGACAAACTATGTACCAGTGACGTGGAAATCGATTCTCCATGCACAATGTTTGCGGGTACATCTCACTATGGACTGCCTCCTTCCACACAAGAATGGCATCCAACTTCCGGTTGGTTTGTTTGTATTGGTGGCTTGATCTGTGCCTGGTCAAGTGCTATTGCCACTTATATCTCATAACCCAATTGATCAATTGGGTAAGTGGATGGGGATGTTAAATTAAAAGATGGGATGGACGCGCCAATAGAAGTGGCGCGACTCGTCCATTAAAGTGTACTTGAACTTGGACATGTCTTTGGCTTTGGCTTGGCGGTATGGTCAACGTTGTACAACGTGATGCACTACTGCTGCTACTATTGTTTATTATACAGGTGGAGGCGGGGAACTGATTGATGCCTGACTAGCTGTTGGGTTGTCGTTACTTTGTCATCTTCTTTATCGTCTTCGTCGTCGTCTTCGTCGTCGTCTACTAACTAACTAAATGAAGGCCTTGATGATGGCCACAAAGACCATTGTGACGATCAATACAATGAGTATCATAAGAATGCAGAGCCTGGATCGATAGCCCTTTTGGTACTCGTTCGCCTTGCCCAGCTCGACGTTGCCCTGCACGACAGACTCTTCGGTCTGTTCGAGATTGTACTCGATCTGATCCAGCAATGTGCCCTGCTGGATGACCATCATACTAATGTCCTGGACAATGTTTGACAGCTCATTGATCGATCGCAAAATCTGTTTGATTTCACCATCGCGCTGCATCACCTGCTTGTCCATTTCGTTGACCACCTCCAATTGTTGCATCGTGAATCCATAGTTGGCAACCTCTTCCTCCTCCTCTTCATTCTCTCCATTCTCCCATCCAAAGCTACTTGAGTTCTTTTGTAATGCTACATATATGTAATGTTTGATTAGTGATCAATCTTCAATCAATCAATGTGTGTACCAACATACCACTAAGATATGTCCTTTGCTTCTTCTTAAAGTCAAGCGACAGAGCTTGAAGTTGTGTTGACTTGGCCGACTGTATGTTCTTCTTGATCTTCACCTCTTCGGGTGACAGGTTCTCCTTGGCACCCAAGTTCTTGATTAAGTGATGTGTCTTTGTGATTATCTATTATGCACGACCGTGAGAGTCAGTACTCATACTTGTTCATTCATTCGCTCATTCATTCAATGAATCTTACAGATGATATATCCTTTGTCAATACTTCAATCTCTCTTTCATCATCGCCATCTCCATCGAATGTTGCTATATTTCTAGAGTGTAATCTACCCAGCTTCTCAACTAATCAATCAATGATGTTTGGTTAGTTCAATGTGCACACTTGTCAATGTTGATGGCATGGAGCAGGGCAGCACTTGACATACCCTTGTCTTTCAGTGATATCATCTTTGAATCGATGTCTCGCAATGCTATCCATTTGAAACTTGATATGTCTGATGGTGAGGCATAGTCATCTTCCAACTCATTCTTTAAAGGTATGTAACTATCATTGTTTGTACCACCTCCGCCTCCACCATTAGGTGATGAGGCATAATATGTTGAATGAGATGAAGGCTTTGATAAAGCTTTCAAACTATTATATGTTGCTGTTCTATTCCTACATGCCATTGTTGTTGAATGTATATATATATATCTATTCTATATCTATTATATATATTATAAATTAAGAGATAATAAGTTCAAGTTGCAAATGAATCCGACTCCTTTAGTCCTTCGTGTCACACACTCATTCAAGATCTGACTTCGTGGTTCACACACCTCCCCAAATACTTTCCTTGGAAAACTGCGACACGTTCAACCTCAAACTAAAGCACGAATACATAATTGATTGGACATGATACGTCAATGTGTGACATCCACATCCAATCAATCAAAGTGATTTATTACCAACTGATTATGGTCTCCACCTGTTCACATTTGGAAGCATTATAATTCCCAATATCCAATCGATCATTGTTGTCTTGAAGTCATTTCTTGAAGGAGTTCTCCATGATATCTACAATATGGTACATCGTGACTTGCGAGGAGTTGGCACCCATAGATCATCGCCAAGTAGTCGTAAAATATATTCAGCGGTGAAATAGGGACTTGAAATATTGATAAAGCCCGACCTGGAAAGGTCTGCCACATCAGGGGAGTACAAACAGTCCGGATAACAAATGCACAGGAATACATTGTCCGATATCCTGTAAAATGCCAATATCATTGATTGCGGATGGAGAGTGATCCTCAGCTCGGCCACACACTTTGGTACTTGCTGGAGATTGCGAAGAACATACTTTGTAAGATTGATTGTAGATGATTCCTCCGAGGCATAAATCAAACTGATAGATCGCATGGTTGCTGGTAGTATCTTGTAATCGAATTTGTTGTAATTGTTGCCTTGATGTAATGTGAGTGATGTCAATGATGGAGGGATGTCACCTTGTTGCAAAGAGATGAAAATTTCCAAAGAGAGTGATTTGATGGATGGCGGAAGTGATTTGCCAAGTTGATGGTCGTAGCTTGGGTTGAGGAGGAAGGGAACCCTCAACTCTTCCAAACCACTTGGCAATAGCAATGGTATGTTATAGAGAACAGTGGTGAGGGACTTGAGGGAGGGCGGTAGCATTCTAAAGTCCAACGAACTCTGAATCGATTCTATCCACAGTGTTCCAATAGTGAGCGAGCCAAGTACTGGGAAAGTGTCTCGATCGATCTTACATATAACTTTTGGTTTGATACCTTGTAGTCTGAGCCATGTAAGGTGAAAGAATGGCATGGGACCGAACCTTGGCTCTTTAATATTGAGCAGTGTCAGTCGTCTAAGGGACGGACATTGAACATCGTGATTAAATGCACTTCCAGCTAGTCCAACTGATCCTATTGTGAGGTCTGTGATAGTTGATGGCAGAGAGTCCAGAGATTGGTTATGGAATTTGCCCATGTAGAGTGTATCAAGATGAGGCGGCAACACATTGGCATCGAGCAAAAGATCCCATTCACTAAATTTCACTCTTAATGACTTTAGTTTGTCGGGAAGGACGTCTTGGAGACTGCCGAGGTAGCAACCTTCGATCGATAGACTTGTCACTGAATCAGAGAAACTGTTGGCAGGCAATGAGCCCTTCACTCCACTTTGTAATTGATACATAGTGATGTATTGATGACTTGGGAAATAGATTTGAAGATTGGTGAAGTGATGGTTGACAATCGTTGGTAGCATTGTATATTGAAGATGGAGACATTCTACATGCAACGAACTATTCTTCAACTTCAACTTTATCACAATCTCATTCAAATCTAACAACAATTCTTCATCACAAGCTTGTCTTATATCCAATGTGATTGAAGTTACATTTGTTATTTCCATTATCTCTTTCTTCCATGCACCATTATTATGTATATCTATTCATTCATTCATAAGTACGTAAGTATATCTATTCAATAATTCATTCAATCAACAAGTTTACCTTTACCAACACAGTATACATAGTCATAATTAGGAACTGAAGATAGATAGTATTGTAGTAGGACGGAGCATGGCTTTGAATGGAGTGCTTGTTGAATGATTGACTTGTATGACTTGAGGTGAATGCTGTTGTTGTGATAAGTCTGATATTTCCAGGTATAGGGTAGTTGCTTGGTGTTGAAGTCAAGATAGTGTTGTCTATGTTCAAATAATCTCTTGCACAACAATGTCAACTTCACTCTATCAGCATTCTCCTCAACATATGTTACTATCTGTTTAAGTATAACAAAAGGTAATTTATCCATTTATTATTATCTATCTGTACATGTATGTATGCATGGTGAATGATTGACTATCCATCCAACAACAACAAACAGTTTATTAATAATATCTTGTGTTGACTATTCACAACAAAAAAGGAAAGGTTACATTGTTGTGCAGGATGATAAAGTTGAAGCTAGACCGCGTCCGCGAGGCTTGTTGATCGGCCATGTCCATTGGTTGTTCATTAGTTGAAGTAGATATTCTGTTTTGAAGTATGGACTAGAGATGTCGATGAAGCCAGAACGCTTGAGTAGGTCATCGGCCACTCGCAAGAATATATTGTCCGAGATTCTTGTTAGATTGATTGTCCAGTAATCATTTCTTCGAACACTCAATCCATATCCAATTGTCAATGTATACTCTACAGTTGACTTTGGTAAACAATGTAGTTGATTGACCAGGTCCCATGGAATCGGTAGATCTGTGGCAACACATTGCAGTGACAATGATCGGAGTGCTGAGGGCAGTGCGTCAAAGTCCAATTGATCGTACTGGACTCCAATCACAGTCAATGATGTGACTGATGGAGGTATGTCACCAATTTGAATCTTGCGATTATGGTACTGGATCTTGAGTGCGGTAATAGAGGATGGCAACTGTAATCTCGAAAGAGGCTCATGATTGATATATCTGTCAAAGTTGAGTGATAACACCTCCACTCCATAGGGTATCCCAACGGGAGGTTTCTCAAAGGTTAAGTTGACATCTCTCAGATCAGGGAATGTTGATGTGAGGTCGCTGATCGTTGTAGTTGATGAAGTCCAAATCAGAGATTGAAGCGATGGACAATCAATCTGTTGAGCAAAGTACAATCCAATCTTCACTTCAGTGATGCTACTTGGCAGTGTGAGAGGATGATTAAACCAGTGCCCAAGGTGGAGAGTGTTCAAATGTGGAGGGAGTCCAGTGCCAGAGATGGCCAGATTCCAATCATCCAGACGAATGGCCAACGAACGAATGCTTGTAGGTAGGACGTTCTCCAGTGAGCCCTTGAACTGGCCAGTCAACGATAGATTGGTCAATGTTGCTGGTAAGCTTCCAAGTACATTGTCAACAAATGATTGTGTTGAGGTTGACCTCAAGTAGAGTGTCAGGTTGCTGAAGTAATATCCGTTTAGTGGTACACTGGACTCATCATCAGTGATCAATGGCATATGTTCACAAATGATTGGAATTGAGTGCGCTGCCAAGTGATCGATCAGCACCTTCAAGTCAGTCCAGAACACCGCACCATAATCACTATATCGATCATGGTACCTCTCAAACACCAACGTCACCGATGATATATCCGGAATGTCCATTATCTCTTTCTTCCAATTTGTTGGGCTATGAGGAACAAGAAAGAACATGTAGTCATAATCCTTTTGATGGAATCTCTTCTCAAAGCCCAAGTATACTGTGTTTCTCTTTCGATTGATCATATCATTTCGAATGATCTGTTGATATGATCTTAATCCTGTACAGTTATTATCTTTGTCATTGTCATTGTTGTTGTTGTCTAATGGTGCCATGTAATGTATATCAAAATGTAGGTATTGGTTACGAAGTTGGAACAATCGTTTACAAAGTAGAGTGAACTTAATGCGATCAGCATTATCATTCAAGTATTCTACAACCTTCTTGAGTATCACTTGGGGGAGTGTATCCATTATTATCTCTATCTTTTCTTGTTCAACACTACTTGTTGAATGAGCCCATTCCAACAATCATCTTCCTTTTTGCCCAACCCTCTACCCTCGACCCTTGATAATAATGTAAATGTATGTAACAGACAATATAATGTCTAGTTACTCTTTATTTTGCTGCTTCTAAGTTTGCTGTTTCTACTGTTTACAGCGGCCGCCCTTGCTTTGGACTTGGGATGATCGCGAAGTAGGTGTTCGGCATCAAAGTGATGGCTCTTCTCATTGGCCTCATACTCCTCATCACTGTCACTACGAATGTCATCGATCTTTGTACCCTTTTTCAACTTGGCAATGATAATCCTAAGTATCAGGTAGAACCAGAAGATATGTAGACACTGCAGTGTGACCAATGCAACATTGGTCGAGTAGTACAGTGGGAATCCAGTTGATACAAAGAATGCTTCAAACCTAAGAATGATGTGTATGTAAGTATGTAAATTATGAGTATGTGATCTGGTAGGGCATGGACATGGTCCACTTACATTGTTGTCCTTATAAGGACTGATGGGAAGAAGACGAGTCTGGTAAGGAAGAATGTGATGGCGAATAGGATGAAGAGGGTGTCTGCTGTGACACTGTATACTTCAGGATTCATCTTCTCCTTTTGGATGTAGTTTAGGGCTTTGGCCGAGTACAGGAATATATCGCCAAGATTATGAGTGATCAGGATGATCAGACCAATACGTTGATAACGGAACCAATATGAGGCGCCCACCAAGAAGAATGTTGCCAAATGATGTGTGATCATCTGATTAAAGTCCTTTCGTCTAGTCTCAAAGAACAATGCAATTGTGCAATGGAAGTAGAATGATAACTCTAGCAAGTAATATGTCCTGAACAGTGTTCTATGTTGTTTCAATTGATTGATTGATTGAATGTTAGAGTAGATACTTTGGTAACATGATCACTCAACTTACGAGAATGGTTGGATTGGCCATCCGAGCCAGATATTCATTGTAGGGAACAGAGTCCATTCCTCTTTGAAGAAGACGTAGAATCCAAACAATTGGAATGTAATATAATACAATGAGTACCATCCATTCTCTAAGAATCTAGGTACATTAGACTTGCGAATTGAGAATGATAAAGCTATTGGCTAATGGTGTATATTATGATGATGATGATGTTAATATTGGGAGTATGGATGGATAGATGGATGGATGAGTGGACATACCTTGAGAACGAAACGTTGATAGAGATATCTGACTATGAAGAAACATGTTGTGGCGAGCAACATGAATAGGAATGCATTTAGTTCCGAGACTAACTTGCGCGTCGATGTGTACAAGTGGTTGTCAGGGTTGAAGTACCTCTCCAGTTCCAACTCTGAAATACCATATGATTCCATTGTCATTGTATATTGTAAATATATATGTATTGATTGCTTGATTGATTGATAGGCCGGGTATGGCAATGTCTACAATCACGTGACAAGATTGATTAATGTGATTGATTGATTGATGTGATTGATTCGGTCGATTAATTAATTGTTTGAATTGTTGTTGTTGAATTGGAATTGAATGATTTGATGGAAGGTCAGCAGGTATGAATTGTATAACCTATGCTGCGTTGAACTACTAACTACTACTGTGTACTACTACTACCAATTAGAGCGAAGGTTAGTTTGAATGGTTGAATTTGTATGTATATGTCAATCAATGTATGTGTGTTTGTTGAAGTTGAAGGTGATGAAGGCAGGAAGTGAAGTGAAGTGAATCAAGTAAGTAACAAGGCATGCCTCTGGAGCATGAATGAATGAGTGTTGTGTAGTGGTGGAGAGAATGACAAGAGGAGTGTGCTTCCATTGGAAGCATGTTGGGGTGCATGTGTGTGTGTGATAGTGATGTCAAGGTGTTCAACACCCAATCCAGGCTTGCCATTGGCATTAACAAACACACACACACAGATTGACCAGGCCAAAGATCCAGAAGGGGATTAGGCCCAAATCAAATTTAAAGTGGTGGTTTCGTTCAACTTGTTCTCTTGCGACGAATGGATGACGGACAATGGGCATCACCTGATTGTTTGACATCAACCAAAACAAACAACTGTTCATATTCATTCGCATGACGATGATGGGGGTGTATCACTGTGGGTGTGGCCCGGTTGCAGGTTACATCTCCACTTTCTGACATTACCAACTCGAGGTAGGTAGGTAGTGTCTACAACAAACATCGAAAAAACGATTCGATTCATTCTTCCAGAGTCTATTCATTCATTCATTCATTCATTCATTCTTTTGTCTTGTGGTCACTTACATTCTGTGTATGTCAATCAATGAATCAAACGAATGCTCCAAATGTTGTAGTCTTCTTCTTTGTTGTTGGTAACTCAATTGGTGTAGAGTCAGCTGTCAGATAAATATTTGTTGTAATTGATTGTTGGAACTTGTTACTAATAATTGTATTGTTGTTGATGCTGTTGTTATTGTTGTTGTCAATGATAGCAATAGATGGTGTCTTGCGTATGGCGAGGTAGAGTGGAATGGTGATGAGATTGGTTGCTATAATCGATTTCATAGAGTTGTTGGTCTTGTTTCGTTAAACTAAAGTTGTTGTTGTCTCAAGTGTTCATGTGATTGATGGATATGAGATACCAAGGTAATGCTGCTGCCGTCTGTTGTCTGCTGTCTATTGTCTGTAGTCTGATGTTATTGATAAACTAGAACATTAATAAGTAATTAACATGAATGAATGGATGAACAAGTGAGTGAGTGAGTGAGTATGAAAGACAACAACATCTTATCAAACTCAACTCTTCATCCCTCATTCAATTCAATGTCCAAAGTGAATGGACATACACATACACATAAACAGATACACACACACACACACACACACACAAACACACTAGATACAATCGCTTTCTACAACATCAACAACAAACATACACCACAAACACATCATTCATTCACTTCCCACTCTCTATCTCTTGAGATACACACAAACAAATAATAATTGACGAATCATCTCTCTCTTGAAGACACACATGTCTGCTGGTCACCGATAGAATGATTCATTTGTTAACAGAATCTTGGTCATTGCCTTTGGAGCCTCACTCACACTCATTCAATGATGGCATGTTATTGAGAATGTACAACACTTGAGATCAGTAAACAACAGTATGATGATACATCAAAGTCAAGATTGAATCTATTATGGCATATTGCACTGAAGTCAATAAGATAAGAGGAGCAATGGCATTGTTGATGTTCTCATTCATTCCACGGTGAAGATGTCAGCGTTCACCAACTCGAAGTAGAATTCAACTTGGCGGTTGGCATACTCGAGGGTGGTGAGATCCATCACATAAATATCGAGTTGTGGACCAATGTAAAGACGTTGTCCAACGAAGACCAGACTGTTGTGCGGGATGTCAACATAAATGGTGTTGGTATCAACTGTACCTGGGTCGTGTGGAACAGCAAACAGCAACTGTGTCTCATTCTTGATCATATCGATCTGGTAGATCAAAGTGGCAATGTTGATGCTGTCTGGGACGAATTCGATGTAGAATTTGGAGTTGTAATACGTTCCATAAGAAATGGAGTAGGTACCATTGCTCAAGAATGGCAAGTCAAAGTGGAACTCCTTGGTCGTGTTGCTTGGGATGTGATATGAGACCACAGCGATCTCTGAAACCTCTTCATGGATTCCTTGGATGACCATGAAGTATGTCAGGCTGTTTGAGTGGTAGTTTCCATAGCCCCCACCCTCTGGTGAGAAACAAGTCGTGGAGCTGTCATCCAATGAGTGGATTGATTGAGTAAGTAGGTGAAAAGTATTACATCATGGTGTAATGACTGTATTCGATTGACAGACTTACGATTGATTGGTGTCAAAGTTGTATTGGATTAGAGTAGGCCATGAGGGTGGAGGGAAAGAGGAGGCCACCTGAAAGGCAATGTTGTTCATGGCATCGTAGCCAAGTGAGGCCGAACTGTCTTAAACATATCCATTAAGACAAGATGGTCCCTTTGACTTGGTTGATAATACCATGCTCTGGACATGTATTGATTTTTGATTGATTGATTGGGAGTTTGAGTGAAGTGTGCCTCACATTCACTTGAGTTGGGCAGGCAAGCTTCTGAAGATCTTGATCATGATTTACATACTTTAGAGTTGAAGTGATTTAGCATCATATTACAGACCCACGATGCGGATTGGTTGTAACCCAGCAACAGGAAGTCATCACCAGAGTACTCGAGGATGCTGGTGATGAACACTTCATTTGGGAATGTTGTCTGATTGATCACTTGTCCTTCAGTGAGGTTGATTGAGATGAATTGATGGTTGGAAAACTCAAACACATTGAGCACTGATGGTTGCCACAGCTGATGAGATTCGATGGATTGAGTCAGTCATTAAATAATAGGCTACCAGTAAACAACTGGTCAACATTTACGTCAGCCAAGGTGGATGGTAAGCCAACGCTCAAAATGAAGAGCAACAAAAGTATGACCTGTTTGGACATATGTTCTTGATTGTCTGTGTGTGATTGTTGATGAGGATAGAAGTGATCTTGTGATTTGAAATGATTTATCAAATGAGGGAAACAAAAGAAATACTTTAATGATTTAAATTGATTGATTGAATAGAACTTCCAGTCTAAGTCATCTATGCCCTAAACAAAGTAGAATGATAGACTTTCACATTGTCTGGAACTATTCCAACCAAAAATGGATTGTCGATTAAAGTCAAGGTGAGATGAGTTTATAATACAAGGTCCTTCCAACTAATGAATGGCATGGCCATTGTAGATGTTCAGACTCATTCATTCCACGGTGAAGATACCAGAGTTCACCAACTCGATGTAGAATTCAACTTGGCGATTTGTATTCTCGAGCGTCGTGAGATCCATCACATAAATGTCGTTGTCCACGACTGACCTCAATAGAAGGTGTTGGTGTCTTCTGTACCTGGGTCGTGTGGCACAGCAAACAGCAACTGTGTCTCATTCTTGATCATATCGATCTGGTAGATCAACGTGGAGATGTCGATTGAGTATGGGGCGAACTGCATGTAGAACTTGGAGTTGTAATACGTTCCATAAGTAATGGAGTAAGTGCCATTGCTGAGGATCGGCAAGTCAAAGTGGAACTCCTTGGTCGTGTTGCTTGGGATGTGATATGAGATCACAGCGATCTCTGACTCTTCTTCATGGATTCCTTGGATGACCATGAAGTATGTCTGGCTGTTGGAATCGTAGTTGCCATATCCTGCTCCAGCTGGTGAGAACCTTGTCGTGGAGCTGTCATCCAATAAGTTGCACAGGATCATGATTGAGTGAGTGGGTGATAAGTATGTTGACATTATGGTGTTGACACATGATGGATGAATGCAGTCGATTGAGAGACTTGCGATTGACAAAACAAGACCAGCATGCTCACGAGCAAGATGATGATGTGGCCGTGCTGGTGCCTGCGGAAGTTGAATGAGTGAGCCTGCAAGACCGTGCTGGTGCTGTTTTGTTGGTGTCAAAGTTGTACTGCATCAGAACGGGCCATTCTGGAGGTGGGTAAGCAGCGCCCACCTGAAAGGCAATGTTGTTCATGGCATCGTAACCAAGTGATGCGGTACTGTCCGAGGCATAGCCTTTAAGACAAGATGGTCCCTTAGACTTGGTTGATAGTATCATGCTCTGAACAGGTATGGACATGTGTGAATAATGTTTGATTAATTGGGTGTTTGAGAGTTTGAGTGAAGTGTTAATGTGAGGCCTTTTCTTGTCTAGCTCATCACCACCATCATCATGATGATTGACATACTTTAGAGTTGAAGTGATAGAGCATCACATTACAGACCCAAGTTGCCGATATGTTTAAACCCAACAACAGGAAGTCATCACCAGAGTACTCGAGGATGCTGGTGATGAACACTACATCTGGGAATGTTGTCTGATTGATCACTTGTCCATCAGTGAGGTTGATTGAGATGAATTGATGGTTGGAAAACCCAAACACATTGAGCAAGTACAAGTAAGGTGTTTATTCGATAATATTATCATAACTATCATACTTACATACATATACATATACATATACATAATACATACCTACATTTAGACTTATAATAACTATAAAGTTAATACTATTTTATATCCTAAAGATGCCAACTCCAAAACATGGAACATCATTTTAAACTTGATAACAAACGTGGATTGATGAAGGAGTTAAAGAGGTGGCACCAGCACACTCGCTTGGTAATGATGGCAGCGGTGGATCATCGAGCCAACCAATCAGTCATCCAGTACCCAGCAGCAGCAGATACACTAATCGATCGGCGAGCCAACCTGTCAGTCAGTCAGTGACTAGTAGTAGTGGATTCACTAATCGATCTGCGAGGCAACCTGTTAGTCGTGTTGTATATCTTCAATCGAGCAAACCTACCAGCCAACCAACGTGTCGAGTGGTGTACCCTACCAACGTAGTAGTAATAGTAGTAGTAGTAGGAGTACAACCAATTGTATTAGGGCACAACGGCTCATCCGCCATTAATGCCCTACTGGAGGCTGCAGTCATTGGCTTGTCTGAGGGCACTGATGATATGCTATTGGAAGAGTTTGAGAAACCATATCCAACAACCATATCAAGGATATATGGTCAAAGACAAGTATCTAGATTTGACTGAGAGCAAGTTAGCAGTTATGAGAAGAAGGCAGTACAGCGCCAAAGATTCGCATATCGTCCAATCTATGATGTTGCCTTTGAGCTTGATCAGTACATACCAGATCTCATGCACATGATACCAGGCTCGATCAAGAAGTTATTCAAGCTCTTCATCAAGTATCTGATGGACAGTAGGTCCAGGGCATTAGACAATGTTGACCATCAGGATCTGGACGAGGAACACGATGATGASGACGATKATGACGACGATTATGTTGACCAGGACAACGAGAACAATKATGAGGATGACAATTTCTCGTGACCAGCAATGATGAGGAAGATATCCAGGACAATGAGGTCGACGATGATGAGAAAGAGAGACTCCCTGTCGATCGATAGCATGACGTGGCAAATCAGTACCAATGCCTGCACAGTATCGATTCAGTCAAGCCAAGCCTACCTTTCATCAATGTCTCCAATTGCTTGCAGTCATGGTCAGGAGGGAGGATGGACTCACAGATCTCATTGAAGATGAAACTGAGAGAGTAAGACAATCGCCAGCAGAGAGGCTCACCAAGTGAGTGATTGATTGAGTGCATTAACTAATACTATCATCAACAACAACAACCAAAAGGCCAATGTAGTTAGACTCTGGGAGATGATATACAAGTTGGTCATCTTGCTACTCGATCACACCATTGTGATCAAGTCCTATCAATGGAGAGTGTGAGAGGTTTGGCAGATTGCTAATCAATATTACAACATTGAACCTACCTCTTATCTTCACATCTTCATACATCATTCTGGCGAATATATGGAGCTGTACGGCTGCTTAATGATGTCGTGTCACATCGCATCTGAAGGTAAGCCATGTGTTAGTACTATCACTATTCATTCAATACGCTGACTAATTGTTAACCCTAACTTTACAGCCAAGCACGGTTCCATCTACACAGCCATTAAGGAATCCAACAAACAGAGTCGACCTGTACATATATGCAACAGGTGACCAGGGATATGATCATGACCAAGCTCATTGAGATCTATCAACTATGTCCTGAACAAAGTGGAGAGGAGTTTATAATACAAAAGTCCTTCCAACTAATGAATGGCATGGTCATAGTTGTTGTGGGTCTGACTCATTCCACGGTGAAGATCTCAACGTTCAACTCCATGTAGAATTCAACTTGGCGGTTGGTGTACTCGAGGGTGGTGAGATCCGTCACATAAATATCGAGTTGTGGACCAGTGTAAAGTCGTTGTCCAACGAAGACCAGACTGTTGTGCGGGATGTCAACATAGATACTATTGAGGTCAGTCGAACCTGGGTCGTGTGGAACAGCAAACAGCAACTGTGTCTCATTCGTGATCATATCGATCTGGTAGATCAACGTGGAGATGTCGATGCTGTCTGGAATGAACTGCATGTAGAACTTGGAGTTGTAATACGTTCCATACGAAATACTGTAGGTGCCATTGCTGAGGAATGGCATGTCAAAGTGGAACTCCTTGGTCGTGTTGCTTGGGATGTGATATGAGATCACTGCGATCTCTGACTCCTCTTCATGGGTTCCTTGGTTGACCATGAAGTATGTCTGGCTGTCGGCATCGTAGTTGCCATATCCAGCACCAGCTGGTGTGAAACTTGTCGTGGAGCTGTCATCCGATGAGTTGATTGAGTGAGTGGTTGATAAGTATGACAGAGAGGTCTCCATGTGGAGGTGCATCGTGACATCATGGAGTAGACAACCAGCGTGAATGGATGACTGAAGCCGACTGACAGACTTACGATTGATTGGTGTCAAAGTTGTATTGCATCAGAGTGGGCAATTCTGGTGGTGGGAAAGAGGAGCCCACCTGAAAGGCAATGTTGTTCATGGCATCGTAACCAAGTGATGCCGATGTATCCGATGAGTAGCCTTTAAGACAAGTTGGTCCCTTAGACTTGGTTGATAATATCATGTTCTGGACAGGTGTGCACATGTGTGAATAATGATGTTTGATTGATTGGGTTAAGTGAAGTGTTAGTGTGATGCCTCAACTTCACTGACTTGCTCATTCACCATCATCACCGTGATGATCATTATAATGATGGACATACTTTAGAGTTGAAGTGATAGAGCATCACATTACAGACCCATGTTGCAGATATGTTGTAACCTAACAACAGAAAGTCATCACCAGAGTACTCGAGGATGCTGGTGATGTACACTACATCTGGGAATGTTGTCTGATTGATCACTTGCCCATCGGTGAGGTTGATTGAGATGAATTGATGGTTGGAATATTCAAACACATTGAGCACTGATGGTTGCCAGAGCTGTTATGTGTAAGTGTCATCGATTGTGTCAGTCATGATATGATAACGTATGATCGTCCATCAGCAAAACTGATACAACATTTACATCAGCCAAGGTGGATGGTAAGCCAACGCTCACAATGCAGAGCAACAAAAGTATGACCTTCTTGGACATCTGTCTGTGTGTTTATGTGTGTGATTGATGAGGATAGATGTGACTTGTGATTGTTTGGTAGGTGATTGTAGTGAAAAAGAAGTCTATCAATCTATCATTGCATTGTAGTTGTTGTTGTTTACTAATACAACCCCCCATCTTCTGTACTCTCCACACCTATCAATCATCATCAGCAACCTACATTCCACCATTCAACAATCCAAATTGCAAACTCAAATAATCGTCTATCCCTCTTGACCACCAATAAAGACAGTTGTCTTCTTCGTGCCGTGATGTTCCAACGTCAACCTGCTATTGGAACTGCACTCACTCCACATATATAGATCACTCCACTCATTGATTCCACCTTGAAGATCTCAGCATCCACCAACTAGAGTCGAAGACAAGACAGTTGTTTGGGATGTCATAATAGATTCTGTTGATGATGATGGTTCAACATCAATCAAGTTCACTTTTGAAAAAAGAGACGCCCCGACGCACAGATTGTTCTCACCGTTGTTTGAGGTTGAGAGCTTGGCTCAATTCATTTTGAAGAGCGCGGCTAAGTTCAACCCGAAGATTAAGGCTTTCTCCCAAGCCATACGATCGTCTGTGCAGTCGTGGACGTCATACATTGTACTGGTAGTCCCTATTACTCCGTCGCTGGGAACATTTTTAAGTGCCTTTGTATAAGCACCGTTTCCCTCATGGATCCCATCGATAACCCTTGCAAGAAGGTTGTCAGATCTGCGTAACTACTCAAACAATTATATAATAGCGCTAAAATATGTGTATTATATTTGTGTTGATTGAATTATGGGCTTAGACCAAAGTCAAAACGATCAAATGATCCTATTTTGTAAGTCAACCCCCTTTGATAAGTTCAAACAATCCCCATTCGTTGAGTGTCATCGGCCCAAAAATATCTTTGTTAAACAAATAAATAATCATTTTGATAATATGTGTGGTGGCTTGAAGTCCTGGTTCCACAACACCCACACACGACTAATCGGCAAAGTTTGATTCCAACTCGACACTTACAAATCAGTCAAACACAACAAACACACACATAAAGATAAGTACAGACACACAAGAAATCAAGAGATGAACAACAAGTCAATGATATTGTTGTCATTGGTTGTGATGATGTCTGTGGCGCATGCTGTTGCAGCTGGTCAACCCATCATCAAGGCCAGCCCTGAACTATTGGCCAAGGATGGAGACTTCATCACCATCACCTGGGATGGTATCGCCAAGCCCACCGCCTACGACACCATCGCCATCTACTACCCACCCACCGCCGACATCACCATTCCAATCGGTTTCATCCCATTGTCAACTGCCTCCTCAAGTATGTATATACCCGCTCATTCACTCAATCAATCATTTCAACTCAACTCAACTAACTCACTCATACTTCCAAACATCAACTTAGCTTACAAGGCAGGATATGGATCAGTCACCATACCATTGGTTAATGTTAGGGATACTTATGTGTTTAGATTATGGGTCGAGGGTAATGCTCATCCTTCGATGCCAAGCCCTATCAATAGCAAGGTGGACATCACAATGGTTGGCGCATCAAACAATGTCACCTTCCAGAACATCAACGCTCCGGAGAAGCCGTACTTGGCATACACCAACTACACGAGCGAGATGCGTCTCAATTGGATCAGTGGCACGGACGACACTCCCGTCATCTACTACGGCACGTCGCCCAGCCAGCTCACCATGTCCGTCCAGGGCAGCTCGTCGACCTACACCATCGACCAGATGTGCGCGTCGCCCGCCAACGACCCCAACTACTTCCGCCACCCCGGCTACATCCACGACGCCGTCATGACCGGCCTGACCGAGTCCACCCAGTACTTCTACTACTTTGGCAGCCAGCAGAGCGGCTTCAGCGCCGTGTTCAACTTCACGTCGGCGCCCAAGCCTTCGACCGAAGCCTACATTGTCGCTTTCGGTGATTTGGGCATGCAGCCACCCTTCAGCTGCAACTGTGAGATGATGCCACCCGCCACCTCGACCATCGAGAACGTTCTGACCACCATCTCTGCACCATGGTCGCAATCATGGGCTTCCACACTCGGCAAGAAGTCCCCACATGACACTGACATTGCGCCACACTGGTCTCTGCTCCACATTGGTGACATTTCCTACGCTCGTGGCAATGCCTTTGTCTGGGATTGGTACCATCAGTCCATCCAGGAGATCACCTCCCAAGCACCCTACATGGTCTCGATCGGAAAGTAAGTGTTGTTGGTCATTCATTCAATCATTCAATCATTCAATCGATCACTAACCCCTCTGGAATCATTCCAATCCATCACTTTAGCCATGAATATGACTACACCAAGCAACCATTCTATCCAGAGTGGTCAGACTATGGCTCAGACAGTGGTGGCGAGTGTGGTGTCCCTTACTACTACCGCTACAACATGCCAGGCTATGGTGAGAACGCCGACAACTGGTACTCCTACGAGGTGGGACCAATCCATTTCACTCAGATGAGTGGTGAGCATGACTTCTTGATTGGGTATGTATACATTTCATTGATTGATCGATTGAACAATCCTAACTCGCCCATTCACGAACATGATAGCTCTCCACAGTATAACTGGCTTGAGGCTGATCTTGCCTCGGTCAACAGGACCAAGACACCTTGGGTCATCTTCTCTGGACATCGTCCAATGTATGGAACTGACTCTGGTGAGAGTGGAATGTACTCACATCTCCAGAACAACCTTGAGCCACTCATCGTCGAGTACGACGTTAACCTCTGTTTCTGGGCACATGGTAAGTCGATCTCCACCCTTGCTGAACCATCTTTCCATCACATCTAACATCCATCCCATCCCATCCACACAAACAGTCCATGCCTACGAGAGAACATGTGGAATGTACAACTTCACATGTGCCGATAATGACAATGATGCACCAGTTCACGTATGTTGTTTGATTGATTGTACACTTCTTCGCGCCACACAGATAACTGACACACGCAATCACTCATTCCAATCATATAGATTACAATTGGTATGGCTGGTAACATTGATCAAGCACCATGGGCAGGAGGCAGCCATGAGCCACAGCCATCTTGGAGCATGTTCCGTGCCATGAACTATGGATACACTCGTTTCTACGCCAACATGACTGATCTCATCTTTGAGTATGTTGGCAACCAGAGAAACCAGGTCCACGACACTATCAAATTGCATAGCAAGTATGCCGAAGACTTCGACCTCGAGGCCTTGTAGATTGGCACTTCATCATCATCATGATCATCATCATGGTCACTAGGTGCGTGATACCACCCATTCGCTCATTCGCAGACGACCACGAGAGACAATAAATCACGTCCCCTTTTCAATCAATCAATCAATCAATCATTTGTCACGAGTCCAACAAATATTAATATTATATTTATATATACAAAATATTTATTTATTAATTAATCCTTCAATAATATACACCAATCAAGTTGTGGCTCTAATTTGTGATCGACAAGCTTGGCAACAATATGTCCAGCATAGATGTCGGTGTTGTAGATTGTTCCATTGTCATCGATCTTTAGTGGACATGAGATGAAGCCACGTGGTATGTCATTGGTGTCAATCAGTGGCCATTCCGATTCGAGATCAGTGCGTACGGTCTTGATCTTCTTGGTGTCACCCATCCACTTGCCCTCGGCACTGAATACCATGAATACGGAGATCCAGCCCGACACCCAGGTCGGTCCGGAGCCACCGCCAACATAAGAGGCGATACGGTTCCACCAGGCTGTGTCGGGTGTGGCGCCCTCGCCGGCGGAGCGCGCCATCTGATCGAGGACGGGCAGAAGCAGGTCGACCCACTTGCGCATGTATCCACCACCCGCCTCAAACTCAACGAAGCGCTCGGCGCGCTGGCGCACTTGTGCCCAGTCGGCGGCCGAGCCCATCACTGTCACCTTGGGCAGGCCACAGCGAAGCGAGAACTTGTAGTCAAAGTAGTTCTTGAGTGTGGACATGAGAGCGAATGAACCGACGACGCGGTCGTTGTACGTGGTGGTTGTGAAGTCGGGCATGACCCATTCTCGCACCGACGGGTCCTTGATGTTGTCGGCGATCTGCTTGGTCATCAGAATCGCCATCTCTTCGTAGGGCGCGTTGAACAGTGTGCCGTTGGCCACGATCTCCAACTCCTTTTTGTCGTCGAATGCCACGAACTTGTCGCGTAGCTTGTCCGAGTGCGCGTTGACGTAGAATGAGAACTGAGTGATGAGTGCCAGCCACACATCGTCTGGTCGCACAACAAGATGCATGTGCTGGTTGTATGCGTAGACGGCCGATTGAACGAATGAGTTGTTGCCCAGACTGATGATCTCTGGTGACTTGGTGTCGGCTATGCTTGACTTTACCACCTTGGGCTCTGGTGTTGCCACTTGTTCATCTCCACCTCTTGAGCCTTTGGCCTTTGGTAACAACATTGAATACTTAAACATATTAACAGGTTGTGGTCTAAACATCATTGATTGTAATGATGATGAGCCCATACTTTGATCAATAACAAATGTGTTTGATTGTACTTGTTGTGTACTACTTGTAGACATTCTCTATCTCTATCTCTATCTTATCTCTAAGTTTGATTGATTGAGTTAGCCTCACCACCTTCTTTCAATTTATTTGGAGTTCTCATGTCACTCCAAGTTCATTCCTGTTTAAGTTGAAAGTTGAACTATCACACAAGTTTACAAACAAATAATATCTTTTGTTATTGATGATGGTGTTCATCAACAAACCCGTCAAGTCGGAAGTCCTCTCACTACCACATCTTTGATTAACTATCTAACTAACTAAGATGTAATACACCCATTAACAATGTTGTTATCATAATGTTAAAGGGGGGGTAGGCAATCCGACAAATGGAACCTACTTTGAATGGCTCTGTGTTGTGTGTCTGTTTGACTTTGATCACTCATTGTTTTGATGTGTTTCAAAATCAGCTGCAAACATCATCCATTGTGATGAGTAGACCCCTTCCAAAAACATCACACTGAGTCCATCACTCTGATCACTCAAATTATTTGTTCATCATACATTATAACAACTTTGAAATCTTGTGATTGACACAACATAGTACAACTCACAACGTATCATCACACACATACACACAAATAGAGATACACACACATACAGACAGAGAGATAGAAGATAGAGATAAAGATAAAGATAAAGGATACAGATAGGCTTCAACGGCTAAATTCATTCATTCATTCAAACAAACACAACAATTTGCTCAACTAGACATTAAGGTCATCACTCATTCTTCATTAGCGAAGGTCACGTCTAGCACTCAAACCCAACTCAACTTGATTGATTCATCAAGGATCATATTCAATCAATCAATCAATCAATCGACTTTAGTAATATTAGTAATAGTAGTTAGTTAGTTAGTTAGTAATAATACCAACAACAATCAAACAAACAAACAATCGATCAATCAATCAATCAAAATAATACGAACATGACATCGACACCGTCATCACCACTTATGGGCTCGACTTCAATGTCGATGACCTCATCATTGCCAGCAGATGTGACATCATTACAACAGCAGCAACAACAGAAGGAATCACATACATTCTTGCGAGCCAGCAGAAGTGGCATTAGCAAAGATTTGAACAAGTTGTCATTGTTCTCACGTGACACAATACACGTGGTGGACTGCGATGGCGAGCGCGAGCGCGAGATTAACGAAGCCGAGCAGCTGTTCCAGAACCTGCCCGAGCTGTCGTACGTCGTCACCAAGATCAATCAATGGGGCAAGCACCAGAAGCGCGTGCTGCGCCTCACTAACAAGGGCATTGCCAACGTGCGCAGCGACATTGTCTCGAGCCACTACGCGTACGGCGACGTGCGTGCCATCTACCTGCGCGACTCAGAGGTGTTTGTGCTCGAGTATACGGGCGCCTCGCACAGCTACGTCTACAAGTCGGACGTGGGCTACCAGATCGTGCAGGAGATCACCAGCCGGCTACAGATGCTGCGAACGACTGAGAAGAAGAAGCACGGCTTTGACATTGCCATCAAGTACCAGAAGAAGCTGATGTCGCAGATCCCGGGCCAGAACGCTCAGACACCCTCCACGCCACTGCCCACCATGTCGGGCGCGGATCAGCAGCAGCCACAACAACTTTCGCCAGACTCGGCGCCCAACCTGTCACTGTCGTTCGACAGCTGCGACTCGTCGTCCGTGTCGTCGTCATCGTCGTCGCCTACGGCCGGCATGGACATTGAGTTCGAGGTGGACGACCGCAAGCACCAGAAGCGGGCGTCCAAGGTCTCGCAGCTGCTTGGCACGACGGAGGACCAGCGTCTGCAGGGAGAGATCGATCGCATTGCGCTGAGTCCGCAGTCGAGCGAACGCAAGGCCATTCAATCATTCATGAGCAACTTCCACCAACTTGTGCGCAACCCAACATCGCTCGTCCAGAACGTGCGCCAGTTTGTCGACAGCATCAAACACTCGATCCTCAACGACAAGAGCGGCCAGCTACAAAAGCTGGTCGAGTCACTGGGCGCCCGCGAGGACGACGTGCCCATCTCGGCGCTCGTCGAGAAGAACCTGGAGCGCGCTATCATCCTTCGCGCCTACAAGCAGCTACATGGCGTCATCTCACATCAGATCGCCAAGGACGAGGCTGTGTTGCAGGACAACATCTCCAAGCTGGCCTCCAAGTCACAGGAGTTCTTTGGAATCAAGAGTGAGTTCATCACACAGAGCAACTGGCAGTCGGCTGTCCTCGAGCTCAAAGCACTGGAACAGATCGACATCCCCTACAACAAGCTCGACTCCATCCTCGCATCCGCGCGTGCCATCTACAACTACATCAACTATGAACGCAACCTCAAGAGCAACTCACAACAAGAGATATTCCTCAGTGCAGATGACTTCTTGCCTGTATGTATCCATCATCTCAGGCCCATGTGTGGGGGTCGTACGTCTGGCGCGGTAACACTGTTACCACTCCAGTGGCCGCATTAATTTGCGACTGTCGCCAGATGGTCCCAATTACTCAACCATTTAATCACTCACTCAAACACTCAATTACAAACACAAACAGATATACATCTATGTCGTGGTCAACTCTGGCGTCAAGGACTTGGAGTTTACTAATCAATATCTGTGGCAACTTTGCGATTCTGATCGATTGTCTGGCGAGGGCGAGTACTATTTGACGGTGTTCAGTTCGACATTGAGTCTAATACGTTCGTTGAAAATGGATAATGTGGAGAGAGCAACGATGATTGATGATTTGATACCGACACAGCAACTGAAAGGTAGTCCGCCACCTATCAGCAGCAGTCCAACTAGCAATGGCAGTGGATGGAACAGCGCCACCATATCAAGGCGAGAGAGAGCACAGAGTCTAAGTCTTGGCGATGGCAAAAAGAAGCATTTTCTCTCACAACACAATGATCAATCATTCAAGTAATATTATAAGATAGACAGACAATTAGACGACACAGACCGAGCACAGTGTTGTCAGTCATTCAATCAATCAATGTGTAAACAATCCAACAACAGCCAACAATCAATCAATCAATATCCGCCATCCTTCCATCCCGCCATCCCACCAACTCAAACAAATGGCCAGCCCTCATACATCCTCACACATCCATCCATCCAGTGATGGACATGACATGGCCGACCATTTTGCAAGAGTGTATAATGAATGTAATATACAATCAATCAATCAATGATACGATACTGTGAAATAAACTTTATTATTTATTGACCAACTAACTTGGAATTGAATTGACGAACCTGGACCAACTCCCAGTCTTGAAAAAAAGTTCACATTTTATCGATTTCACAACTTTCAATTCGATTTCGAGTTGGCATTGAATTGAGCGCGTTCATTCCAATCAACTGAATTGAAGATACAAACAGACAACGAATAGACGAAGACAAAGACAAAGACGAAGAGATAATACATCATACCAATCATATCTAGGTCTAGACAAAAGGATCGCGACATAGTGAGAGATAGAGGAACAGAGACAGACAGACATACAGACAGACTGACACTCAATCAATCAGTGAGTGTACAGTGAGCAGAGAGAGAAGAAAGAAGATGAACTTTGATATATACAACTTTGTCGACTACAATCAGTTCTTTAAGAACTTGTTGTCAAAGAGCATGCCAGCAGGCGAGTACAATGCAGTCGGTACAATAGTGTCATCTTCACCACAACAACAACAACAACAAGGACAACAAGTACAACAAGGACAACAGGGACAACAAGGACAACAACAGAGAGATAACAAGTCACCATCTGTTATAAGAGCACCTTCATCACCATCATCTTTATCATCATCAATCGACAGCGAGTTCCCCAATCAACAACAGCTACCTCAAGTCGTGAACGAGAAGAAGGAGTACTGCTATGGACTTGGACAGCGAACCCCTGAAGTACCCTTCATCTTCACCAAGTTGACCAACCAAACGACAAGTATGATTGATTGATACATCACTGGCGATGATCACTCAGGACATTGAGACACTAACATACATGTCATTCATGAGTAGACTGCTTTGAATGCCTCGAGTATGATACACCAATCATAAAGAATGAGGAGGGCAATGTTATTAGTGCATTCGATTACATATTTACGGACTTCTTTCGCGAGAACACTCTAAAGTTGACGAATGGCTCATTCAAGTGTCAGTTGGACTCTTGTCGATTCAACAATGAGAAGGATACAATCGATCACATGCGAACTGAACACAAGTCACAGATACTACACATGGTTGCATTGCTTGCTGAAGGTATTCATTCATTCATTCATTCATGATAATGACGACTACGACAGAACGACAATGACGATGATCACTAACTTGCGCACACTCAATGAATGAATGATTGATGACAGATGATGGCACTTCATACATGGGCAACTTCTTTTCAAAGTTGATGTACTCGGATGCACTTTATTCGATTCAGCCGGCAGCGATCAGACCGGATAGTAGCGAAGCTTTGTTGGAGTATTGTAGCGTGGTGGCACCGACTTTGCCTCCAATCAAGACGGACGAGAAGGACAAGGCAAAGAGAAAGACTAAAAAGTCAAAGAAGGCCAAGTTGAAGCCAAAGGTACCGCTGCCCAGCAACTTCCCGCGTGACGAACTCTCTGAATTCACTCGCTCGCTCTTTGGCCAGTCCAAGGTGCCCATAAACGACAACATCACACGTACTCAACTCAAGAAAGTGAACGAAGCATTGGCCGCCAACAAAGGAGAGACTGAGGAAGGTATGTTTGATTGATCGTTTGATCGATTGATTGATGGAATGATTCCATCCAGTGACGGCGCTGACACTCACACTCAATCAAACAGCGCGAATGAAGAAGGAACAAGCGATATTCAATGAGACGATTGCAAAGATTAGGAATGTACAGCAACAACCAGAGAAGGAGAAGGAGGACGCAGCATCAATCAAACAACAGCAATTGGAGAAGGAGAGACTGGAGAAGGAGAAAGAGGATGAGAATGCGCAGTTGGTGGACGAGTTGGCAGACCTGATAATTGACGAGGTGGTCGAGGAGTTGACCACGAACATCGTCAAGAAGATATCCACGGACGAGAAGAAGAAGCGAGCCAAAGAGTTGGAGAAGGAACGCGAGAGGGAGCAGAGAGAGCGCGACAGGGAGCAGAGAGAACGTGATCGCGAGCAGAAAGAGCGTGATCGCGAGAATGAGGACCTCAGGAAAGAGAAGGAGGAGAAGGAGCACCAACTCAAACTTGAGCGACAGGCCTTTGAAGAGACACTTCAAACCGCCATCAGCGACCTTGCCGAAGACTTCCTCGATGAAATCATCGGTGATGAAGTGGTCTCACTCATCTCACAGACCTACCATGAACACCTCGTATGTGTACCATCATCCATCAACATGGCAATGCAATCCAACTCACTAACTCATTCAATCAATCAATCAAGGCGTGGAAAGAACAACAGCATAGACAACAACAGCTGCAGTTGGCAAAGGAGAAGAAGACGAAGCTTAATGTGAAGTCTAGTACACCACCACCTCCTCAACCGACTCCACCGACTCTCAGCGATGTTCCAGCACCAATCTCACAACAACATGCCATTGCGAGGCAACCCACTCCAGAGATATCTGTTTCCGCGCCAATCACCCTTCCTCCAGCCGGTGCATCCTATGCCCAAGTATCACAACTTGGTCTGGTCCAAGCACAACAACAGACACAACCGGTACCGGCACAGGCGGCTCAGATGCCAATCCAGTCACCAACTCCTCAGACACAAACACATGCGCAAGTCCCAATTCAAACACCAATTGATTGCTCAGCCACAACAACAGCAACAACAGCAACAACAGCA